CCGCAACCCTCACAAAGCAACGCAAGACACTGCAGAGGAAAGGGAAGAGGAGTACCGCAACCCTCACAAAGCAACGCAAGACACTGCAGAGGAAACATTCAATATTCAGACGGGTCTGGTAAGCTTCCGTTCCGTCTTTCTTCGAAGCGTGGATGCGCGGCCCGATGCCGAATATCGGGCTTCCGTGATCGTCTTTGCCGGCTTTCTCCGCTCCACTCCTCTATCTTCTCTACCCTACTATGCGAGTCATGCTTGACTGACAGAGCGTGGCGTGGATGAAAGCATCGACCATTGGAGGAACGGCCTGAAAGCAGATCATCGTCGCCTAGGCTTGTGTTCCGGCCGTAGGGAGTGTTTGTCGGAAGTGCGAAGCGCGCCTCCACGTCGCTCGCAGCTGATTGCCTGGAAATTTGGGTGCCTGAGCCACGACCCCTTGCCGCCTTCCTCTAAACAGCCTCCCGTCCCTGCTCATCGTCACCTTCCTCACTCACGTAGCAATTCGATGCTAGCATATCCTCTCCATAACATTGTCCCCATTCCGACATAGAGTTCTTGCCCTGAGCGATCGACTCCCACCTACGAAGCTCAAATCTCGGTCCTGTGGCGTACGGCCGCGGCGCATCTGCCTCCGATGGTGGCGATGAGAAGCAGAACGACATGGTCTCGCAAGATCCAGGCTTGGGCAATCCTGACCGCATCCGCCGTCACCTTAGCGCTACTTATCGGCACTGGATCGTACTCCAGCCTCGCTGTAGCTGCCACTTCACCCTCAGCACGGCGCCCGAATGTCCAGTTCCCCATGCTCAGCGACCCCTCTCGCGGAACCCTATTAGAAGACGTTCTGTCCGCGCCCCTATCTTCCAGCGGCGACGACATCTGTAGACCGACCGGCCAGATCCACGATGCCTGCTGCGACTATGAGACGGTAGAGAAGAGGCTCAACACACCCAAGTTCTACCAGACGCTGAGGGAACTGGTGGAGACAAATTACTTTAGGTACTACAAAGTGGATCTCTACCGGGATTGTCCGTTCTGGAGTGAGAATGGACTGTGTATGAATCAAGCCTGCGGGGTAGAAAAGGCTAGCGAGGTGAGTCAAAAAGGAGAATGATGTATGGTTCCATGCAGCTCTGCGTCTAAGCGACGAGTCACTTCCTTTCTGCCCCTTTCTGCCCCCATAGGATGAAATTCCAGAAGAGTTCCGGTCTTCTCAGCTGTCCTCTGTAGCGGCAGCTGACCGTTCGGAGGTCATCTTCCAAGATGATCAGAAGAAGACGTCAGGTAGAGATACTTCTGCTGATCCATACGCTCCGCCAGATAGCTGTGTATGCCGCGAGACCGACTTCTGCCATTGGGAAGCTGAGGAGTTTTCTCCCGAATCCACTTGGGTCGACCTGATAAAGAACCCGGAGCGTTTCACTGGATACGCGGGACCAGGAGCCAATCGAGTCTGGAAGGCCATCTACGAAGAGAACTGCTTCGGCGCGGTACCCAAAGGCTCATTCTTGGAGCCTCCGCGGGCGAAGTCTAGCGGCGGAGGCACAGGTTTCGTGGACAAGAGCAGTCTCACTGGTAGCTCAAAGGGTGGCGCTGCCTTTGGCTTCTCGCCTCCAGGACTGAGCAACCTCATGCCTTCTTTGCAAGCTCCTTCCGACCCAGCAGCCAATGAGCAGTGCCTAGAGAAGCGCGTCTTCTACCGCGTCATCTCGGGCCTACACGCTTCCATATCCACTCATATCTGTTCCGACTATCTGGATCAAAAGAGTGGAGAATGGTCGCCTAATCTCGAATGCTTCGTTTCGAGGATAGCTCAACATCCCGAGCGGCTGCAGAACGTATACTTCAACTACGTCCTTCTAGTGCGAGCGTTGGCCAGAGCCGGGGAATACCTTACCAGCTTTAGGCTCAAGAAGGGTCATGCCATTCCCGTCTCAGAACAACGCACCCTCACCCTACTAGAGTCCCTCGTATCGCAGGCCAATCAGTGCCCGCCGACCTTCGATGAAGCGTCCATGTTTCAGGCTTCAAACCCGGAGGCGCCCATGCTTAAGCAGCAGTTCAGAGACTCTTTCCGGAACATCTCTTCCATCATGGACTGTGTGGGATGCGACAAGTGTCGCTTGTGGGGCAAGATGCAAGTCAATGGTCTAGGCACGGCCATGAAGATTCTCTTCTCCTTTGATGATGAAGACCTTGTGGACGTCGAGAAGAATCCTGCTCCGTTGCTCGAGAGGAGCGAGCTCGTAGCTTTGATCAATACCTTGCATCGCTTCGCTGAAAGTCTGAATGCGGTCGAGACTTTCAGGCAGATGTACCAAAGAGAGCTCAAGGGAGAGTCTTTGGCTACGCATGGCGATGGAAGCAAATCGGAGGCGCACGATGACACGCAATCGCAGCACAAAGCTACAAACTCCCCTGTCGGGCCTCTGCAGACAGCAGCCGAGGTCGAGTCAGAAGTGCCTGATACACTACCCTCTGACACTCAAGATGACTGGAAAGCAAGAGTGGTGCCCAATGGCAGTCAGGAGACACCGGCCAAGACGATCAAGGAAGAAGCTCGCAGATCGAGTCGTGACACTGCTGGTAGCTTGACTTTGTTGGCAAAAGAATGGGTGCAACACTTCGTCAGGTCTACTTCCCGCACCCTCGATGCCTGCAGATCCTCCCTCGTCCGATGCGTGGACTGGTTGTACAGTCCTGAGGAGTCTGTCACGCGGAGTGGGCATGGGCAAGGCCTCGAGGAGAGCCGGCGAGGTAATCTTGATGGGCCCAAGGCGGAACTCTGAAGTTTCGAGAATAGACGGCATATTGAGCCTCCTGTCACCTTTATCATTGTATATGCATTTCTCCATGGCGATCAGAGCCATACACTTATACCGTACCAGTATCTCGATTCGCTCCGCTCCGTGTGTAACTTCGCTGTGCGGTGATGCTTCGGGTGGTCGGAGTTTGTGTTGGAGCTGTGTCGCGTGGCGTGGAGGTGAGGGGCTGGGTGGGTGCGTGCACCGGGACCGCTCTTGCTCCGTTGATCGTCTGCTCTCTCATCTTCCTTCCTCCTTTGATCTCATCACCAGCGTCACCATCGTCACACATCTAGAAAGATCGTTGCGTACGAACTTTGCCATCTGTTATCCCAAGCGACAAGGTGCAGACCTTTGCTGGCCGTCTGCTTCCGACGACCGCCGTGTCGGTGTCCGCCCTGACTACGGTGCCCCTCCCCTCGTCCTCTTCTCCTTCCTCTTGCCCGACGACTCAGCGGTCACGCCTCGTCGCTCAGCCGGAGTTGTCTGAGCGGCATTCCACCATTGCGGCCTCCAATCCCAGGCAGGACGCGCCCCGCGACGATACCCACACCCAACAACAGCAGTCCTGGGGTAATCTCCCACGACGGGATTCTTCCAGCTCACAGCGATCCTTGCTCCCAAAAACGGCTTCCGTCCGATCGTCTTCACCTACCTCTTCGACACTCTCTTTCGCTAGTGGTACGAGCCGAGGAAGATATCGCGGTCGTAACGCTCGTCCTGACACGCAAGCCCGAATAGTCTCGGCCAACGAGACGCAGACTCGGCAAGTTCTCGAAGCTCGATCTTACCAACGCACCCCTTCCTCCACCACCAAAGCAGCCGCGACGACGTCGTCTGCCTATCGTCCTGCCTCACCGGAGGCTGCTGCTGCTGCTGCTCTTCCCCCTCCTCCGCCTATCCTCACCTTCGTCTCCGACCTCATCATGGACGAACAGGAGAAGGCTCTGAATGAGGCTCTCAACACTGTCAAGATTCAGGTAGCTCAGATGAAGCGGTGCTTAGACAGCGATTCGCTTATGGAGGCGCTGAAATCTGCCTCGACAATGCTGTCAGAGCTGCGGACCTCTTCGCTCAGCCCAAAGAACTACTATAGACTCTACATGGCTGCCTTTGACTCGCTTCGACATCTCAGCGCTTATCTCTACGACTCGCATACCGGGGGCAGACATCATCTGGCTGATCTGTATGAATTGGTCCAGTACTGTGGAAACATAGTGCCCAGGGTGAGTAGCGCGACCGAGCAAGGACGAGAGCTGCCTCTGGTGCTGACGTTGCCGGCTCCACACTTGAATCTCTCCAGCTCTACCTCATGATCACCGTCGGCTCCGTTTACATGTCGATCCCCGACGCACCAATCAAGGAGATCATGAAAGACATCATGGAGATGTCGAGGGGAGTTCAGCACCCCACACGAGGTTTATTCCTCCGCCACTATCTCAGTGGAGCTACTCGAGATTACCTTCCCATCGGCTCTGAGAATGGGCCCACCGGGAATCTGCAAGACTCAATCGGCTTTGTGCTCACGAACTTCATTGAGATGAACAAGCTCTGGGTGCGGCTACAGCATCAAGGTCATTCCAGAGAGAGGGAGAAGCGAGAGTCGGAAAGAAAAGAGCTCAAGATTCTGGTAGGCACCAACCTTGTGCGGCTAAGCCAGCTCGAAGGTGTCGGGCTAGAGATGTACCGCCGAGTGATCTTACCAAGTATTCTCGAGCAGGTTGTCAATTGCAAAGACGTCATCGCCCAAGAGTACCTGATGGAGGTCGTGATCCAAGTCTTCCCGGACGACTTCCATCTGCGAACGTTGGGGCCCTTCCTTTCTGCTTGCGCTCAACTACATCCCAAGGTCAACATCAAGTCCATCGTCATCGCTCTCATCGATCGACTGGCCTCTTACGCAGCTAGAGAGGCCGAGAATGATTCCCCAGAAGAGATCAAGAGGCAAGAGGAGGAAGCTGGCAGGAGGCTGAAGGAGAAGATGGGACGAATGAGGCTTCAAGCGGGCGAGGTCTGGGAGGAAGTGGAGAGGGAAGACGCTAAACGGAAAGCTAGCGAGGCTGCTCAGGAAAGCCAAGGTCTCAACGGAAGTGGAAGTGGAGACTCAAACTTCAGACCCATGGACTCATCAGCGCCCGGCATGCCCAATGTCGCGACTCATAGCTCGGCAGAGCCTGAGATCAAGAGGTTCAGCGGTGTTCCTGAAGGCATGGAGGACGAAGGCTGGGGAGAAGGCGGAAAGCCGCCTACATCGCAGGCAGGCGACACAGCGGCAAGTGAGACAACCGAGGCCACAGAGGAGACTGAGCCTGGACGAGAGTTGCAAAGCAGCAATTTCCCATCCGCCGCACCTCAAGGCAAGGCCGAAGAGAATCCGCCAACGGACGGCGCCAAAAAGGGCGACGGAGCTGGTACTGCCTCTGTCCAGGGGCAGCAGCCACCTGCGCCTCCTGCTGAGCCTCAAGTGAAGAAGTTCCGTGGTATTCCGGAAGATGTTCGCCTCTTTGAGGTCTTTTGGGAGCAGATAGTGAGACTAATCAGAGCCAGGCCAGACCTCTCGCTTCAAGATGTCACGGCTCTCCTGGTCTCGTTGGCAAATTTGTCTCTCAGCTGCTACCCAGATCGCTTGGAATACGTAGATCAGGTGCTAGGTTTCGCCAGCTCCGTCGTACAGGAACAGGAAGCCCAGCTTGCAGCTCAAGGCTCCGGTCAAGGCGGACAGATCCAAGCGCAAGCATTCGATTTGCATTCACCAGCTACAGCTGCGAACCTCGCCGCTCTGTTAATTGCACCTATCAACTCCTACACCTCTGCTCTGACGCTGCTGGCTTTGCCGTCATATGCTCTGTTGCTCGCTACGCAGAGCCATCCGACAAGGAAGACGGTGGCCACTGCCGTCGTTGGCAGTGTCTTGAAGAATGAGACAGTTTTGTCCACGCCGGAGGACGTCGATGGCATCCTCGATCTTTGCAGCACACTCGTCAAAGACCAAAGAGACCACCACAATTCCTTGCAATACAGCTCTCAGCAAGACGGCAGGGCCTACAACGGCCAAGGTGCATACTATGATGGCGGTCGCAGAGCGGGCGGCGGCAGGCAAGCCCAGCTACAAGCCCAGCAACAGCACGACTTGGAGGAGATTGCGGAAGAGCAGGGATGGCTTGCTAGGATGATTCATCTCTTCCGAGCAGAAGACGATCCAGCGGAGCTGTCGCCGGACGGCACAAAGAAGAAGCCGCGAGACGGAGCTGAGATCCTAGAGGTCCAATTCAGCTTGCTTCAGGCTGCCCGCAAGCAATTTGTGGATGGAGGGCCAATGAGGATTCGCCATACACTACCTCCTCTCGTCATCTCAGCCATTAAGCTAGCCCGCCGCTACAAGGTTCAACAGCGCTCGATGGAAAAATCCCCATGGGAGACCAGGGTGACGACCGTCTACAAATTCATTCATCAGGTCATTTCCATCCTCTACAACAAGGTCGAGTCTTCAGAGATTTGTCTGCGTCTCTACCTCATGGCGGCTCAGTCCGCCGATGAGTTGGGCTTCGAGGAGCTGAGCTACGACTTCTACGTGCAGTCGTTCACGATCTACGAAGAATCTATCTCAGAGTCGCGCGCGCAGCTCAATGCCATCGGAATGATTGTCTCCAATCTGCACGTATCCAGAGTTTTCGGCCTCGACAATTACGATCGTCTAATCACTAAAGCAGCTCTGCACGGTGCCAAGCTGCTCAAGAAACCTCACCAAGCGGCTGCGGTCCTCATGGCCTCTCACTTATGGTGGCAAACGCAGGTGCTGCCTGCTCGACCGGCTAGTAAAGAGAAGCCGCTCCTCCGCGACGGCAAACGAGTGTTGGAGTGCCTGCAGAAGAGTTTGAGGATCGCCAACAGCTGCATCGATGAAAGAAGCACGGTGGAGATCTTCTGCTCGGCGCTGGATCAGTACATCTACTACGTGAGTCAGAGGAAAGACAGCTGCATTGACATGCGTTGAGATTGGGGTGACTGACGCACGATGTCTTCTTTCTCACCTCCGTCTACTATGCGCACAGTTTGAGCAAGGTGTCGAAGAGGTGCAACCCAAGTATCTCTCCTCCTTGATCGATCTGATCTCTTCAGCGCTCGAGAATCTCTCCTCGTCTTCGAACAACGAAGCAAACTCCACTGCTCCACCTTCTCTGCACACTTCCTCCAGTCTGCTCAGCGATCATGGCGCTGCGGGTGGCAATGGGCCAATCGAGAGTTGTAAGAGGCAGTTCCGTGCGCAACTCGTGCTCATCCGGGGGCGAAAGGAGAGAGCAATCGCCAGGCTGGCGCAGAGAGCCGAGCAGGAGGAGAATCAGAGCCAGCAGGCTGAGAATGGAGGAAAAGATGCAGAGGCAGAGAAGAAGGAGACGGAGAAGCTGGCAAAGGAGAAGCGAGAGCCCGACTGGGCTGCAGTGACGATTGCTGGCGCTGCCCAGAAAATGGGCGTCTGATCAGACAAGCCAAGAAATGCTAATGGATGATACACTTGTTATTAAATACGACAAATCAGCTTCAGGAGTAGGACTGGACCGATAGCAGTGTAGTCTCACATCTCGGGTCGACGGCAACTCTGCGCACCACACATGCATCGTCCTGCTGCTCCTCTGACTGGGTTGCGTCGGCCGCGGTGAACCGTTTCGCCCTCGCAAGCCGTAGCTGCTCTTCCTCCACTCCCGGCAGATCCACTGCTCCCAAACGACTGCCCCCTCTTGGCCCCTCCTTGCTCCGTGTAGAAGAAGTAGTCAAATGTGAGCTCTTCGTAAGCTGGGATTGGGCGGAGGGCGAAGAATGCTATGACCGGTTGAAGAGTCGAAGGGTCCTCGTTGCCGCTGGGCCTTGAAAGGGTAGGGGTGGGCGAGCCAATGCCGCAATTGGAAATGTTCCTAGCTATGGACTGATCTCTGGGAAGCGTTGTGGTATTGACCGTGGAAGGAGGGGCTGACCCTCCATTGGTAATGACGGCGGGGCTCGTACCCATCCTTTCCGCGGTGGCCTCGTCGTCCTCATAGACGCTACAGAAACGCTCCGCGACGTCCACCACCCTACAAGCCAAGTTCGGGTCGCAGGAATGGTTGAGGAATCTTGCAGGTCCGCCCTTTCGCCATGCGTCCACAACCCAGAGTCCTCCAGGCAGGTCGAAGAGGTAGGTGTGCATACCGCGCTCTTCGCGCTCCTTGGCCAAGGTAGAAGGGATGACTTCGCCCGTGAATAGTAAGACAAGACTGCCCCTCGGAATGAGTATTGGGGAGCGCAATCCCCAACCCTTTGTGGAGGAAGTGTGGAAGATATGCAATGGGAAGTTACGCCCTCCTTTGTTGTCGAGGCAAGCCTCAGCTTCCGCCCTCGAAGAGGACGAAGCACCCGCGATCGCAGCCGCCGGAGCGTTCGGGGTGCTTCCCGTCGGGCTTGAGATCCACACTCTTCCGTCCGGCCGCCAATCGGGGCCCGGAGCCTGACGAGGAGCAAATTCTTCGCAAGTATCGTCATAGATGCCTACATGTGGGCCTCGGTCCTCGCGTGCCATTTCGAGAAGCTTTCCCTCGAGTTGAAACCGGGCGTCACGCAGAGCAAGGATACGCTCGGCCGGGCGCGGTGGGGTGGGAGAGGAGGTACGTAGACGATCAGCGGGTGGAGAACGCAAAAGACGTTGCCGATGCCGACGGGAGAAAGCTTGAGGAGTAGCGTCTGGACTGCGAGGAGGGGACTGAGCGCGACTGGACGGGCCAGCTTCGGCATTGAGACATGCTTGGGGTGGACTGGCGGGCGGAAGTTGTTGAAGTGGTGGTGGGGATCGATGCTTGGGAGTGATCAACGTTGATGCTGATCTGGTCAGCGCCTTGGCCGATGGCGTTGTTGTTATTGTTGCCGATATAGGCGAGGCCACTGCATTGGCTGCCACAGCTGCACTGCCGCCCCTTCGACTGGAGAAGCTCGTGGCGGACGTGCCTGAGGGTGATCTCCTTTCATCTCGAAGCGTGTGGAGCGTGAATGAGGATGAGACGCTGGACAAGGGCGATGATGAGGGCGGTGGAGGAGGAGAAGGGGAGCAGAGTACCGATGGAAGCCGCAGAGAATGGAGCCCGGGGCGAGGCGGGCCAAGGGAATGGCTGCTCTCGGTCTGGGAATGGAGGGTAGTGCGGACCCGGACTTTGCCGCCAGTGGGGCCGATGCTATCGTAGAGGTCTCGAATCTTCTTGGCAGCATCTGACTTTGTGAGGCGTGCGCTGACTACTCTGCCTACATTGGGACAGCTGCGGGAGGGCGCTAGGCTTACCACGGGTGCAGATAGGGTGTGCACTGGAAGTGGGACCTCCTTGGGAGCCTGTCGTTGTGAGGCTGTGAGAGGAGTAGGGGTCTCCTGCAAGGCTTCACTCTTGCGCTTCAGCCTTCGAGCTCTGGCTTGGTCCCATGCTCTACCAGGGTCTATGTTGGTAGCGGTGATTTGCACCTCGTCTGATGAGAGTGAAGAGGAGGATGAGACTGGGCAGGCAGTGGTAGGAGGTGGGTGTGTGCGATTGGTCATCGTTGGCCTCACCGCTCTGGGCTAAGTATTAGGGGTGACATCTACCGAGACAGTACGCTCTTCAAGAGGACGGACTGTTGGCCTTGTGAGGAGTGGATTCTGCCGAGGATGACGATGATGCTGTTGGTGTTGGTGTTGGTTTGATTGATGTAGCTTCCCCTTTGAGTGAACCTTGGCTTTGCCTTGTCTTCCTTGCGTGCGGGCCACAGTCTTTTCTCCGCGTGGGCGGGGCGCGTGGGGCGTTTGGCTCCGATGGTCGTCTTGCGACTTGGCTTCGGGTGTGTGTGCAACTGATCCCACCCACGCCATTCGTCCTTTGTGTGTGTGTGTATCCCTGCTTATCCCTCCCCTCTTCCTTCACTCACAATGGCCGACGACGACGACCTCTACGACGACCTCTACGCTCCAGACGCCGCGGACCAGCAGCCAGCCGCCGGTGACCCTTCCTCGGACAACCGCGACGACTTTGGCCTAGACGATGAAGCAGTCGGCAGTGGGAATCGTGAAGCAACAGCAGCTGCTACACAGGCAGGTACTTCAGCGGCAGCCATGCCCGATAGCAAGACCTCGGCGGTAGAAGGTAGCAGCAGTACCGGCATCACTGGCGGATCTTCATCTTCTGTAGCCGGCAGCTTCATCCCCCCTTCATCTTCCTCGTCTTCGGCACAGCAGAGATCCTCCTTCATCCCTGCGCCTCAGTCCAAGGCCGGCGGCTCCTCTTTCATCCCTCAGCAGTCTTCGATACAATCTCAGCAGCAGCAGCAGCAACAGCAGTATCAGCCACAGCAGCAGGCTGGCAGTGGGCTTCCCGCCTCGCTCCAGCAGAGGCCTAATCACTTGCCTCAACCTCTGGGACTCGGCGCTGGCAATGCTGCTCACCAGCACAGCGCCAATGGCGGGGCAGCCGGAGGAGGCGGCAACGAAGATGGGTGAGTATCGCATACAGTCGCAGATCAGAGAGGTCAGGGGATCGCACCTCTTGTCCCCTAGCAGTCCCGTCCCTTCGTTCTTTTGTCGCACGTCGTCAGAACCACTGCAACCTCAGCTGCTCTCCGTAGCAGGTCGTTTAGTCGTTGTTCTCTCTTGCACCCAGCCCTTTGCTGAGAGCTGTATCACTCACTGCTATCGCTCTCCTTTTCGCCTTCTCGTCCTCTCTCTTGCGTACAACTCTTATATCGCTCTCTCGTCCTATGCACGGCTCCAATCTTCTCGACGTACACATCACGGAACCTCGATTCGCTCAACGACGACCTCGCTTCTTGGAAAATCTTTCCCATTTGTCGTCTATCGCCATGGCCTCCGCCCTCTCTCCATTCATCGCTCATAGCCAAAAGATGTTTGTCGGTGGACTTAGCTGGGATACCACAGAGGGTGTGTTGGCTGGTTCTCCTCTGCTCAAGACTACTGCGCCAGTGGGCACCGCAATTCGACACTGACCAATACTCTCTATCTGCCCTCCTCGAATTGCAGATTCACTCAGGCAATATTTCTCACAGTTCGGTAAAGTACTCGACTGCAACATCATGAAGGACCCAAACACCGGCACCTCGAGAGGTTTCGGTTTCCTCAAATTCGAGGACGCAAAGGCCGTCAACGGCGTCATGGTCAGGGAACATTGGCTCGACGGAAAGATCGTGAGTGAAAGACGATTGAGTTCAGAAGAACAGACTACCGAGCTGACCTTCTCCACGGCCGTGCGATTTGCAGATCGATCCCAAGCGGGCCATCCCTCGAGACTCCTCGTCCAAGTCGTCCAAGATCTTCGTCGGTGGTATCCCTCCCATCACAACCAGCGAATCGTTCCGTCGCTGCTTCACTCAATTTGGACCAATCCTTGACCACAATCTCATGATGGACAAGGAGACGCAGAAGCCTAGAGGATTTGGATTCGTCACCTTTGAGAGCGAGGACTCTGGCAGGAGAGCTCTGGAGATGGACGGCCAAGTCATCCTTGACGGCAAGAATGTAAGTATCTGACATTCATCGGCAGGGATGGCATTGAGGCTTTGCTGACGTGTGGTACTCCTCTCCCTCTGCAGGTTGACATCCGGCGAGCTACATCAAAGAATGCCCCTGGATCGAACAACAATCAGGACTCGGGCGCTTCCTCCAACAACAACCGTCGCAATAATCAATCCGATCAGTCCGCCACTTCAGACTTCTCCGTAGCCCAAACAGGCATGCAAGGCGGTGGCTTCAACCCCATGATGGCAGCCTCTGGAGCAGGCGGGATGGACGTGAACGCCATGTCCAACCTCTTTGCTCAGAATGGATGGGGCACAGGCCACTGGAACCCAGCCATGATGCAGCAGATGCTCATGACTGCTGCGGCCCAAGGTGGCGGCGCAGCTGGAGGTGGCAACCAGTGGAACCCGATGATGATGGGCATGGGCGGTATGGGAATGGGAGGCATGGGTATGGGAATGGGTATGAACCCCATGATGGGCGGCTATGGCGGCATGGGCGGGATGGACAACAGTCAGTGGATGGGCGGAGGCGGTCAAGGCTACGGTGGCGGCGCCGCAGGCGGCGGCTATGGGCAACAGCAACAACGCGGCGCAGGAAACTACGGCGGTATGAACCGGGGCGGATCTGCAGGAGCCATGGGCCAAGGCGCAGCGCAGCAAGGATACCAACGCAACACTACCTCTCGAGCTACACCTACTGGGCCCTCAGGCCAGGGTCTACCCGCTCGCAGTGGCCTGCCCCTCCGACCCTCGCCGGCAGCTGGCGGCAGTGCTGGTGCGAGGAGTCCCGCAGGTGCCAGTGCAGCAGGGGATGGAGCTCGGGGCAGGGATGTCAGTGGGAGCTCCAGTGTAGCCGCTGACCCTTGGAAGAGGGAGAGGAGCCCTTCCCGTCGGGCTGCTGGAGGTGGAGGTGGGGGTGCGTACGAGGACAGGCCGGTGAGGTGAGGTGAGTCGAGGCAAGCTAAGCTAGGCTCAGCTGAGGCGAAGCGGCACTCGCATTCGCAAGGGGAATGGGACGGAGAGGTTCGATTCTTCATGTACACCGTCGTCCATTCAGCTGGCTCATGTTGCTTCATCCAATGGAACTCGTGCTCATTGTTGATGCAGCAGGTGCGGTTCTGGAGAGTCGAAAGTAGAAGGTATGCGTGCTTACATTGAGGAGTGGGATGTGGATACAGTGTCAAAGGTTGGTACAGCAATCTCGAGAGTGGTGTGAAAGGGAGCAAAGGTCGAGAGCTGGCAGAGGATGCAATGTGAGAGGCTAGAAGGCAGATCCCACCAGCTGGTGAAGAGCAGCTCCAGTGTGGGTCGAGATGTTAGGCGAGCCATCTAGCATCTCACGTTTGCCGTCTAGGATGGCGAGGGTCTCTTCGACAGCATCTGGTTGAATCTGATTCAGGACAGAGCCTCTCTTGTGGAGGGTACCGGTTTGGGCGTGGGACGCTCGCTTTGCTGGAAGGGCAGTCAGAGTCGACAACGTCCGGGGCAGAACGCTGTAAGAGCCGTGGCGTAGCGGTCGCCCACTGTCATGTCTCGCATCAACAACAGGCGATGTCACAGAAACATGCGTCCAGTCGGGCGATTGCGGAGGTGAGTAGCACATGTAGCCTCCCAGGCTCAGCGGTGGAGAGAGCAGACCTGAGCTTTCTTTGGAGCGAGAGGTTGAGCTGCTAGAGACGGAGGAGCGTGCGAGCTTTAGCAGACTCAAGCCCAGTGACGTCGGTGTGGACCAAAGCTCTGCTTTTGGGTCAGAGCCCGCAAGGTCAGTATCACGATGGGCCCTGCCCAGCAGCAAAGGACGTGGAGCACCTGGACTGCTAGGGCTGGTGCAGCCCGAAGTGCCCGAAGCCTTTTTGCTCAGCAGGAAAGGTCGCGGTACGAAAGAAGACCGAGCCGGTACGGAAGACACTGGTCCAGATACCAAAGCACCGTGGCTGCGCGATGATGGCATTACTTGAAGGTCTTCGAGGTGCCTCTCAGCGCTTGTTGAGACCCGACGGGGCGGGAAGATGATTTTCAGAGTAGCGGGAGCCTGCTGCTTAGATCCTTTGACCCTGGCCGATTTGAGCGAGCTAGACAGCAACGACAGTGAAGACGCTGGCTTCTGGACAGCCTCAGGCTTCTGATCGACCTCTGAGTCCCGCTGTTCTGACACGATGACTTGCGAACATTCGATGTTGCGAGCCAGATCGTGTTGCACCGCAGGCTGATCACCATCGTCGCTGGGAGTAGTCAGAGCAAAGCAAGATAGCTCAACGACTTCGAGGGATGTGTCAAAGCTCTCGGTTTCAGGTGCAGGCCACTTTGGGTCCGCAACAGCAAAGGCTGAATGCGTGCCTGGGCCAAAGGTGTTGCTTGACCTCAGATGGCATCTGCCAGCTGCTTGGACAGTGTAGGCAAGGTCTTGGGAGTCGCTGCACCCTTGAAGCTCCAGCTGGCCGTCGTTGGTGGGTGTGCCGAACTTGCAATGGTTGCCTGTGTCTTCCTCGTCGTCTTCGAGGTCACCGGCAGACCTGTCTAAAGTGATGTCAGTCCGACTTGTGTCTATAAGCGGCGACGGAGCAACGGCAGGCCAACGTCGTAGGTACCTCGGTGTAACGTTTTGTTCAGCGTGGCCATTGAGATGCAAGGCGGTCACGTTGGGGAGCTCAACAGTATCGCTTTTGTTGACATCGTCAAAGAAAGTGTTGGAGTCTATTTCGATGATGTCTTGATCCGTGAGCTGGATGCGTCCACTAATCTGCCTGGTCCGGCCACGTGAAGCCTGAGCAGCGTACCCTGCGTCGGACAGAGTGGAGCTGGAGGTGGGCATGACTTGCCGCCAATTAAGCATCGAGGATGATCTGGAGAGTGCCTGTGGCCATTGACTTGGTGCTCCTGCTGGTGCAGAGTCCCTGAGCCTAGCATAAGGTAGCTCGCTATCCTCCAAGCTATCGATGGAAGGCCGTCGAGGAGGACCGCGGGTCCGCGCGCTGGTCTCATCGGCTTTGGCAATACGGACGACCGAGCGCCGAAGCTTGCGAAGTGGTGAGGGACTCTCCTCCTTGGCTTGAGACGAAGGCGGGGGATAGCGAGGCTTTAAGCCACCAGGGGATGAAGGTGGCATCCAGAAGGGTCTCTGAGCAAGAGGCTGAGGGAAAGCTGCCAAATCCGTGCTTTCGTCGCCGAAACGATCCATGTTAATCGCCAGAGGAAACACCAATGGCGAGTGATCTACATCCGATGTGACTTCGCCTGGCCAGTTGTTCCAGTCGGGACGCTCAGTGGGTGTCAAGGCCCCCGGTGTAGCGGCAGAAGGAGCAGGGCAGGGCGCTGCTAGTCCTCCATAGTCATCGAGGAGGACGGTGGCCTTTTCGTGAGAAACGATGGAGTCTATTTGACGCTGGAATGTGCGGATAGTGATGGGCTTGCGTGCCTTTGACTTGTGATACCGTCTTCGGAGAGAGACAAAAGCAACGGGTATATGACGTGGAGAAGAGGCAGGATAGGCACGGGTTGAGGTCCTGCGACCAAGAGGCGACTTGGCACGCCGAACAGGAGAGCTGTACAGGGTAGCAGACAGCATGGCGAAGAGGCAGTGCAAGGGATAGAGAAGGAGGAGCTGAGAGTGGCGGTGAGGCGTTCCCTCAGTATGCCAAGAATGAGGGCAGATGATGACAAGGCTACTCAAGATGCTGTTGATGCTGGTGGGCCGCGGGAGAAGCGTATGGTAAAGGAGTGTGGTGCGTAGGGCGATGGTTGTGCGATTAGGAGATATGAAAGGAGGAGCGGGTAGTACTGGGAGACAAGGTAAGAAGGTGACGTCGAAAATACCATTTGCTGCTGCTATCAAGCGGGGGTCAGGGCCACGGCAAGCGGCAACGGCGCTACCATTCGCCGCGGAGAGGTACTCGGCCAAAGTCCGGCGGCTTTCGTTCGGACTGATCTGCGTGTGACATGGTCCGCGAGACCATTGTGCTCTCCAAGGGATGGTATTGTATCGCCTCTACACATTCACTTGGACCATGTCGTTCTTGCTTTCCTGCTGTCTGAGCAGTTCCCAGTGAGGAGCGCCAGGATGTCCCTTTGCTTAGGGTCACCTGGGTGTTGTTTCGGAGTCTGAAATTGCACTGCACCCTTGTCACATTTCTCCCTCGGCTGCCTTCTCTTCCCGCAGAGACCAACACCTTCGTAGATCTTGTCCTCCTCCTCGCACTCCGATTGTACGAAGCACTCTCATTGCTGTCAGCGCTTCCTTCCACACCATGGCATCAGCCTCTGGTCTGGCCAGCGATGCCTGGGTTGGCTGCAGCGCCTGGTGGGGGGCCCCTCCCGCCTCGGCAGCTGCGCCTCCCACCCCGCCTCCGCTTCCTACACATCCTCATCCCATGACTGCCTCGCTGCGTTCACCCCTCGAAGCTTCCGAGTCCTCCCCTTCCCTCTTCAACTTCCCCGCTCTGCAATCAGTCCTGGATGAGGTCTACCACCATGCCTTTGCCACGCCACTAGGTACAGCCATCACTGGCGCAATTGTCAGCTCCGGCTCATTGATCATCTACTGGAGATACTTCCGCAGACTCAAGAGCGCAGACTACATCACACCGAGGGAGCTAAAGTGGCGGAGCGCATTGGTGGGGAAAGTGACGCAGTGAGTGTCTATAGAAAGGAGAAAGAGGCGAGCCGAGACTGACAACCCCCCCCTCCTCTGTCTCTCATCCAGTGTGGGAGATGCTGATGGCTTCCGCTTGGTGAGGGCTCAGTGGCTAGAACTCGGCTCCTGCAGGACTCTCGATCTGATACCAAGCCCTCTTTCCCCCTTCGCCCTGACCAGTACCACCAACCCGGCCCACCTCTCATCCGCAACCTCCTCTATCCAGTCCCAACAACCGCAAAGGCCCTCAAAGACCAGACCATCTCTGTGCGTCTGGCGGGGGCAGACGCACCAGAGTCGGCTCACTTTGGCAAGGTGGAGCAGCCCTTTGCAAAGGAGGCTAGAGCGTTGCTGGTCAAGCTTGTAGAGGGAAAGAGGGTGCGATGTGAGGTGAGTTCTTGAGCGGAGCAGCTCGCCAGAGCTCAGGGGCCTTAAAGGAACGCAGCTCACGGCCTACCCTATCGTTCTCCTCCCACTGCCTGTCCCCCTCCACAGGTAGCTCACATTGACCAGTACAAACGCGTAGTAGCCACTCCTTACGTCTGGGCCTTTCCCTACATCTTCGGACCTACCAACGTCTCCCTCGCCCTGGTCCAAGCGGGCTTAGCAACTGTATACCGGCAGTCGGGCGCAGCGTATGGTACGGCTGGCTTCTTCTCGAGGGTGCTGCTCAATGACCCCAATGGGCTAGGCAGGCTGGAGAGAGCAGAGAAGTTTGCTAGGTGAGCACGGAACTCTCGAGGGGTACCTCGCGCAGATGAGAGGAAGCTGACAATCTGTCCATCTACTCTTACGCACAGGCTGAGGAAGAAGGGCATCTGGAGTCTCGGCAAGAAGTTCGTTTCACCGGAAGAGTACAAGAAGAAGATGAAGGCGTCGAGTTGATGCTCAGGTCTCGACTGAGAATACGTTTGGCGATTGGCGTTTGAAGACATGTACATTGCACGAGGACCTTAGTAGGACAATGAATGATACCCGTACACCGCAATATGACTATTCCATACAATTGCTTCCTCGCCTTGCATCAGTCTCCAATAGCCTTCAGCAGTCGAGCCAATCTCCTCCTCCCCTCTTCTCGATCAACCCTAGGCCGCTTACTGGCAGGACTGCCATCATCAGTATTCAGCTCACGGCCTACCGGGCTCACCGCTTTCCTCTTTTGACCCTCTGTGACATCTCTACCAGAAGCTGGTGCGGGCTTGCGATCTGTAGCTGTGGCCAGCACTGGAGCGCTGGTACTCGTAGCAGGCCGCTTGGCCGGAGACCGCAACAGCGCAGGCGCAGGCACAGCACTGAGTTGTCCAGAGCGAGTCGCCTGCTTTGCCAGGATAGGAGGTCTGCGTTCGCCGGCAGTCTGAGCGTGCTGCAACAGCTCACCGACAAACTTGCCCAGTGGCCTGAGCTCCTTCTGCCCCCTTCCGGCCTGTTCGATGCTGCGTTCGCCTCTGTGAGGACGAGGCTCGGCCCACGAGTCTGCTTCAGTCTCTGCTGAGTGATCAGCCGAGGTGTCCCAGCTATCGTCTGCGTTTTCTTCGTACCGGCCGCCAGCGGCTTGTGCTGACCTCCTCTGCTCTGCTAGCCATGCCTGCTCTTGCCTGATCTCCTCTTGGTCTTCGCAAAGAAGGCGATAATCCTCGTCCAGATCCGCACGGCTAGCTTGCGGGCCATCAGCGGTGGCTGCTGCCTGCACCATGCTCTCACCGGATTCGGTCGCAGACGACTCGTTGCTATTATTGCCAGTAGAGAGCTCAGTGGATCCAGCATTGTGGCGCATGCGCTTCAGTGCTTCGAGAGTCGAGATGCCTGGTTGAACGGACAGCAGACGTGGCGCTTGCTTTGCTGGCACTGCTACGGCCGCTAGCTTTTGATGACGTGGCGAAGGAGGGCCAGCAACGGCTGCCGCGCTGGATACCTGAGCATGGGTGACTGCATTGGCCCGAACAGCGACTTGAGATGACGCCACTGCTGGCTGCGACAGGATCACGGAGTCTTCACTGATCTCAATTACCTCATTGGCTCCCTTGGCCGAGCCTGACGAGGTGATCTCGATGGGAGTCTCAGTCTCGGTGTGGCTCGGTACATCCCTCTCAGTCTGTCGTACACCTAAGAGGATCGGTGCAGATGACTCATCGCCACTGTCTTGTATGCTTTGCTCTTCAACGATACCTTCTACAGATGCCTGATCCGCTGGATTGGCAGTATCAGGGCTGCTCGGTCTTCTTGAGCTGGCTGAATTGTTGAGCTGTGCTGGTACCTCAGCAGCTGAACGTCTCTGTGAGTCGTCTTCCTCTTCAAGCAGTATTTGCTGTGGAGGCCGCCTGATCGTCTGGGAGCGTTGACCAGTGGATCGAGGCAACTCCTCATCGGACTCGCTCTCTTGCTCCTGGATGATGGAGCGAGTTAGTGCGCGAGCATGCTCGCGGGAAGATCGACTGGGTAGTGCATGGTACGTCTGGCGTCTACTGCTTCGAAGGGTAGTTGAGGCCTCATCAGAGCCGCTCGAGATTGTTTGCCTGCCTGTCTTGTGCTTGTGCTTGTCCGTTCGAGGTCTACCTCTCTTCCGCCTGATCGGTACGGGAAGGGCGCTCTTTGGTCGCCAAGACTCATCCTCCTCCTCCACACGTGCCTTTGAGAACACTAAGCGACTTTGACGATCCTTGCCTAGACCTTGCTTGTTCACCGAGAGTGTTGACTTCGACGGGGTATAGGAGGCAGATTTGCCGGGTGCGGAGGTGACCTTGATTTGACCAGCAGTGTGAGGTGTCTTGAGGGACAAGGTCGAGGTGGAAGCGACTGGCTCTTCGCTTCCCTCATCAGAATCCGAGGCTAGACGGGGCGTGGACGACGATCTCTGCTGCCAGGCACTGTCTTTCCGGACTGACCCTGGCACTCGCCCATCGTACACTAGGGTCGAGGTCCCCCGCCTCTTGGGCGCCGGAGGAAGCATGATCTGTATGATTTGACGTACAGCTGGCCTACGCCTACAAGGTATGCCCGAAGCCAACTCGGACCGGCGACGAGAATCATCGAGGATCGGCGGTCGAATCTCGGCTGCTCGCCACACAGCCGCCGAAGGGTCACCAAATGAATTTTTGTGGGTTGAATCAGCCGAATGAGACGCCATGGGTTGTTCTGATGCCCTTGCATTGTCGTGCTGGTCTCTATCAGGGCTCTGGGACAAGCTGTCCGCTGTTTGCGTGCTTCGCTCGACCTCCAGTGCGTCTTCATCGATGGACATGTCTTGCTGTCTGCGCTGTAGAGAGAAAGTCTCGTCGGCGGTGTCGAAGAGCTCCTTGGCTGTTTCCTGTTCGCCATGTGATGGCCCGTCTTCGAACACGGCGTCTACGTCGCCGTGCTGGAGGCCGGCCTGTGTCCGAGCAGAAGCAGGGAGCAGACCGACTGCGCCTGCGTCTTGTGGCAATGAGGCTTTGTCGCCATCACCTGGTAAGGACGGCGCGGGACTGTTCAGCAGAAACGGGAGGCTCTCATCGACATCGACCATGGAAACTCCTGGCGGGAGTGCTTGATGGATATCCTCGACTGGTGAAGGCTTGCGGCTTGAAGTCGACTTGCCTTGGTCTTCCCAGCTTCCACCGGGATTGACAGCCACACTCCAACCAGCTTCGACGCGTGGCACTGGTGAGCTTGAGGCAGCCGAACCTTCATGATCTGATGCGTCGGACGCCGAGGCTTGACTCATGTCAACTGAGGAAGCGATCGCACCAGCAGCGATCCATCTGAGCGGATTGTCCTTCCCCGGAGTCTCTGCGGAGGCTGTGAACGTTGGGCTTCGCTGTAGTCTCTCATCGTGAGCATCGTCTGCTCGTTGCGCAGGAGTAAAGAGCTGGCTCAAAGGAGTTGGAGTGTTCTTGGTATGGGCTTGGACCGGCCCGTAGACGGGAGAATCGTCCTCGTCCATTTGATCATGAGACGGGGCCACGCCGTCAGGCCGTAGAACGTACGTCGCTCGCTGCGTGAGGGGCACAGTGAGTATGTCTGCCGTAAGGTCCGCCTGTGCCCGAGGGTTTCCGAATGCGCTTTCAGAGGCAGCTTGAGAGGCGTTGGACTGGCTCTGGGTCTGACTGTCGCTTAGTGCTACGCTAGAGGCATCAGCTCCTGCTGAAGGTGTGAATGGTACGGTGGGTTGACGTGGCAGAGCGTCCCACACAGGAACAGAGTCTTGACTCTCCAGCACTGAGAGTCCGAAGCTGCCCCAACTGGGACGGTCTCCAGGGGTACCTCCCGTGTGGCGTCGGATATTTGGGCCCGAGGCATTGCCGTCGGTCGAGGGGCTCTTCACGCACCCGTTTGTAGCTGATGGAGGCTCGAACATGTCAGGAGATGTAGTCTCTGGCTCTTTGTCTAGCAGAGCAGACACGCAAGAAGACGCGAAAGGGCTGCTCGCGTTGGGAATCGCGTCTACCTCTGCCTCTGGTGCCGCCGCGGATAGAGATTGAAGCAATGGTTCCCCTGATGCAGGGTCGGCAAAGCCTGGAGCATCGAACTTAATGGAGGAGGCTGTAGCTTGTTGTTTCTCAGTAGGCAGAAGCGGATCTTTGCCACACGCGGATAGCTCCGGAAGTCTCGAGTCTTGGGCTGTAGCTGCTGATCGTGAACCGAAACCCCAATGCACTTGAGGGAGGCTATTTGCAGAGGTCGGAAGGGCTGCCCGGCTGGTGGTACGCGGTGCCGTCATTTCTGCTCCGCGGTTGATAAAACCCAGCGTTACGAGACCTTCCTCGGAAGTGGAAGCAGTGTGATGAGGATGAAGTAGGCCTACACGGCTTCCTTCGGCATTGTCACTGTGAGCCGAGTGGTCCTTCTGCCCATCTGTTCGGCTGGAGGTCGATGGGAGCGCAGGCGGGGGTGACGCTTCTAGCAGTACGCCCTCTTTGGCCTTCTGTATCATCTTGGATACCTGAGCGAGGCGATTGAGCGGCTCATGATGCGCATCGACGACTTGGGACGATGGGGGCGATGCGGATCGAGGAACGCGAGAAGGAGAAGGAGGTGGGGGAGACACTGCCTCCATGGCGATCGCACGGCTCGTGGGCAGATCGCGTAGGGACGAGCAGACTGCTTTTCAGCTGCAGTAGAGATGTTGCTCGGGGCTCTTAAGGAATCTTCGTACAGGCCATGGGGTGCGAGCGAGGGTACGGGCAAGTACAAGTCATCCTGGGTAGCCACCACTGGTACGCCCTTCAGCTTCTGCCAATTTCCCCACTTCCGTCCAGACGCGTTCCACTTTCACACTCCGCTCCGCCCGTCTTTCGCTCCACCCGAGATCCGGTCCGAAAAGAGTCCGAGGAAGGACCGGCTGTCCTCTCCGCACCTCACCTTCGTGGCACAGCACAGCAGCCTTTCTTCTCATACTGTGCCAGGCGATCGCTTCACCCCTCTCATCAAAGCCATGCCATCAGTGGCTGACAAGCAAGACTTACCTTCGTCTCCCTCGCGGCGGCGGCAGGTTACCTTTGTTGCAGCCCAGGCGCAGCCCATACACGAGTCGCAGCACCTCCCACAGACCATCGATGGTCGTGGCCACATCGCCCTCTTGCCATCGCAGCTCTGGGACAAGCTCTTTGCAGACCATGATGATGTTGATGTATCTGCGCAATCTTCGTCCTCCTCCACTCCGGCACATCAAGCAACCGTGATAGCTGTGCAATTCCCGCATGTGCAGCAAGCAGGTAGAAGAAAGGGAGCATCGGAGACTCAGGCAGGTCGCACCTTCCTCTACTCGGCCTACAGAAGCCAAGACGGCGATGAGGAGCAGCCTCGATACATTTCCCTCTCATGGATGCCGGACCTGTCTGAGTCCTCGCCCATATCCGTAAGGATAGCTGCCCATTTACCCCTCCCGCTTTCTAGCATCATCCTCGCAACCGCCGACAATGACCTCCTCGAGGCAGCCCAGAACTCCGACTCGACTTTTGGTCAGGACATTGCTGGAGCTCTCGTTAGACAAAGCGAATATGTGTACTTGCCTCAAGGTAGGGCCCGATTAGTTCAGACGGAGCCCACGCTTCAAGGCATCATCACACAGGACACCAGCATCCTCGTGGTGTATGATGGAGAGGAAGCGTCTGCAGAACAGGATCTGGACGTTGACGGCCTTGAGGGACTGCATCAAGCTCAAATGTCAGAGGGCGAAGCCGAGCTCTCTATAGATGAGCGGTTCCTCGCTGGTTCTGTACTGGAAGACTTTGAAGAATACGCTGAGCAAGCAGGAGAAGCAGCGGAGCTCGCCGCCCACGCCTCTGCCGCTACATCAACGCTCCCAGTAATCGTCATCCAGAACCCAGAGGTCTTGAGAGCATCTATTGAATCTTGGAGAGAAGGGCAACGGCAGCTGGGCGCCCAAGAAGATACCGAGATCGATGAAGAGAGCGCTGTGCTGCTGGCAGAGAAGGGGCTGGCCAGTATAGGAGGCTTCAACGGGGATTGGGTGAGTCATCATCTCTGATCACCGCGAAAGGTCTTCTGCTAAAGTCGTCTGCTCGAATACCCACCTCTACAGGCCATCGCCGAGCTGATAGGCAGCTCAAAGCCCAGACTTGTGCGTCTCTTCTGCTACACTCCCTCGACCACTCACGCAGCATCGCAAGCCTACGTACCACCATCACTGCTACAAAACCTTCAACAATCCCCTGCCGACTTCGATCCGTTTCCTCATACTCCTCCTCGGATAAGACTCGCCCCTATCCCGGCGTCCCGCTCACCCGAGTCATCCATCAGTAACACACCCCTGCACTGCCCTCTGCCGATTCCGTTTGCGGATGCCCTCACCATCGCCAGAGTACCTTCAGCTCTCTCGTCCAACCGCAAGTATCAGACGCTCTTCCTCGATGCACTCAAGGGCTACTTCGAAGGTCGCAAGAGGATCGTCAAAGAGGGGGACATCATTGCAGTAGGCGTGGTGAAAGGCAAGGTCAGATGGGTCCGCAACAAAGGCGGAGCCGAGGAAGGCAGCGAGAAGAAGCAGACAGAGGGGCAGGGTGAGAGGGATGGAGATGTGGCAGATGCAGAGCTGATTGATTATAGGTGAGAAGAGAAGATGATGAGAGCGGAGAGCTGGGATCTTTTACTGACTATCGTCCCACTTCTCCAGTCTGCCACTCTCCTCATCAGCTGGCAGCGAAGACGCTTCTACTTCAACCTTGCCACTTCAGCCGGACGGCGTAGTCCACTTCCTTGTCAGCTCCCTTGTGCCAGAACTCGCTGTCCCCTCTTCTGTCGAATCAGCCAGTGAGAATGTGCGGCCGGAAGACCTGGAGATTCGCGAGCATGCCCGCAGAGGACTATTGGGAGCTGTCGTAGACCCTATCTTGACCAAGATGGTGCAGACAGGCATTGTAGGCAGCCGGATAGGGGACTGGGACGGGTGGCTTGATGTTCAGTCTACACTACCGGATCTGCCTTCCCCTGGACAGGTCAGCCCCTTGACGAGCCCATCGGCGCCTTTCGGAAGGGTCGTACAGCTGCTCGAGGCTACTCTGCTCCCTCAGGCAGGCAGCTACGGGCTTCATCTGACAGTCTTGCTGAAAGGAGCCAGAGGCAGCGGCAAGAAGACGATCGCTCGGTGGATCGCCAAGCAAGTAGGGGTCCACCTTATCGAGATCAACTGCTTCGACATCCTAGGAGATTCAGATACCCAGACAGAGGGCGTCCTGCGAGCACGGATGGAGACTGCCGCCTCGTGTGGTCCGGCGATCGTGCTTCTGCAGAACATCGATGCGCTAGCCCGCAAGAGCCAGGCTATGGAGACTGGGCAGGAGCCAGCTATGAGCCATGTTCTGCGCAGCTGTGTTGAGAAGCTCAGGGGGACCATGGGTCAGGGTCATCGCCCAGTGGCCGTGTTTGGGACTACGAGCGATCCGGACAAGTGCCCGAATGGTATCTTGGCCACCTTCAAGCACGAGATTAGCATTGATGTGAGTAAGCGCATGAGAATTCACAGAAAGGCCTCTAGCTGATGCGATCTTCTTCACCATTCACTCTCAAACATCCTCAGGCACCTAACGAGGCTGAGCGACTGCAGATCTTAACCACCTCCGTGAGCCAGTCCGGCCTGATACTAGGCCCAGATGTCAGTCTGAAAGACGTCGCAACACAGACGGCCGCCTTAGTCGCTGCCGACCTAGTAGACCTCGTCGCTCGAGCCCGCCTAGCCAGCATCGAACGTGTCCGCAAAGCCTTTGGTTTCCTCCCCCATCCTCCCACGGAGGAAGATCTAGCCACCTCTGGCATCTGCCTGACAGGAGCCGACTTTGATTCTGCCCTTCGCAAAGCACGCAGCAACTACAGTGAATCCATTGGGGCACCCAAGATTCCCAATGTCACATGGGACGATGTTGGTGGTCTCGCAAGCGTCAAGAGCGATATCCTCGATACCATCCAGCTTCCTCTAGAACACCCGGAACTCTTCACCGACGGGCTCAAGAAGCGGTCCGGTATCCTGCTGTATGGCCCACCTGGGACGGGAAAGACGCTACTGGCAAAGGCGGTTGCTACTTCTTGCTCGCTCAACTTCTTCTCCGTCAAAGGACCAGAGCTGCTGAACATGTACATCGGAGAGTCAGAGGCGAATGTGCGAAGGGTCTTCCAGCGGGCGAGGGACGCGAAGCCCTGTGTCATCTTCTTCGATGAGCTGGATAGTGTGGCTCCCAAGCGAGGCAATCAGGGAGATAGTGGTGGTGTTATGGACCGAATCGTCAGTCAGCTGCTCGCTGAGCTCGATGGAATGGCAGGTGGTAAAGAAGGGACGGATGTCTTTGTCATTGGGGCTACCAATCGTCCCGACTTGCTCGACCCAGCATTACTACGACCAGGAAGGTGAGTCAGATATCACGGATGGCAGACTAGTGCAAGAGAGGGCATGCATTGACAATAGTACCACTACATCTTCTCCTGTGCTACAGATTCGACCGTCTCCTCTACCTCTCCGTATCCGAGACGCACGCTGCCCAGCTCAACATCCTGCAAGCTCTCACCAGGAAGTTCAAGCTGGATCCTGACCTAGGCGACCTGTCTATCATCGCAGAGCGCTGTCCCTTCAACCTGACTGGAGCAGACTTCTATGCATTGTGCAGTGATGCTATGCTCAAGGCTATGACGAGAAAGGCGGGCGAAGTGGATGATCAGATTGGTGAGTGGGATCAGAGAGACGAGCAGAGGAAGGAGGATTTCATCGACTAACTCACTCTCATTGCCTTTGCTTCTCTCCAGCCCGTTTGAATGCCTCTGGCCCTCCTTCATCGTCCTCGCCCCATCCATACCCCATCACGCCTCAGTACTACCTCTCTGAGCTGGCCACTCCAGCCGAGATCGAAGTGAGGGTGAAGCGCGAAGACTTCGAGGCCGCCTTGAGGGAGCTGAGCCCGAGTGTGAGCGAAAAGGAGATGGAACACTATCGTAGCGTCCAGCAGCAGTTCTCTGGGCCTGCCAAAGGAGAGGAAGGCAAGGCAGAAAATGCTCGCGCTGATGTGGGTGACGAAGATGCCCAGACGAGGATGATCGAAGAGATGATGAAGAGGGCTGGCCTTTCCAATGGATCGTCTGAGGGTGGTGCATACATCCTAGACGAGCAGGACGAGGAGGAGGAGCAAGCGATCAGCACTGCATCCAAAGGCAAAGGCAAGGCGAGAGCTCGCCCAGATGGCATCGAAACAACTCACTTGGAGAATATTGGGCAAGGCAGCAGCGGGACTGGGGAGCTCCTTCCACCATTGGAGGCTGAAAGACCGCAGAGCAATGGCAGTGGCCCAGCCATGACCAAGGATGCCATCGAAGGGCCTCCCTCTACCGTGGGTAATGAGGCGGATGGCCCAAGTGGGGAAACACAGCCTGTCCCGAACGGTAGTGGTCAAGGGGGGAAAGGAAAGAGCAAAGGCAAGGATAAGGGGAAAGGCAAAGCAAGAGCATGAGTGTCAGCGGGACGTTCCTCTGTAGTCATGCTGTACTGGCAGCGCTCTGCTTCACCATCTTTGTGGAATTGGATAGCATCGTATATTCTTGCTCTCACTCACGGCATGCCAATTGGAAGATCCGTCACCCGTTACCCCACCCTGGCCAAGGGTCTGGCCTGTACGCATCTCAGAGATCTCCTCCCGCCTATGGTCTGCGAAGCAACGGCCTGCGTTGAGGGGCTAAGAAAGTGGACCATTGACAGTCAGCGCCAGTCTCACAAGGCGCCTCTACTGGACCTCTCGTCAGTCACAGAGGGGCGTACACTCACCTTCTCCGCAGGATGTCCAACCCTATGGCTAGCACTGGGAAGGTGCTCTAGGCTTGCTCCCTCCAACGACTCGAGACTGAGTCAGAGCAGCATCGAGAGAGGTGAATGGCTTCGCTCAGGGGCTGTTGCCGAAGGCGTTCGCCATCAATCCTATAGGGTGTTCCTCTCCTCTCCGAGCGCTCGCTGTGTCGATGACCCCATATAGGGAAGAAGGAACGATTCTGCCTGTCAGCCAAGATTGTTCGAGCCTGTCTCATAGATTGCAGTCCTAGCGCCTGTGGTGAGACAAGCCCCACATCTCCGTGTCTCACCTCTCGGCGGGACTCACTCAGCTGGTGCCCTTGCAGTATCGAAGCAGGTCGTTGCACCTCGTAGCCGGTCCTGATGGCTTATGAGCTCTGCCAGTCTGCTGCTGAACGACTCTGACCTGCTTGAATCTCTCGAATGGAGCCTGTGTGGGTGCTACCCCATGATGGTAGCCCCCCTGCTAGGCGATTTCTGGGCGTGGCGGAGGTGGAAAAGTGGTGAGACATAGAAGAGGTATCGACAGGGCGGGTATATCGACACTACTCTAGTGTGTGATGGTGCTCACCATCGAGGCAGGATGGTGGTAGGCGGGGGGAGCTAGCGGCTCGAGGCTGTCAGGGCGGGCGGAAATTGCGAGGTGTGGTACGGAAGCGGGCGGATCGGGCAGGGCCGCGATACAGTGCCAGAGCAACGGGGCGGGGGCGGGCAGAAACGAGCTTCCAGGCACACAGACCCCGCTTCAGAGATGGCACAGGGTGCGGGCGAGAGAGACTATCCCTCGTCCGCACGACACACACACACACACGCAGGTGCAGGCATCCCAATGCTTGGGTGCTTACTGACTCACACACTCTGGCTGTCACTCCGGCCGTCGATCAGTGCTGGGCCATCAGCGATCACGACGAGAATGGATACGATCAGCGTCAGCTTTTTGGAAACAGCCAAATGGCGTCAGGAATCAGCGGTTGATGCACCGACGGAATTTCTTGCACGGCGATCAGTGCGAACGGCGATTCTCATCAAGCATGCGCCTGACTAAAAGCTGGAATGGAAACGGCGGGGCTGATTCGCCGGGAAACCCACGACAAAAGAATCCAAGAAGTAGGCGGATAAGCGGGGCGCGAAGCAACCAAGAATCAGTAGCGATCAGCCAACCAACAGACCATCAGCAGACGAAGATTCCACCCGCACTCCAGCCAGCCAGCCAGCGCCTGGCAGAGACTAAGGGGCCAGCCAGACTCCAGGCTGCTACCCGCAAAGGGCGAAGAGGCAGAGAGGTATATAGTCGACCCCCCTGGACCGTTTCTGTTTTGCCCTTCTCCCTCATCATCCACATCTCTACACCGCCTATCCAGACCTCTCCCCAATCCTACTTCTCCAACCTCACCACCAAGACAAGGGTAAGTTCTGAGTCTCCAGGGACGCCCGGAAGATAGTCTGGTGAGATGGTCCCCCGAAGGCAGTAGGCGGGTGCTCCCGCCTGCGAGTCTCCTCATCCACAGCAGGAAGGGTCATGCACTTCAAGGAGCTGAGTCAGCAGTAGTCACGATACTCTGGCGGTGATAAAGAGGGGCCCATCGAGCCACGAGCACGCTGTCTTGTACTCAGCATCAGGCATCCAGGCCGGAGAGTTCGAGCCCTAGAAGCGCGCCTGTTGATTCGTTGACAAGTGCCATGCTTGCCATTCAAGGCCGAGGGCTGAGGTGGATAGCTCAGCTAGACTCCATAGCCCTCCAAACAGCTGATTAGCCCACAGTAGACGTGACCTGCTGTCTGGCGATGGTGGCATAATCGTTTCGATCCTGTGACCGATTGTACTGACTGAAAGATCTTCTTACTTCTTTTCTTCCTGCCCCCCATACATCTTCGTATTCGGCCCACGACCACCCTTGCGAAATGCGACATTGGACTCTGCAACATTGGACTCGCTGGTCGTTACCAGCTGCCTTCGTAAGTCTGGCTCCCCACCAGCCCATTCCATTGACCCTGCTCTAGCTCTAGCTGTTCGCGCCTCATACTGCAGCATTTTGACGACTTCTTCTACCTGCTCCGTCTATGTCTTTGTAATGTTCTGTTCTTCTCATTAATGATACGCTTCAGTACAACAAGCATATGTTATCAGGGTGTTGTGTCGGTGTGATGATAGGGCACTCAGCTCAATCTTACGCTGTGTGCCGACTTCTGTACAGGTTCATCTGCCTTGCTTTTGTCCTTCGGTTCCTCGCTGCTCCTCCGAGCATCCTGTACCTTCCTCAGCGGTCAATACTTTCTTCCCAGTTCCATCTTCTCCAAGGAAGTATCCATCGAGCAACAACTGACAACGGCCCCAATCACCCTCAAGTGCCGGGCTCTTCTCCTTTCAACCCCGCTTCCTGCCACACTGTATGCGCTCCGCTCCACGTCTCGCACGGGAGATTGTCCCAGCAGGCGGCCGTGCGCGATACTTGCCTTCAGGGCAGCACCCCTGGGCCCGAGCTACAGTCAGAGTGCATGCTGAGCACCCGCACGATGTCAAGGAGGAGATATTCCAGGGGAATCAGATCGAAAGCAGCCTCACGGACATGGGGAAGAAAACCCACAAGCCGATCACAGCCACAGAACTACTGTCGAGGGCGTGGTGAGCTCAGCGGGGTGAGGGTGAGGACCCTACGCACGGTGTCCACAGGCCTACAGTCAAGGGGGTTAGGCTGAGGCTGATCAAGCAGGACTGAGGCACTGGAGCAGCCGCGCCGGAGAAACAGTCCCGAACAGCCATCGACCATGAGTCGTCAGAGCAACCCAAGCCCTGCCCGCCCGTACAGTCGGCCAGTGCCTGGCACTGGCTCAGTGACATGTCGCTCGGTCAGCCAGAACGGAGGCCAGGGCAAGAGCAATGGCGGACAGGCGGGGGCCTATATAGTCGCCCCTCCCCCCTCCCCCCTCGGACGTTTCTCCTTTCCCCCTCTCTCTCAACACACACAGCCCTTTTCAACGATCTCTTCTCCTCCTTACACTTCTCTCCTCCCTACACTTCTCTCCACCCTACGCTTCTCTCCTCTCTACGCTTCTCTCCACCCATCTTCTCTCTACGCCTCCTCGCCTGCCTTCTCTCTTGCCTACCCATCAACCTACGCACCCGCTCTCTACGCCTCTTCACACGCCTCTTCTTGTCTCTACGACTCTTGCCTCTCCACTTCTTGTACCCACCCTGCTTCTTACGCATCATGCCACCGAGAAGGTCACCTCGTGCAAGTCATGAGGTCAAGACCCCTCCCACGTCCTTGGCCGCAGCCAAGGCCGAAATCAGCAAGATGCAAGAAGCTCAGATTGTCGAGAAGCGGCGAGTTGAATACCAACTCACCGCGGTCGAGAACAAGGCAGATACAAGGATCAAGAGGGCCGAGGCTCGAGCTCTCGAGGCGCGCCAAGAGGCAGAGGGGTACCGAGCCGAGAGGGACATCTACAAGAGCAGGTGCGACTGGCTGGAGACCTTCAAGGTCGCGGTCGAGGAGATGAACAAGCTCAGCCTCGCCGTTCTCGGAACGAAGTAAGTTCACACTGAGCCTCCATTCACAATCGATCACTGCATGTCTGACTGGCCCTTACCACCTTCTTCTCGAGCAGAAAGCGTTCCAGGAGCCAGTCTCCGCCCCCGCCGCCGGCCCCCCCCACCCCTCAGCAGGCCTCTTTCCTCGAGATGTAAGCTTTAGCCCAGCCTCAGCTGAAGATGGTCTATCTGTACTGACTTCGATCTACCTTTCTCGCCGTCTCTGCTCGCCACATCATCACTCGGCTCGCCTGCGACTATCCACGTCATACCTGCCCCTCAATTGTACGTTTGTGCCTTGATCACCTGAACCTCACAGTCCGCAAAAGCGCCTTGCCCGCGGTAAGAGGGCCACTGGCCCCTCGCCGGCGCTCTTCTCAGAGCCATGAGCAACACCTTACCCCCGGATGTGTGGCGTCTTCGCCCCTCCCCCCAATTAAAATAAAAAGTCGTGGTTTTCTTGTCCTCATTCGGTCTGTGTCCTATCCGTGTGAAATTCGTGACGTGCTCGTGGGGTGCACACTTCGCCCACGAAGTTTGTTGTGAGACGATTGACTGTGCCGAGTGAGATGGTTGGTTCCTCATCTCCCGGACTTGTACCCTCAGGCTCAGCCATACTCTATGCTCCCCCGCCACGCTAGCAGAAGTCAGCACAAGTACCTGATCAGTGCTTGGGAGAGCAGAGAGCGAGGCCCTACTGATGCTTGGCCCTCGCAGGGATACAGGCAGGATAAACCACCGGTCAAGGTCTCGATGCGCACAAGGGAGGCAAGAACTACAGCTATGCCTGTAGACTTTGAAGCAGCACGACTTCACAGAGTCAGTGGCCCCATCGAAGAGGTCACGGTGTGAGTCGAGTCGTGAAAGGGTGATAGAGGCCAACGCGATAGGAAGGGACTGCGAGAGCGATAGTTGGTACAGTAGCTGAGCGAGCCCACGTCGAGCGCTTGTTCTCTGGGTAGATGGCAGAGGTAGCTATCGATGAGACTCAGAGGTGAAGATGCAATGAGAATGACTATTGCAAGGGCTCGTTGACTACAAGGATCATCTGTGCCGTCCTTAAACTCTGTGTTACAACTAAGGAAGGAGAAGAGGGTAGGGCCGTTCGGCCACGCCGACCATAGTGTAGACATCCACGAGTAATCCTCGCCCCAGGTTGTACCAGCTTTCTTCGCAGGCGACGCCATGTCCCCATACCATCTGTGCGACTGTCTCGACGTAGTGAAAGCATAAGTGTTTGAGATCTCTCAAGATGCCTTTGAGGAAGTAGTAGAGCAAGTGGCTGGTGGGAGGAGCTGTGGCAGCTGAGCCAGCATCTGGAGGAAGGGTATGTGGGGACCAATGCAAGATCGTGGCAGTGTCGAGCATCGAAAGACCGGGTGTCAGCGTCTCAGCTTTGCTAGTGTACTCACAGACGAATCAAGACGAGGATTCCACCTTAAGTGCCCCCTCCCCCCCCCGGTCTCTCTTCCATAGGCTCTGTCTAGAACATCCACCAGAGGCCTTGCCGTCCTGTGACTTGCGACAGGTTGAGCAGCCTCTATGCTGATGGCTCAAGACACTCGACGAGACTATCCGTGAAGATTCTGAACAACAACAGATATCCACGGAGAGAGGCCTTTGCCACTACCTCCGATTCCGCTGGGGACAGGACGGTTGCTGGGGCTGGGCTGGGGAGCAAGCATCGATACTGTGGCGCTGAAGGTTACAGAAGGACACAGCTGTGGCCGCTTGCTGAAGATCTAGTGCTGGCAGTGCTTGACCTACTGCAGTGCTCTCGTGGTGTGAAGCCTCGGGAGACTCGTACTGGTACTGTAGCTGTGATCATGTGGCACCTGGGGTGATTTTGCCATGGCTGGGCTAACAGTAGCAGCATGCTGTAGTGGCCGCTCAGCCTGAGGTGTAGGGGCAGGTAGATGTGCAGCGGAACGGAGCGGCTGTCGAAGAGGAATCGCGTAGCAAAGGGCCGTATCACATTACAGTACATGGGCAACTGGGAGCTAAAGCGAGGCGGGACCGTTCCAGCCTGCGTGAACAGGCTGAGATAGGGGCATGAGTCATGCTCCCGCCCCAAAGATGTCGGCTGATCATTATCCCCGGCTGTTGATTGCCCTCCAAGCCCCTCTCGCGTGAACTCTTCCCCCCTGCGGTGCCTTCGGGACGCAGCTTCCGTGGATGCGCGCCTCTGCTCAGTCCACCATCGCCCCAACGCTGTCCTGCTTTTGCGCGCCCCAACACGGCAAATGCCCCTGTCACTTCACACCTTCGCCACAAGTCGTACCCATCGCTTCCACCCCTAGACGTACGCTCTTCCTTTTTCAGACTTCGTTAGTTACATATAGACGTTCCCCAATCTCGTCAACAGACACATAAAGATACGGCTCACTCCAGAGGAGAGAGTCGTCCATCTCCAGTGAGTAGAGTGGTAATCGAGAAGAGCTCCTACAGACGACATCCGTGCCGATCACTGATCACTCGTTTGCCCCTGCAGTCCTGCGCTAGAGCTTCTTGCTGTCAGCTACGGACTACAGAACAGCGTCAGAGAGCATGGTGATTCCTAATCAGCCGCTCCTGATCCTGAGGCCATTGGCGCACTTGCTCTGAGATGCCCCTCCACAAGCGTCTCACGATCGCCCAACATACCTAAAATCCTCGGGCTGTTCGAAACAGACTCGAATCCAATATCTCTCTCCCTTCCTCCAATCACCTTTCGCTCCATCAATTTAGACTACGACTACGACCTTCTCAAAGCTTCTATGAGTTGATCTTCTATGCGACTGTCACAAGACGGGCAGGTACTCAAGTAAGTCCGCTTCTCTTGACCTGCTCTTCTCTTCCTACTATCGTAGCAAAGACCTCACCTCTTCCCTTCGCCTCTTCGATTGCCACCGTTGCAGATCCCACTTGGATCAACGATCGTCACAGGCTTAATACTTGAGACCAGTCGACGACCACCCTGTCATGGTCTCGGTCCGCTGTCTCACACGGCTCTCTCCACGCGCTCCTTCCGGATCTCGGACTGGCTTTTTGCTCTACTTCTGGGCCCTTGACAGCGGTGCCATGTTGCACACGCCTTCCTCCGAAGCCAGAAGGCAACTTCCTCTTGTCTGCTGTCAGAGCAGGCCCAATGATTGAGTCGTTCCGAGTGAGTCCTCTTGCAGGGCTACGGTCACACAGCTGGCTCCTTGCTTCAACGACACATACACCTTTCCTTCCCTTCAGCCTCATTCGCTCGGAGGGTACATTCTCGCCGCATTGGTCACTGATTAGGACTCTGCTCATCGACCCTGGGCGAGCTCTCCTTCTGGCTCCCCTCTTGGCTCTCCTTCTTCCAAGTCTGGCTGGTGAGTTCTTGAGGAGTCATTGTGATGTCACGAAGGGAGCAGGTACTCATGTGATTTCGCCCCTGTTGCTTGAATGCACTCCTGTCCCTACACCTCAAGACAACTCGGGTGTCATATACCACAAGGTGCCTTACCATGCATCCCCCTCGCCGCCCTCCCAGGGGATCTCGCAGCACGCAAGCCCAGCAACAAAGTCAGCAGGAGAGGTCTCAGGCCCCCAGCCCTCCTTCCCGCTCCCAACGCTCCGAGTCGGAAGCGCCTGTACAGCCTCCCCTCGCCGAGCGCAACGCTCGTGGCGAACGCTGGCTGAGGGAATTCGTAAGGCTGAATCGAGACTTGATCTGGGCTACAGGAGAGCTCGGGACCTCCCTCGAAGAAGTCGAACGTCTGCGCAGGGAGAGGGATGAAGCGTTGACTCTGGTTCGGCGACACCACGAACAGAGCGCTGACTATCTTCGTAGGACAGGATCCCCGTGAGTAGACTTGGGTAGCTACTCTCAAAACACCTGCTCATACCGAGCACATTTCTCCTCGTTGGACTGTTTCTCCTGCAGAAGTACGTCTTCACCTCGGACTCCCTCTCAGCGCCCTCAATTTGATAAACGGAGGGACCCTGCTCGTCGTCCTTGGGCCAGCTCTCCTCCTGGGTCACCTTCTTCGCGCCGTCTTCGGTGAGTAGCCCTCTGACTACCATCGACACTATCATTACCGCCAAAACCTATGTTACTTCTCCCTGACATCTCCTCTCACCCCATACAAACGTATCTACAGAGGTGACGCTCTCAGGTCCGAGGGGCTTCAGCGTGGGACATTGCAGATCGACGCAAGAGACCGTCCCCGCCGATCAGAGCGACAACGTGGCCGGGCGGCGGGTCCTTCTTCTGGCGTCGTGAGGTCAGACGGAGGAGCAGGCGAGGAGAGGTAGGATTGACAGCGGGAGGGACAGCAGGAAAGGTGGCAAGGCCAGTGAGAAGAGGTCAGGAGAGGGAGGTGTTATCCAAGTACGCCGGGACTAGGGAAAGAATGGCAGAAATCGTGTCAGTGTCAAGCATGGGGAAGAAGAATCCAATGGCCAATGGAAGACTTGCATCCGCTGAATCCAACGCCTATCGCCTTTCAAGGCCGAGTGTTTGTCCTCGTCTCTGGTGTTAGCTTTCGTTGGTGATGGCCAGCCATTGCGACATCGTTGCTGCCGACAACACCACAGGGTGTTACCCTGGCTATGAGCTCGCTCGGAAATGCTCTCCCATATCAGCCTTCCTCTCGTCAGCAGAATGGTTTTTGGCAAAATGCGATCTGCAAGGCTACAGCTTTCGCCTGTCTGTAGTCCATGCCAACCGATTCGGATCGTCGTCGAGGTCTACATTGAGCTTGCTCTCTGTTGGTCTGTCGAGCAGAAGTGAACGCGCCCATGTCAGAGCAGTACCGACACTGTTCGGGGTCTTAAGAGTTGCTGCAGGTCATACAAAGTCCTTGCAGTGATGCGATACGATGCACAAAGGTGCCTGTGATGTCGAGAAGACACTTGACAAGAACACTCTTCTCTTCTTGCTTCGGAAGTTGAGATATTCGAAGACACGGACGCACAGACGGTAAATGAGGAAAGACTGAAGCACTTGTATTTGCGTAAGTAAATAGATGGTGATAAGCTTCCTCCCCTACCCCCTTCTGCCTGAGCCTGGAGTGACCGGCGTCCAGGTTGTCCCATCCCCACTTTCGCCGGCCCTTGGCACGTCCGAAGTCGGCCCTCCACTCCCACGCTGTCGGTGGGCGCCGTAGCGCACCCTCCCCTCTATTCCCGCCGTGCCACTCCCCGCCTCCTCTTTCTGTACCTCCGCCTCCTTGTCCAAATCCTCGTCTGGCCTCCGTGCTTGCTCCGGGCTGGTCTCACGAGCACGAACTGGGCGAGCTGGATGACGACGTCTGTGGGAGAGGAGAGGAAAGATAGAAGGAGGGGATGTGTTGCCGCGTGAGGGAGCAGCATGAATGTCGGTCGAATCCAACAGGAGAGAGTGGAAGAGCGTCGTATGGCATACGGTGGTGTTGAAGGGGTCGTGTGGCACACGATGGCGTTGGGTAGAACACAGGAATGTGTATCGCACGATGGCGTTGGTCGTATGGCATACGATGGCGTTGAGGTGGTCGTATGGCATACGATGGCGTTGAGGAGGTCGTATGGCATACGATGGCGTTGAGGAGGTCGTGTGGCACACGATGGCGTTGAGTCGAACACGAGATGTGTATCACACGGTGGCATTGAGTAGAACACATGAAAGTGTATCACACGGTGGCGTTAGGGTGATGGTCGTGTGGTACACGATGGCGTTGAGGGGGTCGTGTGGCACACGATGGCGTTGAAGAGATGGTCGCATAGCATACGATGGCGTTGAGGGGGTCGTGTGGTCCACGATGGCGTTGAGGTGGTCGTATGGCATACGATGGCGTTGAGGGGGTCGTGTGGTACACGATGGCGTTGAGGTGGTCGTATGGCATACGATGGCGTTGAGGTGGTCGTATGGCATACGATGGCGTTGAGTAGAACACAGGAATGTGTATCGCACGATGGCGTTGGTCGTATGGCATACGATGGCGTTGAAGAGATCGTATGGTATACGACGGCATTGAGTCGAGCGGTCGAGGCGTCAAAGTGACATTCGTATTGAATACGAGCCATGAGTCGAGGAGTCAAAATGACATTCGTATGGAATACGAGCCGTGAGTCGAGCAGTCGAGAAGTTGAGTGGATATTCGTAGGGTATGGCGTAGAATCAAGGAGATGGTCGTATGGCATACGATGGCGTTGACGGTGTTGATGTCCAGGGACATGCAAAGGGGAGAGTGGAAGTCGGCGTTGCGGGCAGTAGAGGAAGAGATGGGAGGGATGGAGAGGGGAGAGAGAGCAGGCTCTGTCAGTACCCGAGGTCTTACAAGGCGTAGGCGGCTTGTGCCACCATCAGCAAAGCTTCATCCGTATGACCCTGTATGCTATCGCTCGGGACTGAGGGTTCAAGCACCGATGTGAAGCGTATGAACTCACCGTCGTGGAATGGAAGAGAGTGACCTGTATGGCGAGGTCTGCAGACGTCGGTTGCCAGGAGTTCCCCAAGCGGTGCGTTGCGGCCCACTTGAGGGAGAGCGAAGGGGCGAAAAAGGGGCATCCGAGCGGGCCAGCCTGATGCAGTGAAGGGAAAGTGTTTGGCTATTCTTTACGAAGAGGTCAAGACGGCTCCGTAGTTCTACTCACATCGGCTGTAGGTAGGGCAAAGAACCTCCTTCCAGCACTCGGTATGAGGACCGAACATGGACTCGGATGAAAGTCCAGGCGTTATTTCGCTATCGCTCCAAAATACCGAACTCATTTCTCGGGGTCTGCCTCTCTTCTTCGGCCCAGAGAAGTTCCCTGAGTAAGCCTCTCGGCCACAGCAGTCTCACACAGAGCGGATGGACTCGATGCGGGTCGAGGAGGCCTTGCGGGTCCAGAAGACTGTCGTGAAGAGGGATGACGTGAGCTTGTCCCGAGAAGATATCTGTTGCAAACAAATCTCTCTGGCAATGGATCACTTCGTGGTGAGACGAGAGTGTAGGAATAGGCAACAATGGACGGCAAGGAAAGCAAGTCAACGACGGCGAGCATAGTCAGGTCAGCGGGAACTCTCAGCGTGTGTTCCCCCGCCAGGCCGATGAGGCCGAATCTGAGGTTCCGTTCCGACGTCCCGTTCTCATCGTTCAAGGCGCTTGACCATCCGTACCTGGCACAAAGAAATTTCATAGCCCATAGCAGCACGCTTTCTCACACGGAAGCCATTCACACTCTCGAGAGAGCCTCCTGTGATTGCTGGTGCAGCTCTATCAGTCCTCAAGTCTCCCCAATTCTGGAGCTCGCCTGGCGGATTACAGCTGTGGTCGATTCGTAGGCAGGACGGTCAGGTAGCTTTCGACCAAGGTATGGTTTTGCAGTGCTCAAGCGATGCTCGAGCGCGGCCAGTGGACCGAGAAAACATCCTGACAGCCTCAACGAAAGTAGCGAGCGGCGGTCTGCACAGATCTAATGAGCAGACTAGTGATGTAGTGTAACGGAATGGATATTGAGCTTGAAATACAGCAGAATCCATGGCTCAGCGTTCCTCGCTTCAGTCCTCCCTACAGATTCCCGTACCATAGCTTCCACTCCTCTGCTCTCTCAGCTCCCTGTCCCCGGCCGTCCAGACCCACTTGCTCCTTCATTGTTGTTGGTCTCTCGTACGAACGTCTTGGTATAGTATTCTGTCACCGGCTGTCCACGGTTGCCTCGCGAGGGGCGAGAGGGGCCAGAAGAGCTTGAATTCCAAGCCCAGATCGCCGAAAAAATGCAGAGGATTTGAGTCAGCAAAGGGCCTGTACGGGAGCAGATGATGTCTGCCTTCATCGCCAGACAGCACCGCTGTGAACACTCTGGGGTCAGCCGCCAAGAGAAGTCGTAGGCGCGTGCTAGGAATGGCAGCAATCCCTGCACTCGGCTGTACGTGGGGATAGCGGTAGCGAGCCAGACCAAACGGCAAGTCTCTGGAACGGCTTCAACAGACTAGAATCAGCTGATGCTAGGCTCAGACTCACCTTTGTTTTTGGGTCGAAGGCCCAGCGGCGTCCTCGTCGTCTTGCCTTGCTCGCTTTTTGCCCTGCCTGGAAACAGAGCCGAAGGGAATTCAAGTGCACCATTGCGTGAGCTCTGTTCCTATGCAATAGCCATTGAATCGAACTCACGGTCGCCAATTAGCGTCCACAGCTATCTGCTCGATGGCAGCGAAGCGGCATTGTGCATCGACCTGGCCTTCCCGAGCTCTACGAACCAGCTCCGCCAGCTTGCTCTCCAAGTTCTCGGCTCGTGCCTTGAACTCTTCAGCTTGCTGTTTCCAGGCGGAAGCCTGCTCCTCTGCCTCTCTCTGCTCTTCTTTGGCCCTCTTGACAGCAGCCGCGGCTCGATCCTTGACGGCTTGGCTGTCTGCTGCATGGCGGCGCAGGTTGATGGCAGCGGTGTTCTCCAGCAGCTCAATGCGCTGCAGGAGTGTCTCCTGGGTGGCGAGTCCAGCTAGAGCAGCAGCACTTGTGCTGGCTCTGCTTCTGGTGGCGCGCCGAAGGGCAGGTCCATCAACGCTGGGACGCGGAGCCCGAGCGGACATTGCAAAGGTACAGTGATGGTAGGGTAGAATGAAAGTGGCGCTGGTGGTCGTTGTCTCCTCTGTTGTCTTGCTTAAAAGTTCGAGAACGGGAGTTGGTTGGGCGTACAGAATGGGCGGGTAAGATGGGTGGGTGAGCTGATGGAGAGAGGGGAAGCGCTGGGAACGAGGGTGAAGGGGCCGGGCTTATCACCCCTGCTCGCCGAAAGCGCTGAGTCCAAAGCTTCCACTGGCTGAAGCCCGCGGGTTGGCCAGACGACATGATCAATGAGTAGGGACTCAATTCTTCAGTGTGTGAGAGCGGTGGACGTAGGTACATCTTCGCTCTGATTCGACGTGTCCCTTTACTGAGTTCGCCTGCCGGACAAGCACACTGCACCGCACCGCTTTTGACCTGCACTGATCGTTGGATGGACTGCTTGCGCATCTAAGCTCTTATCCACCGTGCGCTCTGACTCTGTTTGCCCAATGATGCTCAGACCAGCTCACTGAACCGTCGCCGGTCTCAAGTGGCACCTCTGATCGTTCCTCTTTGCTTTGAATGCATTTGCCCCTAATCACTTTCCCTTCCAGACGCGCCGACTACAGTAGCACTCATTTGTGGTGATGCAGGTTAATCGCTATCTCCGAGACAGGCACGGTAGATGTTTCAGGGTCTCATGAACAGATAGATCAAGGCCTGTTCATGTCTCTGATCTACCAACGTGCGGACATGCAGGCGTACATCCGCCCGCTTCGCGTCTCCGCTCGGCCGAAGTGGAGGGGGGGGAGAGATTTAGCGTGAATTCAGTCTCTTGGCACTCGGTTCAGTCGCCCGGCTTGAAGAGGTAAAGACCCGGCGTGTGGTATTCGACTGATGAAAAGGAAAGAGTGACCGAATGATCAGACATGACACTATGGAAGCCGCAGGACGGATCAGTCGTCAAGTGCGGTAGAGAGAGTGTGAAGCTCAGATTGAAGGACGAAAGTAAAAGATGACATTGGCGAGCGACAGAGTCAAGAGGATGAAAACTGAGGTCGAGGCTGACATGACGAGGTGCTTCCCCTTCGAGTGGACAAGAAGCGGAGGCGAAAAAGCTGGTCGGAGGTCACTAAGTAGCGTTCAGAGATCAGATTCCGATGTGGTGGAGCCGACTTGGGCACACTAAACCTGATGGAATGGGGTGGGAGATAGTACACACGAGAGAGCGTCTAGGTCGCTCTGCCTCTTGGAGACGAGATGATGAGCAGTGGGGAAGGGAACATACGCAGCTCATTGCTATCTTGCTGTGAAGACGCTTTCGGGACATGTTGTGATAAGAACCTTGGCGGGCAGGACCAAGGGTGCAGCGGCTAATTATTACGTGGAGTCGGCTTGTGGTACTCGATGGGTGGTCCTATTGATCGAATTGAGGGCAAGCGTTGGCCTCTGACAGCGTGGACAATGGAGCTAGGAGACCGAACGGGTAGAGTGCAACTTGCGATGTGGAGAAACCCAGGCGTTGTGCACGGAGTGGACCGATGAGGGACATGCGTCTTGCTGTCAGCAAAACCAATGAGATCCGTGTGTAGGTCAATACCGAAATGGTGCAGTATGACGGCCCAAGGCTTGATGGCTGTGCGGGGACCCTGCGCGGTAGGCATGTCGGGCAGAACGGCCGGTATCTAGGTACGGTCGATCGTCTAGAGTATGGAAAGGACTGGAAGAGGGTGTCGAGAGAGGTTGAGGTTTGTACCTCCAGCACGGAGGAACTGTCTCCACTTCCCTCAAAGGACAGCATGAAAGAGAAGAAGTGTTGCTTGAAAGGTCGACTGCGCTACAGTTGCCTACCCTCAACGCAAGGGAGAGTGGTAGTAGGTGAGTAACAAGTCCCTACCTGCCGCCGTGCTATGGCACGATCTTCCAAGGATGTGTTCATCTATCAGTGGATCAGGCTTACCTGAGCGTCGTACAGTCGAAGACGAGACAGCAGCGCCAGCACGGGCCGGTGTTGATTGACGTTCAATTCCATCTGAAAGGCAGCCGATCACTTGAAAAGCGTCAGCGCTGTACATCAACGCGTCTGCTATGAGGAATCACAAGCACATACTCACCCCATTCTGGCATCAAGGTCATCCAGTGTGAGAATCATGCACTCATACATGTGTTCAATCCTGTGTTCCCATCGTACATAGCGCCGCTGATAATCGTCATGCTCTGCTTTGAGTCGGCTCAGCTCTCGCTCTAGCTCCTCTATCTTGGCTTTGGCGACGAGCAACTCAGACGTAGCCCCGTCGTCTTGCTGAGCGACTTGGTCCGGCATTCTGCTCTGACGAATACGGTGAAGAGGTCTGACGTGGATTTCCGTGGTGGTGAATCAAGAAAGAAAAGAGTGGAAGGGTAGGCAGAAAAAGGGACAAGTAGAGGAGGGAAGTGCGGCGAGGGAGATAGCAAGCTGATGTCCGATGGTACTAATGAGCAGGCGTCAATGTAGCTATCTGACTGGCTTGCCCCGAGCCCGAGCCCGGAACCGCCTGGCCGGTCGACTCCTGAGTCCCTGCCGAAGGCTTGGCAGTAGGTGGATGTGGGGTCCACGCCGCTGATGGCTCAGCCCACCGGTCGCCCAAGATGCGAGCCTGCAGGTCCATCCATTGATCTCGCTTGTCCGTGCTGCTGCTAGAAGCCGCCAGTCCGATCCTGGAGAGGAGGCTCACAGGCTCGATTAGTGGAGACCACCTCAGAATAGCCTCATGCTCTTCGAGTGACCTTGATCTATAGTAGTGACTGTCACTTGCTCGTCAAGAGGCGCATCCCACTTCCTGTCAAGTACGCCTCCTAGCTGCTGCTACTGTACTTGCAGGTGTGCAAGGCCTACATTGCAGATTCCCCCCTGACGAACGTGAGCACTGGTAGTCACAGCGGCAGTGCAATGGCTTCTGCCGCTGCTTCGAGGCAAATGGACGGCCCAGAATGAAGGGGACGCGTCAGGTCGCGCGCTCGCCGCTCCGGCACTTTACCAGTCACGAAAAGCCCTTTGCAAGCCATTCGCTCCCCGTCTTTGCACCTTTCATCTTTCCCCTTCATCGTCTTCCTCCTCCTCCATCTCTCTTCTCGCATAACGTACAGTCCTTACGCTATTCATCTTGCCTCGACCATTCGCTCCACTACATGCGTTTTCCTCCCCTAATCGAATCGCTCCCCTATTTGCGTCTCTCTCCTACAGCTTCTCCCGCGCCTACGGTCCGCCAACTTCAGCGCCCTGAGGATCACTCGGCATCCTTGCAATTCTAGCACTGTTGCAATTGAAATTGCTATGCTTTCGAGCTGCCACGGTTGCACGCATCCTCGATGCATTTGAGACACGCAGACTAAGTGAGTACTTCGCTGGCCATGCAAGACAAATTGGACGGCTGCTGACTCACTAGTCTTGACGCACTTACAGGAGGACATAGTCATCATACGATACAAGACAAATTTACCGTACACTTTTTGCAGGCTTGGAAACTCCTTCTCTCCCCCTCAGCCTCTCTACCGCTATCATCGGCTCATCAGCAGCAGCGAAAAGAACACACTTTGCCTCCACTTCACATGTCCCGCGCTGGTTACTACCAAGACGAGTGCAGACGGCTTGAAGACCGGCTGGAGGATACCGTGATCCTTGCGGACAAAGACCAACCGGTGCGGTAAGTACTCCTTGTGCTTCACCTCCTACTGTGCAATGCTAACGCACTCCTATACCCTCGTACCCTGCAGGCAAGCGCGCTAGGATCACGTCTCCCCCTCCACAGCCTGGGACAATCTTGAAGCAGCGCAGGTGAGTTCTGAGTCCTGTGGTGAAGGTAGCGTGGGGGGATGGTTCTCTGGAAGGGCTGGCATCGGCCCGTCCGTCTTTCGCCGATGCTAGCCTTCCTATCTATAGCCGAGTGCTACACACTCCAAGCGGCGAAACCAGCGTAGACCGTCACACTATTGTCTGGGGATGGTTTTCGAGCTCAGAGGCACATCAACCCACGAGCACTGTCTCATCATCAGGCTCAGCGTCAGGCACCCTGGCCGGAGAGTACGAGCCCTAGTAGCGCGCAGCCGGCAGGATAACGCGTGGTGGCGATCCCGGCCCACCTGCTGCCAGTCTTGCCATCTACAGCCGAGTGCGAGGGAGGGTTAACCCAGCAAGATCCCTCGGCCCTCCAAGCAGCTGAGCCCACAGTAGAGTTGACGCTGCTGTCTGGCGGTGGAGGCATCATCGATACACTCCAGTGACCGTCTGTACTGACTGAAATCCTTATCTCCTTCTCCCTCCCCATGCGCATTCTCCACATCGGTCCATGATCACCTTCCTCTCCTCGACACACACACCTACCGACCAACGGTCCCCTTCTCACTCAACAAGTTGACTCACAACACTCGACCCTTCAACATCACACTGCCTGGTCATCAACGGTCAACTATTGTCCTTCTTGCTGATCTACCTCTTGGGATTACGATCTTACAGCAACGTACCGGCACTGCAGGAAGTCCTCCAAGGCCTCTCGGCAATGTGGCCAACATTGTCAACCAGTTCAACTAGACCAGCAAGCGAGTGCCGATTGCGGCTGGACAATTGCCTCAGGAAGCGAGCACATAAGTACTTCAGTATGGATCAACATTCTACGACACTTCTCCTCCCGTCGCTTTTCAATGCCTCGTAGCCCTCCCAGTCTGTCTCTTGCTATTCCAGCAGACTGAACTCTCGCCTCACAAGCAGCACCCAAGTGAAGGCAAGGTTACGGCAGTGGTCCGTGGCTTCAGCAACACCAGCGATGCCATCAAGACCGAGAAGCATCCGGCTCGAGGCCACTTTGACCCTCAGAAGACTCACAAAGTGAAGAGACACCAACAGGAGGGTGGAGGAAAAAGCCCACGACTACCCGCAACGCTCCGTACCCATGACTCCCAGCCACACACTGGTTCCCATGGTTCCTTGTTTCGAATTCGCATCGCTAATGAGGTGCACGCATGCCATTGAGCGGAGGGGGACATTTGGGACCGCTCGTAAGACACTCAGGACTTCAGGCGGTAGATGAACGAAGCTACGCACACTTCCCCCATGTACTCCATGTTCCTCTTCTTCACTAGAACTGTGAATCCACATAACCTTGACTTGCAACGCCATCTTAGTATGTCTGTCAGATCACTCCCGTAGCTCAGTCAGTCTCCTTATGAAGGGCCAACCCTTATTCCTGCTGATGAGCTGTTGGGCTCACGCCTGCAGTGGCATCTTGGGTGTCGCTTTCAGGCTAGTCTAGGTTCGTCGAGCGGTGGCTTACAAAGGGTTTGACTTGTAGCCATCTTCATCTCAGTTTAGAGCATCGCCTCGGAAGTTCTCTCATCATGCGATGAACCCGACGTCAAACCAGCGCTAACGGACACTGTATTCCGTCCTACTTGCTGAAGGAATTCGAACATGTACAGCACAGTACAGTACAGTGGTTGTTCATAGTAGATTCAATTCGTGAAGGACAGGACAGCAAAGGCACGGCGAACGGCTAGAGCTACATACATTATCAACGGGAAGGCAGAGTCAGAACTCCCTTGTCGTACAAAAGGACAAAGTGTCTCAGAGTATTCGTCTAGGCGATCAAAGACTGTTTCACCATCGATATTTCGACAGTAGGAAGCAAAGTTCGATACAATGTCGCATGAGTAGACAGCGTGAATGCCGGTCGAGCACACGTCGAAAGAGAGTGCTGTATAGTATACGAGGGCCTTGAGGTGAAGTGTTAAGGGCTGCGCACTGCCCTTCTGGACCCTTGTTCCGGTAGCTTGGATGTGATAGTGGGAATGCGTGTGGGTTTATGCCAACGCCGGCGGACGTGTACGAGTACCTGCTGTCTTCGTGACATCATTGTGACCGTGTGCGATCCCACTGGCGAGTGATGGACGAGGGGAAACCAGGAGGAGAGCTGGCCCAGGGTCGATCGGCTGGCGTGCGACGATGTGTGCGATGAGGGCCCCCGAATGGCGAGCGAAGGGGAGAGAATGGTCCATCCGAGCGAGGAAGGCTGACGAAGATGGACAGTCAGAAATCGCGTAAGCAATGAGCCAGGATTTCAATGTGACCCTTCGGGATGACGTACCCAGGACCAGGCAGCCGTTCGTGCTGCACAAAGAGAAAGCGAGAGGCAGCGTCTCGATGCTCTTCTATAAAAGCATACGCTTCGTCTCGCTGACGCCTGTAGCTTTCGGCCTCCTCCCTTGCTACGTGCGCCTGACCTCGTTGTCTCTCCGCCTCGTCTCTTGTCCAGTGGTAGTCGCGACGAATGCGAGCAGCTTCGCGGCGCCAGTAGTCCCGCATACATCTGAGGCCTTCGTATTCATGCTCCGGGATGAGGCGCTGGCCTTGAGGAGCTTGAGTTCGAGGCAGCAGGGCGCGTGCGAGAGCAGGAGATCGATTGACTGTGGATTGTATCCACGACAGTCGGAAGAGAGGACTGGTGAGAGGCTGGCTCGTCTCTGAGTAGCACGTTTATCGAAGGCGCCTCACCGGTACGATGCGACGACTCGCGATGGTAGACGTCTGTTGGTAGGTCAGCTCATTCAGTGGCCCGAAGCAAGAGCTGGCCGGTCAAGGCTTCTGCATCCACGATGAGTACAGTGATCGTAGAGTACTGAAAACAGAGACACGCAGTATGTGGGGACGAGTGTCGAAGAAAAGTGATTTATGTCAGGGCGATTCATTGCCTGAGACATTCCCAAAGCCACAGGACTCACCTTTTGAAGTTATCGCTGATTTTTATGTGTCTGTTGACGAGATTAGGGCTGAATTTAGTGTGCTTTGCGAGAAAGGTGGGGTACGGTAAAGAGGAAGAGTCTGCGTCTATTAGGGAGCGGGTGATAGTGTACGTGGGGGAGGGCAGTGGTAAGGTATGGTGGGACGAGGAGTACAGTAGTCGATGCCTTGGGCGCATAGAGGGGGTGAAGAGGAGTGGGGATGATGATCACGTCAGCTGCAGCCGCGCGCCCCACCACTTTTCACTCCCACCAGCAAAGACGCTCGGAGCCGCGCCGCAGAGGAGACGTGCGCATGGCAGTTGTGGGAGCAATGCTGAGCTGAGCCTCTGCCGCGCCCTGAGCCGCCGTTGCTGACATGGTCACACCCGCCCTTGTCCCCTGGCACGCCTTCAAGGTCCGGACTCGCCCCTCTTTGCTTTCTACTCCCTCTCTTCACTCCACCCGTCTACATCTACTATCCCCCCTCTCACCCCACCTAATCAGCACTACTCTACATCCACTCATCACTCCATTTATCCAACCTCACTCCGACTCATCTAATCACCACTACACTAAGCTAAGTCTCCTGACATCTAATCCAAGGCCTTTGCGTGTGCTCTTGCGCAAGCATGCCGTTCAACGTGAGTCAACGACAAGATCCTTCCATCAACCCACCGTCGACGGTAGGATCAGGGCTGACCTTAGCACCACTGTCCGCCTTTAGCAATCTAACGAGGCCGCCAGATAGGCTAGGCTACTCCATAGATGAGGCAGAGAGGCATATAGTCCACCCCCCTCGGTCGCTTCTTTTGCCCCCCTTACTGCCTCATCTCGCACGCTCCTCTTCTCCTCCCCTCCCTGGTCGCCCATTCCCCCTGACAATCCTCACTTCCATCTCTCACGATGCCCAGGGCGCCTGCCCATTGCGCCGATGCTAAGGCGTGGCAGCTGAAGCACCAAGCCGCTCAGAGCGAGCTGGATCGCCTGCAAAAAGAGCACAAGGCGCTGAAGACCAAGATGGACAAGATCAATGCGATGTCATACCTTCAGCCGGACAATGATCAGTAAGTAGGTCTTTGTACTTCAATTCACACTGGATCCAGCGCTGACGCTCCAATCCTTTCGTCTCTTAGTGACAATAATAACAAAAAGCGCAAGCTCGCTCCTCTCCCCGTGCTTGGAACACCCCAAAGCTCCCCATGCGCTGAAAGGTAAGTCTGAGTCTCAAGGGACGCCTCGAGATGATCTGGGGAGATCGGGGTAGCGGACAATGATACATTGAGGGATCCGCTGGATGGCTTTGCCTCTGGTCAACACAGTGATCTATCACCCCAGTATATTGACAACTCCCATCGGAATCCTCTGCTCCGCCCCATTCCTCCCCTTTCCCTCTCTACCCCTACCGTGGCCGCACCAGCAGGGGCCAACAGCTTCGGCTTTGCTGTGGCGTGGCCACCGCCCGTCACACTCGATCTTGCTAAGGTCGAAGTCGCCAGGCTGGAAGAGGTAACCCGAAGTCAACATCGAAGGCTAGAATTCACCATCGCAAAAATTGAGGAGAAGGCCGACGTAAGGATCGCGGCGGCCGAAGCAAAGACTGCAAGAGCGATTCAAGACTGCAGAGCCTACAAGACTCAAAGCTTGGACCTTGAGGCAGAACTTCAAGCGCTTGGAGACATCGTCAGAGACAACACGATGACCTTCCTCGACGAAGAGAGAGCAAGGTAAGTGCTCACTGATGCTTGACACTCTACTGTGCAGCGCTAACACACCCCTACATCATCTGGGCCCTTCTCCCCCGCTGCAGAAAGCGCCCTAGAACTTCGTCACTCCCGTTGTCCCCGCAACGATGCCTCAACTCGCCAACTCCCTGCCCTTTGCTGCCAAGGGAGCGCCCTGCCAAAGGCAAGGCCGTCGCCTCATCGCACAAGTAGGATCTCTTCAAGATCCGTCATCAAGATGGGTCGATCATCTAGGTAGACATCGGTAATCAATGTAGACATCGGTAATCAAAGTAGAACCGGTCGTCAAGGTAGACTCCGCTGCTTTCGACTCTGAATGCTGGCATGGCAAGATGCAACGCGTGTATCAGCTCAGTACTCTTCACTGATCGACGCGAAGGACAGAGAGCCGTGAGTATGAGCTCGTCTCCATTGTAGAAGTGTGAATGTACATCGCTGACACCCTTTCATATGACTCGCTTTTTCCTCCCAGCTGAAAGTAAATGTCAGGCAGTATCGCCTCGTGCTGAGACCGCTTCTTCAACTTCAAATCGTCCGCATTGAGGGTACGCAAGGTAAGTCTGAGCACAAGTATAGCTGCAGAAAGTTCAAGAAGATCGATACAATGGCCGGAGGTTGGGCCTGCCACAAGACCTGCTAGCATTCCCAGCTGTAGTCGAAGGCTAGGGCGTATAAGTATGGCCATGCTTGCCGTGGTCCCTACCTGGAGCTTTCCAGCAGCTGAGCCAGTAGTATCCTTTACAATGCTGTCCAGCGACGTGAGAGGTTCTATTCGATCCGATCCTTTGCTTTCTCGTACTGACTCCCGTCTCTGCTTTCCTCCTCCTTCAGCCCTCTGACATACTCGGCACCTCGGAGGATGGTCACAATCACTCTCTACGATACAGCTGCCGCTCGACGGTATCTACACATTAAGGTGCCTTGTTCGCTCACACCCAGCCTCCCCTCGACCTCAAGGCAGATGTAATTCCTATCGATCGCCCACGATCCAAGCTCCGTCCGATGGCCCATCTCTGTCCCCCGACCTCGCCTTTTTCCTGTCATCCCCTCGCACACAGTCTCAGTCTCTACATTGATGATCTATTTTTAGAAACAGTGCTCTAGCTCAGTCAGACTCCGTCTGAACGTCAGTCCCGCTCTCTACTCGTACAGAAGTGTGCTGACATCCCACATGGTGCCTCTGACTGTGGTTTGGGCTCTCAGGACGGCAAGAGTGTAAAGGGGGGCTTCCGTGAGTTGATCCCCTGTACCGCGCCTGAGACAAGTCCTGGAGGCTCGCACTTGTTCGAGCTTTTGACTTGTGAGTCTAGAGAGGCTTCGAGTCTAGTCGCTCACCCGACACTGGGCAGTAGTAGACTTCAGCTGAGAGCCTCTCAAGATCTTGAGAGGTGTAGGGCCTTTTTATAGCCGCATCCCGAACGTCTGACGGACTTGGCGCGCTTCCATCTGACTCGCTGACTGAAGATCTCTTGGTGCACGAAGGAGGAATACTGTAATCCGCGAGATCCTCTTTGTCTCTCTTTCAAATTAAGTGCAGCCATGTCTTGCTGTACCTGAGAGAGCTTTACCGCTCCTCTGAGCGAGCACCGAGCGGAAGGCCAGATGCGCACGCCCCACAGCCAGATGCCCCTAGTGCAGACCTCCTTCTCAAAGTCACATTCGTACAGCCTCGCAAAAAGACTCGCGAATACAGTAATAGTGCTCCCATCTCACATCCCCCTAGTCCATCTCACACAATCTAAAGCTCTCCTCTTCTTGCTCTTCTCTTCCTCTGTTCCTCTCCCTCGAGAGCACCAACTTGCCCCTTCTGGTAGCTGGGCAGAACGAGAGAGAGAAAGAGGCGCGTTCAGCTGAGGCGAAAGACCGAGAGGGGGCGGGGGTGCGGGAAACGCTGCGTGCATGGAGCTGCATGAGCGGAGCGAGCGGGGCAGGCGCTGGAATTGGGCTCTGAGACCGAGACCGAGACGGAGACCGAGAGTGGAACAGGAACAGAGGCCGAGGTTGAGGCGCGAGCGCTGGGGTTGAGACAGAGGCAGAGACAGAGACAGAGGTGCTGACGGGCTGGAAGGAACAGGAAAGGGGCCTTGCCGAGTCGAACTTCCGGTAGCAGGGAGGGTGAGGTTCATGGCGAAGGCAATTCTGAGGCGTGGGGAATCTTGCAAAGTGTGGCTTGCTGCTCCCTTCCCCCCTGCGCGAGAGGCATCCTCTACGCGTACGAGGTCTTTTGACGAGGGTTGCGCAATGTTGGCTCCAAATCACAATGAGCGATGTGCCGGCCGAAAGACAGTCTCCATATTGAGATGGGACAACACGGCCTGTTCTAGTGCGAGCGTTGCAACGGTGATGGGCCTCAAGGCTGAGCGTTTGCGTGTGGGAGCCTGCCTGACGCGCCACGTTGCTGCTTCCGCCTCCACCTGCCGGCTCATGTCAGTGACAGGGGTGAATACCTCGAGCTTGACTTCGAAGGTGATACTCCTCTTTGCGTGGTCGTATGGTGGACCATGACACGGCCTCTGGCTCACAAAAGTTCGGCCTTTTTGGTCACTTCATCTTGTCGCCGGATAACCATGGAGCTTCTGTGCCTGGTGCAGGACGGAGTGGCCATGCAGGGGCGGAGAGAAGCACTCTACTTCCCTGCCGAGTTGCATCTGTGCCTAACAGCCCACCTTCACCCGACGTCGACCTTGGACCACGCCTCCCCCCATGAAGTATAATCAACTCTACCTTCCTCACCTTACTTCCACCACCCCCATCCTTGCCCCACACATTCCCCCTCCCCTTCCCTTCGTCGTACTCTGAGAGCTACGAGGACACTCTTCCCAATCTCTGTCATTACCATAGCCACTGCCTCAAAGGCGTGGTGCCTACACCATGGGCCGACTTTCATTCACCCAATGCTTTGTGCTCTGCCTAATCATCTTCTGCTCCCAGACATTACTCCTCGTAAGCGGTCGAGAAGCTCTTGGCACCTTGAATGCCGGCCTCCCTTCCTCTCCGGCAAGACGCTTCGTTCCGCATAGCTACATCGTTGAGTTTGACCCCAAGCAAGTCAGTGCCCAGGACTACAAAGTGAGTAGCTCGACCTTTTGCCGATAGTTTGGACAGAAGCAAATTCTCACTCCCATTGCCCTTTCTTCCCTCCATGCCCTTTCTAGGCTCACCTCGATTCCTTCTACAAAGACTTGAAAGCGGCGAACCCCCAGTGGGAAGTCGAGCATCAATTCGAGTACGATCTCCACGATGTCTTCCTGGGAGCTTCCTTCTTCATGAGACCCGCCGCCTCCAACAACAAGAGAGCCGAAGATGCCCCGAGCGATTCTCATCTAACCGAAATGGCAATGATGGTGATGAACAAGTTATCAAACCATACTTCTGTCCAAAACACCTGGCGCGACAGTCTCATTTCGCATGCTCACGAGGGAGAGCGAAGCAAATCAGCCGGCACCATGATCAAGGACCGTCCGTTCGTCAGACACAACATGGCACACTCTCCCCGAAGGAATGCCTCGACTGCAAATTCGCATTTTCGTCGCAAGCAGACTGGACAACTCGATGAATACCCACCTCACGTGCAACAGGGCATCCACATTCAGCATCGTCTTGGCAACCTCGGACAGGGCGAGCTAGTGTGTGTCATCGACGTTCCAGTCGACTATACCAACCCCTTCCTCAATGGTGGTGCCAAGGGCGCATGTCTTGGCGAGGGCTGCCCCATCGACAGCGGTGTCTACTACTTCGAGAAACCAGACAGTCAAAATCCGCTTCCTCCCACTCCCCTGCCCAAAATTGCTCCTACTACAGAGGAGACCTGGTGAGTTGACCTCGATCGTCGTCGTGACCGCGTATCTTGCCCCCTGCTCACTCATTTGTCTCTCACCAGCTTCCATGGCACTCACGTCGCTGGCATCATCATCGCCGACAACTCGGATCTCTTCGTCGGTGCATCGCCTGGCGCCAGGGTCGTTTCGATTGGTGCCTTCCCTTGCGGTGAGGGGGCCACCAGAGACTCCATCATCATCGACGCCTTCCTACAGGCCAAGAAGAAGCGCTGTACCATCGTCAACGGTAGCTTCGGCACCGTTGGTGAATGGCCTGGTGCTCCAACCACTATTGCCGCGTGAGTAAGGTGGAAGCACTGCTCATGTTGACCCTCTGCTCACTTGAACCGTCCTTCCTCCCGCAGAGATCGCTTGGGTGCCCAGATCCCTGTCGTCATTAGCGCCGGCAATAGTCGTAGTCTTGGCCCCTTCTCTTCCGGATGTCCCGCTTGTGGAGACAATGTCATTTCTGTGGCTAGTGCTGAGAACAAGGACCTGTGGGGTATCCCATTGGTGGTAGACAGGCCCATCTACGGCAACAGGACTGACACCGTAGTCGTTGAGACATCCATCTCCTGGACCTACAACGACACTTTGCTACTGCAAGAGTTACCTGTCTGGTTCACACCTGAGGCGATCAAGGCAGGACGTAACCCTGGCTTCGAGTGAGTCTCCTCCGTCTCCATTTGTGCTCACGCTTAGACATTTACCTACTCCACTTTTCATCGCCAATTCCTCCAGTGCATGTCTACCTCTCGGCGATGATGTTGGAGACCTGTCAAAGACTATACCTATCGTCTATCGTGGTGACTGTTCAGTGCCTACCAAGATTCTGGAGCTTCAAGCAAAGGGCGCCAGAACGATGATCCTTGTGGCCAACAACACCATGTGAGTCTCGATGTGAGCCAGTCGGGAGCTTGCTGCCTCGCTCCTCGCCATCTACCTTTCAAGCACTGCAGACACCGTCAGGGAACACCCAATTGACACCTCTCACCCTTCTCTTCTTACCTCGACAGACCACGAGCCTACTTCAACCCCTCTTTCTTCGACATGTTCCTAGGAATCATCGAAGCAGACGCAGCTGCAGCGCTGCTCAATGCCGTCACAGACCGAGAGTTGATCGCATCCATCAGCCCAGGAGAGCCTTACCGCTTTGACAAGATACCCAACAAGGACGTCGGAGAGATCAGCAACTTCAGCAGCATGGGTCCTTCGAACCTAGGTCAGATGAGGCCACACGTCACCGGCATCGGCGGCTCGATCCTGAGTACCCTGCCTGAGCCAGTGAGGCTCGGCGTACTGGAGGGCACCTCGATGTCATCACCAATGATTGCTGGCGCCGTTGCCCTGTACCGTAACAAGTACCCCAACGCATCGCCTGCCAAGGTTCGCAAAGCACTTGTTCACCATGGATATCCTGCTGTCACTACCAGCGGTGCTGGCGGCAAGTACGAGACACTTCACCTCGGAGGTGGCATCGTCAACATCACCGCCGCCATCAATGCCGAGACGGATGTTCTGCCTCTGAGCTTTGACTTTGGTGACTCAAGCCAGAGCAAGCGCATCTTCCACCAGGAGCTTCGCATCAAGAATGAAGGCACTACCAAGAAGACGTACTCTATCGATCATGAGCCTGCGCAGAGCTACTGGGCACTGCAGGAGGGAGCACCACTCAAGAGGAAGGACCCTTCGTTCATGGCGTTTAAGAATCCCCCTGATGCGAATGAGGAGACCGCTCATGTTGACATTGCACACAAGACGATCACGCTAGGTAAGTCTCGAATGCAGTGTGGTTAGCTCTCATAGCAGTGTCAGGTGGCTGATCACACCTTTTTCTGTACTTCTCCTCAGCACCCAACGCTACTCGCACAGTCCGTCTCGTCTTTACTCCTCCGACTCAAGCACCTCGATGGAACCTCTACTCTGGCTACATCCGTATCAGCTCAGGAGCTGAAGAGGCTCGAGTGCCCTACGGAGGTATCGCCGGTGTGCTCAGTAGTGTCCCGGCTCTCCAGTCGGGCATCAGCGCCTACAATACCTCCCTGCCCGCTCTCTTTACGCCTGGGTTCAAAGAGCAGATCACCAACGACACAACTGTCTGGGCACTGGACGAGAGCGACGAGACAAGTATGCCTCTCTTTGCCTACGTTGTTCAGACTCCCTCCGAAAGGCTCTACATCGACGTTGTGGCTGCCGATATCGACTATCAGCCTACGCTTCCCATCATCGACGATCCTGACAGTAGGCAGGGCTTCCTCTCTGAATTCCCGCCTGATCCCCCGTCTTCGAGAAGCAGCAGCAGGGGCGTCCCTGCCCTCACCGGCCAACCGGTGGCAGCTTTGAACAGCAGTAGCCACAGCGGCACTAGCAGTGGCAGTGGCAGTGGCAACGGCATTGGCGAGAGCAAGGCGACGGGACCTAAGTCTTCGAAGTACGTCAAGATCGCTGACGTCCCAGTGGTAGGACGTCTAGATGCGGACAATGATATCATTCGCAATTCGATCTCCTCGAGGTCGATTGACGCCACTGGCTTCTACCCTGCCTACCTGGTGAGTCAGAAAGATGGCCTGCAGCTGCTGACCTGATGGGAGTGAAGCTGAGAGCTCTGCCCTTTTCTTCGTCTTTTGCACAGTCACGCTACCTCGACTCGCCTGATCAGCCAGGCCAAACCATCGAGCTACAACCTGGAAAGTACCGAGTACTCCTCAGAGCGTGAGTACCGTACATCCTCCAGCCTTCTCCCACCACACTATCTCTGTTCTGATCATCCCAGATGACACCCATACCCACATACCTCTCCTGCCTACCTTTTACTCTCACAGCCATCGCTGGAACAGCAGCAAGAATCCAGCAGACCTGGACCTCGAGGCCAACTATGACTCATTCCTCTCGCGGGTATTCGAGTATCGCCCAAATGCACCAGGAAGGGGCAGCGGTGGTAGCAGCAGCAAGAGTGGAAAGGGTGGAAAGACTGGAGGAGGTGCTGATGCGGAGCAGAAGTAGAAGTAGCCTGCTTCACAAAGGCCTCTGACTCTTCCGGCTATCACCCAAGTCAAGTCGTATATACCCAATTTAAGAGCCAATCTTCAGCTACCAGTCTCCAGTCTTCAGTAGCTGACTGGAGCACCACGCTCCCTCCACTCCGATCCGATAGTAGTAGTAGTATAGTATCCTCTTCGTCATCATCTAGACGCCTCCAGCTTCAATCTATCGTCCTTATCCCTTCGTAGCATCGTTCGTTCGTTTGCTCACAGACTGTCCGTCTGCCTGACTGGCTCCCCTGCCGGTTCGCGGTTTGCGGTCTGTCGTCGCCGTCTGCGAATCGGCCCCGCTCAGACTGGTCAGTGCTGTACTCTGCTCTGTCAGAAAAGTGAATACTGTAGAAGCAAGGCACAGTACAAGTAGCAGTGCGCCCAGCCAAAGTCGTTGTAGAGCAAATCGTTCCCGAACACGTACAATACTGGATCTGCATGGTATTTCTGGTTCGAATCTGCATAAGCGTCATGTTTCGTTCAAGAGCATAGGTCTTATGGTACAGTGAAAGTGGAATAGGAATGATAACAGGCCCCATTCTCTCGCTTCACTCATCCGCTAGCATATAGGCTAGATCGCCTACTCTCGCTCATCTCCCAGAGCTAGTGGTTCTCCTCGGTACGCAGTTCCCTCCTCGGCGAGCTCTTCCTCCCTCTCTGCGAGCTCCTCCTCCAGGTCGGCGAGGAGGCTCTCCTTCAGAGCGTCCGATAAACCTTCAGCCTGTCGGATGTCTTCGATCTCCATCTTCAAGAGACGACTCTTTCTCTGCTCCCAAGTGGTAGATCTTCCTGCAGCAACGCGTTGTTCCTGTCTCTCATCTTGCTGGTTTGGCGCACCAAGTGCTTGCCAATGCTCTACGTTGGCGGCAAGTGCCGACAGTGACCAGACGACGGGTGGGGGAGGAGTTCCCCGTGTCTTTCTGCTTGTAGCAGCTAAGCAGAACCATTCACCAGGTACAACAGCTGCCGGCCCGGGGTGCTCCACTACAGTAGTAGCGGCGGCCTGATTCCCGTCGGCAGATAGTACTGCTTCTTGGGCCTCTGAGCCGTACCTCCAGACGTGCACTTGTGTCGACTTCCTAGCCTGGGTCAGAACGATGATAGAGGCTCCAGCATGAGACGAGTACCACAGCTTGACCCCGATGGCGTTAGAGTCTGATTCTGCCCAGCGGCTGACTACAGCGAGGAGATGGGTGAGATTCTCATTTGCCCAGGCTACTTCAATCGTGGTGCAAATGCGCTCCCCCCGATCCACGTAGGTTTCGTCTGGCTCTTTAAGCAGAGCTACTTCCTTGTCGTTTACGTCGACCCAGCCGATGGTGGTCGTTGTGCTGCCCGCCGAATCGATCAGACTATGCAAGCCATGGAGCAGGGGAATGCAGAAGTGGTTGTCAGCGTTATTGTGTCTACGCCCTAGGACATCGCATCGTACACCCAACTCACTAGTATCGAAGCTGTTTCGACACCTTAGAATGTAGCCAAGCGGTGGTCCTCGCATGGGAAGGTGTCGAGTCTCCCCAGAACAACGTCTGACCAACGATCTCCTGACCTCCCTCTTGCGCCCCCTCTTCTCGGATAGCCACACCCATTGTAGGAGACAGTCCCCAGGAGAGACGCCATGAAGGGGAGAATTCTCCATTGGTGAGATTGTTGAACATGTCTTTTGTGATCCAGCCCAGACAGATCGGGCCCTCCCCCTTCCCTTCTTGAGAGATGTGACGAGATGCTTGCTCTGTGATCTCAACAAGGGCTAAGAGGCCTTCATCGGGAGGAGCACTGCCGTTCGAGCTGGTGGGTGAGAGAGGACCGTTTGGTTCCGTTGGGACCATCGGCAAAGGCGAGGTCATTGTGGTCTTTCTACCGATGCACTACTGTAAGAGAATCTCTTCTTTGTTGAGGACGTTGAGTGGTAGTCGATGATAATCATGAAGAGATAGGCAGGAAAGAGGGAAAAATGCTAATGTATCGCGTGCTTGGGTGCCGGAAGTGGACTTACTATATTGCGAGCCCGCATTGCAGTTGTACCGGTGCAATACAGCAGCGGTAGATCAATTTTCCCTCTTTGGCGATACCGATCGTTAACGTCCCCTCCTCGACCTTCTCCGCTGGCAATATGAACACGGTCAGCCAGAGTGCTCCCCGTGGATGCGCTGTAGGATTGTGAAATACGATAGAGAGCACAAGTAGAGAGCACAGGTTCAGAGAAACCCCTGCCATGTTGTGCTGCCTCGCAATACCCGATGCTGTACTGATTCTCAGAATCGCTCGACAGTCTCGCTGGATGCTGCGTGCTGGGCGGACAGACAGTTGCCTCTCATCAATCAGATTGCATATGTGCGCCTTGTGTAAAAGCTCATGAGAGGGCATCGTCGTAGCGGATCCACGCTTCATACCGGGGGCGTTGACTGACTGAAACAGATGTCAAGTCCCGATCCTCTTTTACTCAGCCACATCTCCCACCTCCTCTCACCTTCTCACGAGAGATCTGTGATGGTGATGTCCCAGTGCATCAATTTGAAGCAACAAGATCATGTGAGGAACATCGAGGGGGAGAACAGGGAAAGGTGATGAATGATATACAGTACGAACGTTTTCTCCCCTCTCCCATCCCAAACCCGCCCAGACTACCGTGTCGGCTGCCTATCCTCTTCCAGCTTCCAACGCCAATTGTCTCCTTTTGCCCGCAAGCTTCCTCTCCATCTCGGCCAGTAGCCTCAGCCTCAGCTCCTCGGAGATTCCTTCGGCGCGCCGAACATCGTCGATCTCTATCTCCAAGAAACGACACTGCCTCTGCTTCAATGAAGCCGCTCTCTCTCGTCGGATGCGTTGTCTTTCTTCGTCCTCTCCTTGTTCTGACGCGTTCGCCTGCAGGTGCTCTATATAGGCTGCAAGGGCCGACAACGACCAGACAACGGGAGGAGGCGGGACGCCATATTTTTCCTCATCATCAGACCTGCAGAACCATTCCCCAGGGATCACAGCGGCAGGGCCAGGGCTTTCAATGACGAGGGCGGCACTTCTTGCTGTGCCAAGGACCAGAGCTGCCTGTGCCTTTGCTCCATGCCTATAGACTTGCACTTGATCTGAATCTCTCGCTCGAAGTACGACCAGGATAGAAGCACCTGCTGCCGAGTCCCAGGCCTTGACACCAACGGCATTGCAGTCGGCTTCTGCCCAGCGGTGTACCTCATCGACAAGCCGTGCCACGTTCTCGTTCTTCCATGATACCTCGACAGCAGTGAAGACAACGTCCGCTGCATCCAGATAGCACTCGTCCGGCTGTTTGACAAGGGTCGTATCTGTTCTTGCCCGTTCGGTGCCTCTGGTGACCGTGATCTCCGTGCTGGAGTCCCTGCCGGCTTCGACTTCACTGTGGGGCCGGTAGAGCAGCCGAGTAGCGGAGGTCAAGCGATGATCTGGTGTGGCCTGCCGCTACGCTGGTGTCGTATTCAACTCACTAATTACGCAGTTGCCTTACGACCCTCTGATGCAACCAAGTGGTGATCATTGCATGCTCGGGACTGGGGTCTCCCCAAAACAATACCTGTCCGAGCACACCACTCTCCCCCTGGTCTCGAATGGACGTGGTCATATTTGGGGAGAAGCCCCATGACAAGCGATAGCTTTTCGAGAGGTCATCCTGGACCCGCTCGAACATGTCCTTCGTGGCCCAGCCCAGCGAGATGGGACCCTCCTTGAGCCCGCCTTGCACTTCAAGCGCTGCTTGTCTCCCTCTCTCTAGCAGAACTCTTCCTTCCGCTTCCAAAGACCTCGTGCTAAAGAAAGTTCCACTTTCATCTTCGACCGCTTCCCAGGACGCCCTGAGGGGGCTCGCTTGTGTCAACCGCAAGTCGTCGCTGAGGTTCCTGGCCAGTTGTGCGAGAAGATCTAAGCTGCCAGCTTCGACCTGGGACCCGTCTGTCAAGATGGGCACAAAGCTTGTCACACTCAAGGTGGAAGGGCCAGCATGTGCCTCTGGAGGTGGTGACGCTGTGTCATCACTTGTAGAGACGGCGGGCATGGAGTCGCCGACACCGAGGACAAGTTCGACCCGCGCAGCAGGTGTTGTGGGAGGCGTGGTGGTCGCTGTCAGGGTCAGAGGAGGTGTTGAAGTCATCGTGAGTCTATGTCGAAGTCGTACAGATAGATGATGAAAGTCAGAGAAGAGATAGACAGGAGCGAGCGTCGGGTTCCCGGATGCCGGAAGCAGATGTAAAGTACGGTGGGCGCGCGAATGGTCATTCCTGTGGAGGCGGCAAAAGCATTCTAAGTGGCGTCAGTGCAGTAGAAGCCAATCACCTCTGTCGCAAATCTTGTTCGAGCTAAGGCTTCTCACAATTGCGGAGGGACTTCAGTGATTGCAATGGAAGAGTTCAACGTTTCAATTCGCATCAAGACGTGCTGGCACTTGAGGCTTGGTATGCGGAGCTGTTGAAAAGAGCGCAGTCAGAAACATTCGATCTTATCACATAGTCGAGGGAAAAGTGGAAATGGAGAATATCGACAGGAGGGCGGAGTAAGGAGAATCGAAAGAGGGAGGACAGGTAGCATTCCCTACTCCTTTCTTGCCGACTCATACACCCACTCAAATCCCTATTACCTGGCATCTGCTGCTTCCATCCTCCAGAAGGCCAGCATATCTTCCTTTTCCTCTACTAGCTGTCCTCTGAGGGTCTCGGATATGCCTACCGCAAGCCGGATGTCATTTAACTCCAATTCTGTGAGGCGACACTCCCTCTCCAGTGCATCGGCGTCCCTCTCTTCGAGCATACGTTCCCTTTCGCTACCCTCGCTTCGGTCCGCCACAACGTCCGCAACCATTTCCTGGATCAGGGCCGCAAGTACCGAGAGAGACCAAACGACATCAGGAGGAGGAACACGGATGGTCTGCCGGCTCTTGCCATACTTGATGAACCAATCGCCAGGGATGACGACAGCCGGACCAGGACGCTCCAGAACAGCGGCCACATTACGGCAAGGGCCAAGCACTAAGGCTCGTTGAGCATGTGCTCCGTGCCTCCAGACTTGCACTTCTGCCGAGTCCCTGGCTTGTAACAGGAGGAGGACAGAGGGGCCGGCATGGGCCGTCGGACCCCAAAGCTTGACACCAATTGCATTGCGGTGAGAGTCAGCCCATCGGTGAACCTCATCGAGGAGCAGTGCGGTATTCTCATTGCTCCATGCGACCTCCAGCGCTGTCACGACCGTCCGCTTTCTGTCCAGGTAGGCATTGTCAGGCTCCTTGACCGTCTTGACCTCTCGTTGGGTCCGTGCGGAGCCTCTCGTCACGGTCAGCTCTGTCCTTTGGTTCCGAACAGCGTGGAGAACGCTGGGTGAGCGATAAGCAAAAGCAGTAGCGATGCTCAGCACGTTATTTTTGGCCGTGTGGTGGCTACAGTGGCATGATACTCACTATCCTTTGAGCTGTTCTGACACTTTTTCGTGCAGCCATTCAATGGTCTGCTCATGCATGGGAGATGGATCCCCCCAGAACAGGACCTGTCCAAAGCTGCCACTACCCTCCTTCTCATGCTCGGCTACCTCCATAGTCGGAGAGAGCCCCCACGACAAGCGGTAAGCACTGGAAAGGCGCCCGACGAGCCTTTCGTACATGTCCATGGTGGCCCACCCGAGGGAGATGGGCCCGGCCTCTACTCCACTTTGTATCTTGAGCGCTGCCTGCCTCGCTTTCTGTTCCAAGCACAACAGCTCCTCCTCCAAAGAAGATGTCGTAAAGGAGGCACCGTCTTCGCTTTCTACGGGACCCCAGCTCTTCTTGGCAGGACTTGACTTATTCAGACCTAGGTCATCTCTGATATCTCTCGAAAGGGAGTTCATGACATCCGGGTCTACAGGCGGCATTTGAGGGGCGGAGAGGATGCTGCTAGCAGCTGGACCCACGGAGACGAGAGAAGCGGGGGTTGTCGGAGGGGTAGAGATTGCGAGAGTCAAGGGTGGAGTTGATGCCATCGTGGTCTTGTATCTCAGAGGTCGCACACAAGACCGTATAATGGCTAAGGGATGAGTACTCTCAAAGGTCGAGTTGTCGCATTCGTGGCGGCCGGAAGCACATGGGAGCGCGCGCGCCCTTAGTGTGGAGGGAGGTTTGTACGGGAGAGCGAGCAGAGGTATTGTACAGTCCACAGGGAATGCGGTAGTGGCCTCAGTCATAGGTAGGATCATGCTCACGTCAAGGCGAAATGGTAGGGTCACACGGTCGGAAATGCAGACGTCACACCCGCCCGATGTTGTGGTGTTAGCTCTCCCTGACAGTGTACTCGATATTCATATAGTGCGTTGAAACACAAGACCAATTCGACGGTCGCACAAGACATTCAGTAATCGCGATGAGACACTCGGTGTCCCCATTTGATTTGAAACGAGCGAAAGGATATGTTTGAGCCGATCTCCGTGGAGAGCCGAGAGGGGAAGTCCAGTCACAAAGCGTCGGCCTTGGTACATATTCGATTCAATTTGAACTGGGGCGGAGGGAGGGCAATAGAGATCAAAGAGCAAGACGACAATGGGCCCCACCATCTGAGGAGTGCAAATCTTGAGTCCGATGGCTTGCGTTCCGACACAGAGCGAGCAATGATCTTGAGAGGTGACTCCGGAACAACGACAAGTGGGGGGACAAGATGGAGCAGGGAGCACCCTAACCGCTCAGGGTCCGAGCCGACGCGCCATATCCACCCGTTCCCAACGCCTCCTCTTGAGCGCCAATCTGTCACGCAGGGGTTGCAGAAGCTCTTCCCTGACCTCCTCTGCGAGACCCTCGGCAACGACGAGGTCGTCGACCTCGGCCTGTGCGTAGAGGAACTCCATCCTCTGACGATTGGCCTCCAACTCATCCAGGACGGGGTTTGCTTCTTCGGCCGGCAGACCTTCCGCATCGTCTTCAGTCTTGAGGATGGGCAGAAGCAATGCCAGCTCGGATAGAGACCAGATCACAGGACGAGGTGGTCGTTCTGACAGCTCTTCGAAACCGCTGTCCAGACAGAACCAGGCGGCTGGCAGGACGACGGCCGGTGTGTGGCACTCGATAACCACGCTCCTGCTCTGTACGGAAGCCTGTTCGGCCTCCGCTCCATACCTCCACACCCGGACTTGCTCTCCGCCGCGCTACTGAGCGAATACCAGTATCGAGGCGCCAGCAACCTTGGACAGCCAGAGCTTGAAGCCGATGCCGTTCCGTCCAGACTGAGACCACCGGTGAAGCTCATCGAGGAGCTTGGATAGGCTCTCATTGCGCCAAGCAACCTCAACCGCAGTCATAATGACGCGTCGGCTGTCGAGGAAGCTCGCGTCTGGCTCCTTGTTCTGGGTGACCATGCGGGTGGCGCGAATGGTTCCAGAAGGGTGCTGAGGGTGGTAGTACGACTTCCAGCAGCATAGATGTAACTGCTTGAGCGTCAAAGTCGGCGAACAATCGCTTCAGTCGCATGGTCGAAGTCGGTCCGCTCCTGCTCTTGAACTAAGATGAGCACCGAAAAGCCAGCATCGTCCGAGTGCCAGATCTTGCAGCCGATGGCGTTGTGTCCAGCCTGTGCCCATCGACGAACCTCCTCGAAGAGCCTGGGAACGCTTTCGTTCTGCCAAGCAACTTCAAGGGCCGTCATTCATCATCAAGAAAGCACTGGTCTGGCTGCTTGACCTGTGTGATGGTTTGACTCACCCCAGAGGTACCAGAGGAAGTCTCGAGCTCGGTGTTGCTCTGGCCTGCTGTCTCGATACAGCTGCAGAAATGTCAAATGAGATGGGCAGCAAAGGTGAGCTCAAGGGTGATAGGCGATCGACCAGTGGTCATGTATCGTACTCACTAGCCTCTGAGCTGGGCACTAATTTTCTTCAAGACCCAGTCGATAGTTCTCTCGTGGGGTCCCGAAGGGTCGCCCCAGAAGAGGACTAGACCAAATGAAGCGCGTCCTACCTCGTCTCGAATGGCCTCGCTCATGTCCGGGTGGAACCCCCAAGACAGGCGATAAGCAGATGAGAGTTTGTTGCATGGCCGGTAATAGATATCCTGTGTTGTCCATTCTAGAGAAATGGGGCCTTCTCTCCCTCCCGTTTGTAGATCGATCGCGGCCTTTTTGTCCTTTCAGCTAAGCTGGACAGCTCATACTCAAGGGAGGTCGTGGTGAATGTCACGCGGCCTTCTTCCTCCGGGAGATTGAGCACCTTTCTTGCCGGGCTTGATTGAGTGAGATGCCCGATCCTCCTCCTCTCCTCTGCATCCGTGAGAAGCCGTCTGCAAACAGATTGCGAACTCATTAGTTGAGCCACGCTGAGGTTTGCCGTACGACCCGATTGCACCTTGTATGCCGAAAGCTTTGAGGTCCTGTTGCTCGCTGTCACACTCTGTGCTAGGCTCGCGCACGACTGAGGCATAAAAATCGACTCTGTTGCCGCGTTCTGAGTAGACATGGCTTTCGCTGTAGCGTCAGGACGGCTGCGATTGTCCTCATAGCAATAAAAGTCCTTGATGGCCTCGTCTTCTTCTTCTTCTTCTGCGTAAGGGTAGTCACAGGTGCCGTAGGACCTCTTGACGTCGCTGGATGAAAGGCAGTATTTGCAGCGATAGTACTTGCAGCGATAGTACTTGCAGCGATAGTACTTGCAGCGATAGAACTTGCCACAATAGAACTTCCAGCGGCAGAGCTCGTGACCGTGTCGAGTGGCATTGTCTTCTCCACAAGGTGCAAGCATCGACGTTGAACGATCTTATGAAGTAAGTCGCTCGCAGCCTGCGTATGAATGGCAGTGGTACAGTACAGTGCTCGGAAGATCGTCGATGTGACGGCTTGCGAAAGGAAAGACTACGTTGGATTGAGTGCTTCGGCGTGCTTGGCGTGTGGAAGTGCCTGTCGGCTGTAGCGGTGTTGCTAAGTCGAGCTAGTACGCAGAAGTAAACAGTATAGTATGTGAGTATCGATGGTGGCTGAATAGTGATCTCATCCTCGTCGTGGGTCTCTCAGGACTTGTCGAGTGGTGCACTCTCAACTCACCTCAGTGGTGTACAGTGGTAGTGGTGTTGCCTCCCTCTTGTAGGTAGAGCATCGGTCGAGCTAATGTGCATGCTTGATGTTGTCACGCCGTATCCCTGTGTGATAGTGTTGAGCTTCAGCTCAAGATGGTACTGGGATGATTGTGCATGTACTCACTCACCAGATCCCCGTCTTAATTTGGCCTTCCCGTCAATCCAGTAGTCGTGTAGATGTAGCTAGCGTCTCCCATTGAAGGGCAAGTGAATCGATACTCAGTGGCGATGGGTAAACTTGTGAGTTGCGAGGTGTGGTAAAGAAGGGAAGAGGGGAGAGGAGCGAGTTTTCTCTCAGGTACGAGAAGAGAATTTTCACCGCGCCTGCTCAGCTCAGCTCAGGTCCAGCGTGCACTGCGGAACTCATTTACTCCCGCCCTCAGCACGTTCTCCTTGTCCCCGCCCCATGTGACCTGTGAAGACGTCACGCCTGCTCAGGTCTACAGTACGTCCGCACAGGTACACAGGCACCACTCGTGGTCTCGGCTTGCCGACTTCCGAGCTACACGGGTGCCTGACTCGGGAGAGATCGGGTGCCTGAGTAGGTCGCTGGTGCTGCTACAGGAGTGACTCTGACGAATGCCACACACGAGACAGAACCTACAGTGAAAGCCCCTCGCTAATTGCACATAGTACGACGACAGGGAGCAGGAAGACTATAGTGATATTATTGTTTATCCATTGCTATCGCACACAACGTGACCACAGCGATACAGAAGCTTCCACTCTCGATCAATCGAGCGTTGAAGCCATCCTCTCCAGTGCGTCCATTTGACCCATTCCGAACGACCATCCTATCTCTTGTTCATCTGACATGCAATCTAGAGCTTGGAGGACTCAACGAAAGAGACACCCTTGCTGATGTTACCGTCCAGGTCCTCAACGGCCTTCTTGATCAGGCCCTGCTCGTAGTCGTTGACCTTGCCCAGACCGTGAATCTTCTCCACACCGTTGGGGCCGAGGGTGACGGGGACCGAGAAGTAGGCGGGCGAAGCGCCAATGGCAGAGGCAACCTCCTTGCCTCCTGACTCGGACGTGAGGTCAACGTAGGCGTACTCGGGCTGAGAGCTGCCCTTGCCACTGGCTGCCTCCAGCACAGCCGAAGCGAATCGGGCACCAGCGAAAGCCATGGAGAGAGTGGCAGAGCCGGCTCCGTCCTTGGCCTTGACGACCTCGTCTCCTCCGAACTGAATTCGGTTGGTCAGGGACTCAACGGTAGACTGGTCCAGCGACACGGATGGCGAGGTCTGCGAGAGCAGTGGCACAATGGTGACACCAGAGTGGCCTCCGATGACAGGGATCTTGAACTTGAGAGAGTCAGTGGGTTGACCAGCTGCCTCGGCAACGAAGGTGGAAGCTCGCACGACATCGAGAGTGGTGACACCGAACAGCCTGGAAGGAAGAAGCGGGCGCAGTGGTCAATGTCACCGGTCTGACAACTGACCAGCTGCGCTGCAACTGCGCTACACTCACCTCTTGGGGTCGTAGACGCCCTTCTTCTTCAGCACCTCGGCGCAGATGGGGACAGTCGAGTTGACGGGGTTGGAGATGACCAGGACGAAAGCCTTGGGGGCGTGAGCTGCAATGCCGACGGCAATGTCTCGGACGATCGAGGCGTTGATCTGGCAGCGAGCAGGCGTAGATTGGACGTCAGCGAAGCGTCCCATGGGCGAAGGATGCCTTGGCTTTGCCCTGTACTCACGTTGAACAGGTCATCACGAGTCATTCCAGGCTGAAGAGACGAACAGAAGCCGAAAATATCTGTCAGTTCTGGTCTCGGAAATGCCATCGATGTCCATCCTCCGCTCCGCCCCTGCTCCTGAGAGTGGTCGTGAGGTCATCCGCACAGACGCCTACGCCTGCCTAGCATGTCAGCTGCTTGCAACAAGTCAGCATAAGCAGCGGACTCCCACAGCTCTTAGAACGCTCCACTAGCGGCCTGCTACTGGTCGACCGTGCCCGTTGCAGCTTCCCACGCTCTCGCTATGCTACTTCCGCTCCTCTCACCTTTCGGGGCACACCAGCGGGGATGACGACGATGTCAGCTCCCTTGAGAGCCTTCTCCAGACCTCCATCGGGTGGCAGGTATCCCTTGACAACCGAGGGGGTGTTGATGTGGGAGATATCAGCGGCGACACCGGGGGAGTTGACGCTAAGATAGGACGATGGGAGCGGGAGGGTAGAGGAGGGAGAGCGATTGCTGTTAGGAGCATTGTACGTGGAAGCGCTTTCCAATGTAGCACCCTACTCACACATCGTAGAGCGCCAGGTCGGTGATGAGGGTGTTCTGCTTCAGGAGGAGCGAGAGCGGCTGGCCTGGAGGAGATGCGGAAGGAGGGCGATTAAGGTGTGAGTACAGTGCTGCAGCGGGGGATGTGAGCCGCGGTTTCGAGATACGTACCGATACCACCAGCGGCACCACTGAATCATGACAAGGAGAGGAGTCGGCAATATGGCCAGTCAGTCTTCGGAACAGTAGATGTGGCAGGAGTAACGAGTCTCGGAATGCGGCTAAGACAGTGCCATGCTGGGGCCGAGGGGCCATGGGTCAGGCCGGCTGCGCTTCCTCCCACTCGCGCTACTCACATGACAGTAGCTTTAACCATGGTTGTAGAGTGTGTATGTGGTGTGTGTGAGCGTGAGTGTGTGAGTAGGAGTCTCTCAGAGGAGGTGAGATGTACGAAGGAGTGTGTAAGAAGGTGAAGCGAAGCGAGAGGAAGGAAGGTCACGGCCTCGTCGTCCGGTTGAAGCACCGGCCAGCGTCCTCGCCTCCCCACACAGCTGGGCACGGTGCCCCACGCAGACGGCCCAGGTGGAGTCTCTCAGTCTCGTGCTCTCCCTCGGCTGGTCACGGGCTTCTCAGCACTCAGCCTCAGCTCACGCCTCCGCTCCGCCGTCCGCTATCGCCGTTCCGCTTTGGCCCGGGCGGCGCGCGCGCACACACGGTCCAGTTGAAAGCAAGTCCACACGCCCGCCCGCACACGCTTCGACCACGCCTCGAACAGTACTACCGCTGGACGCCATGCTAGTCTTCAAATGATGTGTGCAGTGAGTAGGATAATGTTTGCCAACGGCGAGCCGAATAAGGTAAAGATAATCAAACGGATTGCATACATGGGTATATTAGACGTGTGTCGCGTCAATAAGTTAGGAGGGTAGGGGAACGGAACCAAGGCTTCGTTCGTACCGAGGTGGGGGGAGATCTATAGCAAAGGGCCGCCCGGGCCATGGAGCGAGAGTGTGTGCAGTGAAAGATGACAGACGATGACTATGCAAAGGAGAACGAAGCGATGCGGATACTAGCATGACTAGCAGCGAGAAGCACTGACGCATGCACCGTAGGCGGTAGCCATGAGCACCGCGGCAGCCTGGCCTTCAGGACTACCCGAGGTGTAAGGCGTCGTGTCGTACCAGTCGTAAGGGTTCACAGTCTGGTTCACATAACCATTCGACTTGACCTGGGCAGCGACGGCCGTGCGCAACTTGTTGGCCCAAGTCTTGTAGCCCTTTGCCCCAGCGGGATCAAGGACCATCATGCGGTAGGCAACAGAGGCGATCATGGCTGTTCCTGTAGCGTCTCCAAAGTTGCCATTGGGCTTGGCGGTCTGGCCGGAAGAGTCGCCCACCAAGTAGTTGGCAAGCAGTCCGGTGCCATCGGGCGAGAAGCCTGCAGCCATACATCCATCGAGGATCTCGTAGATGTACTTCTTGATCAGTGCGGGCTGTGTGGTCCACTTTGCTGTACGAGACCAATTGGTCATGACAGCTAGGACACGGACCATGCCTAGAGCTGCCCAGCCGTTGCCAGTAAGCCAGACGCCATATGTGGCGCTCTGTGGGCCGACGATGTGCACCCACAGACCTTGCCAGCTAGCGGTGGTGTTGGCCTGCAACACTTGCCGGTAGTAGGTGGCTTGCTTGACGGCATCCTGAATGTACTGGATGTTTTGGGTAGCGGGACTGTAGTACGCCAGGGCTGGAGTGAGCATATACCTATGAAAAGAGGAGGAGAAGTCCTGGTGAGCTTCAAGTCATCGGCTACTCTTCTCGACAGGAAGCGCTGACATTGGGACTCACATAGCGTCGGCCCACAGCTCAGCGACATCGGCGCGAGCCGAAATGGCTCCATTGTAGAACTTCGGTCCGGCGTAAAGGGTAGCAATCTGTTTCTTGGCGGCAGTCAGATACGCCGGTGTGGTCTGGCCCACTAGAATCGCCCCTGTGGTCAGCGATGCTGGATCCGTCAGAGATCCGGCACCGTCGATGAGCGAATTGCTGTTGGTCCTGATGAGCGGCTTGATGTAGCTCAGAGCGGTGTGCGTCGACACTGCCACGCTAGGTACTTTGCCGCTTGGGAATGCTGTCGACGAGAAGACCGAGCGTGTCGGGGAGCACAGCTCAAGAAGAGCATCAAAGACGACTCCATATTCCCACGAGTGGCTTGCGAGGTCGGTAGCTACACCCGCAACCTTGCCAACATCGAAACCAGGCTGTGGTAAGGCAGACGTAGGACACTGTACAGCAAAGGTCAGCGGAACGAAACGCCGTTGTCAATTCTGCAACGGTCATGAGAGACTCACACTTAGGCTAGATGTGCACGTCACGGATTTGCTGGTCTTTTTCGCCCTCTTGACGAACTCAACTCGATCGACCTCATCCAGATAGCCTACACCTGTGTGGCGCCGTGCGGCACTTTTTCTCCGGAAGAGGTTCAGCTGCTCCTCTGATGCTGCGAATGTAGTAGACGCAGTGAACAGCAGCACAGATGTGGCTATGAGGAACAGCAGTCGCCACGAGGCCTTCCTCGCGCCGATGTTAGTAGCTTGAATGTCAGACATTGTATGAGGTATGGATGAGGATGATGACGGGATATGCTGATGACGATGAGGATGATCTGAATAGAATGCTTGATTCAAATAGTCTGGCAGCCCAAGGGATTCCGGCGGCAGTATATGGACGTCGTCTGGCTGTGTATGCTGTGTGAAGTGAAAGGGGTCCTAGCCGGCTAGGGACCGACACTTGGCAGCGGGTATATATTGTATAGGGGAAGGGGTGGTGGGGCAAAGAGGAGTCGGATGGTCAAGAGGGGGTGTAAAGGTCCGTCGGCAAACACGTCGCGCCCACACGGGGGGGGGACCTAAAAGGGATGAACTTCATAACCTCCGATGGAAGAATGTGTAGGCTATCGCAAAGCATGTCCGCTCTCCGACGTGAGAAATCGACAGATCGCGTCGGGGGAATACCTCTGGTAAGATGCTGCCAAAGTGCTCGGCTAGCGTTGCGACCCAGTTTCAACTTCTAGATCCGTGGGCCAACGCAAGGCAGCGTCGGAGATGACAGCACCCCGCCTTGCCTTGCCTACAGGAGGAAGCGAGCGTCCTTTTTCCGGAAGCCTTGCCAAGTCTGACAAGGGCGACTTTCCTTGTTAGGATGGCCACCGACGTTATTTTCCGCTGTGACCGGGAGGTGGCTTCCCACCCCCTTCTCCTGTTGCTGAAGCTGTACGCAGCATTCTCGGCCCCCCTTTTTCCAGACGCGGACACCCAAGGCGCCACGCCACATTCCGGACGTGCAGTCGCGTTTTGCCACGTGGTTCTCCGCGCCGCGCCTACCAAGATCTGCTGCGCTCAGAGAGAGGAGGCAATGGGTTGTGTTGACCGTAGCGCGAGACCCGCATTCCTACGACGCCTACACTCTTGCCGGTGAAGTCCCTTATTCGCTTCACCAGCCTTTACGATGATTGTCGGGCTTCTCTCAGCTCTCGATTCCGTTGCAATCTTCGGCCAAGGAGGTTGTAGTAGGCGTCCGGGGCTCCTCATCGGATAATCAGAGGGGAAAGCTGAAGTCCATGCTTACTGCTTATGCTGATTGACTCAGTTTCGTCTCAGATCTGAATTGAGACCATTCTGCAGTGGTTGGTCTTCTGTCTGAGGCCATCTGACACACGGTCCATCGGTCAGTGTGACCCTGGCATTTCGCGGTCCCGTCTGGCGAGACACGTTTTTTTTTTTCCAACCAACACTTTCGCGTCAAGTCGCCGACGTGCAGCCGTCTGAAGTGGCCGGGCGTGACGCCCACCGACACCAGCCGACCGAAAAGGGCCCTGACAACGAGGCAAGGTTTGTTTTGCTCACTGTGGGGGGCCGTACTGTATGCTGGAGCTGGCCTGTCTGCCTTCCTTCGCCCTTTCTGCACTGTACGGTGGCGAGGCGAGGCTCCTTGGCACGGACTAGCTGACCGTTGCTGAGAGACGGGTGGGCAGCGCACTGAAGGGCGCCAAGAAGGGTCGATGCGCGGCCAGCGTGTGTGTACGAGAATAGCGAGGATCAAGCAGAGATACGCTTCATGTGAAAGCTAGGATGGTGTGATGCGGCACTCGCTCGAGGCAAACAGATGATCGAGACAGCAATCAATGAATCTAAATCTGGCGCGAAGATGGTGTTGGTGTGAGTGTTGGCTACTCCCGGCGACTCTTCTGTTCCTGAGCGGAGTGGGCCCGCTTTGATGCCGCCTGGGCCTCCTGTCCCTCCTTTCTGCCCATCGTCCCTCCCGGCCAAGGAAGTCCCCCTCCTATCTCTACCTCTTCACCAGTGTCATCGTCCACAGCCTCGTCAGTGACCATACAGCCTCAGACCATTGCTCATAGATCTCTGTTTGGTATCCGAGGCCCGTACACCTTCAAGCGCTTCCACGACTCTACCTTCTTTCGAGCCCATCCCATTCACGCGGTCGAAGCCCCTAGCGGGACCGCCTCCTCCTGTCTTCCTCCTCTTCCCGCGCACTTCCATCGGCCTCGGCTGGTGTCCACACTCGTTACTAGAATATTCTCGCCGTCACGCCATACTTGCCTGAGCTCGACCAGCCATAGGACCCTTCGCGCCTCGGCTCATGCTTTCTCTGGACATCCTCGGCAGCCTTTGATACCCTCTACGGCCTTACACTAGGCTCAACCGCGGCTTTCCCCTGATCATCTTCTTCGTTCTGCTCAAGAGCTGTCTCCATAGGGCGTCCTTCTGGTATCCGCCCTCGGGCGCAATTCTGCCACCATGTATGCCGGATCTGCGTTCGCTCCGGCTTCACATCCGAAAGTCCGAGATGGATCCGCCATCCTGGGTGATCGGGATAGCGAGCGGCCGCAATGGACCTCCTCAGAACGCTCCTACCACCATGCGGGAGATCAAATGGGATCAATATCGTCCAATCCCTCACTCGATCCTTCAACCTCGTCAGCCTCTGGGTCCAGCCTCTCTCACTCCACCCACTCTTCTTCCTTTGCTCCTCTCGCATTGAACAAGGCCGGCGGCTTCGGTCCTGCGGACTTGAAAAGAGGGGTGGATAAAGACCTTCCACCACCGCCCCCTGAGAAAGACTCGGTACCCCTATCGCTCGCCCCACAAATAGCCTTTTCTCCGGGAGGAAGCGCAAGGGCAGTCTACTCGCCGTCCCTGGAAGATACCTCCACCCTGGGGAGTCCGAGTCTCCGGTCACACTTTGTTGATGGCAATGGCTCAGCCAAACGGGATACGACAGACACATACCGTGTCGGGGAGAGGGAGGGCATTGTGCAAGCCAGCCCTAGCATAGGGGGTCGGCCTCATCATACTTCAAAGAAGGGAAAGGGTTGGGCCAGTGGAGCTGCTTCAGGAGCTGCTGAAGGTATGAGTGCAGGCTTGAAGAAGCTCGGAAAGGCTTCCACCCATGCTTTTCGATCTGCTGCACAGCATCAGCAGCAGTGGAAAGCAGAGAGGGAAGCTGCAGCCGCCGCAACAGCCTTGCCACGGCGGCCGCGAGCTGCCGGCGAAGATACGCAAACAAGTAGCGCCAGCAGCCATCCGTTTAGTTCTAGCAGTAGCAGTAACAAGGGCATCAGCAGCAAGTCAAAGGGCAAGGGGGCCAGCAAACGCCGAGGCTCCTCGTCTCACTCAGCCACGGCTGGGCAATCCCTCACCCCGGCGGCTTCTGACGCCCATCACTACACAGGTCACCTGCGCAGCCAATGGGACTACGACCATGATCAAGCTGCTTTGCGACCTCCGCCTTCGAGGTCCATTGCAGGTTCCTTCAGTCACTCGTCCAGAGGGACCTCTCGACGTTCTTCTCTCTCCGGAGGTGGCGGCACACCCTATCAGGACACAGAGTCTGCTGACTACGCTTTTCCACCTGGTCCTGTGCCCGTCTCTGACCCCGGCATTGGTCTACCTTTCGATGTCCAACACAACGTCCACGTTCACGTCGGTCCGGAAGGGTATATTGGCCTGCCAGCTTCGTGGGCTGAACACATGGCCAGACGTTGCCTCGAGGACGAGGATGATGACCCTCGGCGTAACCTGGAGAGTAGAATGGAAGGCGTTTACCCCCTCAACAGGTCCAAATCAAGACCATCCAGCCTGGGAAGCCCCACGAAAAGTCCACGACTGGACTATCGGAGAAGCAGGGCGTATAGCGATGAGTTTGATGCATCAAGGGTACGATCGGTGGCCATGACTGATAGCAGCGGGCAGAGGACCGTTCTTCCCGGCATGAGCTTGTCGAGGGCTCCAACGAGAGCCTCGACAAGCTATTCGTCTGTGCTGAACAGAGGCTGGGACGATGGCTCAGAGGCTGGCGGAAGGGAAAGACCGCTTGTCCATCCGTCACCGCCTGTTCCTCCTCTTCCGATCAAGCCAACAGCTGTACCGGTGATAAACGGCAGTGGTAGCCCTCAAGACTCGCGCACAAAGGATGACGAGTGGGTTGACGCCGAGCCCGGCACCTCTGCGGCTTTGGGATTAGGTCTGGGCTTGTCGGGCTTCAATCAGGTATCTGGGCCGGACAACAAGGGCGCCGGCAGGGTCGATAAACGCTCGAGTCGCAAATTGCTGCTGCCCGATTTTCTAGCAGATGGCAATGTGGAAGACGAGAATTGGGCTCTGATGCTGCTCAACTCGATTCCAGCACCTGACGATGATCTACAAATCGCTGCCGCACAGCATGCTCGAAAGCCCTCCAAACAGCAGCTGCGAAACAAGAGCTCGGCATCCAGCTTGCGGTCAAAGAAGTCAAGTACGATGACCAGGAAGTCCAAGGCTCCTGGCTCTATCTATGGAGGCGCTGACAGAGCCCGTACGCCACAGAGTCCTCTGACTCCGGGCCTGCCGACCCACTCCGCACTGTCAAATGGCGAGAGGAAACTTCAGCCACCGGAGTTCCAGAGATCTGTCCGACCCTCATCAAGAGCGTCGCGAAAGAGTGTGGCGCGCTCAACGGGCAAGAGACGCAGTGCTAGCGTCAACTCTCGTGCTCAATCTCGCCGTACTGTCAAGTCATACGCCACCACGAATGCATCTGTGGATACTGGTGAATGGAGCGATGGATATCCTTACTCTGGTGCGGAGGACGACGAAGTGCAAATCGCCACTGCGACCACGGAAAGAGTGGAGAAGGCTGGAACGCTGCCCAGGGCTCTAACCCATAGCCAATTAGTGGACACGGTTCGTGAATATGCTCCCGCTGCCAATCAGCCCCGCGGTGCACAAGCTCGGCAGGCTGAGAGCCCCCTGCTTGGTCCTCTGAGTATCTTCCCCGTCCCACCAACCAGTCGAGGAGCCTCTCCAAATAGTCAGCAAATCGCCAGTGCGATCCAGATGGCATCGCAGTGGAGCCCACCTAGTCCGATTGCCCGAGCAGCCAAGACGAAGAACAGCTCGAAGGCCAAATCGCGATTTCAGGCTCGTGGTGGTCAAAGCGGTGGTCGAGAAGTACCTACTACGAAGTTTGCCAGCCTGGCTGCTAACGCTAAGAAGGCGATCTCTCCTTTGCTTACGGCCTCTGAAGTGCCTCCCGTGGTTCCTTCAAAGAATAGCCATCTTACTGACGCGTCCGCAACAACTTCGAAGGTCGCCAATGGCAGCACTAGCTCCGCATTGCATGGATCAAGCAGCAAGGCGCCTTTTGTTGGAAGCAATGGGCATGTGACAATCACTCCCACAATCAATCACAGAGGAGGCTACGCGAACGCCGCTGGCCGACCCGCTGGCGACAATGGTGTCTTGGCGAACAGTGCTGTCATCAACGAACGTCCACACGCCTATTCCCTCAATCCACAAGGGCGGGCGGCAGAGGGCCAAAGGATTCCAGGTCTGAGGGAGCGAAGGAGGATGAAAGGTCCAGCGCGGATCTATCCTCCATCTTCGCGAGGCAATGCTGATATTCTTGTCCGCGCCAGACCTAACACTATCTTGTCCAATGCTGCCGACTCAGACCAAGGTCACGCTGCGGGATCTCTGAATGTGTCGAGTGGAGCCGCCGGAGGCCTCGAGAGGCGCCCCTCAGGTTCCTCATTCAGCGGCAATGTCAAGGACAGCGGACTGGCCAGGAAAGACTCGGACACAGGTTTTGTGGTAGTGCGAGACTCTCCAGAAGCAATGGCATCTCCGCATCCGAGCCCGAATCAGCTTCAGGTCCAGAATCCTCCTGGAGGCAGCGGCTTCACGCTCAATCTCCTGAACGCTGTCCGCAAGCGCAGTGGCTCCACGGCTACTGACAATGCCCCCAAGGTGCCTCCCAAAGATGTATCTGCATCGGGAAGCGCGGGGATGGTACCTATAAGCGCTAGTCGCAGTGAAAGCCAAGAGGGTCGGAGCCCACTCATCAAACCGCAGATAGGCATCATCAGACCGAATGCCGATGGATTCTTCACAGTAGCGACTCCCATTAGGTCCGCCACAATCGAGGGAAGTAGCACCTTTGAAGGACAGGCACAACCTTCTGGAGAACCCTCTCCCGCGCTCGAGCCTCTTCCCTTCGCTCATCGATCTCACAGTCATGATGGCATTGAAGCAGTTGCCATCCTACCCTCGCCTCGCTCAGGCTTCGAAGACGATACAGAAGATGAGCACGACGAGCGACGTGAGCAAGAAGACGACGAGGAGGACTATACAGCTGATGATTATCTTGATGACTGGATGCAGGAAGGCGAAGGCCAGCCCATACCTGGGTCGCCCGGAGGTATCTCAGTCTACTCGAATGGTAGTGCTTTTGTGCGAGAAGGTTTCAGGAGCGCCCATACGACTGAGCCTCTGCCAGCAGGCCTGTTTGGCCCCCCTGAAGCTTCACCTCGATTCGGTGAAGGCGGTGGCAATGCGCTGCGCAGCCCTGGTCTTCTCTCCGTTGCAAGCTTCCGCGGTACGGGACGAGGTGGTGCGACAGACTCGACCTCGAGCTCTCCCATCGATCTGAGGGATCGATCTCTATTGTCACCCTTCCTCGAGCAGCAGAGTCCCAGATTCAGTGGTGCGAGTCGACAGCGCTCTGAAGACGGAAGCAACCTTCGACCTCGCAACCCATCGGCCGAGGCTTTCACGAGTGCTGTCAGTCGGTCTCCTTCCACTCCTGGCGGTCTAGCGTACCTTGACTCGCCAGCAGCACCGTCCCGCGGCAACAGTCCTCTGGTCAATACGACTGACAGCCCGCAACCTGATCCTGTGGACAAAGATATTGCTCAGGCAAGTGCCGCGTCCAATCTGCTGAAGAAGGTCGTTCAGACCGACAATTCCAGCCCAAAGAGCCCGGAAGCACGGCCTTCCCTTGACCGTGAGCAAGCAGAGGCAGTGGCAGTGCCTCGTCCCTCTAGTCGCGTGAGCAATGGCTCCAGAGGCTCTCGGCGGACGACTGGCAAAGCACCTCGACGATCGACAGACACCCGCAATCGCTTCCCTGTCAGCACTCATTACGCTAGCGGCTTCTCAGAGGCCTTCTTTGACGTCGCCGCTGACGCGGACACGATGCCTCGACAGAGCTTTGATCTGGAGGATATGCTTCCACAACACTTGAATGACGTGCCACCAGTGCCACCTCTGCCAAACACAGCCAATCGATCTGCCTCTTCTCCACCTTCACCTTCCAAGCCTCATCAAGTCGTGCCTTCGATTCCCGTCGGGAAGCAATCGATCAAGTCCTCAGAGGTGGTTCCCGCGGGCACAAGCAGCGCATCGATCAGAGGCCGTTCTCCATCTGCATCCCGAGCTCACTCGAGGCAGTCCTCAACAAGTGGCAAGAAGGGTCCGCGGAGATCGAGGTCGAGAAATCGAATTGACTCGTCTGTGATAGCATCTGAGCAGATGCCCATGCCTTCAGTTGCAAGCATGCCTTTAGTAGGGGCGCCAGTCCCCTCTGTGCCTGCAACGACTTCTGTAGCGCTCGACGTTAGCTCGGGACTACCAGAGTGCGTCAAACCCGCTGCTCAATTCCTCGTTGCTGCAGATCCAGAGGCTTTGTTCGACGAGCTCACGCTGATTGGATCTGGAGACTCTGGCGACGTCTTCTCGGCCGTTGGCCCAGGCAAGGCAGGTGTTCAAGAGCTCGTAGCTGTCAAGGTCGTCAAGCTGCCTAGCGTGGAGCAAGGAGAGGTCGGAAATAGTCGCCTCGCAGGACTCGCCAAGGAGATTCGCCTCTGGTCGGCCTGCAAGCACGAGAAGATTCTCGCACTGTACGACGTCTTCTACGCTCCACCCATCTCCTCTCAGTACTCTGGCGTCTGGATCGCTCAAGAGCTGGCCGACCGATCTCTTGCAGACATTGTCGCACTGCACGGCGATGGTCTGCTCATTCCAGAGACAGTCATGGCCAAGGTACTCTTTGACCTTCTCGAGGCGCTGCAGTGTCTCCACTCTCTCCAGATCATACATCGTGATGTGCGATCAGACAATGTCCTGATCTGTCCAGACGGGACAGCCAAGCTCTCCGACTTTACACAAGCGGTGCAGCTAGAGAGCAAGCAGAGCAAGAGGAGCAGCACAGTGGGGATTGCCTACTGGATGGCGCCAGAACTGGTGGCCTCGCAGCCTTACTCGACCGAGGTGGACATCTGGTCTCTGGGCGCTACCCTTTACGAGATGTGCGAAGGACAGCCACCCAATGTCGAGCTCAGCCCCGAGCAGGCAGTCAGCGCTACGGCCCAGCACGGCCTGCCCGCACTCAGCGCTGGGCCCGAGACGCCTACATGGTCAGAGGGGCTGCGTGAATTCGTTGCTCTTGCTACGAAGATGAACCCGAAGCAGAGGGGCACAGCTGCGGGACTCTTGAAGAGCGAGTTTGTGCAGCGGAGAGCGGCGGAGGGAAAGATTGTCGAGCTGCTAGAGCGGGCGTGCGAGTTGGAGGGACAAGCTGAGGAGGAGGAGGAGGAGGAAGAGGAGGAGGTTCCGGGAGAGGAATAGGAGCGAGAGCACCCGCATCGCTGGCAGATCTATTTGCTCCTTCTACGACCTTTCTGCTCCCCCGCCAAGTCCGTACATCATCACTGGCAATGGCCGCTTTCGATTCCCTCCCCCTTTGTCGTACCGTCACCGTCACAAGCACAATCTCAGCATCCCCCGTCACCAGTCACTTCCTACTGTCATTCACTTTCGCGCTTCTCTTCTCTTCCTTACTCCCCCCTCTTTCTCTCTCTCTCTTCCTTCCTCTCTATCGCACATCCGCCTTCCCCCTTCTCTACTCTACTCTACTCTACTCTACTAGATCCCGCCCAACCCCGTCTTGTGCTTCTTTACATGTCGCTCAATCGATATACCCATATACCTTGCTTGCCCATGTCCTCCGGCCCCAGCTCCGGCTTCGGCTCCGGCCCCAGCTCCGGCTTCGGCTCCGGCTTCAGCTCCAGCTTCAGCTTGGGCTCTGACTCTGGCTACAATTCTTCAACACGGGCAGATTCGGACAGGAAATGAGATTGACGTTTGGTGAGTGAGATTGAGATTGAGATTGAGATTGGAAGTGGTGTAGCGTACTGTAGGCACAATACGATACAGTCCAGTACAGGCCAGTACGTTACAGTGAGTGAAAGCGTAGAAGCGTTAGATTGAGTGATGGATATGGATTGATACAAGAGGGGGGGCGGCATTCAAATCCTCCTCCTGCCCTGCCTCCTCTCCCTCGCCTGAACAACCCGCCGACGCTTCTCCGCCGCCTCCATCTCGCGATGGAGCAAATCACCGCTCACTGCTTGACCTTGGCCGGCGCTGGTGCCTTGCTCAGAGGTTGGGAAAGAAGCGGCGAGGGTAGTCTTGGGCTTCTCCGGTGTAGCTGTAGCTGTAGCTGCTGGTGCTGGTGCTGGTGCTGGTGCAGCTGTAGCTGCTGGTGCGGTTGTGGCTGCTTCCTCAAAAAGGCGCGATGAGGCAGCAGGAGTAGAAGCAGAAGCAGCAGAAGCAGTAGCAGCGTCTGCATTACCCGCCTTGATCCATTTTTCATACGCCCTATTCCTCGCTTGATCTGGTTGACCCTCTACACTTGCACCCGATGCAGTAGGGGCTGCAGAAGTAGAGGCAGGTGGCAGTTCACCACTTCGTCTCCTCGACTCCTCCAGCTCGTTCTGGCTATCGAATCCCGCTCGCACACTCTCGGCAAAAGTCATCGGCCGTCCCAACTTTCCATGCACACTAGACGAAGCTCCCGCTCCGAGCAAATTGCCCGTGAGGTTCGTGGCAGCAGGCAACTTCTTGCGTGCTGGAATCTTATAGTATGCTCTCACGGAAGGAATCTTGAGTACGAGCATCTGGGAGAGGGAAAAGAGATTGTTTGTGATCCAGTAGTAGAAGACGGCGGCGGGAAGGTGGTACACCAGGAAGGGCATCAAGCAGGTAACTGCCCTCAGGCCAATCTTGATATTCTTTGCTGTTCCTGGGTCTGAGGCTCCTTGGTTGCCAAACTCGGCGCCTGTCTCTAGTGTGGCGAGAGAGGTAGCGGCGGTCAGAACCGGACCGATGTACAGGGGGTCGGGCGCAGTCAGATCTGTGGCCCATCCAAGTCCGCCGCTCTTGAGCGTGTCCAGTCCTTGCTCGGCAAGAGCCTTGAGGGCAAAGAAGAAAGACACGAAGAGGGGCATCTGAGTAGCTGGGAGGATAAAGGACTTGAGAGGATGACAGTTGTGCTCCTTCCACAGTCCGTGAATCTGCAGCATAGACGTTTGAGCCGACCTCATATCCTGGTGCTGCTTGTGGTAGGTGACGTCCTCCATGATCGCCTTTGTCTCCTCCTGAATATTGGCCAGTCTAGCAGCATTTGCTTGACCCTTGATTACAAGCGGCAGAATGGCTACACGGACAGCCAGGGTGCATCCGACGATGATGGCCCACCAAGGAGCGCCGGTATGCTCAGAAACATAGAGGAGGAGGTTCTCCATGATCCGCACATTGGGCCACCAGGACAGCGTCAGCTCCGTTGCAGTCACACTGAGCGGAGAGGCCAGAACCTCAGAAGCAGTTCCGATGACATCGATGGACGGAGCTGCAGAGGAGGCGGAAGAAGATGCGTCCACTAGTGGTGAAGCGCCTTGCGACGAGCTCCCCGCCTGGGACATCTCCGCGGCTGGGTTGACACTCCCTGAGGCTGCGATGTCCTTGTACGACTCCTGTGCCTCGGTAGACTTTGCTGCATTAGTACTCAATGGCCACCAGTCGGCTCGAGGTGCCGTACTGGTCTGGAAACCGACATGCCTTGAGGTAGAAAAGCTTCGATGGGAGAGCAGTGATGAGGAAGAGGACGAGAGCAACGGAGCAGCGAGAGGGAAGGACCGCATCCGTAGCGGTTGAGCGTACAGTTGAGAAGCCATACGACTCTGTAGAGGTGTACTTGCTGCGCTCCACTTAGTTACAGCAGCTCGAGAGGTGGACGCCAAGAGGCGCTGTGCCTCGGAAGTGGTACTCTGTGCCCTCAGCAGACGAGCAGCTGGCGGAGGCGGGAGAGGGCGCGCAGCCCTCATCGTCGATCGAGCCAGAGGGAGCATGGTATACACCAGACTATATGCAGGCCCACAGCAGCAACAAAGGCGAGCGGGATGAAGATTGGCTACGAGGAACAATTGCGGAAGGGGTGTTTGAGGAAGTGGGCGGACCAAGGGTGCAATGGGAAGATCCTGACAAAAAGTCGTCTCCGCGCAGCTCTTCCGTTCCGGTCTCATTGGTGGCCCATGCGTAGACTAGACGAACCTCGACCATGGTCCTCCTTCCGCCTCTCCCATCGCAAGAGGAGCGTACGGACAGTTGCATCAGAGCCTCTGAACTCTGAGAGTGAGCTTGGTCTTCTCTGATGCTATTGGCTAGCATTACAGTACATCGTGTAGACGGAAAAAAGGGGAACGAGGGAAGATGACCAAAAGTAGCGGCGAGAGGGAACGAGGGGATGGGTAGACAGGCGGGTCGTTTTGATTACAATGCACATCCGTACTTCTTTGTCTGATTCTTTTCTAGTCTTCTCAAACCTTTGTCGAGCCTTCACTCTACTTGTATGGAGGACCGAGGAAGGTACGGAATTGCTCCAGGACGACCTGGTGATTGAGGTCAAGAAGAGAGGGACGTGTAATGGCATCAGTATAGTCTCACGAGGTATCAGCGCTTGTCCAGCTCGCTCCTGGACTCACCTCGACTACCAGGAGCAGCACACCTCCTCCAGGTGCCAGACGAAGCACCTTGGGTGTGAATCCCTTGTAAAGTGCGCTGGCTCCCTCTTCGCGTACAATGAGTGCCATGGATGGGAATGTCCAGTTGTACTTTGGCACAGTCCCCTTTACCTTTGGCGTGTTCTGGATTCTACTCTTGACCACATCCGCTGGAGTGTTGATAGCCGTTCCTACGAAACCACCGATGGCTCCAGAAATGAAGTTGTTCCTCAGTTCCTCGCCCTTGTTGAGCGCTTTCGGAAGCAGTCCGCGCACCTGGAAGATACATCCAAAGTAACCTCCATTCCAAAGGACGTGCCTCCAGAAGGTACTCTCCATACCCGCGTAGAGTCCCATGACTCCATCAGCCTTGATGATCTTATTGACGACATCCATAGGACCCTTGTACAAGTGGCTCTGCGCCTTGTCCTGCAGTCTGATCTTCACCAGCTCAAATGGAACAACCACGACACTCTCCGTTGCACCTGCCGTGCAGCCCGTGAGGACCGACAGGCCCTGACTCATCTGCTCAGTGCCAAACGCATTCTTGTATGTCTTTGCCCAAAAGTCATTAGCAGCAAACTTGACTGCCCTCTTGGGAGCTTCAAGCATGAGGGGAGGGACGATTCCGCGGTAAAGTCTTCCGGCACCTTCGTTTGCGATGATCTTCTTGAAACAGTCGAACATGCCGTTGTACCGATCTGCACCCACGGCACTGGCGGTCTGAAGCTGCATACGCGTCTTGACTACATCCAGGGGGTAGAGACAGAGGAGCTCGGTCACACCTGCTACGGCTCCTGCTGTGAATTGGGCATAGAAGGGCAGAGCTGGAAGGCGGCGGAGGAGAAGAGCAAGGGTGTCAGAACGGAAGCAAAGTGCCGTACGAAGTTGTCCACCAACTTACCCTTCGGCTTAGGGTTAGTTGTGGCCATCTCGAAGAGTCTGAAGAGCCAGCGATGGTAGGAAAGGAGGAGCTAGGTGGTCCGAACTCAGATATCCGAAGCTCGCCGGCTTTCTGTCCGAAAGATGAAAGAAGGTCGCAACGAGCGCAGAAAAAGGAAAGAGAGGAGCGACTAGGAAGAGGACTCGATGACTCGACTTTCAACAAAAGTCAGAGCTGCAGAGTGGAAAGAGTAAGAGGAGGCGTGCGTGTGTAGCTTGGATGGGAAGGTCTACTCAAGTCTGATAAGAAGGACTGGATTCGGACTCGGACTCACTCCCTCGCTGCAAATCGGAAGGACCTGGGGCGGGTCTGACACAAGGTGTGGGCGGGCGGAGCTTCAACTTCTCATCCCCGGCGCATCGGCGCATCGACGCCTCCACCCCAACCCTTCCGATCCGAAAGTGTGGCTCCGACCCGAGAGTCGGACTCGATCCAACGCTCGACGGTCCTCTTGTCTGCTCGTCGAGCCATCCCTCGAATCAAAGGGGTGGTAGAGCGGCGGTGACGGTAAAATCCTAATGAGAGGTGATAAAACTTCAACTACAGGTACAGAATCGTTGGTGGTACAGTCCTACTTCCAGGGTATACACGATCACGTTTCCTCGCTTCTGCCCTGCACTGCGTCGACTTCCACTTGGGAAACTCGCGACGAGCGTGTCTCACTCCCTCTTCTGCCTTTCCCACCACCTCTTTGCCAACACCAACCCAAATCTCACGTCCATCCCTCCATGAAGTTCAGATTCGGCACCACATCAAAATCGAAGAGCAGCCTCGAAAGGTCCACCGAGTCCATCGACGCAAAGTCCAGGTTGCCCGTACCCATTGCAACAGCAGGTGCTGTCAGTCCATTCGCAGTTTCAGCTGCTCCACCGCCGACGGCGGCGGCGTCGCTTCCTCCTCCCCCACCCGCGCTCCCGCCCTCTTTTTGCGGAGGCCAGCTGTCGAAAGGTGGGAGAGGAGTGAGACCGCTGCTGATGCTGCCGTTATTCGAAAGACCCGAGCTGCCGTTGAGAGACTTGGAGGGCGGGGTCGCCGTGGACCAAGAAGCCGATGGTGAGCTGCCGAAGAGGGCATTGAGGTCTGCTGTTGGAATTCCCTGAGGGTTCGATCCGGTCCGACTGAACGACATGGGTGCTTGCGCGCGTGGTGACCAACCATTGTTTGCTTGAGGTGTATTGCTCCAGATGGGTGGTAGCTGGAGTCCATTGTTCATGATGTCTGGGTACTCAGAAGCGGAGCCCCTGCCTGCACTAGTGCTTGAGTCAGCATTGGGGCCCGAGCTCGCAGGAGAAGGATTGCCCGGCGATGGAGCCCCTGTAGATCCAGTCGTCCGCCTTTTGGCGCTGCGAGACGATACTTCGGAGGACCTCTTCCTCCTCGGCGCAACTCTGTCAACAGCGCCGATGCCTTCGGCCTTTTCCTCTTCTTGCTCCACCACGAGGGGCAAGACGAGCATGTCTCCCACTTTGCCTGCGTGCATGAACCTGGCTTCCAAGCTTCTCAGCCAGCCGAGAGACCGAGTGCTATAGGTTGCAAAGCGTTTGCGGACATTGTCGGGCTGATGAGGCCTTGACATGACATGTGAGAGGACTATGGCTCGGGAGGCCAGGGAGCCGGTAAAGGGGTCATGTTGCGCTGCGAAAGCAATGGAAGAGGATTAGTACTGCGGGCTGCAGAGGCGACAGTTTAGAATGCGTTGACGTGTGACTTACAAATCGCCAAATCAGTTTCGAGAGTCCGACGCAGATTTCTCTCCAATGTGTCCAGAGCAGAAGTTGGAGTTGGTCCTGGCGCTAGTATGTCGGGAGCCAGGTACAGCAGCTTGATAAGCGGAGGTGACAACGATGCGGTAAGGTCAGGGAACGGTTTCAGGAACGGCACAATGCAGACGGAGCTCACTCACCTCGACGGAGTCAACCATGATCTGAAGACGTTGGACCGCCACCCTCAAGCTGCTGTCGCTCCTGTAGGAATTCAAGTGACGGTGCAGGTTCTCGAGCCTCGTCTCGATCTTCCTGAGGCTCTTGTTCGATGGCGGTGACCCTCGGTAGGCATACTTGGTGATTACGCCGTCATGGAAAAATTTGGTCAGTCAATGAGTCAATCCAGCTCAGTGATTGGCGTAGGTCAATGACTCACTTTAGCTCTCATAATGTCTTCTGTCAGCATCATAGCCTCGATCTCGCACCACTGCGCTGGATCTTCGTCTTCTTTTGGCGGCTCGGCATCGAACAATTGACTCGATAGCATTGAGCACCGACCCATGACCATTGTGATGATCTTTTCAATGGTGTAACATGCCCAAAAAGTCCTACGCCGTTCATCGGCCTTGCCGGTGAGCTCCTGCAGGACAGATTTGCGATGCATACCACAGTCCACAAGGACTCGGATCGCGTCTCCAGCGACGTGCCAGCTGTTCTGTATCAGCATAGGCCGAGTCGATGCAAAGGACGCTTGCAGGATATAGCACTGAGCTTTTTCGATGGCGTCGGCAAGCTGATCATAGCGTTTGCCAAGAGTTAAGAGGAGTCTTTGACTGGCTAGCGACCAGTGTAAGCCAGCCAGATAGGGTCGGTTGTTGACGACTTCCAGACCTAGCTGGCAATGCCAGGCTCCCAGAGCACATATGGCATAAATTCGTGCCGCTCGTACCTTCGAGATTCCGCCTGTTGGCCCGATGGCGTGTTCTTTGCGCACAACGGCGTCATCTATACCCATAGTTGGACCCGCGGCTCCTTTTGCTTCGAAGAAGGCATCGAAGAGCTCTTTCGCTTCTTCTTCACTTGGCCAAAAGCAATGCGGATCCTTGTCCAGCTCGGCCTCGACAGGGCTGCAATCCCACTGCCAATGTTCCAATCGCACCCTTTTCCGCAATTGATCTGCCATCTGCAGACCAATGGACTTGTACGTTCGAGGTATCTGTCTGGCTGCTGCAAGTGGAAAGATGACGCTGCTGGAGCCGAGGTGACCGTAGGCGCTGCGTGGGGCAGCATCCTGAACGCTAGCCTCATCTGCAGGGGACGGGTTGGGATCGTCGACGCCGGGGAGGCCGCCTGGACATGTCCGATCGACGTCGCTGGTGGGTATATAGCTGGGTATGAAGGCGATTCCGCTAGAGTGTGCCTGTGAGCGTGAGGAAGAGGAGGATGAATCCGAAGCAGAGTCGTCATCGTCGGCGTCTTCCGATTGGTCTGGTGGATGGCGAGTCTGGCCAGGCTGAGAGGGAAGGTTGCGTCCGGCAAGCTGTGCTTCGAGAAAGGCGATCCTGGCCTGCAATTCCTCCACTTGACCCGATGGGAGTGGCCGCTTTATTGGCACATCAAAGGTGCAGTCCAGGGACATCGTCGAGCTGAGTAGGCGAAATAGAAAAGCTCAGCACGTGGTACAAAGGGAGGCTCGGCGCTAATCGCGTAGGTGTACTCACCACCTTTTGCACTTATTCTGACCTGTATCGACACCTGTACATCGAATCTTGCGACCTCTACATGGCTGCGGAGTGGGAGAGAGAATTCGAAACAGACGGGTCAGCATATGCGATTGATTGATTGCTTAGATGAGACAATGTATGCAGCGCAGGCAATGAGACTCACGTCGCAAGCTCTAGTAGCTCGCCTCTGCTTCTTTGCCTCTGCTGTTTCCATGATGAGCAGCAAGCAGCAGCGAGGTCTGAATGATATCGATGGAGGATGGGAATGGGCTAAGCTGAGCCGCAGGAGATGGACGAGGTGAGTCAAGGAGGAGTGGCAGCAGCGTAGCCTATCGCCCTTTTCAGCGGGGCGTCGACTCTGGGCTTCAATCGCATCGGGGTGCAGGGGCCACGCGCTCAGTCTCCGCCTTTCTGCCTCTTTCCGATGGGAAGAACGTGGGAAGCGCATATACCCAGGCTCATCATTCACACCAGCATACACTCTTCCTGCGCCCACTTTACCATGGACGAGGGAACATACTAGGCCATGCAACCACCTCATACCTCGGCAAGGTCCATACAATCGGCCGCGAGAGCTCAACTAGCAGCGCCATTGCCCAGTCAGGATGCCCTACTAGACATCCTCATACCTACTCTCGACCTGCTGCACCTGCTTCCAGAGCAAGAGGTTCCACATCTGATATGCCGCAAGCACGCAGCCGCGAAAGTATATGGCATCAAAGACGACGAGCTAGACGATGAATTCCGGATAGCATTCCGCGGCAGGTCTTGGCTGCAGGATGTACAGCAAGCTATACTAGGATCCATCGCCAGGGATTGGGCCCCTCGATTGGCAGAGGATGGCCTTTGGGAGCCTCTCCTTAGATCCTGGTTCGCGCCGCAAGTCAGCCTAGCTGCGCCGCAAAGACCCAGTGCTGGACTCATCTCAGTAATAGAAGAGCTCGAGGATGCCGGCAACAGCTCGCAAACGCAAGTCTCAGCGGCTCTCGTCACCGCCTCCGGCATGCAGGTCTTCATCTCAACCCTCTCACGTCTAACAGTGCAAGAGGGAGGAGCAGCAGCATCTCCCATTTCACCCATCTTGGCGGAAAGCATCCCCGTCCTCATCTCCCACTATGCAAGGGCAGACTTCCCCTTGCTCGACAGCCTTATGATCGCCTCGCTATCGGAGCAGAATCTCGCCAGGCAGAAGCTCGTCTGGCAAGAGAGCATGCAGGCCATGCTCAGTCTACCAAGTCGAATCGCCAATGCGCTCCAGGGCGATGTACCTCAGTCAATTACAACATCAACTTACTCTGCCACTCTGGCTTTACAATTGGCAGAACAAGTAGCACGACTTGCAGAACCGCACTCCTCCGATGGGCGCAGTGGACTCTTGTCTCAATTGCTGTCCAGGCTGCTCAGAGCCGGTCAAGTCACCAATGCATTCTGGGAAGTCATGACCAGATCCATCTTCCAAGCCGCCAACGGCAATCTGACCTGGCCGGCTCCCTACGGCCGAGCCTGGCAGAAGGTCTTGGCCTCTCTCGACGACACAGATCGGAAGGCTTTCGATCAGAACTTGCTTGCGTTCCTCGATCAGCGGATCCGCCTGGAGTACTTGCAAGGTTTGGTAACAGACCAAGAAAGAGGGAAGCCTGTGCTTGTAGGACAATCTTTCCTAGGCGCAGACGTGGCACGAATGCTCGAGGTACAGACACGCCTACTTGTAATGCTTTGGGGAGGCAATGGCCAGGCCGCTGATCGTCCCGAGAGCTCTGTAGCTCCTGAAGACGATGATGATGACGATGACCTGGCTGCCTATCAAAGAGTGAGATCCTATATGCTCGATGAGCCACAGCAGTATAGCCCTGTGATGGCTCGTACATTCGCGGCGGTGCTGCTCGAGCTCGACCCTCAAGGCTTGGACGATGCGCTGTTCGAGGCAGTCGATGTCTGGGCCAATGCTGCTCGTGTAAAGAGATCGACGGCTGCACAAGAGCAATGTGAGTGGCTCCGTTCTTACCTACCAGATCTTGCCTCAGTACTGATGCTGTACCCTACCCTCCCTCAGACCTTGCAACTCTAATCATTTGTCTCCTTGCGGAGATCAAGCAGTCCCCGCAACCTAGCAACATCAACATCGGGCAAACTCTCACTCGCCGCAAAGAATTTGTGGAAGGCGTCGCTGCTCACATGAGTCATCTCGATCCTCACATCCGACTTATGGGCATGCTCCTTGCGGAGCTTGCTAGCGAAGCTTCGCAGAGTGAGGGCAAGGGGGAGAGCGGCTCCAAGAAGCTCGAATTTGGGAGGACCCTGTGGGACGGAGTGGGCAATGGGAAGGAGGAGGCGAGAGTACTGAGGGCACTCTTCCACTCTTGGAAAGTCGTCGCTGCGTCTGCTACAGAGGTGACCGCCGCGAACGCACTCGAGTGTCTAGGGCTCGTTGAAGACGAAAAGCCTGGCGAATCAAGCCCGCTCAATGGAGACAACAAGCAGCCGAAGGAGAGAGACGCCCCTGCTACTCGTCGTCTTCCTGAGAGAAGATCCGCGGCTACTTCAAATCCAGCCAAAGCAAAACCCTCTATGCTGATCTCTGAGCTGAACGATTCCGATGACGAAGTCCCCATTCTGGGACGAGCAACCGTCGAGTCGGAATCTGAGGCTTCTTCCTCGTCGGAGAGTGACTCATCAGACGACGATGACGGTCCAACTCACGATGGCTTTGCCGAGCCAGACATGCCCCTCGACGCGTCCTCCTTCAAGCAAGCAGGGAAAGGTGCTGGCCAACGAGATGAAGAAGAGACTTTTGAGCTGGACACTCGCAAGCGTCGTCGTGCCCCAGTGTACATCTGGGAGCTCGCCTCTCTACTTCGCGAGAAAGACCGAGATGCTGTACGTGTAGGCCTGAAGAGTGCCGAGGCCCTCATCAGGCGCAAGTCTGGCTGGGGAGGGGAAGTGGACGAGAATTGTGTCGATCTGGCCTTTGTGCTTGTTGGACTGCAGAACAACTACCGTCTGAAGCACTTTGACGAGCGTAGGACCTCAGCACTGCAGGCGCTCGTTGTGGCCTCGCCTCGGCTGGCGGCGGGGGCCATCATTGAGCAGTTCTTCACCGATAGTTGGTCGATCCTGCAGCGCTTTGCGATTCTGAATGCACTCGCCGCCGCAAGTCGAGAATTGGCAGGGGCAACCCCTCTTCCTGGAGTCGGAGCGGGTGTGCAGACGAAGCAAGGGAAGGCAATAGTGGGGCAACAGCAATCGCAGGGTGCGGGAGTCACTGCGCTGGCTAGCTCATTGGCTGATGTGGCCATCTCTCGCGCTAAGCACGAGGGAGAGGAGCGCGTGCCCGAGATCAAGCGCGAGAAGGCTCTCAAGCTCACAAGTCAGTCAAGCCGCAATGGCAACGGCAGAAGCGGCATCGGTATCGAAGAAGTCGGCACAGGCACATCATCCTCTCTGCAGCTTGCGAACAGAAATGGGCATCAAAGCAGTGCATTCAGCTCCCTTCCCGGGACTCTCACACGTCCAAGGGAGAAGTACATAGATCTAGCGGGCTCCGTCTTCCTCTTCCCGCTGCTCACCCGTCTCTCAGCACACATAAGAGAGACATCCAGTCGTTTCTCTCGTCTGAGCAGCAGCGCCAGCGGCGGGGCAGGCACCCGTGACGGCTCCGGAGTGTCTCTCGGTCTCGGTTCAGGCATCACCATTGGTCTCTCCTCCCTCTTTGATCCTCAAATCCTCTCCGCACTCCTAGACACCCTCTCCGTCTTGGCACACTCTGCCCGTAACGCAAGCGATTTCCTCGCCCTGCTCGCACCAGAAGTAATGGAGGTGGCGCTGCTCGTGGCAACGAGAGCGTTGCCCCTTTCCCTCGCCGGAGCTGGAGCTGGAGCTGGCACTGACGGAGGAGAAGGCGGAGGGGACCTCTCCACCATGCACCTTCTACACGGGTCCTGCCTCTCCCTCCTGCTAGTCATCCTCGACGCATCCTTCTTCCGGGACGAAGGACGAACCCTCCTGCGCTTCCACGCACGACCGCTTCTGGAGGATGTGGGGGAGTTTGCTGCTGGGGTGTTTGAGAGGGTGGAAGGGGAGGGAGGAGAACGGGGAGGTGGTAGAGGAGTAGGGTTGGGAGGAGGGGGAGGAAGGGGAGGGGAGGGAGTCTCGAGAGCGGCTAGATGTAGTGCGGCTGTGGTGCTTAGGATAGAGGAGATGCGCAGTCGCTGGAGGGAGGAGAGGATGCGGGGGTTGTAGCTTCGCAGCTGAGTCTAGCTCAGAGTGTAATGATGCGCCATCTCTGCTATGATTGTGAGTTGGTCTAGAATGAAATGTAGAACAGCATACAGTACATCTACTCCGCTCTCTCTCACCCGTATCAGCGTACAGCCTTCTAGAAGGCCCTCCCAAACGCATCTCCCGCTCCAACCGCCGGAGGACCAAATCCTCGATCACCACCGCCACTACCACCGCCAACAGCTTCCTCAACAGGCGTGCCATCGAGCAGCTGCTCCGCTCCATCCCACTCATCCACCATCTCCGCCTCCGCCTCCACTTCCTCCTCCTTGAGGACCTCCTGCGGCTCTTGAACAGCCACAGCCGCAGGTAAGAGCCCAATGAGTCGTCTGACCTCCTCGCCAGACACCACCGTCCCCTCCCTCTCGACATGCTCGGCAAAGGAGCGCAACGAGTCCGCACAAGCGGGCGCAGTTGAAGTGCTCGCGGAAGAGGAAGAATGATCCATTCCTGGTCCTGCTTTTGCTTTCTCACAGCCAGAGGTGGGCACTGCTGCGTTCCTCCAAGTGTGCAAGTTGCCAAGGACAAATAGGGCACTTTTTGCGCGTGTGAGGGCGACATTGAGCCTGCGAGCGTCGGCGAGGAAGCCTACGGGATACTTCTTCTCTGGCTGCTGCAACTGCTGCTGGTCATTCAACTCATGCGCGTTGGTCTTCGAGTCAGATGTAGCGGCGGAGGCAGAAGAAGAGGCAGTAGTAGCAGCAGCAGCCACTGCACCCGCTGAGCACCTCACTGCGCTGAAGATGATCACGTCCTTCTCCCTCCCCTGGAACCCATCGACTGTATTCACTTCTACCTTTTCCAGCTCTTTCACGCCCACTGGGCCCAGACGCTCCTCCAGGACACGGCGCAGTGGATGTACTGCATCCTGCTCGGTAAGTGGCCGCAGAAGTCGGCCGATGAGACGTGATTGAGCGAGATAGGGGGCGATTATGCCGATGCTAGATCCGCTGAGCTTGGCTACCGTGCTGGCTTTCGCACCTTGAGCAGTAGATGGACAGGTAAGGAGGTCGTACAGGAGGTGCAGCAGCAGCTCGATCTCCTGCAGATTGCACAGCGAGACCTCCGATGCCGAGCGGGCGACAGACTCCAGACCGGTATGGTCGATGAACACCAGTCGACCCTTCGAGGCCTGTATCGCTTGGTCCGCAAGCGAGTGCGCAATCACAGGGACGTCCTGCGTGCGAGGGGCAGACTGAAGCTGTCCTGCATAGAACCGCTGATTGGGAAAGGAGGCGAGTATGGGGTGCATACGGTGCTGTACTTGCAGCATCTGCATCTTCGTCCGTCGATGCATAGGTGATGCAGCCACAGCAGTCGCAGCAGCAAGCTCGCCACCGCCTCCAACTTCTATCTCGGCGGTCGCCCAACCGTCTTCCTCGACAAGTCGCTCGAACAAGCTCCTCGCGCCGCCCTCCTTCTTGCCATCCTTACTCCTCAGCACGGGCGGAAGCTGCTTATGATCGCCAATGAGGGCCACCTGTCGCGCGCCCTTCATCAGCGGCAGCAAACTCAGCACCTCGAGCGCCTGTGTGCACTCATCGATGAAGACGAGGGGAAAGTCGATGCACTTGAGCGAGGCGGAGCTCGAGGAGATTAGCGTAGAACAGACCACGTCGGCTTCGTATAAAACGGTGGTCTGGATCTGACGCGTGAGGATGAAGGCTTGCTGTGCAAGGCGCCCGAGAGATTTGCGGAGAGCTGCGATCTCCAGCGACTTGTTAAGTGGGGGAGCACTGCCTTTGCTTGGCGTCGGAGGCTGCTCTCCGATAGCGGCCTGGGCGTCGGCTTCGACGGCCGCGGCAGCTTGCTCCCTCTCTTCTTCTACCCTCTTCTTCTTCTCCCTCTCATACAACGCCGTGATCTGCCGCTTTGTAATACCCATTCTGATCTTGGTTTCCTCGAGCCTAGCCCAGAGGTGATGCTTCTCCATCTTCTTCTCCAGTGTGACTTCTTCAATACGGCCACTCTTGAGTCCGCTGACGCTGTTGCTGGGTCCCACACGAACCACATTGAGTCCAGCACTGATAGCGCCATCGACGAGATTGTCCACTGCTACATTTGTGTGTGCGCAGAGCAGGACGGGATGAGGGACAGCAAACTGGTGCTTGAGCAGCTTGATCGTCGAGACCAAGGTATGCGTCTTGCCGGTCCCCGGAGGACCTTGAATGAGGGACAGGCGCGAGGAGAGCATCGTTGCGACTGCCTTGAGCTGACTCTCATTCAAGCTCAGATCTGGGTCGCCTTCCACGACCAAAGGCGCGGAGCGCGAATAGCGCTCGTACCAAGAACGAATGCGCCAGTCGGGCTCGTAAATCGATGACTGGCTGACCCCTGACAAGGCGCCAACTGCAACCTCTTCAAATGACGAGCTGAGGTCTTGCGTTTCGCGAGGCAGGAGAGCTTCGGTCAAGCCGCTCCCCCGCGCTTCCCACTTGGCATCAACATCCCTGGCCTCCAAGCCCGCGAGATCCATTCCCAGACTCTCAATGGCTTCATCGACCTTGGCATCGATGACTTCGTTGGGCGCCAAATCCAATCTCCAACTCTGGCAGGCTTCTAGATCGACAAAGGTGTGCGGAGGAGTAAAAAGAAGGTGAAGTCGATAGGCGTCACTCGAGAGGACAGTGGCAACCAGACGGAACTGTTCCTCGTCTTTGGCCGATGTCTCCGGCGCGGCTGCCTGTTTCCGGCCTTGACTCTTCTTGGAGGCTTGCACAGTCGGCACTGCGACTTCCTCCTTTGGCATATAATCCTGCACCACTTTGCGAGTATGCATACTTGGCCTGAGCTCGACTTTGTCGCCTTCTTTCAGCCGACTCCAACCGAGCTTCTGCAGTCCCGTGCGAGTCAAGATCGCCACTCTGGGCTTGGATCTGGCGGCAAGCATCTGCTGCTTCTGTCTCTTCGACATCGGACTGCCGACATTGAGGCTGCTTCCGCCTTGCCAGTACCCGACGAGACCGTCCACTGTCCAACCTCCGGCAATGAGCTCTTCTTGACTGCGACTGCGCAGCCGCTCCCACTCTGCTCTCTCGAATGCCCGCTCTATGCCAACGAGGTGTGAGAGTCGATCTTGATACGCTTGTACTCGTGCCTGCAACTCCGGCGAACGAGTATTGGAGGCCGCAATGACATTGGCGCTTGGTGGCTTCCGGATCTTGTGAGCATTGGCTACCTTCAATTTGCGAAAGGACGACGCAGTGAGGCGCCAGTCGAAGCGGTCCGTCAAGCCCAAGGAGGATGGTGTGGGATGGGGCTCCTCTGCCTGAGAGCCAATTCCCGTCTTGGTGCCTTGTACGACCTTTGTCAGAGCTGGACGTGAAGAGGGTCCAGGTTCGGCCCAGTCGTGAGCCACCCCTGGGCCCCGCTCTTCTGCCATTGCGTCCAATTCATCTCCCTGCAACAAGGCATCCTGTGTAACGTCCTCTGCGATGACGTTGAACGCCCTGTCATCATAGTCGTACGCCCTGCCTTTGCCCTTGATGTCTGCTTGAGCTCTCTCTTCCGGTGCGGCCGTAGGCGGCTTGGGAGTACTAGGCCACCTCTGTCCAACAGCCGAGGGCATCCACTCGCGACTCCTATGTCTCTGCAGCCGACGAGCCTCAAGCTCCTTCGCCTTGGACAAAGGCGAGAGTCTACCTCCATCTTTCCAGCTACTGCCGCTATAGTAGGGAGGTGTATCCCTTTCGCCAATGCCATGCGAGCTTGTGGAAGGACCAGAAGAAGAGGAAGAGGATGCACCGCGAGTGGCATCGGACCCACCCCGCCGAAGCAGCCTCACCGGCTGGGGAGTGGATGCATGGCAGGGGTGGCAGCGGGGGAAGAGGTGGCGACGGATGGTGAAGAGGGAGGGAGGGTAGCGGAGGGATGCCGAGGAGAGACGCTTTTTGTCAGCGTCAGAGTGACGTGGATATCAATCTATCGAGAATGGGATGGTAATGGTGATAATGAGGACCAGGCTGCAAGGCAAAGGCGCGATTCCCACTGAGCCGCATCGGAAGCGGAGCCTGGACTGGAGTGGAAAGCGGAACGGCGCCATGATTGTGTGCGTCCCACTTCCGCTGCCACTCCTTCCTTCGTACCAACGCTTCCTGCCCATCGTCATCGATTGTACACCTGGGAGGGGTGACTCATCCAATCATGCCAGCCCCGATACCAACACAGGAAACCTCAACAGCGGCTGCTTCGTCCTCTGCTACTGCTCCCACCTCCGGCCCTCCTCCTCCTCGCGAATACCTAGGCTATCGCGCTCCCCGCTCCGTGCACGGTACCAATCCTCAATTCCTAATCGAAAAGGCAATCCGTTCACGCATCTACGATTGTCTCTACTGGAAATCAGTGTGTTTCGGTCTTTCTGCCGAGACACTCGTCGATGAAGCTGCATTGAGGTTGCCTTGTGTAGGTGGAAGTTATGGAGGGACATTGAAGCCGACGGAATTCCTGTGCTTGGCATTGAAGATGTTGCAGTTGCAGCCGGAGGAGGGGATATTGAGAGAGTACCTGGGGGCGAAAGAGTTCAAGTGAGTCAGCGGTAGCAAGAAATCGTGTACACGTCATACTATCCGAGGCTCTCCACTGACTTTTCTCTGCTCTCTTTCCAGGTACCTCCGAGCTCTAACAGCCTTCTACATCCGTCTAGTCTGTCCCGCCCTGCAAGTCTACACCCTTCTCGAACCCCTCCTAAGCGACTACCGCAAGCTCCGCTACCGCTCCCTCGACGGCTCTTATCGCCTGACGCACATGGACACGTTTGTCGACGAGCTGCTAACAGAGGAGAGGGTGTGCGATGTGATCCTCCCTCGACTGGTGAAGAGGGAGGTGCTGGAGGAGAGGGAGGGTCTGCCCCCTAGGGGGAGCGTACTGGAGGAGGCACTTCTTGAGGGAGAGGAGGGGGAAGGAGAGGGGAGTGGTGAGGAAGGAGAGATGGACGAGGCGGAGAGGGAGAGAAAGAGGCGGTGGAGGGAAAAGGTGGCTAGAGGTAGGGAGGCTAGAGAGGCTCGTCTTCGTGCCGAGGCAGAGCGGGAGGCAGGTGTGGCGGCGCCGGCAGCGAGCAATGGTGTTGGTCGAGGGGAAGCAGAGCCACGGCCGCCTTCGCCAGTGGATGAGAGCGAGGTGGGATATGCTTCCCAGGAGGACTCCGAGGACGAGAGGGAAAGGTACGTCAGTCGATCTCCCAGCCGGAGCGTCAGTCCTGATCGACAGAGCAATCGCCGGTCAGTAGCCTCCTCTGCCTCCCCCTACCGCTCGCGGTCACCGTCGCCTGGCAGCGGCAACGAAGCGTGACGATTGTAATGTATATACCCATCACATTTACGAAGTACAGTCCTTTGCGCAAGTCAGACTCGTCGTCCTTCTATATATAGCGGGGTCCTCTTTCTTTCCCGGCTCACTTCAACTCCACTCCCCTTTTACAAGGAGTTGTCTCATCAACTCGATGCACCTCTCATTCTCCTCCTCTGTTCCCACCGTAATCCTCAAGCATCCCAGACATCCCAAATCCGAGCTTCGATTTCTCACTACCAATGCCCGCTCCTCTGCCATTCTCTTGTACAGCATTCCCGCCCTTGCATTATCAGGTTTCCCTCCAGAGGTCTTGGGCGCATCGAGGATTTGTACGAGGACAAAATTGGCATCGTTGCCACCTAGGATATCGCCTGTGCCTGGAATGGTCGCGAGGTTTTCGACTAGCCAGTTGCGACTGGAGATGAGGGTGCGGACATTTTCGCGCATCTTCTTCAGGCCGGCGTCGGAGAGGGCCAGGGAGGAGAGGTGGGCAGTGGGGACGGAGATGTTGTAAGGAGCTTTGGTGTTGTTCATCAGCTGAATCAGGGCGGGCTGCGAGTAGGCAATGCCGAGTCTGTGAGCGTGATGAGGAAAGAGCAATGAAGTGGTCAAGAGTCAGCGCTACTCTTCAATAGGAGGATGACAGGGTCCCGAGCTTCTACTTACCGGATGCCAGCAAGACCATACGCCTTGCTCAATGTTTGCGTCACCAGCAGATTCTTGTACTCCTTGACCAGCTCCACTGCACTGACTGGCTCCTTGCCCCTAACACCCATCCTGATCTCCTCTTCAGCGAAATCAATGTACGCTTCATCTACTACGACCAGACCCTTGTAGGATGGCTCGTCCAAGATGCGCCTGACGTCCCTCAGCGACAGAAGTGTCCCGGTGGGGTTCCCCGGCGAGCAAAGGAAGACAATCTTGACATTTGGGTGCTCACGCAGCGTCTCAATCAATTGGTCCACCTGCAGGGAGAAGTCTCCATCCTCGACCCTCAGTGGTACCTTGACGACTGCTACATCATTCACAGCTGCACATACACTGTACATGCCGTACGTGGGTGGACAAATGGCAATTGCATCCTTTCCGGGTGCAGCAACGATGCGCTGGATGAGATCGAGGATCTCATCAGATCCAACACCGAGGAATACGTGGTCCTCACCGGGGAGGTTGCGCATCGAAGCCAGACGGGACTTAATACCATACAGAGAAGGGTCTGGATATCGGTGCAAGTTGAGAGCGTCTGATGGACCAGCACCATTGATTGGAGTGGCAGTGTGGTCTACCCTATCTTGGTGAGGGATGGAAGAGCCAGCAGGGAGAGCGTGACCGAGAGAATTCTCATTGGCGTCGAGGAGAATACCGTCTTGGTAGTCGTCTCGGGCACAGCGGTAGGGCTGTAGAGAGAGGATGTTGGGACGGACAATGTCCTCGAGGACAAAGTGGGGAGGCTTGAGGGAGGCGACGTGGGCGCTTGCCTCGGAAGAGACACCTGCGACTGTCATCGTGGGGAGGATGGATGGTGAGACGTGAGTATCTACGGATGGACAGGTGGAAAGAGAGAAAGAGATGAACGAGTCAAATGGATGGCACTAGGGAAGATTACAATCCATGCCGGGCGTACGCCATGACTCCTTCCGTCTCGTCTCTCTCAATCGTCTTCAATCTCCGCCCCGATTGACTTGCACACCTCGGCGTTCTGCCCACGCGAGTCGAGTCAGCACTTCGCCTCGTTCCCGCACAAAGGATTCGTAAATGAAGCATTTCATTCAACTTGGGAGAAGAGACTACATTGAAAGACCTTGCAAACCATGACAGCCCAGCCATCGCCAGTAGACGGACGGGAATGGTAGTGACAGAGCAGATAAACAAAGCGACGTAGGGTATGCCATGCCACCGGCCCACTCAACGTCGAATTTCAGAATTTCTCACCTGGCCTTTGCTTCCTCTCCGCGCTCAACCATGGCGAGAGAGGTCGCTAAAAGCCGAGTCAATGGCTGCCTTGATCTCCTTGTAGCTTACAACCAAACAGCTCTGTTCATCCCTACTGGTGAGCATGATCCTATCCTCACTCCCCGCATCTAGCCTATTCAAGTTGCTCAGCAGATGACTCAGGTCCAGCACAGGCTTGCCGCTCCCGCCTTCCTCGACAGAGTGGAAAAGGTAGTCCCGGAAGAGAGAGATGAGGTATCGCTCTCCCGTAGATGACCAGTTGGGGTCGTGGTCGTACTCGGGTCGCTCATTGATGAAGCCCATCTTGCAGAGAAGGCGCACCAGGCGAGCATTTTCCAGCTCCCGACTTAGCGAGTCTTCGAGCAGGTCAGAATAGTTCTCGCTTGCCTCGAGCTCGTCAGCCAGGTGCGGACCGAGGAGTCGCAGTAATTCATCGGCGTCTTTCGCCGTACCATAGTCCCTGTCCACCTCTTGCGCACTTTGCAGCAGCCATGTCACAACGTCCTTCAGCTCCTTGGAATAATGACGACCCAGATTGTCCAGAGACTGGGCGATGTTGTTTCCGGCTGTGCTTGAGAGCGAGGAGAGACAGAGGAGCAGAACACCAAGCTTGTACAGATCTTCGGCTTGATGGTTCGCCATCGACTCAGCAGATGGAGGATTTTGGGGATCGTAGGTCAGAACGTCGAGGACTGAGCAGCAATTGATTTGCACACTGGATGCAGAATCGAGTGAACAATGTCAGAAAGATGTTGCGGCGCGGTCCTCTGCCCCTCTGCTTCTGAACTTACCGATTCTTCCCCGTCAGCAGCACCTTCCCAAGCTCAAGACATCTAGCCGCAAGTCCGAGCTTGTGGATCTGTCGAAGCGCCGAAGCGAGCTGGCAGAGGTAGGACCACATCTTCCTCTCTGGCACATGCATGTCCACCGTCTGCATCCTTCCTGTTCGTGGATCCACGCGTGGCGGACGAGGGAGGAGATGCTCTGCAAAGAGCGTCGTGGAGAGGGGATGGAAGTCGTACACAAAGACGATCGCTGGATTTGCCAAAAGAGGGTCGTTAGCGCACTGAGAGACTCAAGCCCACTCTCGCGCTCACGCTCGCTCATCTCCAGTACTCACAAGCTTCGCCCCATCTCCAGCTAGTAAAGGCCTCTCTCACATTGACCACACCCGGACACCTCAGTCTCCTCCACCTCTCCACTCCTTCTAGCGCCCTCTCCTTTTCTCTACCCAGGTTGAATCCAACGATCCGCCGCAAGACGTACGTCTTTCCGTCAAGAGTGCAGGTGGCTCGGTGAACTTCGGTCGGATATCCGCCCAGGGCAGAAGAGGGGGCGAGCGGTCCACCGGAGGAAGAGATGGGCAGCTGGCTCAGCGCGCCCATTGAGCTGATCAGGCCGTTTGCTCCGATTGGCAAGAGGTGACGTGGGAGCAGCTGCGTAGGCACTCCTCCAATTGTCACGGGGTTGCCTCTCGAGCCGTATGGCAGAGGGCCCGACGAGTCGGGCTCCAAAGCTACCAGATCCTTGTAAACATGAGCCTCTTCGGGCTGAGGCGGACGAGTCTGTGTACCACCTAGATCGGTGACAGAAGAAGCAGAGACATTGATAGCCTCATTCCTACGGAAGAGGTCCTCCCGCAACGAGGGACTCATAAAATAGGCATGCTGAGCCATGTGTTGAGGGTGAAGATTAGAGGTGTGGGGAAGAGGCGGAGCGGAGAGGTGGTATTGCAGTGGTTGCCGAATGGGTCTCATTGGCTGTGCAGTAGAAGGATCGTCATAGCCACCGTGGCCTTGCTGATCCATATGTTCGTAGGGATTGAAGGGCCTGCCAGCACTAGGATCTCCTCCGGCTCCGTACGAGGCGCTGTTCGAGGCGTGACCTCCGGAAGGCAGAGGACCTGCGTAGGTAGGATCAAAGGCAGCGTTCTGGGTGAGGGAAAAGACAAAGCCCAGAGCATACGGAGCAGGGAAGAGCAGCTCGAAGATCAATATCTCAGTACCTCCCGTCGCTCCACCTCTTCGTTGCCTCTTATATGAGCTCAGGCTATACTCACGCCTAAACCTTCGCTATCATACCCAGATGGACCTGCCCCGCTCCCATACCCCGTCGGCGTACCCCTTCCACTATGACTCGCGGGAGTGAACACACTGGATCCTGGCCCACCAGTAACAGCTCTCGCGTAGGGGTTCGCGTTGCCCGAAGGAACGAACACGGGCGGTCCTCCATTCCCCTCTCCACCACCACCACTTCCAGCGCCTAGATTCATGCCCCGGAACTCGCCAGCAGGCGTAGCAGATCCGTCTGCCTCGTTCTTACCGAGGGATCCACTAGTTCCACTCTTCGGCACAAAGACGGCTGCACCTGCTGCCGCCTTGGAGAGGCCGCTTGCGGTGGCCTTTCCCGGGGTAGGACTGCTCACCGCGGCTAGGCCGGACGAAGCTGAGCCTGCCTTTCTCATAGTTGGCAGAGGCGAGGTGGCTGTGCTGGGTGTGGCACTGGTGGTGATGGAGCCGTCTGGTCGGATGATGGGGATTGCGGCCGAGGAGCGCGGGGCGTTGGGAGCCGCTGGTGGTCGCAGAGCAGGCGAGCCGCGGGCAGCTGGAGTGAAGGTGTTGTGGTGATGTGCTCCGCCGCCGGCCTGGTTCCCACTGCCAGTATTGCTATTGCTGCTGTTATTGACATTGGAAGTGCTCCATGGTGGCAGAGGTGCCTGTTGCTGCTGCTGCTGCTGCTGTTGATGACCGTGGTGGCCGTGATGAGGTGTCTGATGGTGGTGCGGGGTATGATGCTGTTGCGTCAGTCCCGGAGGGGGCCGCCCCTGGTACGCGTTGTACATAGACTGGAAGCGTCCACGTCCTGTATGGGAGGCACAGGGGTGAGACGCAAGGTGTGAAAGTGATGATACGACGCCTGTCTGTCTCTGGTGAGAGGAAGACAGAGACGAAGGAGGAGGAGGAGGAGGATACCAGGACCAGGCCAGGAGCAAAGGGAAGCGGCTGGGGCAGACGACTTGGCTCGCACCTCCCGTACAGGCGAAGGACTCGCGCCGGGGCCCAGGGCGAGGCGAATTAAGACTCCGCCATCCCGTACAAAGCTACCCAATGCTCTACCCTCACACAAAGGCAAAGGAGATGCTACGATGAACGCCGTAGATGAAGCAAAGATAGACAACGAAGGACCAGAAGAGGAAGATGTTCCAATTTCAGCATTTGGTGAATTGCTAGAGACAGTCGTGGAGGGTATTCAGTCTAGTATAATGACATCCGTTGTATGCGAGCAATCCCGTTGCAGACCGCCTGCCCGCTCCTCCTCCTCCTCCTCCTCCTACACCTTCTGCTTCTTCTTCATCGCCCTCTCCATCTCCAAGAAAGCCTTCATCGTAGGATCAAGCCCCTTGATTTCAATCGGCTCAGCCTCTTGCGGGCCATCAGCTTTCCCTGCACCGGCCTGGCCAGGTCTCTTCCCCAGTAGCTGAACATCCCACTCCACATCGCTAAGAGGAGGTCTCATCTCCTCCAACTTCTTCCTCACCTCACTCATCGTCTCCTGATAGTCGTCCAGATCTTCCTTGTACAGGTCATACACGCAGCGAGCACAGCCTGACATACAGCAGTCTTCGGGTCCTGGCGCGTCTGGGGTGCGAGGGACTAGCACGCCTCGAACGTAGATGGTCTGCTTGTCGCTCCTGCTCAGCTGCTCCTCCCGCCGACGCTCGGCTGTATTGCTCTCAATGGCAGTCGCGGGAGACTCCGCCGAGCTAGTACGCTGGGCTGGGTTCGGAGTAGTACGCAGAGGTGTGTTGAGCTCAGGTGAAGATGTTGTGGCACTAGTGGGCTCTGTGGGTGTAGCGCTCATCGACGTCCCAGCAGGCGAAGGAGAGAGGGTATCGAATTGATCTGACCTCTGTGAAGCCGAAGACGGCGGGCTCGCTTGAAAAGACCGTGGCCATCGATCTCCAAGATTGATGCCGTACCCTGTCGAGGTGTGAGACGTACAGTAGATCCGCTTGAGGTGAGCTGGCCATCTCGGGTCGGTGGTACTACAGAGATTGTGGTCTTCACTCACGCTCTCTTACTCTGCGGCGTCGGATCGCTTCTGTCGCAGTACTTGCGCTTGTCTCGCTCGAGGGTCCTCGTGCATCGTCCCTTCGCGACCCTGCCTGCTCCATTGCTCTCAAAATTTTGAAGGAAGTATGAAAGCCTCGAGCAGGTGCGAAAGCGGTGCTACCACTGCCCGTGACTCGACCCGCCTGCTCCACCAGCAGCTTCCCGCTCTGCACACGGACTACACCGCCATCCTCGAAGCGATAGCCATCGACGATGTCGCTGAGCACCTTTTGGCAGTCTACAGTCGCCTTCAGCTTGCTACACATCAAGAACGTCCCGCTGAGCTTCCGGTTCAGACTGTAAGTCTCCTTGGGCGGAGGTGTCTTGCGCTGAGCCAGCATCAGCGGGATCTCAGACTTGATCTCGTCTGTCAGCGTTTGATTTGTGAAGTTGAAGGGGGTGGTCCGTCTAAAAGGCGAACCTAGCAGTGTCATCGATCGGACGTGCGCATCAACCATCTCGTCGGACTCGGTACCGATGAGGTAGCCGACCTTTGTGCTCCACTCTTTGCAACCGGGCAAGTCTTCATTGACGGCACAGATGAGAAGCCGAAGCCAGTCGTCCATAAACGCCTTGGAATACTCCCTGGTAGCACCGAAGTCGATGAGCTGAATCTTGCGAGTGGACGTTGCATAGAGAAAGTTGCTGAAATTCGGATCCGTTTGCATGAGCCGATGGGTGAACAGCTCAGACAGAGCAAGATCGAGAAGAGATGTAGCGATCTGAACCATCGATAAGAGAGGAGAGGACGTCAGTTAAATTCGACCCGGATACTGACACTGATGGACTGCATCGGCTCACTTCGTTGCGTCGGCGTTCATTGTAGCCTTCCACATGGCTCAGCGGTCTGCCCTTCATCATCTCCGTCGTCAATACCCGTCTCCCACAAAGGTCGGGAATAACAGTAGGAACCTCGAAGCTGCCAGCTGGCTGCCCCTCATTGAAAATCTCCGCAAATCGACGACCCATCTCGGCTTCACGCTCATAGTCGCATTCGTCCTGCAGTTCCAACCTCATCTGGTTGATTGTGTTCTCCAGAAAGAGACCCCTGGGCAGCAGAGCAGATGCGGCCAGCAGCCACTTCAGATATCCTAGATCTGACTCGATAGACTCTCGAATGCCAGGAAACTGGACCTTGATGGCTACTGGGAGATTGGGATGCTTCGGATGAGACGGCGACAAAACGCCGTGGTGTACCTGTCCGATGGACGCAGCTGCAAACGGCGTAGAGCTGAAGGAGGCAAAGTGGGAGCGCCAGTCTGCTCCCAGCTCTTCGGCCATGACCTTTTCCATCTGCCATTCAGGCATATAGTTCGCACTGTTCTGCACCTGCAAGAGGACAGCTTCGATCTCTGGAGGTAAGAGATTGCTGTCCTGTATGCTCAAGAATTGCCCCAGCTTCAATGCAGCTCCCCTCATCCTTGAGAGCTTGTCCACTAGACGCTTGATGTTTCCCTCGCTCATGAATGGGCTGCTGTTTCCCTTCTGCGCCTGTCCTTCGGGACCTCTTCCTCCGCCGCCAGGGGTTAAGATGGACCCTGCAGCTCCCCACGCCAGTCCGGCGCCCAAAGAGCCATAATGCATGAGGCGAGCTAGACGAGACGAGGGGACCTTGGAAGCCCTCATGGGAGTCGTACGTTGCTCAGTAGTGACATCGTAGTCTGACAAGTGCTCGAGCTCTTCTGGCTGTACATCAGCATCTCGCAGCCGAGGAGGTGGAACGCTCTGGCTGGCAGCAGCTTGACTTGGCGTGAGGTCGGCTGACGATGCTGTGACTGCAGACGGTGGCGTGTTATCTATGGTGATAGCTGGATTCTGCAAAGATGGTCCAGAGAGAACCTCGCTTTCCAGCGAGCTGGGCGGACTTGACCTGTTCTGCTCTTCGACAGAAGGAGACGCATGAACGTTGCTGTGGGCGTCTACGGCTGCACCAGAGGCATGACTCTCGCTGAACAGACCCTTGTCCGGTGGCCTAACCTCTTCCGGCTCCGGAGGCGGAGCGAAATAAGCCGCAAGAGCCTCGTCTAGCTTTCTCCTGGCCTCGGCCTTCTCTTCTTCTGTAGGCTCCTGCTGTGGCTTGTCAGCGTTGACATGCTTCATCTCTGTGAAGGTCCCATCTGGCGCCTGAGGAGGAAGGGAGAGATTGTCTGGCGAAGGCTTGCGAGGCTTGTATGCTTCCGGTTGAGACCGCATTGAAGGCCCTGTCTTACTGCTCTTCGCCTTCTGTGTAGGCCATGGCCGTGATGGACCCGCCCTCGGGGCAGAGGAGCTGGAGGGGAAGGCAGACGATGAGGAGCTAGGTGTGGCGGCTGTCGAGGCTTGTAGATATGCAGCTCGATGAGCGATGCGGGCTGCAGTCATTGCAATGGCATAGATGTCATGCAGCCGTATTGGCGGAGGCGGCGGAGCCATGGTGATCACAGCTCGAGGAGCGATAAAGGTGCGTTGGTATGGGCTCCTCGATGGTGCGGAAGGTGCTCAGATCGGAAGAAGTGGTCGTGGTGGAGCGAGGCCTGACGTCGGAACGGAAGATGACTCGCGCATTGGGTGTGGAGTGAGACACGCACTGACGACGCCCGGCGTGAGGCGAAGTGACACTCCTTCCAGACCATCACTGGTACCAGTCACCACAGACACCCTTTGCCATCCTCAGCCATGGCGTCGTCATCATCAGCAATGCAGGTTGACGACTCGCTGGCGTCTTCGTCCACAAGATATCTCACCTCAGCAGCTTCGTCTGCTCCTCCCTCGCTCCAGCCATACTTTGCTCGCTTCTCAGACCTCTACTCCAAGAAGCTCTACTATCAGCTCCTCCTCTCCGTGCAAGAGTTCTACGCCCACCCAGAGTCAGACAAGCCAGGCTCGACATTGCGGTATGAATTCTTCACCAAATTCGTCATCAATTGGAAGGACAAGGTCAGCGGACTGAGCGGCGCAGAATTGGCCATCGCTGCCGCTAAGCAACTCAAGGAGCCCAGTAAAGCGCTCGACTTCCTCTCGAAGCAGCGCGACGAGCTACCAGACAAGACTCCGCCACATCTTCTTGTCAGCATGGAGTGCACACATTACAAGCTCCTACTAGGAGAGTTGGAGACGGTCAAGAAGGACGTGGATCAGGGAGGGAAGGTGTTGAACAACTACGATGCAGTGGAGAAGGTCGTCAGCGGAGGTTACTACCGCGTGGCTGCTGAATACTACAAGGCAAAGGCACTCTACCAGCAGTACTATACCTCCTCGCTGTTGTACCTTGCATGTTTGCCCCACAATGGCACAGAAGATGACCTGCTGGAAGAAGAGAAGGTGGAAAGGGCACACGACCTAGCTATTGCAGCCATCCTGGGTCAGGGCATCTGGAACTTCGGAGAGCTCGTGAGTACACAATGAACTGCTTGACGGCTCTTGAGCCAGGATTGCGAGCTTGATCGCTGACGTCTGGTGCTATAAACATCTCTTTTGTCCACAGATCCTCCACCCTCTGCTGCCGACGCTCAATTCGACACCTCATGCCTACCTCCTCGCACTCCTCTCAGCCTTTTCCTCCGGCTCTCTTCCCCTCTTCGATTCGCTCCTCCCCTCGATTCAATCACACCCACTGCTGAGCGCATCGATGCCCTTCTTGCGCCAGAAGATCTGTCTGATGGCACTGGTGGAGAGCGTCAGCAAGCGCGAGGCGAGACAGAGGAGCTTGAGCTTCGAGACGATTGCAAAGGAGACGGCTTTGCCTGTTGATGAGGTGGAGCACCTCTGCATGAAGGCATTGAGGTGAGTTGCCCTTTCTTACTTTCGCAAAGATTCGATCAGCCATCAGCTGAGATCCAACACCAATCGCATCTGACCCGTAACATCTCACCCACTATCACAGTCTCTCCCTCATCAAAGGCAGCCTGGACCAATCCGCCCAAGTAGCCCACATCTCCTGGGTTCAGCCCCGCGTACTCGAAATGGACCAACTCAAGGCGCTGCGCGCCAAGCTGGCCAATTGGCTCTCGAGAGTTAAGGACACAGAGATCTTTGTGGAGAATGAGGGATCGGCGGGGAATAAGAATGTGGTCGAGGCGGTTGTGGTGTGAGCGGGAGGAGCGGCGCTCGACCTGTGTGAAGTAGATGTGGTGGGGAGGGAAGAATTGTAGAGACTGGCCCTTTGATTGCCATGTCATATCAGGAAGCATGGCGTTCCTACTCTGTGATCCACATTGACAATGACAACGACAATAGAAAACGACTCTTACAACCCGCATCTCGTTCTGAAGTACTCTCACTCAACATCATGCCAAACGAATGCTACCTCCCAATCATCCCACTCTTCCTCTCCCTTCTCTTCGGCCCCTTCTTCTCCTTGTCCTTTTCGCTGGTGCGTACCACTCCGAGCCGTAGAGAGGCGAAGAGCAGCCGCGAATGCGTGTGCCGGCAAGGGAGTGCTGGTAGCAGAGCCCTCTTCGTTCTTCTCTTCACCTCCCTCGCTGGGTCCACGATCAACGAAGGCGTAGAAGAGTTCACGAGCGGCCGCCATTCGCTCCTGCGTTTCTTGCCCTTGCTGCTCCTCCTCTCCTTGCGATTCACTTTGCCCTTGCCCTTGCAGTCGCCCTTGCCCCTGCCCTTGACCCTGCAGGGATACGAAGACCTTGACACTGAGAGCGTTTCGTAGTCTGTCCTGCACAAGCGCAAAAGCGCCTCTCGTCTCTTCGGTGACTTCGAATCTGGGATTGAAAGTGGTGTCGACGGGAGTGCTGGCGGTGGTGGTGGCTGTGGCGGTGGCGACGGAGCGCAAAGCGATGATGCCGAATGAAGAGGATCCGCTGGGTGAGGAGATGTACTGGTGCGAGAGCTCGAGGGTGCTTGAAGATGAGGACGAGATGATGGAGAAAGAGGAGCTGGTGAGGGACGGGAGGGAGGAGAGGGGGAGGGTGAAGGTGTCTACATGTAATATAAGAGAGGTTGGGCGAGAAAATGGGAGCTGCGTCAGCTAGTCTTGTCCTCCCCCCTGAGTATTTCGGCAATTTTCCGCAGTCAACTCACCATGCCTCGCGACAGGCCGCTCTGCTTCGTCGCTTTCATCGTATTCCTCATCCTCATCCACTTCCCCGGTTCCTGCGTATTTGGCACTCTTGCTGCTCTGCCGCCGGCCGTCGTGCGCAGTCAGCTGCCACTCAACAGCCGCACCCCGCGGTAGGTCTTTCTCGCCTAGATGGGCATACAGAATCGGTAGTGCTTGCGACCCTTGCCACTTGGAGCGATTGACGATGCCTTCTGAGCCGAAGAGCCAGTCTGAAGCCTGCTCTTCCGCGTCTTCATCCTCGTCCTCCTCTGAGGAACTTTGTACTGTGGACTGTCCAATCGGAGCGATTCCAGAAGCACTGTCTTGTACAGCCCAACAGCGCAGAGCTGCCTTCAGCCTCTCTGATGTCTCACCCTCGCATTCCACCGTAGGCGAAGCGATCCAACACACTCCCCCTTCTACCCATCCCTTCCCACCCCTGTTCCTCTCCTCAAGCACAGCAGTGAAGATTCGCCTAGCGTGCTGCAGAGAGAGGGCGTACTGCATGGCCACACCTTCCTGGCCCGAACCCGAAGGAAGGGAGAGATCAACGGGAAGCAGTCCGATCTGACCAGCGATACTCATGCGCGAAGCGTTGATTAGGCCTTGTGAGTAGGGACCGATGTTGGCGGAGGCCCAGTAGGAGAGGGATTGCACGTGCAGGGTTTGACGGTGAGAGCGGGAGCCGGAGTGCAGTTGGCGGAGGCGGGGTGCCATAGCAGGTGCTGGTGAAGAGGCAGAGAGAAGGTTGCCATTGGGGTCTGTCTCGCATGTGTAGACAGACCCATCGCCGTACGCCCACCCGTCTAACTCTACAGTGCGCTGCGTGGCGCCTGCCGCCCTGAGATGGGGGAGGGCGACGGTAGCCCTCGTGGGCGGCTCGAGATCGAAGTGCTGCTTGTACACCTTGTTCACCTCCACAAATGATGCTTGATCTCGTAGCGAGAGGTTGAGGTGCTGAACGTGTGGCAGATCAAGCTTGTGAGCTCTCAGGACTTGCCGGAGCTTGGCAAAGGTGGCATAAACTTCAGCGTCATGTGAGATTTCTTTTTGTGAGGAGGGGAGCTCGTCCAGATCGGCTGCAATGCCTGAGAAGGCGACCCATTTCCCTTTGCTACGGTGAGTGGCCTCCGTCTGTTGTCTATGAGCATCCAGAATCACGGATTTTGCTAAGCGAGGAAGACGAGTGTGGGTGGCAGAAATCGAGCTGCCTGCTCCTTGAAGCGCATGCAAAGCTACAACCTTTGTGCGAGTGCCTAGCCTATCGAGCGCTGGGGAGATGACGACGTCGTCCAATCTGGATGAGCTAGCGTCCTTGTCTATCAAAGTAGCCTTATGTACCCGCAAGTATGCCACAGATGCAAAGCTCGTCGTCGAATCCACCACCGTTTCGGTCTCGTCGCTGTAGCAGTAGAGTGGAGTGTCAGAAATCAGCTGAGGAGTCATGACGGCGTCATCTGCCTAAGTTTTGTGACTACTCACAGTCGTATTCTCTTCTCAAAAAGGGGGCAATCTAGCGTCAATGTCTCATACTCTCCTCCCTCTCCACAAACATGAGCTCCATATAGTCCCTTTAATCTCTCCAACTTAGGCCGCATAATCGCCAGCGATTTGCCCAAATCCCTCTGATCCAGCCCTATTCCTGCACACTTGATCAAAACGGCTTCGACACCTGCATGCACCATCTCTTCCAGAAGCTCCGACTGGTCTCGCTGCCAGAGGTAGGCGAGGGGTTGCAGCTGGAGCTCCGGACGAGAGCAAATCGTCTCTACTCGGAAGCGCTGGTAATTGGAGAGGATGGCCCCGACCGAGACACCTTGCACGTCGGGGTGGTGCTGCTTCACCTGTCGTAGCAGAAGATGGAGATCTTCCGTTTCGTCTTGTTCCGTCTCGGCAGCTGAGCCGTCTTCGCCAGTGCCGGTAGACGGAGAACGCAGGATGCCGAAGGAGGAGTCGGTCTGGAGGGGCTTGCCTGTGATGACGTGCCTGTACAGAGGCAGCTGCATGGCTTCTGCTACAAGGTGGACGGCATCGTGACCTACTGTCTGGTACATGTACGAGTCAAGCTCATCTGAAGAGAAGTCCAAGGCATTCCGGTCAGCGCTGCTTGCAGTGTCTTTGAGATGCAATCTGCGGAAGCGAGCTCACCTGTTCCCTCTGGAGGTGCGAGCGTAGCCAGCGCTACGATCTCATGGCCGAGCTTGGCGCAATGGCACAGGTTATAGCAGCTGTCCTTTCCCCCTGACAAGAGACCCACGACCTTCATGGCTTGATTCAGAGACTTCACTTCTTGGTGAGTCGTTGCTGTTCGAGGTTGCAAGCAACTCACGGAAATACGGAACTGAGGCATCCTTCCGACGGAAAGAGACAAAATCCGTGGAAATGCGAGAAGAGCCGAGGCACAGGCAGCAGCGTGGCCTGAGCGAGGGCGGGGGTGATGCTTCGACTGAACATCGTATCCTTCTCTCACCATCACCTTCGTCAGTCCTGCCCCTCCTCTCACAACCTCCGCAGTATGACACAGACAGCACTCACGACGGCGACACTCACCATCGACGACATTCTTGCCGACCTCGCCGTCCTCAGCGGGACAGAAGGCAGCAACAGCGCCTCTGCTCTTGCCTCTGGTTCAGCTGCACAGGCTCAGCAGCAACATCCCATCCTCTCCCTCGGTCGGTCCTTCGTGGCCCCCGAATCCCTCTCCCGCTCTGAGATCGCCTCGACGACCTCCTCCTCCTCTTCAAATCTCGGTGGAAGCGACGCAGACCCGCTCGCATCTTTGCTGGAAGACGATACGACGAGGTTGAAGACTCTCCTGCGCTCCCTCGAGCAGGGAGGCGCAGAGGGGAAGGAAGACATTAGTGCCCAGCTGGAGATCGTGCGCTTGTTCCTCGCTTCCTCCGATAGCACCTTAGTTTCCCTCAACAAGAGCCATCAGACCAGGGGTACCGATGGGCAGGACGGAGGGACAGGCAATGAGATTGAGAACTTGCATACCCGTGTTGCTCGAGTGCAGGCGGATCTAGATCAGCTGGAGAGACAGCTTGAAGCGGCGAGGAGTAAGCTGGACTGACGATGTGCTGCGCTCAGTGTGAGTACAGAAGTGGGAGCAGAAATTTGCGTCTATGCTGCTTTATCGTTGCCGTGCTAGTCTATGATACACCGAACCTGACAATGTACCTCTACCTCTACCTCTTCCTCTACCTCTCACGCTCATTTACCCTCGTCCGCTGCCTCTTACGCATAGCAATCCAAATAGCTCGACCAATACCATCCACATCACTGAACAAGCTCACATGTCGATGCGAGCTCTCCGTCAACCAAGCCCAACCTTCATCTCCTGCATCGCTACTACTGCTACTGGCCTCTTTGTCGTCGGTGACCAGACACTTCTTCCATCCCCCTGGGATGCTAGTAGAGGAGCGTAAGGTGATGACACCGTCTCCTTTGCCGTACAGCATACGACTGTAGTCCGATGAGCGTACACTCGAACGCCAGTCTGCCGCAGGAGAGTCATCCTTCGCAGCCGAGCCCAAAGGTGGTGGAGGAGGAAGACCATTAGATTGGGGGCCTGTCCCGCTGGATAAGCTCGTTGCATCACCGTGAGAGCCTCCCTCCACGAGTGCTCCGCGAGTTGTGGGAGTCCTTCCAGACGTCAGCATGGTAATCGGTGGATAGAGACCTCTTGCGAGCTTGTCTTCGTCGAAGCCGGAGTTGATCTCCTCGTCGAACGTACGGACCTCTTGCAAAGTCTGGGCGAGGCACCGGTAATTAACGTCATACAAGGATTAGTCGACGAACAAAGCGCTCAAACCGAGCTTTGAGGTCAATACTCACCCGCTTCAAATAGTCCCAAATCTCGTCTTCAGCCACCTCAGATGGACCATCTGCCCTGCCGCTACTTGCAGCCGGCTCCTCTTGATTCTCAGCACTTAGCGCCTGTGTCTCGTCCGTCTCTGCACCAGTGGCCATATCCTCTGCGCCCTGAGCGACATGTTGCGCAGCAAGCAGACCCTCCTGAGTAGCACTGGAAATGGATGCTGAAGTCTGCATACCCTGGCTGCCCTCCTCGTCATTTGTGCGCGGTTTGCGGAGGGCAGGACCGTCGATCGGTGCAGCTCCTGGTACATCGCCAGGGCCCTGAGCATTGTCAGCCAGCTCTGCCTCCTTCTGACGGTCATCCTTCCCCGACTCGGCCGACTGTCTCGGCTTGTCAGTCTTAGGTCGGTCTGCAGCCTGGGAGCGCTGCCTCTCCTGCCAGCGTCTAGTGCTCCTCACAACAGGACTCAAACCCGCCCATTCCCACAGCTTCAAGTCGAGAAAGTCTACTTCTTTCCGCTCACCAGACTCCGTCTCGAAACAGAGCTTATCGCGTGGCAGAAGGTAGAAGGTGGATCGCCAGGAAAAGGTCGAGCGAGGGGAACAGATGGTCGTATTGTAGAGGGCTGCATCTCCGTATGCCAGGGGGCCGAGGATATTGGGTGTTCCGAGGAAGGGAGTGGAACCAAAGGAGAGGGTGTGGAAGACACGTGGGTCAGATGCTTGAGACAGGGCGTGTAGAGCTACCAGACCTCCCATGGAGTGGGCAACGACGATTGCTCCCTTGCGTTCTTTTGGATCGTCTGAAGAAGCTTCGTATAGCTCTTCCAAGAATTTGCGAAGTCGCTTGGAGGACTGTCCGAGTGAGAGCCGCCAGTCGAAACCCCACGGGTAGACGTTGGCTCCCTTTCGAGCAAGCTTTGCTTGCAGTCGAGAGCTCATATCGACCATCCTCCCAATACGCGAGAGCGATTCGTCAGGCTCAATCAGATCTGTCGCGTTGTCCTCGGCTGATGGACTGAGCCCGAGCTCAAGGACCGGCCGCCGGAAGCCCGTGCCGACCTTAAGAGGGATCCAGAGCATCTGATGAGTCTTTGCGTCTCGTAAAACAGAGCCTCGATATCCTCCCAAGATGACCACATTGTATCCCTTGACGTCGTTGAAGAATTCTGAGGCTCGATGATGCCGCGGACCAATGACTGGGATCACGTCGAGGTCATTCTGCGTATGGGCAGGAGTGGAGGAGGAGCCGAAGATGGAGATGCCAGTGACGGAGGGGAGGATATCACTGGGTAGGTAGCTAGTCCAGCCAGTCTTCGGCTGCTTGCTAGTCGCATTGGCAGAGGCCCCGTGCCCATTCGGTGTGTCTTGGCTCGGCGGTTGACTCTGGGCCATACGCGCAGGTGAGACGCCCCGCTCGTCATGCTTACCAGCCTTGTCTGCACTCTTACGTCGCGCCTGATCAGTGCCACCTCCAAATGGCCGGAGGACAGTATCGGCCTTGCCCTTCAAGCTGGTCCAGCCAGAAGAAGAGCCCATATGCGTATCGTAAAAGGCCTGCTTGGCAGTCGGTACCCGGTATGAGCTCGGGACATGCGGCAATTCCTGTGTGCCGGAAACCACCTGCGTGAGAGTACTTGTGCTCAGCACGGACATGGTCCGCTGCAGACCTGGTATGTCTGCCAGCATAGGCGTGTTGGGGGAGGAAGGGTCTTCTAGGGTTGGTGATAATAGGGAGAAGTACTCGGGCTCCAGGTGCGCTGCGACTTCTGCATCTTCCTCTTCGACCGGGTCATCGTGGTCTGTGGAGCCATCACCTGAGCTTCTTCTTCTATTGCCAAAGACGAAGGTCGAAAGTTGATTTAGCTTGAGCTGAGGTAGAGACAAATTGGAGCCCTCCCTATCGGCTCCCTTCTCCCTCGCCGAGTCGTCTGTCGCATCGGTACCACGGTGCTCAGCACTACCGGGCTGAGCGGAAGTGGAGAAGGGGTTGAGAAATTTAGGCACTGCGAGCTTGCGCTGCTTGTTAGAGGCTACAGTGGGCGTCATGAGCTGTTGTTGAGCTGCCCGCACATCAGATGTGCTGGTTGAGGAGTTACTTTGTTAAGATTGGAAGCATAGAAAGAAGGAGCTCAGCTTCAGGGACGGGTTAGATATACCCGGCATCTGGTAATGTTGTACGACTGCTAAGCGGCAGTGTCGGACGAGGCAGCCCGATGCATAAACGGAGAGATCGGACTCGGGCCAAATTAGAGAGTCGGAACGGAGGCTCGGGCAAATCTACCTGCCGATGGTGCAATCTTGGTCACAGGGCCGAGCCTCAGCCTCCGCCAAGCGCCTCCTCGCCCGCCGCCGTCGCCTGAGGCAGAATCGATGACCTTCGCTCAGCCGCCGCCGCCGTAGACATCTGTCATCTACCATATCCCCTATCCATCGCCATCACCTTCGCTGCATCTCAGCACAACACCTCGCTACCCTCTTCATATCAGTTCGCCTTGCTAGCGCAAGCTCAATACCCACACACAAGCATCGCTACACACCCGTCACGTTGGCTTATCTCAACAATGTCGAAAAATACCGTGAATTCAAATCAGGCTAGGTGAGTCAGATTTGCATCAAATGAGAAGATCAGGGTGGGCGAGCAAGACTTCTGACATACGCTCTACCTCTTGCCTACTTTCACTACCAGTCTTTTGCCCGCCGACGAGAGCGCTATCGTTGGCAGTCGTGGGCAATCCTCTACCTCCTCCAGCGCTTCCACCCCCGCCTTCCCTGCGTCCACGTCATCCCGACGTGGACAGTCTACCGCCGTGAGGTGAGTTGCCCCATCATCATCAATGTGAAAGCCGCCCTTCACCGTTTGCTCATGCCTTTTGCCTCTTTCTTGACGTCACTTGTAGCACCGTGGTGAAGTGGTGGGTTTGACGTGACTTCCGCAGAAATGCCTGGTACTCAAACACCAGGTCGACGTGAGCCTGTGAGAGGGGACACGTCGCACTCAACAACAACAACATCGTCATCATCATCATCTCCTACCTCGCCGTCGTCATCGAGGAATCTGCGATCAGCTGGAGCAGCTTCCGCTGCTCCTGCTGCTCAAAGCGGAGAATATGAGATGCGTACGCATACTAGTCCTCGCCAAGAGTCTACTCCAAGATCAAACCGACCACGAGTCGCCCTGACTCCGGCTGGTGCAGTCCCCATCACGAATCGAGCTTCGACGGCCTACTTTCCTCCCTCGCCGCCATCGACTGTAGCTTCGGCTGATTCGCCGCCTGCCTCACCCTTGGTCGAACTCGGCTCTATGCATCTTGTGGATGAGCCAATTCTGGAGGAGAGCTATGCAGAGTCGCAAGAGAATGCTCGATGGTGGGCAGGCGCCGCAGGAAGGGGCCAAGTGTCGGGACAGGGGCATGACGAAGACCGGGACAAGCTTGGAGAGAGTCGATCCGAGCAGGAGAGTCGGGCCACTTCTACGAGAGGACCAAGTCAGCAGAGCTTCGCACAACGTCAGAAGGCAGCGGCATCAAATGCATCCGCCGTCTACCCCACTACGTCGGACATGCCTGACACTCCTAGACAGACGCCAACGGCAGTCTCACCTGCGGTCGTGGGCTATGCACATCACCCGACAGCCTCTGGCCAGCGATTTTTCTGCTCTCTTTTTGAGGACTTTCCTCTTCAGAAGGGAGCAGAGCACGTCGTCGGAACAGCTTCGGACGCTGGCGTCGATCTGGCCTGCGAAGGCTGGTCAGGCGCTGTCCTCGATCAATCGCGCCTTGCTTCGCATGCCCACTCCTCTGCTGGCCCTCTATCGAACAATGCTGCCGGTCGAGCTCTCTTCACTCTGCTGCCAGCCGCTGCGCAAGCGGAGCGACTGCGAGAAGAGGTTTTGTCGATCCTGGATCTCGCGAGCGAGGAGCTCAAGTGCGATGTCGTCTTCATGGCAGTGGATAGGATCGGGATGGAGGAGAGCGACTGGAAGGCAACCCTGCATGGTCTTTGCTACGTAGGCGGATCCGTCGTTGCCACTGGTGGTCTCAAGGGCAATGCCGGCAAGGAGAAGCTGACTGGGTGCAAAGTGAGGGAGGGCATGGTTCTAGTCGCTGTGGAGATGTGAGATTGAGCTTTGTTTCCCCATTTAGACACGTTAGACCGACGCTGAGCAGGGTCCGTACTCTGCGGCTTCTGGTCTGCCTCTCGCCTCGCCCCCTTGTCGCGATCGGATGTGTCTCCAACCGCTGTGATTCGACATACACATTCCTCTAATAAGCTTTCTACATCCCATGTCTTGTCTTGATCGCTGAGGAGGACGATGCGCTGCCCCAGAACTGCTGCCGAACGCGAAGGCTGAGGGCCAGACGGAAGTGGCGCGGGCGGCGGAGGCGAAAGTGCGTCACGTCGAAAGAGGCGTGTCTCGTCTGTCTGCCTGTCTCTGGACCAAAATCGTGTTCCCCCTTGCTGCTCATCTTCCATCATCATACTCCCTTGCAGAAGTCTCAAAGAAAAGCCCTTCCTCCCCCACGTCTAGGTACCGATAGTACACTGATCGGAGGTACATTGCTTCGTCTTGCTGCTAGCCAGATCCGCCATGGCGGACGCTGTCGCCGCCTCGCGACCTCAAGCCACTTACGGACGGAACAAGGCACTCGCGTTCCTCAGCGATGACGATGAGGACAACCAACAGCATGCTCCCACGTCTTCCCCTCCCAATATGTTTGATAGCTCTTCGCCCGTCGCTGCTAGCAAAGCTACAGCGAGGAGGGGTGCCGCGCTAGATGAAGAGGACACGGGAGACACTACGCCAGAGAGCTCCCAAGCCAGCGCGGCGCCCATCAAGCTTACTGGACCGCGAGCCACTCTGACGCCTGCGCAGCGCTTGGCCAAAGCTATGGCCGAAACCGATAGCGACTTGTCCGAAGACGAGCCTGAGAAGGGGTCGCCGTCTGCTGCTAAAGGCGGCGCTGATGCCGTGAGCCGCTTGCGAGCCTTGATGGGTGGAGCGTCCGGATCGCGTGTGACCCTCAGCAACTCGGCTCACAACCGCGATGAGACAGGCGCTCAATCTCTAGGCTCGGATCAATACACCTCTTCGCTGAGTAGTGCTCCTCCCGTCGCGTCCGCTGAAGAGCGTAGAGCTCGGGGCGCAGGCGCTTTCGATAGCTCTTCTGGCAGCGAAGCCGATGCTGAGGACTTTGCTTCCGCACTGCTGAAGGCGGGTAGAAGAGGTGCAACAGCTGGGAGGATGAGGAGGAGAGATGGGGAGAGGATCACCAGCTCATCTTCGGGAGCGCCACAGCCCGCTTCACCTACCACGGCCAGGCAGACTGTCAGACCACCTCTCGACTCGAGCGATGATGAAGAGGCATCAGAGGCAGGGTCTTCAAGTTCGCCTTCAAGCTCGATGAATGACATTGTCGCTGCTCGCAAGCAGAGTGAGGCGGCTATGCAGCGCAAACAACGACTAGCGGACATGGCTGCCGCCAAAAGAGGCGCTTCGCCATCCCTTGAGGAGACATTCTTTGCCGAAATGAAGCAGCAGACGAACGCTCCGCCCTCGAGTGCAGAGAATCTCGTGTCCTTCAGTGACGAGGATTCGATCAGCGAGGGCGATCTCCCTGCTCCTACCGAGAAAGCCAAGGTCGACAATGATCGCTCTGCTCACCATAAGAAGAAGAAGTCTTCATCGAAGAAAGAGAAAGGACCCAAAGGCCCGAAGCAGCTCTCGAAAAAGGAGATGGAAGAGATGCACAAGATGTCTGCCAAGATCGAGCGAAGCAGGCCCGTAGCAGGTCTCAGTCAGCTATCACGCCCTGTGCAACGACAGCAGTACGACATCACTCGTCTCGCGGCCATGTTCCAGCCTGCAGAGGACGAACACCAAGCTCCGTCTGATGTTGAGATCGATGCCGATCCCATTGATATGGACACACCGCGTCGCCCGGGTGAGGAAAAGCGCGGTAGCAAGCCCGCCTCGTCCGCCAAGAATGTCAGCCGGCTCGAATATGGCGCTCTCGAGTCTTTCCCGCCTCGGATGTCGACCCAGCAAGCTCCTTCTTCAGATAGTATCAAGACCACGACATCTAGTCCCGCCGAGGTGAGCGAAGAACAGCGTGAGCAAGACGCCCGCGATGCAGCTTTGCGGCTGAAGAAAGAACGCTGGCTCGAGGCACAGAAGAAGACGCAAGGTCAAAGACTAGCCATGGCTACCCGCGGACCGACGAAAGAGGAATTGGCAGAGAGTCTGCAAGTCGTCGGTAAGCCGCCTCTGCGTTCAAAACCCAAGCCCGTTGTCGGTCTGCAGGCGACATCGCTCTTCAACGCTTCGTTGCAGGAACGCATTCGTAGGCAAAATATGTCAGCGAGGTCAGCTCGAGAGGCGGCTAATCGTCAGCAAGGTCTGGTGCAGCAGCAGAGGCAGAATGCAGCCAAGCCATCCGCAGAGGCCGAAGCTGAAGATGACTCTATGGATGCTATCAAACGCATTCAGGAGAGGGTAGGCAGGCAGAGCAATCAAGGGCGTGGTGCAGAGGATGAGGTGGAGAGTGGGGAAGAAGATGATGAGGATGACGAGGACTTTGTCCTTGACGAAGAAGATGGCGAGCCACAAGGCAGCCGCGGCTCGGATATCGAAGGCTCGGCAAATGAGGCCGCTCGAGGCTCTGCGAGCGAGTACGAAGACGAGGAGGAGGAGATGCCAGCTAGCTCTCAGCAGCCTCCCCCATCCAGTCAGAACACCAATCGCAGTCACGATTCCGCGCGTCGCACAGCAGCCGCCGACGATGATGACGATGATGATGATGACGATGATGCAGATGTGACTTACACCGCTCACCGCAAGTCGAGAGCTCCACAAGCTCTACTTGATGACGAAGATGTCGAGTCTGTTCAAGATCAAGAGAAACGGTCGGAATCCACTGAGGACATTGACAGTAGTCGCGAAAAGGCTGGCGAAGTCTCGCTTGGAGGTCAAGACAAGCCACTCGGACTGACCCAATTCCTCGGCGGATTTGCTGCCAGTCCTATTGAGATGTCCCCGCAATCGGGTTCAGCCGAGGAGGCCCAGAGGCGGCCTGCACTCCAGCCTTCTTCCTCTTCAAGTCTGCTTCAAGTACCCAACACGGGTGTGCTTGGACGAGCTTCTTCTGATGATTCTGTCCTTGGGCAATTCTTTCAGGAGACACAACTGTCAGAGGATCCTCGGGGCTTCAGCTTGGACGTCATTGGAGCCACAGGGCGAGCCAGAAATGCGGAGAATGCTCCATTCTTGCAAGGTTCGCTTGGCGCTGACAGCAATGGCTTCTCTCAGCTGTTCAATGAAGGAACACAATTGCCTTCTGCTCTGGCCGGCAGCGCGGCAGGTCCTTCTCAGCTGATGGGGCCACCGACAACCCTGCCGGCCGATGGTTTCGCCGCGCTTCGCCGCGCTGCCCAAACGGAAGCTGAAGCTGCTGACTCGCCATCCCCTCTGCCGTCCAATGACGACTTTGACGATGACGAGGAGGACCATTTGGCGGGGGCCGGTCCGGCCAGAGCGGGACCATCTGTTCCCACACCCCAGAGGACGACTCCGAAACAGTATCTCAATCGCGAAGGATTCTTCACCCAGACAAAGCCTACGCTGGGAGGTCTACCTTCAAGCCAGTCGCAGTCGCAGCTCAGTCAGATTGATAGCGTAGAGCGGCCCAGTGACGCTGAGCGAAGAGGTAGCTCTGCTGATGACGAGGAGGCTGACGGAGATGGATCACCTCGAGCTGCTCGCAAGAAGCGCTTCCGTCGAGCTCTGGAACCACAAGAGGATGAGGATGAGGATGCTCAAGCTGAAGCTGGGGGTGAAGTCGTTGAGGATGAAGAGGACGAGGAGGAGCGCCTCAACGCTGATCCCGCAGGCTCTGGAAGTGAGGTCGATGGCGAGGAGGAAGTCGAGGGTGAAGAGGAGGGGGAAAATCTTGCAGGCTCAGGCAGTGAGGCCGAAGATGGTGAAGCTCCAGGTACCCTTCACCCAGGCGCCACCCGCAACGCCTGGGACATCCTCCGCCAGGGCCAAGCCCGCGCTGAGGTCCTCGCAGCAGCAGGCTTCAAGCAGCAAGGCAAGAAGCGCCAGCGCGATTACCAGTTCATCGAAGGCGAGGCTGAGGAGTCCGACGAGGATGATGAGGGTCGCCGCAACAAGAAGGGTGCTGGCGGGCTAGATGGCGTCTTCAGTGATTCTGGCTCTGATGACGGGGAAGAGGACGATGAAGAGGATGATGGACGGGACCTCGAGGAGCTCGTGGACAACGAGCGAGAGATGGATGAAGCGGACAAGGATCTTCTCGCTCGTGAGAGGTACCAGAAAGATCTCGATGCCGATGACGAAGCTGCCATGGCTTTGGCTGACAAGGCTGCCCGCGGAGAGCTGCGCAACAAGAGGAGACTCAGGGATGGTGACCGTCTGGAGGACCTTCTCGACGACGACTTTGAGGATGAACGACTGCTTATGAAAGCCAACAACCCGAGGGCAATCATCGCCAAGCGCCGTAAGATTGAAGGTGACGAGATGGAGATCTTGGCTGCCAAGGAGGAGTCGCAGGCTTTCGTCAAGGGTTACTCGGAGACGCACCGCGCTGATGTGGCTGATGAGTACGACTTCCTCGCCGAAGCAGATACGGACGAGGATTCAGGGGGTGACGGAGCGCAGAGCGACTCAGGCGGTTCTTCTTCGTCCGGCAAGTCAGACGAGGAAGATGAAGCGGACGAAGCTGGCGACAAGAGGCGAGTCAGCTTTGCTCAAGCTCAGGCGGATGATCAAGACGATGAAGAGGAAGTGCAAGCAGTACAACGAGTCACTCGCAAGCAACTGGCGCGGGAGTTGCGCGAGCGTCGTCAGCGGCGCAAGCAAGGTATCGTCTCCGATGAAGATGACGAAGCAGAGACTTCTGCATCTCAGCATCGCAATGGTTTTGGTAGCGGAGACAGCGAGGACGAAGATGACTTCAATTCTGCCCGGCCGCGTTTCCTTCGCGATCGTCTTGCGGAGAGGAAAGCGATGCAGAGCAAGGTTGCTCAAGCAACAAGTCGTCGGCGACCAGCTCCTGCAGGACCTACAAAGTCGACGTCAGCTTCTTCTTCCTTCTTCAGCCGTCGCCCTGCTGGACAGGCCTCAGCCTCAGTCAACGAGGCCCCCGACGACATCATCCTCGGTGACGACGACGAAGATGACGAGGACGATCCGCGCGCCATCGACCCTTCAGCCGCGATCCAAGCCCGTATCCTACGCCGTCAAGCCGCCCGTCGTGAGACTTCCCCACGCACAGCAGCCCGTCTGGCCAAGCTTGCCGAAGAGTTCCGATCAGAGCCAGACTTTGCCGCAGGGAGAAGTCGCTCCTTTGGTAGCGGTGGTGGTGGAGGAGGAGGAGCGGCTGGCAGCAGTGTCACTAGCTGGGGTGCACAACCTAGGAGGCAGGGTTCGGCGGGAAGTATGACGCTCGATGGAGGTCTGGGAGGTGGTAAGGGAACGGCTACTACGCTTGTGCGCAAGATGTCGGCCAAGGGGGAGATGACGAGACCGGTGTTGGGACGGGCCATCTTGGCCGAGAGGAGAGTGGAGGAGTCGCAATGATCCCGATCCCGTCTTGTGTGTAAATGCAGTTCAAAGAAGGGCAAGTCATTCAATCCATTTCCCATGCTGACGAGGCTTCATGTCGTGTGGACCGCAAATGAGAGGTGTAAGGACGAGAGATGTGAAGACGAGGTACGTTCCGTCGAACGTCGTGATGCGCATTGTCGGTCAGAGTTGATGAGCGCTTTTGCGGAGTTCGTCTTTCAGATGCGCCAGTGGTTTATTGGTAGAATTTACCGTTGCCAAGAATGCGACTACAAATCGCAGCCTGGAAACTCGGTGAGAAGGGGGTTCGATTCCCTCCTGGCGCATTGCTTTTTGCTCTTTCTGACGCCATTTTTTGTCTTTTCGCATCTGCACAATTCGGCTTAGTATCACTCATCAGTGTCATCGTTTTGTCTGGGTTCAGACTCAATTCCAAGATGAGGGAGCCTCGCGGCGATGTAGATGCATGGATATCAAATGCTATTGCTCTACTGCCTCGACATGGTCGACTCCGCGCCTTCTCAGATAATCTCTAGATCACTACCGCTATCCGCATCGCTCAAATCTACATAGCCTCCCAAAACGCCTCCGCCCGCCCTCGTCTCCCCTTCAATAGGCCCACCGATAGTCTTGAAAGCATTTGCGCCAGCTAAATTGGGTTTCGCAAAGGGCATGGCAGCCGGCAGAGGAGCTCGGACGTTGGGTGACAGGACAGACTTCTTGAGCTTGAGCGTAGGCGTCGCCAGAGAGCCTGGAGGAGCCTTGTGTCGGTTAAGGAGCTAAGAAGGAAGAATCAGGAGGGGCATAGGGGATGAAAGAGATGAGTGCCGAGTTCGCATTGGCACCTCGCTCTGATGCTATACTCACTGTACTGCCGCGCAGGCTGTCTTCACCACCTTCCTCAATACGACGCTTGCGATTCTCTCTTGCTCGCGGGTCTGACAAGGGGTCGAAACCAATTCGTTGAATCTCCTCTGCCGTATACCTACTGCTCGTACGTGTGACCGGTGCAGAGGTGCTGACAGACGGTCGAACCACTGTTCCTGCCGCTGGCGCTGCGCCTGCAGGGGCACGTCGATCCCTCTTGTCCGGGGAGGCGCTCTCTCTTGCGCTATCTTCATCGCCCGAAGAGTCAGATCCAAAGACGAGTAATCGGTCATTACTGCCCGGGTTGCGCACCGCCTGCTTACGCTTAGCCGCCTTCTCCTTACTGAGTCTCTCCTCCTCGTCCCGCTTGCGCTTCTTCTCGCGACGCTCTTGCAGAGTGCGCTGAGCTTCGGCAATGGCCAGGGCGCCTATGCTGTTCGAGGGAAGCTCCACGTCCGGAGGGAGCATGTCCCCCTCCTTTTGATCGTCCCCGCCTCTACGTCGATGCTGTTGCGTCTGCCGTAGCTCAGAGAGCTCGTCTTCTTCTGCCTGTCTCCGCTCTGCGATCTCCAGCAGCCTGTCCTGCCCATCCCACCCTGCTCGCTTAGCCTCAAGCCTGCGCAACGTAGCCGCCTCCTCTTGCAGCTTCTTCCTCCTCGATTCTTTCTCAGAGCGCACTTGCCCATAGTGGTCCGCGGCGGAAAATTGCGTACTCTCGATGTCGTCCTTGTTACGGACGCCTTCAGCGTTCGGAACGAGGACCGCTCCTTTGCGACCATTGAGGCCTTCGAAGCTCAAAGCCTCGCGCGGGATCCAGGGACGATCTTCGTACTTGCCGCCTTTGCCTTTACGTTTGCTTGATGTAAAGGAGCGGGACTTGCGAGCCTTACCGCGGCTGCCTCCTGAGTCTCTGCCATAGCCAGAGCCGGAAGATTTGACGCCAATCGCCGATGAGCTAACACGACCATCGGAGGGACGAAAGATCAGCGTTGGATTTGTCCTTCTCAGCGCGTCGCCTGCTTGCAGTGACTGTGACTCACGAATTGGCAAACTCCTGCCGCCCCCTCTGCGTCCTCTCTACACCAATACCAAGGTGAAAGTCGCAAATGGGTTCCTTTGCCCTCGAGCCAGACAAGCCTTTTCTGTCCACATAGTGTCCACATTTCTCACCTTCTTCCGTACGCGCAGTACACGATGTATAGTCTTTGGCGTTACCAAGGACGACAATCGAGGCTCCGTCTGGGGGCCTGAGTGTCATCACGTCACCATCCCTTACGCTCTTAGAGGCGCTGATCCTGGGCGTGATAATGGCAATGACCTGTCCATGACAATACCGGCCGAGCTTCTCGTAGGTGCCCTTGGTGCCGCCGTAATAGCGACCCGTTTCCTTGTCCTGACCATGGGCCTTGACCGTTTGAAGCTTAATCTCGTGATGGCCTTCATTGCCCCCTCCCTCGCCTGCAGCTCCTCGAGCTTGAGAGCCAATGTCCCTCAGCATGTACAATCTACCCTCATCAATTAGCCTGACTCGGTCATCCTTTTCTTGCCTGAGGCGCTCTAAACGCTTCTTTGCCTCCTTCTTACTGATCTGGTCGTCATCATACCATTCAAGCCGTTCCTTGCCATCTTCGTCATCCTTGCCGCTTATCCACTCTTTGAGAATGCCCGTGACACAAGCGATGGTAACCCATTCTCCTTCTACTGGAATCTCGTAATCACCGTCTTGACCTTGGCCGCGCGCTACAGCTCTCTGGCGGATCGAATACAGCAGCGAAGGAGAGAGGTAGTAGCGTCCGTCCATCACCTCCTGGAAGTCCTCGTGGGTCGTGACTCGACTCCTAGCAAATTGGCGTGAAAGGGTGTTCCAGCGTCAGTCAGCAATCCTCAAAGCTGCCGAGCTGAGAATCTTCTCTACATCGTCTTTACGGCTCTACTCACTTGAGGGTGTGTCCCGAATACGCCTCCAATTTCTCAAACTTTGCCCTCGTCCCTTCAAACTCCCACGGTCCAATCTTCAAATCCAATTCCTCCATCAACTTCAACCTCTCGTCTCTCTTCAGGCTGGACCCTTGCTGAAAGAGGGAGCGCGCATGGGCTTCACGCTCTTGACGTGCTTGCTGTTCTAGCAGAAAGCCGATGGGTTGACGAGGTCGGGGACCAGAGGAACGAGGACGGGCTCGACTTGTCAGAGGAGGGGATTGCGATGCAGGAGGCAGTAGAGTAGACTGGTAGGCCCGAGCTGAAGCTGCTTCCTCTTGGAGTCTCTGTGTACCTTGTCGAATCGTGTCCCGTAGATGAGCAGACTCATGCCGAGTAGGACTCTGAGGTGCTATGACCCGTGAGGTAGAGGGTCCAGCACCGGAGGCAGAGCCGCTCGAGGTCTGCCTCGAGGTAGCGCTGGAGAAGTTGCCCATCCCATTAGAGCTGGGAGCTACTCGACCAGAGGCGCTATACGAAGGCGAAGGAGCGCTCATACCACGTCTCGATGCTCCTCCTCCTCCTCCTCCTCCTCCTCCTCCTCCTCCTCTAGCTCCCCCGAACAAAGCAGCCAATTGAGCTCCCACGGCTGCGTCCTCCTCCCCTCCGCCTTGATTCCGACTTTGACTCTGATTTGGCCGCGAAAGCATCATCGTCGAAGCACTTGGTGCTCCACTGTTGAGCATAGCGCTCCGGCTCGGTAAGATGCGGGAGAGGGGGGAGGGGGGAGGGGGGTAACAAGAAAGGCAGGAGAAGGTGGACAAGAGCAGGCAGATGGTCTACAGGCTCGCTCGTTCCAAATTCCAGTGTTCATTTGAGTGAGCGAGCGAGCGGAAGGCACTTCTACCTCACGCTCCCGCCCCCACGCACGGCGCACGCGACTTGAGAAAGTGGCGCAGACGCACCCACCCACCCACGAGACGCGTTTCGGATCGGGAGGGGGAAAGAAATGACAAGTCGGCCTCCACTCAGCATCACTCATGGTCAACTCCTGCTCCTCTCTTCCATCAGCTTACTGACATCGTCATGAGTCAAACGCCCTACAAAGAAAGACACAAACATTCATGATGAACAGCCACGAACACGCAATGCGCAATTAAGCTGAGGAAGAAAGAAAAGGGTGGATACATTTGCTAAGAAGAGTAGTGTGGCCACCCATTGTGGGGATTTTGGCAGATTTGATAGTGTTTCATCTCGACCTCGACATGAATGGAGTGTGTGGGTACGTGAATCCATCAGGTCTGTTCCACGTCACAGCATGTCCTCCTTTCCTCTCTTCCAGAACTGACTGACTGAATGCCACGGACTAAGGGTCCGCTCACTGCCAGTAACCCCTCTGACCGCCATAAGGGTACCCGCCATAAGCCGAAGCACCTCCCTGTCCTCCTCCTCCTCCTCCACCATAGCCAGAGTACTGCTGGTAGTACCCTCCGGCCGCCGCGTTAGGAGCGCCACCCTGCTGCTGTTGCTGCTGGGGAGGGGGAGCAGCCGAGTTTGGTCGACCACCCTGCTGCTGCTGAGCGCCACCTTGCTGCTTGCCATAGCCACCGTAGCCTGCTCCTCCATCCTGTAGTCCACTGGCGGGGCCGGTAGGAGCACCAGAGGGAGCTCCACTGCCCTGCTTGGGTCCAGAGGCAGTTCCAGAAGCACCGGAGGACTGGTGACCCTGCTGAGGAGTGGACTGAGAGGCGGGTCCACTGGGGATGTTGCCGCCAGCACCGCCGCTCTGAGAGGGAGGCGCGCCGCCGCCGCCGAGGAAAGAGCCGAGACCAGCACCTCCGTAGATCTTGGCATAGTCGCTCTGACCACCAGATCGCTGCTGACCACCAAAGGCGTCGCCTCCGTACGAGCCGTAACCACCAGCGCCTGCGCCGGCACTCTGGCCATAGCCACCCTGAGAACCGTAGCCGCCTACATCAGGAGCACCCTGAGAGGCGTAAGGAGAGGCGATGCTGGCAGGGGTACCAGGCTTGGCAACGTGCTGAGGTTGAGCATGGGGATGGCCGCCGTAAGGAGCGTACTGACCGTAGCCACCTGGCTGACCGTAATGAGGGTACTGGTAGTAGTGCTGTGGGTAGTAGTAGGGCATAGCGGCAGCTGCAGCAGGGTATGGTTGCTGCTGGTGATGATGGTGAGCAGCAGCGCCCTGAGGTTGGTGTTGCTGTTGCTGGTGGTGCGAAGCTGGCGTAGAGGCCTGGGTAGACTGTTGAGTACCAGTCTCCTGGCTGCTGGCAGTGTTCTGCTGCGAGCTCCTGTCCTCGCGAGCGCCGAACCCACCACTCTGGTCGTAGTTACCACCACCGTAGAAGGAGGCCAGACGGTTCGTGTCTAGACCGCCGTACATGGAGTAGTCTTGCAGACCCTGGCTGCTCTGAACAGGTGTCTCGTGGTGGCTGGCAGCCGGAGTTCCTTGCTGCTGACCAACGGCGTTGCCATATCCGCTGCCGTATGAAGTCTGGTCCGCCTGCTGTTGCTGGCCGTATCCTCCGTAGCCTGATCCGCCAAAGGCATTCGAGCCGAAGCCACCGTAGCTGCTCTGCTGGGGCTGAGTCTGGGGCTGCTGCTGCTGTTGTTGCGGCTGGTGAGGCTGCTGTGCTTGTTGTCCGTAAGACGAAGCAGCGGGAGCCTGAGGGGGCTGCTGTGGTGCTGCCTCCTGTGCAGGGGCGGCCTGTTGCTGTGATGCATACTGGGTCTGCTCAAAGGCAGCTGCCTCAGGGGCTGGCTCCGGCTCACGCTGAGCAGGTGCGGCAGCGGGTGCGGCCTCTTGTTGCGGCTCGGGCACATCATTATCATCTCCTCCTAGGAAGTTGAGGGTACCGAACTGAACGCCGAGATTGTCCAGATTGTTGCCGCCAGCCATGACGACGGGCTGATCTTGCCTCGATCGGGCGAGCTGACGTTGAGAGATGCCGGAACGCTGAGTAGCAGGCTTTGTGGGGGCAGCCACGGCAGGCGCCACTGGAGCAGGAGCAGGCACTTCGGGCTCTTCTTGAGCTTGAACTTCAGGGACGGCTACCACCTCGGGTTCCACTGCAGCTGGAGCCTCCTCCGTCTCTACGACCACAGTCTCCACAGTGCCGGCAGGTGTCTCCTCGATGACAACAGTCTCCTGCACAACGATGGGTTCCTCCTCTTGCACGGGAGCAGAAGCTACGGGCGTAGGCTCCGGCACGGCAACTGGCGCGGGTGGTTGGGGCTTAGGCGGATCTTGAGGTCGGGCAATCTGAGCCCAGCTCATCTTTGAGCCTGCAGGAATTGTCCTCGAGCTTGGAGTCTTGGCAACAGGCGGCGGCGGAGCTTGAGTCGATGCCGGAGCAGCTGACGTAGCAGGAGCAGCAGCGGGGGCAGCAGCCGTCTCGTTGTCATCGTCCCAGCTAGCGCCAGTGCCCATGGCAGCAGCGATTGCATCTACAGCAGCAGCAGAGGTAGTCTGTTCCTCTGAAGCAGCGGGCGCATCACCAGCGAGGGCAGCAGGAGCCTTTTGCTTGCCTGAGCCGTTGGCCTTGGCGATGGCCTCTGCCCATGTAGGTCCGGTGCTGGTAGGAGCAGTCGTGGTGGGAGCAGCGGCGGTTTCAGAGACGTGGCCATTGACTTGAGGTGTGATGCCACCGCCCCGTCCTCCACTGGCTCCTCCTCTGAACCCTCCTCGGGCTCCACCTCGTCCACCGCGCAGGGGAGCACCAGCGAGTCCACCCCTTCCTCTACCGCCAGCGGCAGCTCCGCCACGGCCTCCACGACCGCCTCCTCCAAAAGCTTGACCATTGGTGAGTGCAGGGGCAGCAGCAAGGGAGCCATCAGCAGTAGTGGTAGCCGAAGTGGCCGACGTGTCCTTCTTGAGTTGCTTCTTTGATTTGACCGATGAGAATTGCTCAGCATGACCTTCAGAAATACGGCCTACTGCCAGTTCCACTTCACCTCCGGCATCCTGCAGAGCAAAGAGTAGATCCTCGTCTGTCCAATCCCCAAAGAGTTCACGAAGTAGACCAAGTTGAGAACCGTACTTCTTTCTCAGAGCCCGCACCTCTTCAGTATCATCTGCTTGAATCCGACTCGGGTCTGCTGCACCTCCGCCGCCGTGGTGATTCCTGCCTCCTCTTCTGAAGCCGCCCCTGCGCGGCGCCGACGATGCTTCTGTCGTAGCCATTGTGTATATGTGTGACTTGTGGGGGAGTAGTTGGGGGGAGCGAGGGTTGCAGCTAGCAATGGTTCCTTCTCACGCGATGTGCTAGCAAGATCCTGTAACGAAGGGAGTAGTAGGCGAAAGGACTTGGGTATGAGACCTTCCTTCGGAGCTAGTGTCAGTACTACTAGAGTCTGAAACAGCGATTGATGAGAATATTCTTGTCCAGACGTGGCGCGCTCTTCCTTTGATGAATGCGTCTTCGTCGGCGTGTGAGTACGAGTGGGGGGATGGTGGTGAGAGGTGAGATGGGTAGTGTGGAGAAGGAAGAAGACGATGGTTCCTCTGTAGCCAGGGCGGGAGGTGGGATGGGGATGCGGTGCGTTGGCCCTGGCCTTGGGTGCTTGCTTGCCTTGGCGTGAAGAGGACAAGAGTGGATGTCAGAAGCTTCTTGCGCGGTCGGGCCTTGAATTACTTGGGGACACGCACGCCTTGAGCCCCTCTGCTCACACGCCCCCCGCCCCTCACCCGCGTCCGCGTCAGGCGAGGCAATCCGCGGTGGAGGAAGCAGCAGCAAGAGGAGGGCCACGACGACGAGGCACACCACCCACGGCAACCAAGGCGAAGCTCCCAAAGGTGCCAGGGGGCCATTCTCACAAGCATCTCCACACCTCCGCACCACCTCGGTCACATGCCACACGGTGCACAGCCGGCAGAGAGGAGACACTTCAGGAAGTGTAAATGAATGACGAGCTATGGCAATGAAGTAAAGGATGAAACGCAATAGAAAGAATACATCATGACGAGAACACCTGTTCGTTAGAGGGGCAGAGGAAGAAGAAAGAGTAGCAGATTGTTGGTCGTCACACGACAAGGAACACGATCACAGTACACGGAGATCCTACTTCATACCCTCTGCCTTCTCCTTGCTGCTTGATATCCTCTGATTCGCTTCAAGTACCTTTGACACCTCGCCCTTATGCCCATGCTAGTATTGGAGTTGGCCCATATTCTCCCTGTGACCCTGCGCTGGGGCATTAGCGCCATTGGTCTCCCCCAGGACCTGCCTGGCGAACTGACCTCCTCCCCCCTGCTGCTGATGATGGTACGAGTACTGATGCGGAAGATGTTGCAAGTGTTGCTGTTGCTGCTGATAGTGCTGCTCAGGCGATCCCTGGCCGAGGTGCTGCTTGCCCCCAATACCCACACCGCCGCCGCCATTGGGAGCGCCGAAAGAAATGGGACCACCAAGGACCATCTCGTCCGACCCGGCTTCGTCTCCGCTCGGAGAGCCACTGTCGCTGTCGCTATCTCCACCTCCGACGCCCATGCCCGCGCCGTTCCTCGCTGCTCCTTCAGCTGCCTTGATCGCAGCTCTTGCAGCCTCGGCGGCAGCCGCATGAGGATCGTGCCTCATGTCCAACTGATGATGCTCCCCACTCTGCTGAGCACTCATTGCCAGAAGGTGCTGAGAAGCTCGTGCTAGCCCAGTAGCCCTGAAATGAGTCTTGAGATGCTGAGACAGGTTGTCCGTACGTCCAAAGTACTTGCCACAGCCGTCCACTGGGCACTTGTGAGGCCGTTCCTGAGTGTGAGTACGATTGTGGCGCTTCAAGTGCTCCATTCGCTTGAAGCGCTTGCCACAGTGGCAGACGTGCAGCTTGTCCGCAGACGACACCACAAGAGGTGGAGCAGAGGGGGATCCTGCTGCTCCGCCGGTCAAAAGACCACTTTGGCTACGACTCGAGGTATGCTTGCGAGGAGTCGTCGATACAGACGCGCGATTCTGACTTCTGCTGTTCTTCTTGACGTGCTTGGTGGGGCCAGCACTCTTACCCTCACCCGTAGCAGCCGCAGTCGGTGGGAAAGAGTAGCCTTCGGTGCCAGCGCCAAAGTGTTGCGCCGACTGGCGAGGTGGGGTGTAAAAGGGCGCCATATTGGCAGTGGATGCAGCCAGCGCACCCACGCTCCTTGACGGAGTCATGCCATTGGCTCCTGCATAGCCTGGCGAGGCAAGTGCAAGCCCGCCCATCTCTGCTGGTGTACCAGGGATACTGCTGCTCGTCGCCCAGGATACTGATGATCCTGGGGTGGTAGGCACAGAATCTTCGCGCCAGGCAGTGTAATGAGATGGAGATTGGAGCTGTTGCTGCAGGTGCTGATGCGAAAGGCTCGGGGCAGACATTGATGCTGGGAAGGAGCCCGCAGCCAATGCGGGGGCAGAAGCAACGCGACTCATCGCGTTCTGCTGAGCTCGACGATGGAAGAGCGACAATCCACCAGGAGGGCTCTGTAGCTGCTCAGACGCGCTGTGGGCATGGCCGTAAGCGTTCATCCTGGCCTGTTGCTGCTGCTGTTGCTGCTGATGCAACTGCTCCGCGCCAGGAGTAGTCGCCTCTTCCTCTCCGTTCTCGCCTTCAGGTCCTCCATAGGCCCAGAAATCATGCAGCGGTTGAGAAAACGTGTGCATGTGATGCGCTGCACCATTCGCTGGCACCGAGTAAGATTGGTAGCTTTGCCCGCGCTGAAGAGGTGCCCGATAGGGCCCGGGGGTGATTGTCGAATGATAGAATGGTGACTGGTAGCCGTCGACGTGTTCGGGGGTAGTAGCGAGAGAAAATGACGAGCTTGGAGTGGAGTCGTTGTGGGCGTGACCATACCGCCTAGGACCCTGATGGTAGAGCGGTGTGGCAGGAGTGGCGCCCATTGAAACTGCGGGACGTTGACCGCCAAATGTCTCTCGCGAAGCCGCAAGTGGTGTGGGATGGCCGGCCTCCTCGTTGAACTCATCACCTGATTCTGACTGCTCCTTCTTGATCGATGCGTCTGCGATTTGCTCTCCGCGCTCGTTGAACAGACCTCTCTTTGCCAGATTCAGAGCCACTGAAGACACTGATCCCGCCTGGGCTTGGCCAGCATTCGCGCGCTGCCTTGCCTGGGACATCAGCAATTGATGCTGGCGTTGGGCATCCTCGAAAGAGAAAGGCTGCTTGTGAGGTGAGGTGGGACCGTCTGGCACGTGAGTAGATGCGCCGTGCGGACGAGTAGTGGTCGCTGAAGGCGCGGCGTAGTTCTGCGATGCTTTGTCGGCTTGGCGCAGTTGCGCGAGATCGTTTCTCGGCGGATACTGGAACGGCCGGGCAAAGCGTTGCTCTCCCGTGGCTTCTTGCGAGGATGGATCTAGTACGCTCGCCTGACCTGAACTCGACGTGGTCAAGACTGGCCTGATGTCTGTGAGCATGCTACCGCCACTGTTGCCATTGCGCCGCGGAGTGGTCTGAACCTGAGACTGAAGCGCCGCCGACGAGGATGAGGATGAGGTGCCCGGCAGTCGCGACGCGGAGGATAGAGGCGAGGATGGAGAGGACGCTGAGGAAGAGGAGGAGTCCTTGCGGGCCAAGTTGGCTGCTTTTGCTGCTCTTGAGGAAGATGGCGTCGAGAAGAAGTCAAAGTCGACCTCGTTGACCTCGGTAGAGAAGGTGGGTGTGCGTCGGTGGGAGGAGAAGGAGGAGGCATGCATACCGTTACCGCTACCGCTGCTATGACCGTACCGAGGCCGTGGTGGAGAGGCAAGAAAGCCCGCCGACGAACCAGTGTGATCCTCTTTCCACGCCGCCTCTAACCGACCGAGGGTGATGGGCGATAGCGCGCCATCTGCTACCCTGTTGGAAAGAGATCGACGATGGAGACCCTCTTCTTCTTGACCCAGGGCATCAAAGTCGAGGGAGAAGGAGGGGTGGAGCTGAAAGGCGTCCATGACAAGCCGACGAGGCGCGTCAGTCCAGACTCGCGTGAGTCAAGGCGCCTTGTATCGTGTTGAAGGAGAGAGACGTGTGACCGATCCGAGAGGCGGTCACGCTACCTGTGCAAGCGTCACTTCTGAGCTCTGGAGCGAGGTTGTGTGATGTTACCCTCCTCGTGGTAGCTCCGTATGGACACGCGTAAATGGCAGTCGGTGAGTGAGCGGGTGAGTGACTGAGTGAGTGAGCAGTTGGGTGGAGCCGGTAGATGCTGGGTGAATTGCTTGCTGCGAGATTGAGCAAGGAGGCGTCCACCGAGGCCGTAAGGAGGAGGCGTCGGACACAGCAACAGGGGAAGCAGGAGGGGAGGGAGGGGCAATGCGCGTATGGTACCGATGCCAACGAGATGGCAAGGGGCTGATTGGTATGGACAGGAACAAGATGTAAGGGTCGACAAGCAAGGAGGTGATGATGGGGTGGGTGGAGAGCCAGGGCGGGGGAAAGGGGAGGAGAGGCGCAGCCTTTGCCGCGAGGAAGAAGGCGGAGTGAGTGAGTGAATGAGTGAATGAGGCACACGCGGGGCAGAAGAGGGTCCCAAGCACACGCACCCACGCCGGCGAAATGGGCAGGCAGGCTGCAAGACCAAAGGCGCGTGGCTGGCCTCGCCGGGTCCTGCCGCTTAGCCCTCCCTTGCCCTTTGACAGACACCACCTGCCCGGACCAAATAGAGGCAAAGCTGGAATTGAGTTGCGGTGAGGTGAGCAAAGCAAGCGACACAAGCATCCAATGACAACAGACATCAGCTGGTCCCTCGTGCAGCGGGCAGGTGGTGATGGCGACGAGGCAGCCAGGGTGGCTCGATCGGCTGCAAAGTCAAAGGCCGGAGGGAGGAGAGCCGCCCGGCCCTCAAAGGCACACACACAGGCCGGCAGGCAAGCAGCACAGGAAGAGGAGACACGGTCAAGGCTCTTTTTCGCCTTGTGCACTCAGGCGAGGTACAGGATCATGCTCCGACTCTCCGTCACGCCTCTACGTCGCGGACATCGTGGGAGAATTTGGCAAAAGATACACAAATTACAGCACTCGGCGCAGCCCAGCTACAAGCACAGCACAGCACAGTGCAGCGTGGAGCTTGATTCCCAGCTCGGTTGCGGATTCAATGCTACTCGACTGGTTCGAAGTGCATCTTGTGATCGATCACCCAATTCCATCCGATCGAGTGCTGACAAAGAGTCCGAGACAAGACGTCAAGGTAGGAGGTGCTCCAGTACCAGTGATCAGTCAGAGACCCACCACAGTGGCTGACTGACCATGCTCATGAGAGACCAAAGCCCAGACCAGACCAATGTTGGTCCCAGGCTAGGCATGGCTTCCACACCAGCTGGTGAGGGCGAGCAAAGGTAAATCCCCAGCCAGTCAGCCTCGCTTATCCCACTTCTCCACCCCGCCCACATTCACAGATTAGGGTTTCAGCAGAGTGAGTCTTTACTCGGACCGAGAGGGAGAGTGAATGGGAGGGTGAAAGAGCAAGCCGGGACTTGCGGAAGGAAGTCCGAGTAGTAAGGCGTTTCTGCTATGCTATGCTATGCTATGCTATGCTGTCCTCTGCTGCAGTGCCACTCCATCACCAGGGCACTAAGCCTCAGCCTTTGAGCCTCGACGCGTCTAAACGCGTCCATGCTTTTTGACTTGGGCTTGCGCTTCGCTTAGCCCACCGACGGAGCCTGACAAAGAGTCGGGGCTGGCCCACGCGCGCGCGCGCGCGGCAAGCCGGGAGATAGCCAGAGGCACAAGGTCAACTTTACTCCAACCCTCGCCCCGCCCCGCCCCGGATTCACCGGCTGCCTGCCTGTCTGCCTGCCTGCCTGCCTGCCTCATGGGGAAAGTCAGGCTAGGACCCCCCCCCCCCCCCCCCACCCCACTCGGTGATTCCTCTCTTCTTTCCTCGATTTCAACCTCGAGCCCAAGCTCAAGACCAATCTAATTTCAGCCGGGCAAATTTTAGTCTGCGAAGCGGGGGCGCGGCGCACGGAAAGTTCATCCGCGTATTCCCCTGTGAGCATGAGCATGAGCGTGAGCATTGAGCCACATAGTGCCGCCGCGGGCTCTTATCGGTACCATTACCCATCGAGGTGGGTGGTGGGTAGGGCCATTTAAGAATTGACACCTGGCAACGGCGGAACGCCTCGCCCTGTCTCCGGTCCCTTTATCTACCTGTCTCTGTGCGAGGAACGTACAAAATTGACCCGCTAGGCCCGCAAATAGTCCGTCTATATACGTACGTACGTACGTCCCCCTTTGTTGTATGTATCTATAATCGCCCCTAGCCCGTCCCGAAGCCCAAGGCGAAGCCGCGCTATTGAAAATCGATCAAATTAGATCCCGTCTCCAAAAAAAAAGTGGCCTTACTAAGAGGGATCCATCAGGCAGAAGAAGCCGTCTTCTCAGACTGCGACGGGGAGTCTCGCTTAGTCTCAAAGGCGATTCAATCAGATAGTGACTTTATTGAGCGACCGAGGTCAGAGGCAAAGAGGACATGAGCGGATTCGGCTCATTACAGGACATATCATAGATTCACTACTTGACCGTGGCCTCCACTGGCTCTCTGATCTTCATCGTGATGTCTGGTGGCTCATCGCTTGTCATTGCCCATTCAAAGCTTCTTTGACCGGTAAAGCAGCATGTACGCCGTCGAGTCCTGTCCACCTCCATCGAGCATCATAATCTTCTCCTTGGAGACGGTGCTGACCTTTTCATCGTCGAACTTGTACCACTCCTCCTTGTCCGCATCCAACACCGTGGCAGCCTTGTTCGTCGCGGCCCCACTGGAATCTTTTTGGTCGTCCTCCTTGAGTGTCCAGCTGATGTAGTGTCCTCCATCGGCAGCTGTTCCCTTGTGGGTCACCACGCCCACCAACTCGTACAGGCCCGAAGGATTAGCGCCAATGTCTGCCTTGATATCCGGGTGAATCAGCTTCTCCAACTCGGCCGATTCCTTTTCCCTCAGCTTCAGCTCCTCCTCTTCGGTCGTCACGGCGCCGAGCGCCGAAGATGAGACCTCCACCTCGGTGGGAGCATTGAGCCTCTCCTCTGACGGATCCACTGCAATCGGCTCAGCGGGCTTGGGGGCTTCGTTGCCGCTTGAAGAGGCAACGGCCGAGTCTCCTGGTCTGGTCGAAGCGGCAGCATCCGACCTTAATGATTCCTCCCTCTTAGCCTTTGCCTTCTTTCTGATCCTCGATCTCTCCTCCCGCTCCTTGGAGATCTCGATCAGCCGATCCCTGTACGGCCGCGTCTTTGCCTTGAGCTCGTCGGAGAGAAAGTCCGTCACGTCGAGCTCGAAAGGGAAGCGGACCTTGCGGGCAATCTTCGTCTTCTTGCGAATCTCTCTCCTCCAGTAGAAGCGGACAAAGTGTGTGGTGAGGTACGCTGGTAGACGATTAATCCGACGCACTTCATCGTACACGGCTGTGCGACCGAGGGTCTGAGAAGTCTTTTCCACTTGTTGATTAAGAGAGTCTTGAATACCCTGGCTCATGTAGTTGGTAGTGCTGGAAATGTTGCATTGAAGGATGCTGAAGGGCTCGTGGCTGGTTGTGGCTTCCTCTTCGGGCGCTTCGGCTGTGGACCGCTTGACGACCATATCCCCTGTCAGGTATTGTTCCACGAACTTCTTCGAAGAGGCAATTTGACTTGACTGCTCGCCTGCAGTTATAGGAGGACCGAGACCCTTTAGTGTAGACTGCAGAGCGGTCACGATTCTCACCCAGGCCTCTTCCGCGTCCTGCTGGGCGTAGCCATGCCCATCGCTTTGCATCTCTGCGAATTGAGGGGCGTTCTGTCGCAAGATGGTCAGGAAGGCAAAAGGCGGGAAGGCATCGGTAGTTGTGCCTAGACTCTTGTACAAGTCCCTCAGTGAGGCGGTCAGATTGGCTTCTCCGTCCAAACCTCCCATTGTGCCACTAAATTGGTCCAGGGCCACCTGGAGCTCTGGGATGGTACGCATGACTTGAAGAGTGGAGTTCAGGTAACAAGTATTGCCCAGATTCGTAAGCCCGGCCTTGCTACGAGTGGCTTCTGCGAGCTGCGTGTCTGTCATGTCCTCCAGGAAGGTGACCGGGCCAGTAGGAGCCTTGGGTAGCTCTCCAGCAGAGCCGATGACCATGATAGTCTGACCAGCCTTGAGGTTGAGCTTTGTGAGGTCGGCATCATCCTTGAGCAGGCCTCCCTTCACCATTACCTTTTGTCGGTCAACGGGTACGCCAGTCTTTTGGTAGATGGCATCCTTGAAGGCGGTGGCGGGTTGGGAAGGGTCTACCGAGATATCATGCTATAGGAGCGGGTGGGAGGGTATATGAGATCAGTCAGGAGTCTCCTCGTCACGCTCAGCGCCATTGACCTACTCACCAGGTTACGATCGTGCTTAATCTTGATGTTGATGGCCGGCATCTTGGGCATCTCGATAGGGGTGAATGTGATGGTGAATGGCGAAAGGGAGGCGCTGGAAGGATCGGTAGAAAGTCAGCTCCACCTCGCCTGGGCCGCCTGGATTCTGTCCTCGCGTCGCCTGTTGCTTTCGGTTCCGCTTCCGCGCTCCGTTCCGATCTCTTGTCTCCAGGCCGGCACAGAGGAAATTTGTGCTGCTTCCGCTTGGCAGGCGAGGCGGCGACCATCCTCATCTTCTCGCTCATCCGTCAGACAGTCTACATCCTCATCATCAGCAGCAGCAGCAACCATGGCAAAGGCCAAGAAGCAGACGAAGAAGTTCCAACAGCGTCATGTGAGTCAGAGCCTCGATGAGAGATGGTGTCAGGTGATGACCGGACTGACGTCGCCTCTCTTACACGCCTTCAGCTCAAGCGAACCATCGATGATCGCAAAGCACATCAGAAGAAGAAGGCAGTGATCGACCGAGCAAAGAAGGCAAAGGAGCTCAGGTCGAACAAGTCGAGGAGAGCAGCAGGCGGTGATGACGATGACGAAGGTGGTGCAGAGGAGGGTTCCGACGATGACGAGGAAGCACAGTTGGAAGAAGGTGATGATGCCGAGCCAGGAGCTTCATCCTTCAAGGGGATGAGCGTAGAGGACTTCTTGGGAGGAGGCTTCAAGGCTGGACTGGATGGCGACGAAGATGACGGGGACGGAGATGCAGAGGATGACGATGACGATGAGGAGGATGAGATGAGTGAGCTGGAGGAATTATCAGATGGCGAGGGCCACGCACAAGACCTCGAAAAGCTCAAGGAGAAGGACCCCGAATTCTACAAGTTCTTGCAGGAGAACGACAAGGACTTGCTCAACTTCGGCGCAGAAGAGGACAGCGAGGACGAGGAAGACGAGGAAGATGACGAGGACGATTCTGATGAAGATATGGAAGCTGCTCCTGCTCTTGCTAAGGGCAAGGGCAAGATGACGGCAGAGCAGGAAGCGCAAGAAGTGGTCACCACGAAGATGCTGCGAGGCTGGCAGAAGGACATGATTCAACAGCGGTCCCTCAAGGCCCTTCGCAAGCTGCTCTTGGCGTTCAAATCCGCTGCCCATATGGATGACCCAGATGGCGCCGGCTCTTCTCAGATGTACGCAATCGAGGAGGCCACTGTCTTCAACAAGCTCATCATCACAGTCCTCAAGTACACTCCCGTCGTTCTGCAACATCACATTCCAGCAAAGGAGACTGCACAGGGCAAATTCAAGCTACCTACCAACAACAAGAAGTTCGCTCTTCTGCAAAGGCCAATTCAGATCTACTTTGCCAATCTGCACCACCTTCTTCGCACCATCACTGAACCAGAGATGCTCTACGTAGCAGTGACGGAGAGTGCCAAGATGGTGCCCTTTGTCATGAACAACCGGAGAATGGCTAGAGAGTACATCAAGGTGTTGCTGGACCTTTGGTCTAGTGCAGCAGACCGAGTGCGCATTGCCGCTTTCCTCTCAGTGAGAAAGGTGGCTCAGGCAGGCGACGAGGCTATGATCGACATGTGCCTGCGAGGAGCATATCAGTCCTTCATCCGCTCTACGAAGCTCACTACTGTGCACACACTACCGAGCATCAACCTCATGAAGAACTCGGCCTCTGAGCTCTACTCGCTCGATACTGCCGCTTCTTACCAGCAAGCATTCTCCTTCATTCGTCAACTGGCTGTTCATCTTCGTAATGCTCTGAAGACCCGATCAGCGGACTCCTTCAAGAGCGTCTACAACTGGCAATACCTGCACTGTATTGACTTTTGGAGCATCGTCCTGGCCACTGCCTGTGATCGACAAAGGCTAGAGGAACGAGGCGAGGTAGAGAGCGAGCTGCAACAGCTCATCTACCCTCTAGTACAAGTCGCCCTAGGTGCCATTCGTCTTATCCCCACCTCGCGCTACTTTCCCCTGCGCATGCACCTTCTCCGTTCTCTGCTGCGTCTGATGCAGCGCACAGGCGTGTACATCCCCTTGGGCGCTTCCTTGCTCGAGATGCTCTCCTCGCCCGAATTCACACGAAAGGCCAAAGGGTCCACTCTCAAGCCTCTGGACTTCACCACTACCCTCCGTGCGCCAGCCGCATATGTCCGCACCCGCGTGTACGTCGATCAGCTAGCAGAAGAGGTCCCGCATCTCCTCTTGGAGTTCCTCGCAACACAGGCTCGCTCTATTGCGCTCCCCGAACTCGTGGTGCCACTGACGGTGCAGTTGCGTCGCACACTCAAGCACGGTTCTTCTCCCAAGCTCTCCACTATATGCAAACAGCTCCTCAGCAAGCTAGACGCAAATGTCCGCTTCGTCGAGAACAAGAGACGAGCGGTGGATTTTGCTCCCAACAATCTAAAGGGAGTGCAGAGCTTCTTGAGTGATTTGGACGAAAAGATGGAATTGCCCCTCGAGGGAGCACTTAGATTGGCGAGAAAGGTGAGGGAGCAGAAGAGGAAATTGGTAGAGGAAGCGGAGCAGAGGGTGTGAATAGACTAAAAAGGAGAATATGCCTGTCGTCGTGACGAATAGGGTCCGTCTGCAATTCTACAAAGTACATCATCGAAGCTTCCATGCTCGAACCGAATTTGACTTGACTGAGCAGATGCAGGATGCAGGAATGACGGTGCAGGTGCAGGTGCTCGAACTCAGCCCTCATTTCAGATGTGTAGCATACATTGTCGTGAGTGGATGGAAGCAAAGGCAGAGGCATATATACGGGCATGAGAGGGAGAAGAAGCGGGAGACGGACGGACGCACGGACAGACGGACAGACGTCGACCTCAACGAGTACCACCTCCGCATGAGGGACCAAACCTACTAGTAAGCCCAACGCTCAGCGTCACCCCTTAGTCGCAGATCCGCCGGCCTCATCCGCTTGTCCACCCTCCCGATGTTCATCTCCACCTGTACTCGACCCCACTTGAGGAATTACCTCGACAGTGCGCCGTGTACTCAGCGCCGGCTTGGCACTTCCTGCCTCCTGCCGCTCCTCCTGCCGCTCTCGCTGCTGCTGCTCCTCCTCCCCGCCGCCTTCTTCTATTGCAGACTCTGCGACCATGGCACTGGCACTAGCACTGGCACTAGCACTAGCACTGGGATTGGAAGGACTTCTAGTCTCCCGCTCGCGCTCGCGCTCAGAGGGAGCTAGCAAGCTACCCCTGCTGCCCTTGTGCTTCAGTCCTGCCGTCCCTCCACCAGTACCTCCCCTGCTGGGCGTAACGCTCCTCGTAGGGGTCGCAGCGCCTCCACCTCCTGGAATCTGCGTCTGCGTCTGCGTCTGCCCACGCCCACCCCAGCCTAACCCTCCGGGGCTACCCCCCGTGTGCAGAAGAGCTCGACCGGGGGAAACGGACAGCCCGACTGTGCTGCGATGGATGGGGCTGACGGCGGTGGCTGCTGCTGGGCGCGGGGAGAGGGAGGGGCCAGAGCCGTCGGTTGCGTTGGATGCTGCTGCGTGGGGTATTGCAGAGGGGGAAGCTGCAGGATGTGCACCTGTTCCTACACCTGCACCTGCACCTGCTCCCGAGCTAGAACCAGAGAGGAGCAGGAGGTACCCGCCTGCGCCGGTGGCCGAGGAGCCCCTCGCTAGCGACAGCCGGGGCGTTCTGAGAAATCCCCCTCCGCCTGATCTCGTTGATAGAGGGGAAACATTTGGATTCCTGGGTGTGTTGCCCGCTACTGAAGAAGCAACGGAAGAAGAAGATGAGGATGAGGCGTGGCGATGTTTGCTCATATGGCGAATGGGGAGTCCGGCGGCTGATGCAGGGGAGAGGGCATCTCGAGGGGGAGGAGTGAGCATCGATGCGTAGGTTGGCATCGAGCCCGTCGAGACTGCTGATGGTGGAGCTCCTGGTCGGCGAGGTGTGAGACCGCGCTTGTTGGCCTCGCTGCGACTGAATGCCCGTACGGGGGTGGAAGGATCCAGCAGTGACTGGCGCTCTTCGTCTGTGCCGCTTTGTCGACCTCTTCCACTCCATCCAGTCTTCTGCCTGGATTCGACAGCTTGCCCATCCTGGACATCTTCTTCATGCTCTTCACCATCGCCTCCTTCCTTGCCGTGGCCTCCTTGCTCCCCCTTGTGCCTTGTGAGGACAAAGACGCCGGCAAACGTCGTGGCACAGGCGGCGAAGAATCCAATCAGGTGCGTCGCGTCTGCTCGCTCAAAGTCTCGGAAGAGCACGGCAGACCCAGAGATGGACGAGATGGTGAAGAGTACGAACTGCGATGGGATGACTGTGAGACGATGGGGGAGAGATTGGGCTGAGCGGTGATATCGTGTACTGTCATTCGTCGCAGTCAGGCCTTTCTCACCTTTACGAGCATCGAAGCGCTGCAGAGCCCTATTCAGAAACGTGATCTGCACCAGAGCCGTAGCGACCAGGACCACCACACAGCCGTAGGAGACGGGTGACTTCAGAGCAGAAAGAATGTCACCCTTAGAAGCGCCATAGGACAGTATGGACGATATGCCCTTGGTGGACAGGACGGTGAAGCCACCTGGGAAGGGGAAGCACGGCAATTCAATCAGAGAGTCAGGTCGTGTTGCTCATTGCAGAGACCATTGCCTTGGTCACGAGCCCTTACTCACCAAAGACGGCACAAGCCCCGACATCCACAAGCACATACCTCTCTCCCCACCTAGTCGTACTCAGTCCCACAAGCACCATTCCCAATCCAATCATCACTCCAGTAAAAAGCAAAAAGTCCCTCTCTTTAATCGCCTCCCAAAGCACTCCAGGCCCCCCTGGTCCTCCTTCTCCACCTCCAGTAGAGGAAGCAGCTACCACGCCAGCTGCTCCTACTGTTGCGAGGAATACACCGAAGAGGTCGGAGCTGGCGAAGCGTTCCTTTAGGATGAGAGGGGCGAGGAAGACGTTTGCGAGGAGGGCGACGGATCCGAGGGGGGCGACGAGGGAGGCTGGGGCGAAGCCGTATGCTGAGCAGCCAGCGAGAGAGTGAGCAAGTTGAGGTAGTGTGGAGGAGGAGGTATAGGCGGTCAGATTTTGACTTACTTTGGAGGACCTGGTAGGAGTATACTCACAAATGAAGTTGCCCATTTCACCTAGCAACATGAGGCCGATTCCAGACCACCAAAGCTTGCTCTTGAGGAATCGGGTATTGGGCTGTGCTCCCCCTTCTTCTTCTTCTTCTTCTTGTCCTCCAGACTCCTCATCATGCCGTTGCTCCGGTGTCTCCCGTGTAGATTCATCACCATCACCATCAGCGCCTTGCTCTTCCTCCCCTCCACCTCCTCCGGCCTCCCCCTCCCTCAGCAGTTTCCCCTGCATCCTTACATGAGCCAGCTTCTGCACATTCAAGGCCAAAGAGATGAGGGTATTGGCCACAATACAGATGCATGCACCTAGTAGGGCGCCCTGCCCCTGTGAGAGGGGCATACCGAGCGAGCGGGGCGAGAGCGGGGATCGATCTTGAGGTTCGTAACAAGAAGAAGGGAGAGTAATGGCCAGAAGGAAGCAGGAGCAGGAGGAGGGGCAGGAGAAGGGCGCAAGGCGGAAAGTGTTGCACCTCCACAGGGTAGCAGGGAGACTCCTCGTCTCGTCTTGCAGTACTACCCCGCGCGATCCTTCTCTTGACGTAGACGAAGCAAGAGGCGAAGATGTCGCCGACGCCAGGAGATGATGCTGACCACTATGACACCAATGAAAGATCGAAAGGTCTAGTAGGGGGTCTGTCTGCTCGCCCCCCGCCCCTGCTTTGCTCAAGCGATCATTCCCATTCCCATTGCCTGTTCCCCTTTCCCCGCACAGTCCACTCACTCTGCCTCTGCCATTGCCTTCGGCTTCTTGGGCGCCTAGACTAAACTCCGCCTCGCACCCGCTCCGCACCGCTTCTTCTTCGGCCGAGGCTCAACGCACAGTCGGAAAACGTGGTGTGGAGGTAGAGTAGTCTAGGTGCAAGGGCCGCAAGGGAGAGAGTAGAGAGAGGGGGGGGGAGGAGAGAGAGGATACGACTTGCTGGATGGATCGACGACCAATTCCATTCCATAGAAGATGGACACGATCGATCAGGCACTTCTCTGCACACCACAACGCATCGAGCGATGTCGTGTTTTTTTGAGCTCCACTTTGGATTGACTTTTGGCATGGTATGATATTGCTCGCGTGCATGCATGAGGGAAATGGAAGGGTACTTGAACCGGACCTCTGCCTCTGCCTCTGCCTCCCGCCCATGCGCTCCTACACTACAAAGGGAGGGCATGTCCTGCACCCGTCTCCTGCTTCAACTCCAGCTTATCCACTCCAGCTTCCGGACCGCTACCGCTACCATCACCCTGACCCGCCGCACCAGTAGCCGCCTCGGCCGCAACCTGATCCTGCCATTCCATCAACAAGCTCACAAATCCAATATTAGGGCTCACATCTGTCCTCCTCGCCTTTACAAAATCGTACGCTTCACTCAAACTCCATCCTTTAGACCTCATCAAGTATGCAATGACCACTGTAACGCTGCGAGATTTTCCAGCTCGACAGTGTACATAGACGGGTTTATGCTGCGAGTGGGCCGAAGAGATAAAGTTGAAGCCTGTGCGAAGGTGCGAGAGGACATCCAGGGCTTCGACATTGTCGTAGAGGGGGAGCTTGAGGTAGCTAAAGTCTTCGCCCAGGGAGAGGGTCTCGGTGTTGCCTTCCTCATCGCCGAGAGCAGCAGCGGCACCAGCGCCAGCGCCGACAGTGGCTGTGCCGTTCTCGTGAGTGCTGAGGAGCACCGCACTCGTCTCACCAACGGAAGAAGCGGCCCTGTCTTGCTCCTTTGCTGCTCCGCCCTTCTTGCCACTCTTATCGCTCACCTCTACCGCACAATTCAGAATTGCCTTGACACCTCGGACTTTGAGCTCCTCCACCTCCTCTTCAGTTGCAATGTCTGGACCGAGGTACAGGAATCCGGGCACAATCTCCGAAACGTCAAAGGCGGGCTTGCTGTCATCGACCATGCCTGGATGAAGGGGCGAAGGAGATAGGACCTTTGTGGCGTGTGATGGCTGCTGAGAGACGGGCTCTTCAGTAAAGACGCTCCCACGCCTGGCTAGAGCTCGATCCGTCTGCGCCCTTGTCAGTCCTCCACCGCCAGATCCGCCGAGGGCCAGACTGGCAGGATTGAAGGGGAGAGACATGTCTGCAAAGCTGGCTGCCGAGGGACCAGATTGAGACTGCAAACGGGCGAGATTCTGGAAGGACATCTCTGCTTGAGGAGGGGAACGAGAGTAAGGGGCACCTCGAGGGTGATCTCCCGACGCAGAACGACTAGTGGCGCCTCTGACTCCGGGAGGGAAGACTTGAGAGGAAGGTGTACCGGCAGCATTGAGACTGAGACTCTTTCGGCCTTCGCCCGTGTCTAGCCGCGCCAGGGAAGGTCGCCCTTGCTTCTTGCCTGGCAGCAGAGTCGGAGGTCGCACATAGCCATCCTTTGGCCCACTTGACGATGGGGAGCTGGGACCACTAGAACTCATCGGAGACGAGGATGCGAATGAACCCAAGGAGAAATTCTTGAAGTCTGGAAGGGAGGAGGTGCTTGCTTTTGCATTCTCTGCTGTCTGCGAGAGTCCATTGGTCGAACTTGTGCTCGCCCCAAAGCCCTCCTCTTCACCACGCTCTAGCCAGCTCTCTGCCGCGGAGCTGGAAGCCAATCCAGAGAGGTCCTCAGTGTACAGTCCGACTCCTCCACTAGAACCTGCCCAAGAAGCCTTGATACCAGCGATGGCAGTACAGAGAGCGTTGGAGGCTTCCAAAGCAGCAGCGGTAGCAGTAGCTGCCCTATCGCCATCTTCACAGACGACAATGACCTCTGACTTTGCCAGCGTCTCGATGACCATTGGGTCGGCGGCATCGCTGCGATCGGAGGTCGTAGTTCTTCTCGCCTTGGGAGATACTGGCGAGGATGCAGCCGCCTCACCGTCTTCGGACATACGATCGAGGATCTGTTGGAACTTGCGCTTGCCTGCTGTGGTGGTGATGTAGGTGGAGAGCTGTAGCAGAGGGGAGGAGCTCGCCACTGCTGCTGCTGCTGAAGCGTGGCCAGCAGCTCCACGCCCAGCCATCATGGCGGTACTCTTCTGCTTGACGCCGCCCGTGGGAGCGGGAGCGGCAGAGGCAGCAGAGGTCCGCTTGATCCTCTTGACTATAAGGCTGGGAAGGGCAAGATTGATGGAACCGATGAGCCTAGTCTGCAGAAAGGAGTGAAGTGGACGGAGGTCGAGGATAAGGAGAGGAGGCGGGGCAACGAGGTGATCGCTTGAGGTGGCTAGAGGAGTGTGGGCAGAAGCAGAGACTCTCCCGATGATGTCTGGATCCACCTGGTCGTGGGAGGACCGCGATCCCGATGCCAGTAGCGGCATCTGATGGGTTGCCGTGGTGACGGGATGCGATCCTCGAGGTCGATTGTCGTCTTGCCTGCGTTGCTCCTCGCGGTGATTGGCAGACAAAGTCTCGGCCTCGTCTGAGGTCCCTGGTGGAGGGGCGGCCAAGGCGGAGGAGGCTGCGTTGCTCCTGCGATTGCCTCTGCTTCCGTCGGTACCCACCGGACCGCCGTGGTTTTTAGTTGCCGGGACAGCGGGGCGTGGCCGGAAGTCCGCAAGCAGCCGAAAGGGGGGGGGCCATGGTTGAGGCAGAATGGATCAGGATGAGACACAGAGCATTGACAGAGGAGAGGGAGAGCCAAGCAGGTGCAAGCCGCGGGCAGTGTTGCCAAGGACAATTGTCACAAGACCGAGGTAGCGCGAGCGGCAGGAGCGATGCGTAGGGCACGGCGTGGGCCACCGGTAAAACATCCGAACAGCAAGGCGCAAGTTGCAGAAAGCCACGTAGGAGGGGGCCGTTGCAGAGGCGTCGAAGGCGTCACGGGGGAGCAACCATCGGAAAGGAAGACGGAGAGGACAAGAGGTCAAGAGGATGGGAGAGTAGGTGAGAGCGGGGGAAGCGTCAGTAGCGGCGAGGTGAGAACAACACACAAAAGCAGTTGCCGTTGGTATCCATGGCCTTTCTTACTTACGCCTCTTTTGGGTACGGAGCATTCACGGCCTCTCCTCCCTCTTCTGTCAGAGCCCTGCCTTCTAGACTTTGGTGTGCGCCATGCTGTGCAGCCTTAGCGCCTTGCGCAACTTGCTTCTGTGCTAGCTCCAGGCGCGCCAGCAGCGCTGCCCCGTCCAGGACCTGGACGGCCCTGTCCGATGCGGGCAACGGCGGGGCGTTCCTTGAGGTAGACGACATTGAAAAAGGGGTTGAAGGAGCGCTGACTTTGATTACCCCGAGCGTAGGTGCAACGTATGAAGATGAGATACGACCAGGCTCAGGAAGACGGAGAGCGGAGGCGGAAGTGAGTGCCGGTTGAGTGGTGGTCGTAGACGTGAAGTGCTGCGCAAGAGGAGAGACTGAGGACAGGCGGCGGTATGAGAATGAAATGAATATCTATGTCTAGGAAGAGAGCAGGCTTCGAGGCTAGCAGAGGTCCTTTGCGCCTCTCATTCAAGCAGCACCATGACTGTCCTTGGGAAGAGGTGAGATGGAGAAGGGAGAGCGACGTCGCAAGAGGGTAGGCTTGTGTCAAGCTGGTTGGTGGGGGGCTCCGAACCTCGACGCAGGCAAGCAGGCAGACAGGCAGGCAGCAAGCTTGGACGACTCGGAGTGTGGCTTGGAACAGAATGGGCGTGACAGGGAGGACCAAAGTCGATGCGGGGCAACAAAAAGCATCCGGTGGTACACAGACAGGCAGAAGGATGCCGGCATGCCGGGGAGCCGGAACGGAAGTTAGGCCTCAGCTGAGCCAGGAGCTTCGAATGCCCTCGTGGCAAGAACGCCTCTGTCAACTACCTTCCATCTGGCCTGGGAGCGAGCTGTGTTTCCCCTCCTTCTGCCTCGGCAAGGTACGTCACAAGGTGTCTTGTCTCAGTCTTGTACCGATGTCCTCTGACGCTGTCCCCTTTGTGATCGCAATGGCGCCTACACGCCTCCTTTTCTGACGGGCCAGGCGTGTGTGCGGGCCCAGTGCAGTGAGGCGAGGCTGATCGCTCGCCTCGGAAAGGGGGTTGAGATCAGTGCGCGGTGGGCGTGGGCCTGGCCTGCCTGGCTGTGTGCCCTGGGCTTGGCTTGGCTGGCGGGCGTGGCAGTGGGATAGGCTATGCCCTGGCTCACGCCCGCCCAGCGTCCCCCTCCCTCCCCCCTCTACACACACGCACACACTGTACGCCCTTCCCCCACACACACGCTCACCCCCGCCTCGCCCCCCCCCGCGTACACCAATAGGCTCACGCCAACACCAACACCACTCTACCTACACCACAACACTACACAACCAAATGTGAGTACTCGCGCGCTAATTTGGGCGGTTCTAGAGGGATGGACAGGACAGATTGGGCGCAATTGGCACCGAGACCATCCATCCTCAGCTCGGCATCGTCGTCGTCGTCACCGCTACCAGCCAACGCGTACGCGTGGACGCACGCCAACGCCTGGCTGCTCAGCATGGGTAGCTATCAGCGACATGCTAGAGCCTCAGGATGGTCGACAATCATCCTGGGGATAGATTCAATGGAGGGATTTGCCTCCGTTGAAGGGCGGACGACGCGATATCAACACGACCATGAGCCTGGTAGTCCCAGGCCCAAGATGCTCGACGGAAAGAGAAGAAGGACTGGTGACGCCAACCTTGCAGTGGAGAGAATATGCGCTGACGACCATCGCTACCACTCCTCATCATCATCACCTCCATCATCAATTCTTCTCTGCTCGCCTCTATCTCCCAATTGCATCCATCCACCTCGATACGGAACCTCCCTCTACGTTCCACTTGCAACGCCTACGCCTACCTTCTCGCGTTCCCTCGACGCGTCGTGACCATTCTGCAACAAAGAACTACAATGGCTCCCAAGAAGGAATCGTCTGCCGCCGTCCCCAAGAAGGGCGCCAAGAAGGTGAGTCGCCATGATTTGAGAGGAAGAGGGCGCAGATAGCATATATGCTGCTTCACTTGGAGCGACGCGTCTGTACCGCGAGTGGGTGACGTTCCTATGAGGCTTGGCATGTCGACAGACGTCTGTCTCGATGGCAGCAGTCATTACGGTCGTGTGTTGAACGATCTCGTCTCCTGCCCGTTCCAAACTACCAGGACAAGGATGCCCCCAAGCGACCTCTCTCCGCCTACATGTTCTTCTCTCGCGATGCTCGCGAGAAGACCAAGTCTGACAACCCTGAGGCCTCGTTCGGTGAGTAGCCATAGCCATAGCAAGGGAGGCAAAGCCAGGATCTTGCGCGTCATTCATCGCTGCTGAGGCAGGCAAGCTGACTTGTCCTCCCCCCTCTTCTCCAATTCCAGGTGAGATCGGCCGACTCCTCGGAGCTGCATGGAAGGAGATGAGCGACGCCCAGAAGAAGCCTTACATTGACATGGCTGAACGCGACAAGGTGCGCGCCGAGACCGACAAGGCAGCCTATGCCAAGAAGAATGGTGCTCCAGAGAAGAAGTCCAAGAAGTCAAAGGCAGCCGTCGATGAGAGCGACTGAACTTGAGGAACGTGCAACGAGGATTTCTTGAGCGAGTCTAGGAGATCTCCATCTCAACTTGAAGAGCTACAGCGAGCGCGTTGCTTCGCACTCGTCTCTCCTCTTGGGCTGGATTGGACTGGCGTACTCTGCAGCTCCCAAGCTCCTCGACGAAGCCCCTCTATGCTCTTCTAGCCTGCGACTTGCGGCTTGTACCAACCTCTCTCTCTCTCTCTCTTTTACCTCCGCACGACTCGACTCGACTTGAAACGAAGGACCGCCCTCCCAAACGTGTAACTGTACCGCTACTTTTCCCTCCCTCCCTCTTTCCGTTTTATGCTTTTCCTCACTTCACCTCTTCTTACTCCCTCGATGTTACGCACCGAGTCGATTCGAGTTGGTCGACTCCCCTTTTCTCTTTCAGGCGGTTGTTCTTTGTGTCCCTCTTTCCAATTTTAACCCCCTACTCTTTCACTCTGCGCTGCATTGCGCTGCCTGATAGGTCGTGTGATAGCTCTTTGTTTCCCCATTCGAGAGGGCCGGGAAAGTCAAGAGGGGGAAAAGATCGTAGGATCGCAATGGCATCGCATCGTATTGGTTGTTCATCGAGTTGTATTGTCGCATATCGCATGTGGTCTGGATTGGATGGAGGGGGGGAAAAAAAAAACGACCGCAACCTTTTCCATTCGCTCCATTCGTGAAGCTCGTTCAGACTTCGCCTTCCTCCTTGTCGTCATCATCGGCTGCGTGAGCCGATATGCCGCTACTGGTAGGTTGAGGTGCTGGCGCATTCCTGGCATTGTGCTGAGGCGAGTCCAAATCGAGTTTGGAGCGCTGTGTAGTTCGGTCCAAGTAGCGGAGGGGAGAGAGGAGGAAGAATCAATGAGCAAGAAGTCAGCTTCCCCCACCCCCGTCCGACTGCCAGCTCCTTGAGATTGCGACCACACTCACCTTCCTCGCAGTCTCATCGCCCACTAGCTCTCCATCTTCCACACCCTCTCTTCTCCTCGAAGAGCGCTCCCTCTCCCTCTCTCTACTGCTACCATTCCTCGCATCGTCATACTCGTATCCGCCTCGACGTCGATCGCGATCCTCCCTGCGTCTAGTCCGGTCCCTCTCACGCTCCTTGTCCTCGTAGTCGGCACTGTGACCATTACCGTTGCCGTGAGCATGTGCATGTGCATCGCTCTTCCTCTTGCGACCGCTATCACTACCAGCCCGATCTCCGCCTCTGCCATCGTCGGACAGGGCAGCAGAGCGTCTCGAGCTGGCCATAGCACTGTCGGCTCCTCCCCTTGAAGACGTGACAGCAGCAGCAGCAGCCCTCTCCTCGGCCTTTTCCTTCTGCCTCTTGCAGAACTTATCCCACGTAGTCTGCTTCACCTCTTCCCTCTCCTCGACGTTTGAAATCTCGTCGTCCAGTTTCCTCCACTCGCGCATCTTGAGGGACTCGATCGTCTCCCGGACCTGCGCGAGGGGGACGCCTTCTTCGGCTAGAGCTAGGAGGGAGTCCGGTGCGGATTTCTTCAGGCCGTACCGGGCATCGTCGATGAGATGCCTGATGTGGCGCTCGTGACGTTTGCGAGCCTCGCGGGCGAAGCGAGAGGCAGTGTGGTGTAGCTAAAGTGAACAAATGGATCAAAAAGAGGAGTCAGCCTCGTAATGCTTCGTGTGAACCCAACTCGAGTCTCTACTCACATCTTCGTAGACTAGTCTCAGCTCGGTATCCTCTTTGGCCACAGAAGACCACCTTTCTTCCTGTCCAGCATTCTTCAGCCCGACTTGGATCTTTGCGAGGAAATCCTCCCAGGTCGTCTCTTCAGTCACTCCCTCCCACTGCCTGTCGCCGACCTTGATCAAAGCCTCGACAGAAGCCGTCCTCGCTTCGACGCTTCTGTCGCAGGCGTCGATTGTGTCGAAGAAGAGGTCAAGCGGCGTGGACCCCTTCTGACCCAGCATAGAACTAAGCCTCTCATCCTCCTTCAGACGCTTGTAGACCTGTGGCCAAGTAGTCTTGGAGTGGATCCAGCCAGCCTCCCTTCCTTCAGTCATTAGCTTCCTGAACTCGTCCCTCCTCTTCCTCTCCATCCTGACCCTTTGCTTGTCCTCGTCTTTGCGACGATCCGATTCCTCGCGCTCGATGCCGCGGATGTACTCCTCGAAGACAATGAGCATGTCGGCTACCTCCATCTTCGAGAGATGGGCGTCCTGCTTCCACTCTGAGGACTCGAGTACTGTTCGATGGGCGTCTCGCCAGCGCGTCGTTGTGTCAGCCTCGAACGTCCGGAGGAGGGACATCAAAAGATCCATGTTCCGGTGACGCATCTCTCGAATGGACGACTAAGGGGAGGAAGGGCCACAAGGGTGAAGTCAAGGTCAGAGCAGTCCTCTCAATATCGCCACGCATCTGTAACTCACCTCTTCCACAGCCTTCAGCTCCTTTTTCACTTCCGCCCAGAAGCTTTGGCAGTCTTCATCTCCAATGGCATCGACAGCAGCTCGAACTTGAGGCTGATCGCCGAGCAATTTCTTGACGGTCCGCCATGAAGAATACTCTTTGAGCTTCTCCTCTTTCGCTGCCTCTCGCAGCACCTCCAGCACAGCAGGTCGTAGCTCTGCCTTCTTCTGCCCCCTCTCCTCCTCTTGTTGCCGCTTCAACTCTGCCTGATGCTCATAGAAGACGGCTTTACGATCCGCCACGGTCCTCAACGACTTGTAAAGAGGGTCTGTGATGAGGTCTCGCATCGTCTGTTCCCAAGTGGCAGTGGCGGTGATCCCATGACTCTTGAGAAGGAAGCGGAACGCATCATGAGGTGACGCGAAGCGCTGATTGTTGGCGGCTGGACCTGTAGGGATAGGACCCATTGGTGGAGTAGATGTGCCAGCTGCTGGGCCCGAGGGCGGAGGCCGCATGGGTGGAGCTCCGGGAGGTGGGCCAGGGCCAAAGCCAGGCGGAGGACCTGCGTAGATTTGCCTAGGCGGTCCGCCATTCGTGGGAGTCAGATTCCCCAGCTGCGGAGGGGCAAGAGGAGGTGGCCCAGGAGCTACTCTGGCAGCTGTTGCCCCTGTCCCCGAAGGCGATGATGCATGTGCGGGAGAAGCAGCTGCTGAGAGCGGTTGGGCAGGCGTCCCTGCAGCAGAGGAACTCTCATCGGGGATGGCATCAAAGAGGACTAGAATGAAACAACGTAACTACGGTCAGCGTTGATGATCAGCATCTTTCTTCATGCTGCTGCGAGTTCTCACCTTTGACCTCTTGAGGTACGTTCCATGTCGTCTCTTTTGTATCCGAATTCACGTAATATTCCCTTCCTTTATCAGACTTGTACTCTTTCCACCTGGTACTTGCGATGGCCCTCTCCCTGGGAGTCTTGAGTTCATCTGGCTTCTCCCATACACTGCGCTTCTCGGCAGAGTGGAACCAGTAAGGGCGACCTTCGGCATTCTTGTACTCCTTCCATGCGCTCGTGGAAGATGACGAGGGAGCGGCCGCTGCTGAGCCCGGGGAGGCGAGCGTGGGCGTACTCGACTGTGAGCAGGTAAAGAAAGATAACGTCAGCACGAACGGAGCATCTCTAAAGGCCTCGCTGCAGTACTCACCATGTCGACGAAGGAGGAGCTGATGGTGGGAGTGGTAATTGACGAAGAAGCCGAGGATGAGAGGCAAGTCAGTACGGCGCGCAGATTTATTTCGGCGGAAAGAGACGCAGAGCCGACGAGCAAGCAACACCTTCCGGTAGTCGTTGCCGGACCTCACTTGCAGTCCAACCTCATCAACCGGCATCAACGATACGATAGTCCCAAAGGCGCTGAGCTTCCTTATAAGGAGCCCGGATCCTGCGTTCATCGATCGGGAGACTTGGAGACTTGAAGGGATCAAAGGGTGATCGCACTCCAGCTAGAGTTGCCAGGCGGACTCAGTCGGCATGACTGAAGCTCAGCAAAGAGTGAGTACAGGACGCTGAGCCTATAGAAAGCTGCAATCTGGCATCGACAATACGACCAGCGTCTGACCATGGCCTCTCTGTGCTCTGATTCCTCAACTCGTCCCACTTCATGACAGGAGACTCGAATCCTCTTCGACTATGCATCGCGCTGCGCAGAGCAATTCGTCTCCCTGTACTACTCGGCATCGGACTCGCCTTCAAGATCTCAGCTGATTCCTACGCTGTATCTGGACACTTCGACGATCGTATGGAATGGCAACCCTATTCAAGGTGTGGCCGGAGTAGCTGAGCTGGTCTCGAGGATGCCTTTCACGAGGTACGAGGTGCAGAGTGTAGACTGCCATCCGATGGGAGGTGGGCAGGGAGGTACTGGGAATGCTCAAGGTGAGCTTGCACATCGTATGAACGCAAAGTTGGCGCAGGGGATTCAATCTGGAGAAGAGCAAGCCCCGAGAAGAGGAGCCAGGCCCTCTGCTCAGTCGGCTTGTTTGAGCACGACTAGGTCCACAGAGGGGCACAGGAGACCAGTCAGGAATCCTCTCTTGGCTCACATCCTCCGAACGGTCATCCTCGCAAGTGGATGATGCTGTCAAGAGCTCTGTGCTCTGGAGGAGGGGCAGAACAATCCAGACGATCGACTGCCAGGGCTTCTCTGAGATCGCTGTGCACTCCTGCCGGTGAGATCGAAGACGAGACGACCCGTAAGCGATCGTCGCTCCATATTAGGGTTCGCGGAAGACAAAGACCAAAGCTCTTCCATCGAGTAGTATCCGGAGCAGACATAATCATCAGAGGCAGTGTCGAGCTTGAGCTCGTATCAGGCATCATGACTGACCCCCCTCGATCACACCTCTCGTGCTCCACAGGCCTACAGCCGCCTTCACTTCTTCTGACGGTCACGGGCGTGGTCACACATCACACACCCTCTTCACATACTGCTCTACCACCAAGTAATGCTCCTGCATCTGGCAACAGCAACAAGAAGTCGGGCCCCAACAATTACGATTCCAGTCTGCCGCTCGAATCGCTGCCGAGAGGCTTCAGTCAGAACTTTGTCCTTGTTGATGACCCGGCAAAGAGGGGCGAGGGAGGAGTCGTGGTCAGTGTTGAGGCTGGCGCTGGTCCCAAGGGAGGCGGAACAGAGACTCTGACGGGTAGATACTTTGTCCTGGCGGATGAATTCAGATTCGTAGGATAATGGACGGACGTGGAGCCCAAAGAGCAGAAGTCGATACGGCAAAGTGACATTGTCGCTCTCAGTTACCGATCTGAAATCAATCATACCCAAGCATCATCTTAAACCATCTCAGCATCAGCATCAGAGCAGAGTGTCATCGTCTAGACAGAATGTCTTCGTATTTGTATTTGACTGTGCGAGCCGATTCGCCCACTTTTCCTGCTTCCGCTTCCGAGTTGTGGGATTTTGGCATTTGCGCCGCGAGGATCTTCCTGTTCCTCGCCTTCCCGTACGAACCTACTCCACTACCGCCTGTCTTCCCACCCTGTCGTCCTGGTATCGCCGTCTGGTAGCGAGCACTTCGAGGCTCTTACGTCCGACAGCATCTTCGTCCATCTTTCCGCATCTTCCAGCAGCGCTTCGCAAGATGGCAGAGCAGCAGCCAAAGGTCTCTCCCCCGCCTCAGGCCCAACCTACACCTGTGGGTGAAGAGGTCGCTGCCGCTTCCTCTTCTTCGGCTGTGCCGGCAGGTACAAAGCGAGCTGCGTCTCCCACCGGAACTGACGCTACAGCAGAGCCTAACGTAGCTACCGCTTCGTCGTCCTCATCGTCTGCCCCAAAGCGCCCGCGCCGCATTGACAAGCGCGGTGACCAAGACCGTGAAGCCTCCCCACCCAGAGCGACTGGTGCCGACGGAGAGAACGACGACGATGCCGAGAAGCGTCTTCCCAAGCGCCGTGCTGCAATCTTGTTCGGCTATTGTGGTGTAGGCTACTCTGGTCTGCAGGTGAATCCGGGAGTGAAGACCGTCGAGGGAGACATCTTTGATGTTCTGTGCCAGGCAGGATGTGTCTCCAAGGAAAATGCCGTGAATCCGAACAAAGTCGGGCTGCAGAGGGCTGCTAGGACCGATAGAGGAGTGCATGCTGCGGGCAATCTTATCAACCTCAAGCTCATCCTCAATCCACCGGCTGTGCCCTCGGGAGACACAAAGGAGCTCATCGACCACCTTAATGGAATGCTCCCGCCCCTGATTCGGATATGGAATATCGTTAGAGTGCAGTCGGCCTTCAACGCCCGTGCCTCATGCGACTCGAGGTACTACCAGTACCTTCTACCTACATATGCCTTCCTGCCACCAAGGCCAGGATGCGCAATGTGGAAGATGTTCAAGGGTTGGGAAGACAAGGAAGAGGAAGCAGGTGGAGAGGAAGGCAAGAGGAGGCTCAAGCAGGCTCTCTATCATCCCTTCTGGGTTGACGCTCTCAAAGAGTACGAGGACGCAGTGGCAGCAGCCGTGACCGCTGTGTCTGAGCCAGCGAAAGAGGCAGACGCAAGCACAGAAACAGAGGCGAAGGTGGAGCCGGCCGTCAAGAGCGTCGAGGAGAATGGAGCTGATAGCGCCACGAATGGCGCAGAAGCTGCTGCTCCTGCCGCCGAGCAGCCATCCCAATTCAAGAGGGATACTGTCCGCAAGCGTCAATGGCGCATGGAATCCGACGAGTACGGCCGCGAGACTCTCTCCCGTGTCCGCTCCCTCTGGAACTATTTCCTCGGCACCAAGAATTTCCACAACTACACCGTCGGCAAGCCCTTCAAAGATCCTTCTGCCAAGCGCACCATGAAGGAGCTGGAAATTTCTGATCCCTTCATCGTGAACAACACGGAGTACGTCTCTCTCACGCTGCACGGCCAGTCTTTCATGCTGCATCAGATCCGAAAGATGGTCGGTCTTCTCGTCCTCGTCGCCCGTTCTCCCGCGCCAGAAACTTTAATGAAGGAGACGTTCAGCGCAAAGAAGATCCACGTTCCCAAGGCCCCCGCGCTGGGTCTTTTGCTCAACTCGCCCGTCTTTGGAGGATACAACATCAAGGTCCGCCAACACAATGCCTCTCTCGGTCCACGCTTCGCTGCAGGTAAATTGACTGCTGAAGAGCGCGAGGAGCAGAAGAGGGAGGAAATCACCTATGCCCCTTTGAAGGGGGAGATGGAAGAGTTTAGAATGAGACATATCTACCAAACGCAATATGAGACTGAGGAAAGGGAAGACGAGTTTGCGAAATGGCTCAATTACATCGACGCAATCGTCGGCAATGATTTCCTTTACCTCAATGGAAAGGGAGTCATCCCGCCAGAGTCGGTCGTGGGTAGTGGAGCTAGTAAGAGTGGACAGCCCAAGAAGGAGCAAGAGAAGAGTGAGATAGTCGGGGCAGAGCAGGGCAAGGAGAAGAAGATCGCTGGAGCTGGAGGGGAGGCAGAGTACCATGAGAGCGACGATGAAGACGACGTCGTCGCGGGCAAGGGAGCTGATTTGGAAGGCTGAAGAGCAAGGTACATGCAGATTATCATCAATCGATCCCTCACCTCAATCGTACGATGGAGCGAGACGATTACGCGCGAAATGTATTCTCTACCGAAACCGAAAAGGCAAATATGTGTAGCAACGTGAACGTCATTTAGTAAGCGTATCGTCTAGGCAACAAGTACAGGGAGACTATTTACAAGTGTGAATGCAAAAGGGAAAGTCTATGCGCGCGGGGAGAAGCGGGGGTCATCTATCGAGTCTAGAAGGTCTATTGGTAGGGTAGAGCAGAAGAGGGAAAGATGGGAACGACGAGATGCCTGCTTTACCCCACCAGCGCGAGCAGCTGCATTTGCGTCGTGACCGGCGGGATAGCGACCAGCAGTAGACAGAGTGCCCCAAAGAGGATGAACGACAGCGATGCCACCGCCATGACCCTGGGACGCGCAATCAAGCTCGAAGCACCAATCGCTCCCGATGTACTTCCCATTGCTAAACCAACAGTGAGATGATCGTCCATGTCGACTGCCATGAGCTTGAAAAAGGGCTCCTTCAGTAGAGCGGCGATGATCCCCGTGACGACGACGAGGATGACGCAGATGTTCACATCGCCCTCAAGTGTGTCTACTAGCTCGATTGCGAGCGGGGTGGAGAGGAAGCGCCCTGCAAAGGCGAGGGAGCGCGGTTGATCGAGCGTTATGAGAGAGGCAAGGGCTGGGCAGAGGAAGAGGGTAAAGATGACCGAAGGGAGCAGGCCGATGACTAGACGCACCCCGCACTCGGCCAGATCGCGGCGGTAGCGGTACAGCACTACACAGAGGGCGAGTATGCCGGCGTCTAGGAGCGATGACAAGATGTCGGCTGCGCCTGGCACAGGACCGTTGTAGCCTGCCGGAGCAAAGAGCTTGTCGTACTTGGCATCGACGTTGTAGTGCGTCAGGAGAGTCTGCTTGAGCGAGAGACCTTTGATCTCGCCTAGTGCCCAGAGGATGAGGAGCGTCATCGCAGAAGTCGTCAGAATCGGATGGAGGAAGCGTCTGATCTTGGCAGGCACAAGTGTGATAGCAATCCAGAAGGTGAGGACATTGACTGCCAGAAAGAGAACCAGGGAGTGATCCGATGCAAAGAAGAGGGGCAGGCCAACGAAGAAGGCGATGAGATAGACCATGGGTGAGAAGTACTTGATCATTCGATCGGCGAGGCGATCGATCGCATCTGGCTCTCCGTCTGCAGCATTGCTGATCGCGGATGCTCGGCGAGAGCGTCTACGCTCCCGTGGACTGATAGGCTTCTCTTCTTCGCTTTCTGCTGCACCATCTGCCTCTGCTGTGTCTGGAGTTCCCTTCGTAGATTCGTCAACGAAGGTAATCGCACTTGCCTTCCGCTCAGCAAGGATGGGTGAAGGATCCGTACGCGCAATCTCTCCAGGCTGAACCTCAGGCATGACCATAGATCGGACGACTGCGATGACATCCTGCGCCTCCTCCTGTGGTGTTGCACGTGGTGCAACTCCTCCCTGTGCAGAGTTTGCAACTGGCATGACCTCGATCTCATCAGGTGCGATGCTTGAAAGGAAGACGGGATCCGGGTTTTGAGCTGGCGACTCTCCATGCCAGGTAGGTCTTCGTGCCAGCGAGAAGTCTGGAGAGAAGATAGACTGGGCTGCCGCCGTCTGCGATTCGTGTGGTGGTAGCACGGTGGTTCCTTTCATTTCCATGGTAGGAGGCTCTGATGGCGAGGTGACTGGTCTTCTAGATGATGGCAAGACGCTGATCGAGCGAGTGTGGACGACTGGGCGGGTTCGAGACCGAGATCGCTGAGAATGAGGTCTGTGCTGATGGCGCTCGTGTAGTCGTCTGAGGGACTGCATATTGACGAGCTCACTGTCGAGGGTGATGATACCCTGCTGTCGAGCCTGCTCTCTTTGCACATGCTCGACGTGCTCACTACGCGCTTGGGAAGCGAGCGTCTCTTTGGTTGGCTTGTGTGACATGCTGATCGAGATTGGCGCGATGGAAAGCCTCGTGACCGTCTTCATGCCATTCGCAATGGCGCCGAAGGCAGCATCTTTGCTTGCACCTGCTTTCGGATCGTCAGCACTGTCTACCCTCTCGCTGTCCGATGTTGTGGCAGATGAGTTGCGACGAGATTGCCACTTTCTGATGACAGCATCCATTCCCTTGCACACCAGAGTGGGGAGGACAAAGCCAACCACTTGAGTGAGCAAGAAGAAAGCAGCGATGATGCCCACCTCTCGTCCAGGCAATACCTCCCTGGCAGGAATGGAGATGAAGGCAGGAGTGAAGAGCAAGCTCATATTCCTCAGCAGAAAATCGGAGGGCGGGCCGATGAATGCCATTACGGGCCTGACAAAGCGTCCCTCATGATTGTCGTTGTCCTTCTTTGGCGAGCCAGTCTCTCCTTCTACCGCAGCTGCTTCCACATCCTGCTCTGGTGCTGTCTTTGGAAACTTGAGCGACAGCCCCTCGAGAAGAAGCAAGAGACCAAAGGTGACTAAACAGCCAACGACCGGTCCGGGGAATCTGAGGCCGGGTATTGTGGAGACGAGGAGATCCAGAGACCAGCAAACCACGAGTATGCAGAAGCAGCCGATGGGCACGTGGATCCAATTGGTGAACAGGGAGCCGCGACAGTCTTCCCATGCCTGTCGGTCGGGGTAGAGAGATGACACCAGGAGGACAATCAGAACTGAAGTCTACTTTGTTATCGATGTTGCTCTGGACTCACCAAGATGATGGCCTCTTTCACGTCCTCCCACCCTCTAATTTTATCTGTCGCAGTATCCAGAGCCTGACTCGTATCTCCTAGGTCCGGATTTCCCCCCTGTATGCTCGGCGTGGTGGCTCCGGATGCACGCTGAGTCTTCTCGCTGACATTCCTAGTCTCGTTCACATTCGATGTTCGATTGGAGTCTGACTGCCCAGTCGAGTAGCCCGTAGTGGTACGAGTGATGGCAGCAATGATTGCAGTCGGTGAATCGGGCTCGGGCGTCTGTCTAGCTGACATGGCACTTGTTGAGCAGTAAGGTGGGGGCAGTGAGCTCTAGGTGAGAGGCAAAGGTGGGGCAGGGTGCAAGTGGTGTAGCGTGGGCGGTGGCAGTGGGTCGTGCAAAGGAGACGCTACGTGGATCCGATACTGAGAAGAGTTGAGCAAGGAAGACAGGTCAGAGCAGAAGGGGAGATGTGAAACAAGGACAATTGCGAAGAAGGAAGGACAGAAGCGTATGGGAAGGACAGCAGCTGGCTGATCATCGCTGGCCCTTTCTCGTGCGTGATAGGTACACCCAGATGTGCTGGAGCATGGTGTGCGGTGGCCTTGCAGGCTAAGACTCCCTCCTGCCATCGGAAGCGGAGGTGCAGAAGTGGCCGTACAGCAGGCCCGTCCCTCCCTCTCTAGCCTAGCTCGATGATCGGGTAGGCATTCATTCGCCGGACCGGTAGTGCCCTCTACTGCCGTGAGCTTGACCATCTTCATCCATCTCCTCGTGCATCTTCCGCCGACCTTTCCGGATCAGAAGTAGGAGATAAGGATGTGAATGCCAAGAACGTCAACTTTCAAGACGTAGCACGATCCTCCAGTCTCAACGGCAAATGCCGGCTCGAAGGGCCCGTGCGGAATCCTCTATTTCCCCCCTCCTGGACAACTGGGTTTGATCACCCAGCACCCAGATCTGCCACGCGCATCTCACTCGACTCCGTCTCCCAAGCAAAATGTCTTGGCAGCTTCACCTGCGCGGAGGGAACAGACATTCGCATGACATCAAGAAAGGCAAGCAGCCAAGCCTTTTTGCCCCCCTCTCTTCGCATCGACCGTATCGCTTCGCTCATGCCAAGGGATGGAACGCAACGTTGAAAGCTACTCAATCTCTCCGCAACCCCCAGAGATCTATCACACCACCCAGATTTGGAGGGTGGCACGTGCTGTGCTGTGCTATGCTGTGCTATGCTGTGTGCTGAGTACTGTGTACTGGGACGCACTATCGCGGAATATTCTCCGAGAGGCCTGCCAAGCCTTTTTCGCTCCTTCTCCACTTGTACGTACACCACAGAATGCAGCACAGCGCAATGCAATGCAACTCGGCCTACGCGATGCTACCCAAGCTCACTGCTACGCAAGGGTGGCGTCTGTGTATACATTCGTGTACCACTTGGGTGTGGATGTGTTGAGTAGCTTTTTGCCAAGAAGTGATCGGGGAGCATGGCGCGTGCGGGAAAGAGGCGGCGGTGGCGGCTCCGAAGTGGGTCGGTGCATCGAGATGGAGAGGTGTATTGATTATGTTACAGATGAACTCCATGGCAAATACTGGCGCTTCCCTTTACTTGGGCAACACTTTTTTCCTGCCGACGTTACGCCCATGCTCTGCTTTGGTCGCCCCTCCTGGGCGGCCCGTCCGCAAAGGGATCGTCCCTCCTTCGCCTGAAGCCCCCCTTGCGATCATCGCCGCCGCCGCCACCACCACCCGCTCTCCTTTGCGGTCCATCGTCCCTCCGGCCGCCTCTCCTATCGTCCCTCCCGTCTCTCCACCTATCTCCAGATCTCTGTCCCTTGCTCTTTCCTTCCTCCCCGCCCCTCCCTAACGCCTGCAACCTCTTGCTCCTCCCAACCTTCATCGCCTGCAGCACAAATTCAATTGCCTTTTCCGTCCTCAACTTGAAGTGCTGTGCAAGGTTGCGTTGAGAAAAGGCTAGCTTGCTGCGAGAGTTGAGCCAGATGTACATGCAGAGGGCACGATGAAGACTTTCGAGGATGATGAGGATGGGAGCACTGCTGGATGAGGAACGATCGGGAGCGCTGTTGAAGGGGTTACGGCCGGGGATGTAGTTTGCGAGCTCGAGGACGGAGATGCTGCTGTTGGCTGACTTGTCGCTAGCAGCTGGCGAGGATGGCGCAGCAGGGGAGGCTCGACCTTCACTGACGTCGACGTGGTCGACTTGCGAGCGCTGGCGGTCCTGCTCCCACCTCGCGTGCATGGAGAGCATTACATCTTCAACTTCGACAAGGGAGTCCAGCAGCTTCTCCTTCCGAATGATCGCCTCGATATCCACAATCTCACCCCGGGCATACGAGGCTACCATTGCCTTGAAGCAATTAATCAAGATAGGATCGCGCACATTGAGTGGAGCGTGGCAGAATTGGGCTTGCTCGCCCAGTGTCAAAACTGACTGTGGTCGCTCGCCAGAGGCCAGCGTTCTTGTGTCTCCGGAAATAGTACTGGCTTCATGAACCAGAGGCCCAATGTCACTTTGCTGTCGGAAGGAGCCGAGGACGTAACGACTGGTGTCGACGTCACACAGCAGGGACATATCTGCGTAGATGTCCGTGTATGTCTTCGCCATGCCCTCTGGTACATCACTGTCCCGGGCTCCAGCTTCTCTCTCTTTAGCCTCGTCCTGCGGGTCTTCGAAGGAGCCCCAGGGCGATGGGCGACCAGAGTTCCGTTGCGCCATCTCTTTCCTCTTCCTGGCAGCAGCGTCTATCTTGCTTTCCTCCATCTTCCAGTGATCCTTTGGCAAGACGACAGGTATAGAAGGAAGCATCGTTGAGAGGACGTCAATGGTGCCAGGCAGAGCCGCAATCCTTGCGTGGTTGATGTGTCGCATCGGGCTCTCAAGAGCAGCTCGCAGCACAGGCATGTCGTCTTCTGACATCGTGCAGACGACACCTCCATCTTCGTCCTTCTCGCCCCTCTTCGTGCCATACCTCCCTGCTCTTCCTGCAATCTGTTTGATCTGGCTAGCACTCAGGGCTTCCATCTCCTGCCCATTCCATTTGAAGGTGGTCTCGAAAATCATCCGCTTGATGCGTAGGTTGAGACCCATGCCGATGGCGTCGCTCGCGACCATCACGTTGGCCTCAACACCTTCGTTGAAAAGCCTAGCTTGCTCTGCTTTGACCTCAGGCGGGAGGTTTCCGTATGCTACTGCGCACTTCAGTGGAGGTTGTCCTGGCTGCACAGGCATGGCTTCGATCCTTGCCTTGAGACCGAAGATGCCAGTGCGCGAGAAGGCTACGACACAGTCGCCCGGTCTGATCTTGCCCAGATCGCCATCCAAGCTCTTCTCTGCGACTTTCAAAGGTGTGAGACGCTCGTAATTGTGCACCGTCAATTCGTCGCCACAGGCCTTGGCTATTTCCTTGATGAGAGGCACCACTGAAGCCTCACCACAGAGATGCAGCTCTTTCGCTCGAGCGCCAAGGAGAGCATGGGTCCAGGCATACCCTCGTTGCTCATCGCCGATCATCTGAATCTCATCCAGAACAAGAACGTCAAGCGGTCTATTCGCCTCGAACATTTCGACTGTACAAGAGGTCAGTCCAGTAGAGCCGATACCGAGATTCCTGTCCTCGACCGCTTGCTCCTCTTCACCAGTCTTGAGGTTGCAGGCTCGAGGGGGAATGTTGCCTGCGATTTTCCCATTGTTGATGCGCTCCCAGATCTCGTGGGCTAGAAGACGGAGAGGTCCCAGGTACATCCCGGAGTTGACTTGACAGAGGCGGACGAGAGCATTGTGCGTCTTGCCGGAATTGGTTGGGCCTACATGAAGATGTATATGCCTCTTCATCGAGCGAGCTGCAGGGTAGAGAAGATGCGGCCGCACGAGGGAGGTCAATGATCGAAGGCTGTCCAGGGAAGTAAGCATGAGTCGAGTTGACTGCAGGAGCTCAGCAGAGCCTGCTTCAGCCTCGGCAATCTGCGTCAGGCCGTCTCGAACGAATTGTAGGAAGTCCCGAATGTGAAGGCGAGTGAGAGCATACCTCTGCGCTGTTTCGCCTCCACTGATGCGGCCGATCCCTGCGAATGCTGAAGCTGCATCTGCCAGCAACGGCGAAGAAGCTTTTGACGCGTCCTGCAATATTTGTGACTTTCTTCTGGATGCCCACCTCTGTATCAGCACGTCAAGTGGTGACCCGTCATTGCTTGCCTTGCCCATATCTTGTCTGACCATAATCTCTTGCAACGGCTCTCCCTTGAGACCGATCGCCTCGAAGCGATTTGCGAGGTACAGATCCTTGGAGAAGCTGCTGAGAGTATCTTGTAGCATCGTCTTGAGCTGCTCTACCGAAGGCGGCTTCTCGATGGAAAAGTCCACCACCGGCCGCTCACGCCCGTCCGACGAGGAGGAGTAATGATTTGGATGCGGTCTCTTGGGCCTCGAAGAAGACGCACCTGACCGGAAAGAAGGCTGCTTGTATGGAGGTCCAGCGCGGTTATCATCTCGACTGCGAGGGCCAGTCTTGGTGTCCCCAGCCCGACGGAGAGCTGAAGAGGTTGCAAAGAGGCGGCAAGGCAAGGCATGTTGCCGATATGCAATTGCGCATGCCTGTGGCAAGGTCAGACTTCTTACGGCGCAGGCCGGCCTCGGCAAGATTCTGACCGCCGTGGACAGTGACGATGTTGTCATCTGGCCCACTATTTGCAGGGAGGCGTGGCAATGGGTATTTGGGAGACGGATGTGGTGATGAGGATGGTATTCTTCAAGGAAAGTCGACTTCGGTCACTTCTTCTCGCCCGCTCCTCGGAAATTCTCATCTCAGCACGAGCCGCCGCCTTCCGCCGCCGCCGCGTGTGTGGGGCCGCCGCACGAGGCGACGTCGTATTTTGACCTTCGCGTCCAATCCTCTCTGACCTTGTCCCTTTTTCTTACGCTCCCCCTTCCTCACTTCATCATGCCGCCCCGCTTTGGCATATCGGCGCCCAAGTGCCCAAAGTGTGACAAGAGCGTATACGTCGCCGAGCAGGTGAGTACTGGCCAGAGAGTGGGTCGCTCGCGTGGGCTGAGCGCGACTCCACTTACACGTCCCCTTGGTCTTTCCCCGTTCCGCAATGGTCCTCCTTCCTCGCCCGTTGCAGATCATTGGCCCTCAAGCCAGACCGTACCACAAGTCATGTCTGACCTGCGTCGTATGCAACAAACGTCTAGATTCTACGCTCCTGGTCGAGCATGACGGACAACCGCTGTGCAGGCACTGCCATCGCGATTCTCTAGGGCAGGGCAAGGGAGGCTTCAACAAGGCGGTGCCCCTCCGTGCCTCCCTACCTCCCAGTCCGCCCAAACCTAGCCAACCTCAGCGCTTTTCTCAGCAGTATGCTCAAGAGCTACGAGACGAGGATGAGATGGCAAGGAGATTGACTGGCATCAACATCAGGCCTCGAGAGGGCAGCACACACGCGAGCGGGCAAGCCGCCTTCTCGCCCACCAGCGGCTCTTCCTCCTCCTTCTCGCCTTCTGCGCCACCACCGCGGCCGGAGAATCCTACGCCATCGACAGCCCTAGCACCCATGACCGCTTCGCAAACGTCTGGGTCGTACTCTTCTTCTTCGGCCATCTCCCCTTCTAGCTTACCCTCAGCAGCGGGTGACGAACCTCCCAACCAGGACTGGAGGGAGGTGGAAAGCATAGACGAGTATATTGCCTCTTCGGCCGGCATTCCGAATGTTGTTCCGAGAAGTACAGCATTGAGAGGCGGCGCGGATGGTATCAATAGAGCGCTAGGAGCGTCCCAAGAGCAGCCCACCTCAACACGGTCGGCGGCTGAGCCGAGACCTGGCTTGACACCTCAGCACACGCCCACCTTACGATCTCCGGCCTACATCCCCTCTGGCGACGAATCCCCGCGACGCAGTGGCTCAAGACCCCTTCCTCAGCCCCCTACCCACGCATCCACTAGCAGTCACCCCTCAAGCGTCACTCCAGCAGCTGCAGCTCCTGCTATTACCAGCTCAGCAACTACTGGCGGTCTACCTCCCCCCGCCCGCCGGACCCCGGTCTCCACCAGCGTACCATCATTCAAGACAGCCCATGGGCCTTACTCTTCTACAGCAGCTCCCTCCTCTCCCTTTCGCTCTCAATATGGCAATCTTTCCTCTTCTACCTCTTCCACTCCTACCCGGCTAGCAAATGCCGTCTCATCCGGAACACCCCTCTGTGCCCGCTGCCAGCGCCCAGTCTACCATGCCGAGCAAGTAATCGCCGCTTCAGGCGCAAGGACATGGCATCGTCCCTGCTTGAAATGCGAAGAATGTGGTAGTACACTACAGAAGGGCTCGCTTGAAGAAGGACCAGTAGGGAATAGCGTACATGATGGAAGTAGGAGTGGGGAGAGCTATGGACAGGGATGTAATACCTTTTGCAAGGTTTGTTATAGGAGGCTCTTTGGACCAAGGGGAATTGGGAATGCGGGGACGAGCTTTCCCTCCGCTGCTTGAACTCGGATACCTGGGCGATCCTGGCTGGAACAGAGGCCCTGAGCTGAGCATTGCATAGGTCCCTGCCAGATTGTCCTCTCTATTGTACATTTAATAGCAAAAGCTCGCGCAACGATTAGTATACCCTGCAAAGTTCAGATCAGAGTAAAGCAACTCGGACGGGTGTTCGTAATATGAATGGATGCTCATTTGTTGGTTTGTGTCGTCGGTCTCTACATGGACTTAGAGGGGGTACACCCACATTGCCATTGGAACTGTTCTGGGGTATCATCTCCATGTCGTCGGTCTCTACTTGAATCTTGGATCGAGCTGAGCTCTTTCGCTACTACCTCCCTCCTGGAGACTTCATCTACCTCCGTCTGATCGGCCTCTACGCAGTCAGTCCCATGAACTTTGCCGCCAGGTCAAACATGCCCATAGTCAATCCCTCGAAATCGTCTTCCTCATACCTAAGCTGTATTCCCGTAATAGCCGTAGCCGCAACATTGATCGCCGCCTGAACCTCTCCACCACCTGTGATTTCACCCTTGGCTTCTTTCTGATGGAACAATGCAGCGGCATTTCTTACGGCGGTTGCGATGGTGTAGTCGTGAGAAGTGCTGCCGTCGACACTGCTTCTAATGGCTGCAACGGCAGCGGCGTGACCGATCTGCTTGGTAGTGACAGGCCCACCTTCTTTGACCTTGAAGGCATCGGCTTTCATCTTGTCTTCATCGACATGGTCGAGATCGTGGATGTTGAATTGCGTGGGTCCGTTAGCTTTAGTGTGATGAGCAGAAGGTAGGTGGCAGTATCAGCCGTACTACTACGGGTGTGCGGTAGGACAGACAGCCTCTCATCGACCGTAGTGCTCTACACTCACCTGGGTCATAGGGACCAAAAGTCTTGCCCTGGTCTTCATCATCTCTCTTGACGTCTGCTCCACCACCACCACCACCACCACTGCTCCCTCCTGCTCCACCACCAGCATCCCCATCGCCACCGCCACCGTCACCGCCATTGTCATTGTCATCATCGTCATCGTCATCGTCGTCCTCATCATCATGGCTATCGTCATCTCCATCACGGTTCAAATCGAGACGAATGAGCTTGCTCGGGTCAGTAGGATGCTCCTTTACAGGCACAAATCGGCCGTCCTTCATGACGGCGATGAGTACCATCTTGTCGGTAGGCTGGGGTGTGCGTGAATGAGGTGAGTATCGTGGTGGTGATGGTGAGAGTGAGATCGGAAGTGAGCGTGGTGAAGTGAGTGAGTGGGTCTGACAGGGAAGCAAGGAATGTATAGGTCTAAAGAGAGCGAGATGAGCTTTGGCGTCGAGTGTAAGTGAGTACCAGTCAGCGTACGTGCCTGTAAGTTGATGTGCGCGTAGGTGCGTTTGCTGCTGCGCCCCATGCTTTGTAAGCAGACTTCAGCGAGGACGGCTCAACAAGCTAAGGCATTTGCTCACACACATTTCTTCCCTTTGTAATGGTCACATCGTCCAATCTCATACCCAGGTCTCGTCGAGCTCTCTACAGTTCGCCTCATTCTGAAATCCTGCACTGACATTATCAATCTGTGCTTCTTTCCTACTTCCGTCTCCTCCTTTCTCGCGCCGCTTGGACCTTGGCGGAAATGCGGGGCAATGCGGGGAAAGGTGGGGGCGAAACCCGACGCCCGAAGCTGCCATCCCGGTCATGACACCCACCTCTTGATTCCCTTCCCCTCTCGAGCAAGGACTTCTTCCTCCCTCCTTCTTCCGCAGCGCTCTTCATCCTCCTTACTCATCCATCTCTTCCCTTCTTTGTCTCCCCACAAGCATGTCCTCCTCCACACAGCCCACCTGGGTTCCGCCAGACGTCTCGGCAACGCGCATTGACCACTTCAGACGCAAGATCGCAGACAAGTACTCTGTGCACCTCGAGGACTACTGGCAGCTGTGGAAGTGGTCAGTAGAGAATGTTGGGCCATTCTGGGAAGAGGTGTGGGACGAGTGTGGGATTGTTGGAGACAGAGGGCCACAGGTGAGTGCAACAGAGGAGGTCTGAAAGGAAGCAGCTGAAGCAAGAGGAGTCTGAGCTGAGAGCTGACGCGAAGACCTACATCCAACTTGTTGCTGGACAGGGAGCTGCTGTGACTTCGACAGAGCCACTGTACCCACCTCCTCAATGGTTTCCTGGCTCTTCGGTCAATTTTGCCGAAAACATCCTACGTAACTGCCACGACCCCACCTTAGCAAACAAGGCCGCCGTCATCACATGCTACGAGCCTTCCTTTTCCCCATCGACACCCAACGACCTCCGGTCACTCGATTTCCACCGTTCCTCCTTGACCCATCCTGAATTTTACACCGAGGTAGCCCGCAGTGCAGCCGCCTTTCGCTCGCTAGGAGTCAAACAGGGCGACGTCCTCTCGGCCTACTCTTCCAACAACGGGCCCTCTCTCATCGCCCTCCTCGCCGCTTCTGCAATTGGCGCCGTATGGTGCTCCATCAGCTCCGACTCCTCTCCCGAGGCCGTACTGGATCGATTCTCCACTGTACGGCCGAGGTGGATCGTGAGTGTGGAGGATGTGAGGTATAATGGCAAGAAGTGGGGACATGTAGAGAAACTCAAGGAGGTTCTAAGGCGGTTGGAGGCGGAGAGGAAAGAGGGTGAGAGGCCCGTGGAGGGAGTCATTGTTGCAAGAGGGCCAAGTGGAGAGACAAGTCTGGACTGGCAGGGCGATGGAGCAAAGCAGTACTCGCAGCATGGAGAGAAGTGGATGTCTTGGGAGTCTTTTCAGGCACTGGGAAATGCAGCGGCAGGGAAGAAGATCGCATTCGAGCGAATGGACTTCAATGCCCCTCTCTGGATTCTCTTCTCAAGCGGGACTACAGGAAAGCCAAAGGCCATTGTGCACCGAGCGGGCGGCATGCTGCTCCAATTGGCCAAGGAGCATCTGCTGCATTCTGGCCTAGACAAGTCAGATGTCCTCTTCCGTGAGTAGCGGTCTAAAATGGCCTGCTAGGCAACACCCCCCTCTACGACTGTACTAACAGCACTCACCTGCTTCCACGTCTGCCTCGCACAGAATACTCTACCCTCTCTTGGATGATGTCTCCCTGGTCCCTCTCCTCTCTAATAGCCGGCTCAACCCTAATCCTCTACGACGGCTCTCCCCTCTCCCCCTCACCCCTCAACCTCTTCGAGCTAGCCCGCAGAGAGAAGATCACAGTCCTCGGCGCATCGGCAGCCTACTTAGAGATCCTCATGAAGAAGGGAGTGCGGCCGAGAGAGGAGGTGTGGGAGGCTGTAGGCGAAAAGTGTAGCTTGAAACAAATGCTCAGTACTGGGAGCTCTTTGAGAGCGGAGGTATATCACTGGGTCAAGGAGAGGGTTGGAGATGTGCTTGTGGGATGTGAGTAGAAGTGTCGATAAGCCGCAATGGCAGCTGCACCACGCTAGGGAGGAGTCAGCTGACGATCGAGCCCTGGCGATCAACTGCTCTTCATCTGCTCCCTCTGTCCAGCCATCACAGGAGGGACAGACATCTGCTCCCTCTTCGCAGGCAACAATGTCTCGCTCCCGGTCTACGCAGGGGAGATCCAATGTCCCATGCTAGGCATGCACGTCGCAATCGCCTCTTCCACTTCAACAGAAGGCGCAATGAAGATCCAACCTCTACCTCCTCTCGCCACTACCTCCCCAGCAAACGGAAACGGAGCGCAGAAAGAGGAAGACCTAAGAGCAGAGGAAGACGGTGAAGGAGAACTAGTCTGTCTCTCCCCCTTTCCCGCTCAACCCATCTACTTCTACGGTGAAGACCCGGCACCCGCTTCCTCCTCTGTCCAAGGTGGAGGTCGCTACCATTCCTCCTACTACGCCCTCTTTGGTCCCTCCGTATGGGCTCACGGCGACTGGTGTCACTGGTCCCCCCGCGGAGGTCTCTTGATGAAAGGTCGCTCCGATGCCGTTCTCAATCCAGGAGGTGTACGATTTGGCAGTAGTGAAATCTACGAAGTGGTAGGAGCACTTGCGACTAGTGGAGAAGAACCTTTTAGTAGGATCCTCGGCTGGATTGCACTTGCACTCAATCATCCTAGTCCGGGGGGAGGGGAAGTGGTGGTTTTGATTTTGCAGCTGGACACTTCGTCGAGTGAGGCAGAGAGCAAAGGAGGCGACTCCTCCTCCCCCTCCTCCTCCCTTCTCTCCACTCTCACCCCCCTCCTCTCCCAAGCCCTCCGTACAAAGCGCTCCCCCCGCCACGTCCCGCACTTTATAACCCTCTCCACCTCTCCACCCCCGCGCACCATCAACGGCAAGCTCGCTGAAGTCCCCGCCAAGAGAGTACTGAACAGTTCTCCAGGATCGGGAGTGGAGAAGAGGTTGAATACGAGCACATTGGAAGGTGGTGCGCAGGGGGGTTGGATTTGGGAGTATGCGGAAATTGGGGAGAGGTTGAGGGGGGAATTGAAGAGGGAGGAGGGGGAGAGGGAGAGGGAGAGGGAGAGGGAGAGGGAGAGGGAGGAGAAGAGCAAGAGAGGCAAGTAAAGATGGGAAAAGCGAGGAGAGGAGCGGATCAGACTTGGCAAGTAAGCAATACGGACAATCCATCCATCTCTCTCTGTGCAAACCACTCCTGATTTCCTCTTCTCAATGAGTGCTCTATCAAGGCATTTTCAAACATCAACGATTCGTGAAGAGATATGGACAGGAAAAAAAACAAAGAAAAAAAGAGGTGAAGCGGCACATTGCTCCTCCTCTCCAAGACATCTATGACAGCAGCAGAGAAGAGAAGAGGCATGCAGACGAGGTAAAGAGACAAAGGGGACATGAGAAAGGACACTGCAGCCTCTAGCTCGAGACTGGAGCTCGAGTCTCAGGTCTCGCTCCCTCACCGCCTCGCCGCTCAGTGCTGTGTAGCAGGTGGGGGCAACGCAAAGCCTTCTTCTACCTTTTGCAATTCCCCTAGTCCACCTTTGCCCTTATCTGCTGCACTGCCCTCCCTCGCTATCGCTCCCGTATCTGTAGAGGTATTGTTCGAAGCAGAAGCAGAAGCAGCACCAGCACCAGCAGCACCAGGAGGAGGAGCAGCCGCTCCCCCACCACCACCACCACTACCTCCAAATTTGTTGGGCAAGTTCCGCGCTGCACTGCTCACCTTTCTCTTTCCAACCAATGGGCCAAGCGCGCTTCCTTCTTCTCCCATTCCCGTGGCACCAGAAGAAGTCGAAAGGAGAGAGGGAGCACTCGCTCCTCCTTCCCCTGCAGGTCCGCCCTCACCACCGCTGGCAGGACGCGAAGGCGACGAGCCTGGTGCGTCTACGGGTCCCGCAGCGGGGGTGAAGGCGAAGAATGCACTGGTGGAGTCTGCGGGAGAAGGAGGGACCGTGTTGCTCGCAGAAGCTGAGCCATCCGTCCCTCCCGCTGCACCATGGCCGCTGCCAGATGCTACCATGTCCATTGCGCCTGCACCTGCACCGCCTGCTGTCTGACCTCCACCGTTGTTGACGCCCCCGGCATTCGTGTTGAGATAGCTGAGACGTGACTGGGTGAAGTTCGGGTGGAAGGGAGAGTTGATGGGAACGGCAGAGGGCATGGCATACCCTCCAGGGATGGACATGCCGAATGGATTGTTCCCACCAGCGTGGTGATGGTGGTGGTGGTGATGATGAGGCCCCGCTCCGCCTCCGCCCTGGAAGAAGCCACCACCGCCGACTCCATTGCCATAGAAGTTGGGCGGGACAGCTGCACCTTTACCGCCATTGGCATCATCTCCGAGCCCGGAGAAGGAGTACGGGTACATTCCTCCTGGGCCAGGAGGACCATTGACGGCGGAAGAGCCGTGGGAGGATGAGGCAGAGGAGGAGAAGTCAAAGGGATTGCCGATCGTCGTTCCATCTGACGAGTCAGGCCTGTTGGAGCTGCCGCCCGATGCGTTCATGGAAGTACCTCGAGCACTGGATGCGGGCATGTCTCGACCTACAGCTCCTTGCGAGCCTGCTGCAGCTGGGAACGGCATCGACTGAGGTCCCCCCAGGTGCGGTATCGATTGAGTTGCGCCAATACCCCATGACCCGCCACCGACGCCCCATGAGGAAGCTCCCGTAGACGGAGCGTTGCCCGAAGGGCCAGAATTAGAAGACCCGCTAGCAGAGTCAATAGAGTCCGAAGCAGAAGTCCCAGAGGGGTTGCTTTCGCCCATTCCAGAGCCATTGGCAGACCCTTCGCCAGGCTGGCCCGGTGTGGTCCTATAGTCCATTCCTGCTCCCTTCCAAGGTGGCATACCACCCAAAGCTCGCATTGTTGCTCCGAATGAGCCACTCTCAAAAGAAGCTGGCATCATAGGTGTATCGCCATAGCTCGTGCCCATTTTGTCCATGTCGATCATCGACTGATTACCACCAAAACGACCAGGAGGCATAGCCATACCACCAGGATTCATGTGGTTGCCGAAAGAGGTGCCATAGATGCTCTGCATCGATGACGAAAAGAGACTATCGTCGCCATTGCCTCCTCCATTGGCTCCTGATCCTCCGCCTTGCCCTTGGCCTCCCATGAGCATTGCGCCCGACGAGCCAGAGCTGCCATTCCCGCCCAGACCTTCAAAGTTGTAGAACTGATGATGTGGAAAGTAGGCTGCCCCACTCGGAGGAGCATTGGGGTCGTAAGATCCCGGCAGAACTTCTCTTTGAGCTTGCTGCTGACGCAACAGCTGAGCCTGTAATTGAGCCAGCTGATGAGCTTGTTGAGCTTGCTGGCTGTGCTCTCCTGATGCCATTGTCGGATTGGGTGTGGGATTGGGAGAAGCAGAAGCTGCCTCTACGTGCTGAGCTAGAGGATGAGGCATACTATGTTGCTTGAGCGGCGTAGCCACCCCTGATGTAGGCCCAGTGCCAGCTGCGCTGCCTCCCGTACTGGGCCCAGGTGAGTCATATCGACTGTCAGTAGAAGTCATTGTTAGACTCTCGCTCACTGAGCCACCACGCGAGTGACCCGCCGATGAAGTGCCGCCAGCAGGCATGGTCCCGCTCAGCTTAAGCAAAGGACCCAATCTGCCCTCATGATAAGCATCCTGCGCCTCCTGCGACAATGTCCACCACGACCCTTTACCTGCTGCCGAGGAAGGCCTCGGCACCTTGACAAACAAGTGACCTTTGATCGACAATGTCGACTTGATCCTGTTCTTCACCCTCGCCTGTACAAATGAAAGATTAGAAGGAGACCCAAGAATATTCGTCAGTGTCCGCAAATGAGCAACCTCACGCCGGTCCGCCCCAGGCGTGGTATATCTTCTACGAGTCTGGCCCTTTGTGGTAGTGGTGCCGAGACTTACCTCCCAATCCTTTCCAAACGCCCACTCCTGCACCTCTGGGAACCTTGCGCACATCTGCTCAAAGAGGTCCTGGATGACTAGCCTGCCATGCTCAGAATGGGCAATGGTGGCGCAGATCATCTCACCCCAATTGAGCCGCTTGCCCGTCACAGAAGAGGCTGCGACACGAGGATTGTGAGACGGCGCCGTGTGCTCGTAATTGGTAGATCCAGATCCACCTCCTACGGTATGGTGTACTGTGCCCGCTCCTGCCGATGGTAGACGCCTATGTTGCCAGCCCGGAGAAGAGGCAGCAGAGACGGGCTGTGAGGAGGCAGCCGAGTGTAGATTGAGGGCGCCCAAGTCTGCCATGCCTGGCGGCAGCTGTGAGAGTTGAGTCGAGGCAAAGGCAGATGCACCACCACCACCGCTTCCGATGCCACTGATGATGGGCGAGGAGACGGATGACGTATTGGAGTGTTGTTGCGATGATGGGGAAGGAGCATAGTAGGCAGCAGCAGCATTGCTGTTGGTGTTGTTGCTGCTGTTACTGCTCTGCTCGCCCCCTGTGGGTTGCCGTTGCCGTTGAGCGGCAGCATATGAGTTGAGCTGGGCATTTGCATATGCCCATGCAGCGGGACCTACTGTGTTGGGTTGCCCTTGTTGCCGCTGCTGTTGGGCCTGTGCCTGCGCTTGCTGCTGAAATTGTTGCTGTTGCTGTGGGTTCTGTTGTGAGGGTGATGACTTGGCTGGCGGCTGCCCCGGCACACCAAAGGCGCTGAAGCCACCATGGTGCAGGGCAGGTGGCAAGGGAGCAGAGGGGGAGCCTCGATTAGAGGGACCGCCAAAAGCCATGCTGTTGGGTTGAGAGCCGTTGTTGGGTCTGGTAGAAGTCAAGAATGGCGAGCCTTGGTTCGAGGAAGACGTCTGATCCATGACTGGGTCGCTGCGAAGTCCGCGGGCGACGGAGCACAGAGTGAGGCGTGGAAGTCCCGCGAGGGTGACAGTCCGTCCTCAGAGGGCTGGAAGAGCGAGATAGGACAGGTCGTGCCCGCTGGGGTGGACACTGATGATGTCTGAGCTGTATCTCGTGAGGGCCCTGGTGGTGCGGATGTAATCGATACGATCGATGTGCAGCGGCCTCTGGAGCTGAGCTGGGCGCGATGGTGAGAAGGATATGCGGTGGAGGCGACGGCGGCCAAAGCGTCGTGCCGTGGTGGTGTGGCTGACTGGCTGACTGACTGACTGGCAGACAAGAGCTAAGACGAGCCAGAGATAGGTGTGAGCTAAAGTGGGGGGACTTGCAGGACGTGCGAGTACCGTGTCGTCGTCGTCTGTAGGATGTACTCGTCAAGATGGCAGTCCAGGAAGAAGCGTCGATTGATGTTGGCGGCGGGGTGAGTTGAGTGGAGCGCAAGGCGAGGCGAGGCGAGGCTGGTGAATGGGGGGAGACTCAGGCCAGGCCAGTCCAGACGGGGCGCGGGGCAAAAGGCGGCGACGGGCATCTTGAGTCTGTCAGGCAGCAAGCACCGGCAGCAGCTCAGCAGCCTCGCCTCGCCTCGCCCCGCCCCTCAGACCAGACTGGACTAGACTACCCCCGCGCCCATCTCGCCTCGCCTCTCCCCCCCAGATCTTCCTTCCGCGAGCTCAGCTCCGCGCCAAGCAACAGGCAAAACGGCACTCACTCGCACATGGCCCACCACCCACGTCCCTCCAAAACCCCAAGAGTCAGACAGGCATTGCTCATCACAATCACCAGGACCACAGGTAGGCAGTGACAGTGACAGTGACAGAGACAGCTAAAGCAACAGGCTGATTGGTTGGACAGGTGGATATAGATGAGCGGGCACAACGCATTCCCAGTCGCAATCGCAATCGCAATCGCATTCACACTTCCCGGTTCAGTGATGCACGGCGGAATGCCGCTTCCGCTCCTAGCCGACGGGCAAGAGCAACAGCAACAGCAACAGTCACAGCATCATCCATCAGAACACAAGTAGACGGCATTTGGGATGAAAGACGGAAGCAGCTATTGTGTATCATTTGCTATGTGGCTACATCGCTTTCCTCAGCGAGGAGCAGCACCACCTCCACCACTTCCACTTCCCGATTGTCCTTGCTGTTGCCCAAGCATAGCCAACATTCGCTGAATACTCTGCTGCGCATCGGCCGCACTACTGCTCCCTCCTCCAGCCCCACTACCGCTGCTAGGATTGCTTCCTCCCCCTACTGCTGCTGCCGCTCCTCCTCCTCCTCCGGCTCCACCTGTCCCTGATCCTGCACCACTCCGCCGTGGATCAGCACCCTGCTGTTGTGACGGTTGTCCTCCACTGACACCTCCCACCCCAGCAAGCAATTGAGCCAAATTGGGCGGGAGAGATTGTCCACTTCCGGCAGTACCACCATCCGACGGCCCGCTCGCACTGGCTTGACCGCCCTGCCAAGACGAAGTTGCAGCCGGCGTTGCACTGTTGCCAGCGCTGCTGCTGCTGCTGCTGCCAGAAGATAGGCTTGCAAGGAGCTGCTGAACTTTCTGCGCCTGCTCAAGACGGGATGTAGAATCTTCCCTTCCTCCACTGGCGCTACCTCCGGGACCAGAAGGGGCGCTAGGAGGGGCAGAAGGTGGGCGAGCGGGTCCCCATTGTGCTGGACCCTGTGGTGGTGAAGCAGCATGAGGTGGACGACCTGCTGCACCTGCATCGTTGTAGCCATACGGTCCGGGTACCGGGCCGGGTGGTTGGTACTGACCTGGGCCAGGGCCACTACCAGGGCCGGATGGGGGAGGACGAGCTTCGTGACCCATGCCAGGCGGGGGTGGGCGCATCGGCGGAGGACCACCTTGCTGGTACGGACCCGAAGGTGGCGGTGACCACCCTCCAGCAGAGGAGGGAGGTGCCGGTGGTGGTGCCATCGTAGCTTGCGGAGGTCCTCCCGCTGGACCCTTTGCATTTGCGTTTCCCTTTCCAATTTGCTGAGCGTCCCAAGCGAACTTGACGTCCCACTCTCCCCCTGAACCACTGACCGGATCTGTATACTGCTGCCCACCCATACCGTCGTGAGCAGCTATACATGCTCTCGAATCGTAAAACTCGAGGAAGCGAGCATTCTTCTGATCCTTGTACCGGCGAACACTCTTGACTTCGCCGAAGCTCGAAAAGATCGCCTTGAACTCGTCGTCGGTCAGAGCTCGAGCCAGTCGCTTGAGAAGCATGAAGAGAGTTCCCTGATTTTGATCCCGGTCACACCTCTTGGAGGTATCCGTGTTCTTGGGCAAGCTGTAATGCACGTCCATCCTCCGACCGTTAAAGTCCTGTCCATGACAGGTATTCTTGGCCCATTCTGCTCCTCTGAGGTCGAAGAAGGTGACGAAGCACATGCCCTTCTTGGCGATCATGTCAAAAAACGTCTTAATCTCCCCAAATTGCAGGAAGTGGTGTCGTATCGATTCGGGTGAAGTAGAGTTGTCGAGGCTACGGATGAAGAGAGTACGGCAGGGCTTCTCATCTGCCGTCCGCGGGTCCTGATCTTTGGATCCAGGCCCTCCAGGTGGATGCCGTGGGAAGGTTCCGTCTCTGTTGTAGGGTTCTGCACCAGCCCGACGATCGGGCCCGCCGCGAGATCGATCTGCACCGAAGGAGGGTTCGCGATTTGCAGCGTCGACATTGTTGAAGTTTACTTGTGGAGGGTATGCAGGGTATGGCGAGGTTCCCTGGGGACCTGTTGGAGGACCTGGCGGCGGCGGTCTATTCGGTGGGTAGCCTGATACTGTGGATGAGCGATGTCAGGTGGGATGTGGGGAAGGTGTGTCAAAGAGAAGTCCAGCAATACGTGACGAAGCCTTGCAGCTTTTGTTTCCAGCCAATGTCCCTGCTATCTGGCTCAAAGCTCGAGCTCTGGCGTGCGGCGCTCAGCGGACGCCTCTGCTTGGGCTCAACGACGAGCTCGACATCGTCAAAGCTTAGCGTGCGGTCATTGAAGAAGCGGCGCCTTCGACATTGTCATAGACTCAGCGAGAAAGGACTCTCAGGTAGCTCAGCACTAGTCACAGCTCAGTGTCATCGGCAGCCTAGTCACTGTCAAGGAGCCGATAGCAAATGTCACTGGCGGAGACCTCTGCAGGAATAAATAGTGCTCGCCTGATCGGGTCGGATCGGCTGCCGGGAGTTTCGTGCTTCCAAGCTCTACAATCTTTCCCGATCCCTTTGCTTCGACTTTCATCTACGTACCTTGTGGCTGGGTATACGGATTGCTATAGTCACTGACTGCGTAAGGATCATGGGACACTGATCGCCTCTGACCGTAATCATTCCCCGTTGCTCCTGTCTGGTGATGAGGTTGTTGCGACATATGGGGCGGAGGAGGATGAGGCGGCGGTCCGGATGGGTAGTGGGGCGGCTGCGACGGCGAGGGCGGCGGGTACTGATGTGGTACTCCAGGTCCAGGTGGGGGAGGTCTCATACCTCCGAGGTGGATAGGCGGTCGCGAAAATCCGCCGTCAAGATGGATGGGAGGCCGGCCGGGGGCAGGGGGCAAGGAAGAGGGAGGAGGCGGACCAGGACGAGTAGGCGAACCGAAGCCAAGTCTCAACGGAGCGGTAGAAGAGGTCTGAGGAACCTGAGGGTACGAGCTGCTGTCGCTAGAAGGCGGGGAGGATCCATATGGCGAGCCTGCTTGCCCTGGAGGTGCCGAGTGAACAGGACCGGAGAAGTGATGACCTCCTCTCCCTCTGTCGCCTCTGCCTGCAGGTCCGCCTCTTCTGGGGCCGCTGCCGCTGGCCTGACCTCCTGCTGCATCGTACCCTGAGTAAGGGTGATGACGGGGTGGCATTGAGGGGCAAGGAGACGGGGGCGTGGGGGATGGCGGCGGCCAAGATGACTTTCTCTAGGAGTGGCTCTACGAGTGAAGTGGAAGATGCTTCAGGCTGCCGGCACAGAAGACGGAAAGAAGTGGCGTGGCTGCCCCGAAGAACGCGCGCCCGCCCCCGCACGGACACGCACAAAGTGACAGACGCCCTCGCCGCCGCCGCCACCAGAAACGAGTTCAAAGAGGCAAGGGGCGCGCCACCCAGGCCACCCCATCAGCCCAGGTTGAACGCCGAACACGCAGGCAGCCTTCCTCGCAGCCTCTCCTCGTGGGAGTGTTAGACTACTTGCTCCTTCTCCTCCTCCTTCCTCCTCCTCCTCCTCCTTCCTCCTCCTCCTTCTTCCTCTCATCGTCGTCCATACTTCATCACATCCTCTCTGCCTTTTTTCTGCCTTTCTCTCGTTCTCGTCATCGTTGTCTGGTGCTCTCGTGGCACCAACAGAGCATCTTCCGGACCCTCAGCCCCATTCCTCGAGGTTTGCTCAAGTCTTCTCGCCTTGCCTCCTTCATCACTTCATCGACTAGTCCTCTCTCCTCCTCATGCTCGGATTCGATTCCACTCCGCGCTCCGTCTCCTTAGACTGGTCCTACTTCGGCGGCGCGGAAGAGCTGCCCCCATGGCTGCGAAAGGTGGCCAAGCGTACCGTCGCAGCTATCGCCTCACCTCATCAGCAGTCCACCAGCTCCGATCAAAGCGAGGCCGGTTCTTCTTCGCTTGACTCCTCTTCTTTCTCAGGCAGCACTCTAGCCTCCGATGACGAACAGGACGAGGTCAACGACCTTCTCTCATCGTCAGACGCTGCGTCCTCCTCCTCCTCTTTGCGAGCATCGCCCGCATCCCTAGCTCATCCTACACTAGATGGCACTCCTTGGCTCCCAAAGGTACTTGCTCAAGATCCTTCGCAGGACCAGAATGACTTCCTGTGGCTTCTCACCGAAGAGCCACACCGCTCAAGACGGCAGGCGATTATGAAGGCCCACCCCGAGGTCAAGACGCTCATGGGACGGGAACCTTTGACCAAGTGGATCTCCCTGGGCGTGGTGCTGGTGCAGCTTGCAACGGCTTACGCTACATGGAAGCTCGAGTGGCATCCCTTGAGCTGGAGATTCCTTGCTGCTGCATACGCGATTGGCGGTACCGCCAATCAGAACATTTTCCTTGCCATTCACGAGATCACACATAATCTCGCCTTCAGGGGGATCAAGGCCAACAAGTTGTGGGCTATCCTGGTCAACTCAGTCATTGGCGTTCCCTACGCCATGATGTTCAAGCAGTACCACATCGAGCATCACAAGTATCTGGGAGAAGACGGTGTCGACACCGATCTACCTACCCGCCTCGAGCTGATGTGCCTGAAGAATGTCCTCGGCAAGGCCTTCTTTGCTACCTTCCAAATCTTCTTCTATGCCTTCCGCCCTGGTTTCATCAAGACGCAACGCCTGACCGTCTGGCATCTACTCAACATCTCTTACCAGATCCTTTTCAATGCAGCTCTTGTCTACTACTTCTCCTCCTGGACACCCCTCCTATACCTCGTCTTCTCCTCCTTCTTCGCTGGCTCTCTCCACCCCTGTGCAGCGCACTTCATCGCAGAGCACTACCTCTTCGGCGGAATCGCACAGGAGACGTGGTCCTACTATGGTCCGCTGAACATTCTGGCTTACAATGTAGGCTACCATAACGAGCATCACGACTTTCCCTCTATCCCCTGGACGCGCCTGCCTGCTCTGAGAGCCATGGCACCAGAGTTCTACGACTGCCTGCCCTGTCATACCAGCTGGCCTATGGTGACGGTGCAATTCATCCTTGGCACGGACTCGGGTCTCTTCGCTAGGATCAAGCGGGTGGGCAAGGGTGTGGCGAGGGAAATGGGAGAAGAGGACAAGGGCGATGTGCAAGGTCACGAGCTCAAGGAGAAGACGCAGTAGGCATAGGGATGAGAGACTCTATTCCTTCCCTTGCTCCTTCTCACGGAAAGTCACTACTTGTCACGTATCGGGGTCGCATTGTTGGCATGTGTCAATGTGCTCGCGATTTATGTATATAATGAAAACGAAAACGAAACCAATGCAGCCTGCCGTGCCATTATCTTGATCTTGCCGAGTCGTATTTGGCCCCCCTGTCGTCCTCTCGCCTTCCGTTCCGACATCATTCACGCAGGGGCGGCGCCAAAGCAAGCGGAGCGGAGGCGGACGCACATCGAGTGAGTGGCCCAAGGTCAACTCTCGGCGGCGGCGGCGGGCCGTTCCACCTTGCTTTACCCATCATATCATTGTCCCCTAACCATCGCCACCTGACTTGCTCTTAGGGAGTAGTGCTTCATTCATAGCTATTTCTCGAAGGCTTTACGCTATCCACTCAACTGACAGCGAGAGCCAGCCGAGCCAATAGCTCAAGCGCCTCAGCAGTCCAGCCTAGTCCAGTCCGACGTGCATCCGTCTCTTCGCTTCAACCTCATCTAGGTCGTTCCTCCCTCTCATACATCACCTCTACAACGAGCGTTCGTCTCTTTGCTGAGACAAGTTCAGCCCAAGTCTCATATCTACACAATGTCTGGAAGTGCTAAGCAGCTGCAGTTCAAGCTGGTCTTGTTGGGAGAGTCGGCAGTGGGCAAGTCGAGGTGAGTTGCGGTGGGGGCTGATAAGGGGGAGAGGGGCTGGGGTGGGACTGGGAAAGGGCACGGTAGCGATACCTGCTGTATTCATTGGGAAGTGACAGCAGTATAGCTGTACACTCTGCCTGCAGATGGGCCTACGAGAGCTGAGATGGGTTGAGCAATAAGAAAGTGCGGTGGAGGTCGCCTCCCATCTACCTGAATGATTTCTCATGCTGACTCCCTCATTCCAATCTCTCCGGGCTCCTGAAGTCTGGTGCTGAGGTTCGTTAAGGATCAATTTGATGACTACAGAGAATCAACCATCGGAGGTGAGTTTGCATGGCGGATTGGAGGAGAGAGCTCATCGCAGCAGAATGCTGATCGCATTGATCGTACCACTCCCGTCGACTTTGTCCTATTAGCTGCTTTCTTGACACAGACCGTGAAGCTCGATGATCAAACGACGGTCAAGTTCGAGATCTGGTGAGTAGGGGACAGTATGACCTGTACCTGGACTGGAGAAGCGAGTCCCCACTGACAATTACGATGGATCTCACTCTCCCTTTGCTATATTTCAGGGACACTGCTGGACAGGAGCGGTACAAGTCTGTGAGTATCAGGTTCGAAGCTTTCGGCTAGTCGACCGAGGGAACGTTGCAGCTGCTCCTCAGATTATGTGAGCTTCCATACTGACCGTGTCTTGCCTCATCGCCACTCTTCAGCTGGCTCCTATGTACTACCGCAACGCCCACTGTGCCGTAGTGGTGTACGATGTGACCCAACCCCAGTCGTTGGAGAAGGCCAAGTCGTGGATCAAGGAGCTGCAGAGGCAGGCAGACCCGAATATTGTCATTGCCCTAGCCGGCAACAAGGTGGATCTGGCTGCCACAAGGAGGGGAGTTCCCAAGGAGGTGAGTGTGTGCGAGGAATACAGTTCTAGAAGTCTATCGATGCTGACGCCTCTCTCTTTCTACCGTCTCCCAGGATGCACAACGTTACGCAGAAGAAGAGAAGCTTCTCTTCCTCGAGACATCGGCAAAGGACTCGTCCAACGTCTCTGAGCTCTTCACCATGATCGCACGCAAGCTGCCTCTAGAACAGGCAAGTAACAGCGCCGCGGCTGGAGGAGTAGGGGGAGCTGCACAGAGGAGAGGAGCTGGCTCGGCGGGTAGGCAAGGCGGTGGAGTGGACCTGCGGGGCAACCAGGGCGCATCTGGGAATCAGGACGCTTGTAATTGTTGAGAGCGGGCTGCTGGTTTGCGCCGACTATTTGTCTGCTGTGGGTCCCCTTCCGGTCGTGTTAGTATAATTCCCTTGAGTCTTCTGTGGTTCCCTACGGCTTGTTCTCCTTAGCGCTCGCTTCTCTCGTACGACCTTTTACATATAACGCCTTTCGCTCCGGACACTTGCGTGCTGTATAATTGTGACTAAATGATATGGATACAGAAGGGTTTGAGATCCCTACGGATTGACTGACTGGTACGCTCTTCCTCTCCATCGCCTCCCGCGTCCTTTCTTTTCAAAAGAGTCTTCTCCTTCCACCCATCCCGCCCCCAAGTGCCGCACCAGCATTGACCACCTCGGCGTTTGCCCTGCCTCTTGCTAGTCCATTGGAAGAAGCGCTCTCGGCGTGAGACTGAGAGTAGAGTCTGTAAGACTCTAGAATGGAGGCGGGGGAGAGAGGTGAGCCTTCTGGAAGTTCGGGGTTGAGGGATTGGATACGACGCGCTGAGAGGATGAAGGACAGACAGTGATTTGGCTGGTCAATGAGAGCAAAAGGGTGGGCACAGAGCCTCCTTCGTTCTCGCTGATCGGACTCACCCCCTTCGATAATCTCTCCTACAAACACCTTGGCTACACCTCCGAACGCCATCGTCATTGTTGGATTCACACTCGCTCCGGTCCCACCGCCACCTAGATGAGTGTTGACCAGCCGCCGGAGATTGGCGCGATTGAAGCCAGCACGACGGTAGCATTCGTGACGATCGTACTGGTCTTCCGACATGGCTGCAATCAGCGGTCTGGAGGGCGTTGGTAGTAGTGACCAACGTCAGTAATAGCAGGGGGATATTAATGATGATAGGAGTCTCTCCTACTCACCCCATTGCTTGACCTCGTATCCTCTCCATTTCCTCTCTCCACTTCATCTCCTCCTCGCCAAGATTCTCCAGCAGTCCTTCATCTTCATCCTCGTCCGCCGGATCTTCATCTTCGTCTTCCTCGTCCTCCCTACCCTCTCTGACCCTGACCGTACCAGCGCCATCCTCTTCCGCCCCAGGTGAGCCAGGGGCAGCAGTTCCTCGAGCAGCTGATCCTCTAGGGTCGACTGTTCCTCCGCGTGTAGTAGACTCGGACCTCCGACTGGTAAGCGATTCCCTTCCCAGAGACGAGCTTGCTATTCTCCCACGACCTCTTCCTCTTCCTCTGCCTCTTGGTCTACCTGGCCCCCTCTTGCCCCTGCCTGCATTGTCGCCTCCGCTCTGGGCAGTGGAGGAAGAGGTCTTCTTGGAGCCACCACCGCGGCCAGAGGAAGAGCCGTCTTTACCACGATTGCCGCCGCCCCGGCTGCCCCTGCTTGCGCCGCTGGAGCTGCCTCGCTGAGGTGTCGAGGTTGACGGTCCGGCGAAAGGGTCCATGTGAGCTGGCTAAAGAGAGTCTAGGATCCCGCAATCGGAAGGACAAGCAGTAGAAGAATGGCTCGAGAAGGAGAAGGCGGGGGTGGAGCGGAAAGGGGACAGTCACTCACACAACGGAGCGGAACGGGGGGGCGCGATTGGCAGAGAGGCGGCCGCGCTCGTGCAAAGGAAAATTGGCTGCTGCTCTTCCCAAGACTGGAGCCAATCACACGTTTTCTTCACTTTGCAACCTCATCTCACCTCGATATCATCCATCTGCCCCACCCATGGCCTGATCAACCATCCTACGCTCAGCGGTCACACAGCCAGCCATGAGCGCATCATCCTCCACGACCACGACGGGCGCACATCACGATGCCCTCTATGAGAAGCTCGTCCAGCAGGAGCGAATCATACAGAGCGCTGCCTTGCCAGCCGATGAGATGCCTTCTTGTATGAACCTCTTCGACAAGTGGGCTACTTGCTTCGGTACGTACAGCCCCGCAGCGATTACACGAGACAAAGACACCGTCGTGCTCATTTCTGCCTGCCCTGTCTCCAACGCTTCTCAGCTCTCGTGCCGCAATTCCGCGCCGTGTACCGGTACGGCTCCTTTGACGACTGCACTCGCAAGCTCGATGACTTCAAGTTCTGCCTCACCCTCAAGGGCATTGATCAAGCTCAGAAGAGGGAAGCCTACATCGAGCGCAAGGCGCGAGCTATGGCTAGAAGGCGGATGCCAGGCGGCAATACCTCAGAAGAGGTCTGGGAGATGAGGACGGACCCGATCATTGATCTCCAGTGCGTCGATGAAGCCCTTCTACCCAAGAAGGACGGCGGGAAGACGTAGGGGCTGTTGTCAGACTCTCCTACTTTTCCATTCGCTTCAGCCCCATGCCTGACCCAGGTGAGTACCCAACGCCCCGTTCTGCAGCCCGTCACATATGATTAGGACAATATACAACAAATTTCAGTTCTGCTTCTGTACTTCCTCCTCGCATGGGAAGAATGCGGACAAACCCATACCAAGCTTACCCTGTATGATACCAAGGCGGAGATGCTCAGGCGATCGAATCCTCCAGCGCAAGTGAAGCAGATGACTGACGCTCATCCCCATCTTTGCTTTACTATTAGCATCACCGCTCCGCTCAAGGCTCCTTGCCGGCTTGCAATCTACCTTCAGGGTGAGTAAAGACCACTGCCAGCTTCTCGTCGTCGTCGCGCAAGGCCTCTGCAGCTTCGATGATTATCGCTGCATCTCTCTGGCAAGGTGGGTCACATGTCCTTCAGTCCAAAGGCCATCGATACTCGTCCCCTCCATTCATCTTCGGTCTGTTCTCTTCTAGAGTTGCGGTCGAAGAAGAGATGGGTTCAGGAATCGGCGAGTGGGAAGGTCCGCGTACTCCTTGGATCTCTTCCGCCTCCTTCACTTTAAGAAGAGGTGGGACCTCGCTAGGCCTGTTGATGGCTTCGTTGGCGCAAATCATGCTGTCTTTGAGTTCGTTATGAGCTGGGCGGGCGAGACGGATCATGCGGGCTGAGGTCTACACCAAAGCTTTCTCGTACGGTGGGCAGTTCCATTTCTCTCGGGCGTTGGCTCGGCTACGCGAGCACTGTTGCGGAGCAGGTCTGTGCTGGTAGAGAACCATCATTGGGCGTACCTATCCCAAAGGACTCGTGAGAAGATCAGAGTAGAGCAGCTCCAGCTGGGCGGTCGCCGAAAGGCGACGAGGGACCAAAGCGGCGTAACAGAAAGTCTCTCCGACCCTCTGAGGACCTTTCACAGACTCATCAGCTTCCGCTTGAGGACGGCAACACACGGTCGAGGGCCTTCTCTCTTTTTGGAGTGCGAGGTCGTCTCACAGAGCTGAAAATCGCCCAAGACGCCAGCTCGCCCTTGTGGCGAGTAACGGAAGAGGCGAGTCTCGCCGTATTGCTTGAGAGCAAGTGGCTCGACACCTTCGTGAGGACGCTAGGAGTCTCCGGACTATCCCAGCAGAGCGAGGATCGTTGAGCTCAAGTGAGTCGGACTGGTCTTCGGGGGAGGAGATTGGAATGCCCCCCTCGCATTTGTTAGCTCGATCTCTCTTGCGCTTGTCTGGGTGCGCTTCGGTGTTGGTCTTTGTGCTAGTGCTAGGCTTGCAATGCAGTGGCGCCTCGAGGTGGTCGCTGTCGATTCCAGGAGGTCTGGCAGCCTCTCATCGTCTTGGGAGTTGGGCCGCAGTCGGTAGGTTCGTTCTCGCTCATTCTGCTCTGGCGAACCCATAATGGCGTAGCTCGTGCTACGGTAGTCCTCTCAACAGTGCCGGCTGTCTCCATTTCCGGATGTGAGATCAGCTAGAGGTTGACCGACGAATGACGCCCATTTGGGTTCTAGTCATTCCAGTTCAGAGGTATAAGGATGCCCTAATCAGGCTTAAGTGCAATCGATGGCGGCTCGTCCTAATTGGACGGGACAACTCAACGCGTGACTATTCTTGGAGATAGAAGTTCGCTTCTGCCTGAGGGACACCCCCCTACCCTTGCTCTTTGAGATGCCTGATCTGCGAGGTTTCGCGTTCTGCGATGACTGCTATGAGAAGCGCGGCAGAGGGGCGACGGCGAGCTTTGCCTTTGCAATGACGTACTGTGGCTGACACCTGTCTTCTACTCTTCTGCACACAAGCTCGACGCAACGACGATGCTCTTCAAGAGCCAGAGCCTTCAACAGCACGCAGCTGCGTTCAACGGTGTGAGTAGCATCTTCTGGCAGCAAGATCGTGGCCGGAGGGACTCAAGATGATTACAAAACAAGTTCTATAATCCATTCTTTGAGTTGCACTACGAATTCGTCGCTCAAGTGTACCTCGTCCATTTCAAGCACTCGATCAACCTTAGCATCACGTCTCCCTTCAAGGCGATTCCGGTCTTTGCAGTTCCGTTTTCCTCGGCTCTGACAAGAGTTGAGGGAGGTCCAGGATACACGCTCGTCACTCTTTCGTAGATGGCTAATCAGTCGTGGGGAGGGATTTGCTGCAGGTCTCCATCAAGGCGGCTCGCTGGCTGCGATGTCGAAAGGAGGGCCGGCGATGAGAGTCGGCAAGCTCATCGTCTTGGGAGCTGGGAGAGGACGTCGACAGACGTCGTTTTACCCTCCCTCGATGATCGAGTTACGCCTTCTCGAGTCATCTGGCACCTTTGCTCGCGGTCGTGCCGGGCGATCTCGCTGGAGGCTGCGCGGGAAGTTCTGAAGAACCAGACTTGGCCATCTGTTCGGGAGTCGCTTGCGCATCCTGGGTTGGTTGTGCAAGGCTTTGCGATCGTTCTTGGAGCAAGACGGGATGTTGAGGCGTGTGTGGGACGAGCGAGAAGAGTTGATGGAGGTGCGGGATGTCAACGCTATACTATGAAGACGACCGAGGGAACCCAAGATGGCGAGACAAGGCAAAGTGCCCACCCCTCTCTCGGGACGGAGAAGGCTGACGCACGGCCTTTTTTCCTTCGTTGCCCTGACGTAGACAATATCGAGACCGGTCGACGCAAGTCACCTTGTCTGTCCTTTCGACACGAAGGCGCAGCTCTTCATCAGAGAGGTCATAATGAAGGTGAGTGAAAAGTGTTCCAGTAGCAACCACAGAAGCACGCGGAATGGGAGAGGAACAATTGGCAGAGATGATTCGTATATCCCATATATCGCTTTTTCCGAGCTGGCGAGACATCGTCGAGGAGCCGCGCTCAATCTATGCACCACCATCTGAGCCTTTACGAGAGGAGGAGTAGGAATAGGGAAGGGGGCTGGTCGAGGAATGAGGACAGTTCTCAGGTGCTCATACGCTGACACTAGCCGCTTGCCTATTGTTTCGACTCTATCACAGGACACAGGGAGGAGACGGCGCACACTCGCTGAACAAGCACTCATTGTATACCAGGGAAGCAAGAAGGCAATACCAAGCTCTCACTTCTTGACCCACACTCACCGCGTCTGATCAAGGTTCGAATTCACCAAGGTAAGCAAGCGCTACACTCTCCCCCTTTTCCCCCTTCGTACCATCCCCACTCCCCTTTACCCCCACAAAACAAACACACCCGCCTAGCACTCTGTTAACGACCCATCTCCTCCATGGTCGCCAACGATTTTTAACTCGGTCGGAAGATCAAATCACCCACGTCCAAGTCCTCTTTAGGGGGATGAGGGCGTGTGCCTTCTCAGACACCCGTCTCTTCTTTGTTTTCGCCTTTTGACTCTCCTTTTAGAAGGAGGGGCAGTAGGAGGGAAGCGGTGGAGCGATGGGTCACTTTGTGCGGGCGATATCCCCTTTTGTGTATTGGTCATGAAGGGTGGAGGAGGCGGTTCGATGCAGTGACTATGAAATGATTACGACGTTGCATCTACAACGCAAAGTGCTATTGTGTGATGTGTGGTGCTGTGGTGCTGTGGTGTTCTGTTGTGTGCTCATACTCATGAGCGACCCGAGCAAAGTACAAGTGTCCCTTTCCATGCACTTTTCCCCTTCTTCCTTCTCTGCTCTCACCAGCCCATACCAACATTAACACTCATAGCGTTCAAGTCTACCTGTCTCCCTCCCCCTCCTCCTCCTCCCGCAGTACCGCTTCCGTTCCCACCTGCACCGCTAGTAGGAGGAGGACCCCTCGAGTCAGGCCTGCCAGCGGCACCGCCAGTAGGTGTGCTAGCTCCACTGCGTCGCTGCGATTGGAGCATCTGGCGTACAGAGATGGGGTCGAGGGCGCTTGGCCCAGTGCCAGGGACGGTGGGCGCTCTGCCACTTGCACCTGCAGTGGAGGGGGAGGCGTAGAAGGGTACATACCCAAACTCATCACGCGCCGCCGCCGCTGCTGCGGCTGCCTTGCCCGTGGCAGTAGTCGCAGTGGCAGAGGTAGAGGCGGGACTGGAGGCGAGTGGCAAAAGAGCAGGGTGGCCCACGCCTAGACCAACTACCTTTCTCCAGCTGTCCAGCCGCTGTAGCTCGCTTGTCGCTTGCTCTTCCCCATCAGGCCCTGCCTCCGTGCCTGCTTCTCTCTCGCTCTCAATCTCAGCAGAACCTCCCCCCTCCAGCACCCCCACCACCCTCTTCAACCACTCCAAATCAGCCTCGAGCTGTCTCCAGCCTGCATCGCTGATCCGCTCAATGGGTGGTAGAGCAGGGAGGATGTGCGTGAGAAGGTGGGTGATGAGGTAGGAGAGGAGGCGGGAGATGAAGACTGGGAGGAGGGATTCGGAGTGGACTTGCGATTGAGATTGCTGCTCCTGCTCTGAAGAGGTTGGTTGCATAGCTGTGGCTAGGTCGCTGAGGGCTTCGGAAGAGGCGCCGTCTTCTTGCCCTGTATCTCGCCGCGAAAAGGGAGGTGTGACTTCGGCAGGTGAGGTGCTCGTCTCGCCTGTGAGAGTGAGGGTGTCTCGATTCGGCACAGTAAGACCGCCGCTGAGGTTCAGCTCCTGTTGCGGGGAGATGATCGATGCCTGGGAGCGATGACGAGTTGGCGAGGACGAGTCCCTGCCCTGGTTCGAGGCGGTGGGCGGGAGGAAGGAGGAGCGTCTCCTGTGGTCCTTGCCCGTCGTCGTAGTCGTAGATGTAGATCCATTGGATTCCGACCTACCAGGAGGAAGCATAGAGCTCCTCCTCCTCTCCTTCTTCTCACGCTCCTTCTTTCCAGCTGCTTCCTCCGCAGTAGCGCCCGCCGAGTCATCTTCTGTACCTCGCTCTCTGAGCAAGAGGAGCTCTACACCCCACTTCCAGCCAGCCTCGCCCATCCAACTCTCCAGCTCTCGTACCAGGCCAAGTACACTTTCTCCCACCGTCTGCATCACCTCAGTCGGGCCGAGGGAGAAGCTCGGCATTGCAAGCTGGTACTCGTTTGAGACTTGTCCAGGGAGAGTAGTGGAAGTCCATGTTGGCAACGAGGGGTACTGGGAGAGGAGAGAGAGGACAGGGACCAGCGGAAGGACTAGCATTGAGTGCAGAAGTGGATTGAGGACGGTCGGGAGTGACTGAGATAGACGAGGCAGTAGAGGCAGTGCCTGTGGTCGTACTAGGGTGTTATGCGAGTGCATTGCCGATGCGCCACTGGCAATGATCGAGTGACGAGCAGCCGCCAGGGTCACGATTTGCTCACGTGTAGCCTTCTCTTGCTCAGACGATGCAAGAGAGGACTCCAGCAGGACCAGCATCTCTGCGGACGTGGGTACAGGCCCATTGATACCAGACCCATTGGTTCCTTTCAGCTTTGCCAGCTTGTCCGGCAAGGCCTGGTCCTTGATGCTGACAGCAGCACCTGGCGAGAAGGTGAGGAGTAGGTTTGCGCTCTCCCGAAGGCCCTCCACGAGGAGTGCTTGCAGGTCTTCTGCCTTTTTGAAGACCGTCCTGAGTCCAGCCAGAGCAGTGATGATTCTGCCGAATGCGCTCCATTCCCTGCCCACAGGAGCATGGCTGTTAGGACCTACTAAGCTGGACCATGTCCGTCTGCAACTCTCCTCGACTTCCCTTGCAGAGGCCTCGATGCTCGAGGAGACGACTGCATCGAGTGCGTTGAGCATGCCTCGAGCGCCGAGTCCCCTCGTCAACTCAAGACATCGGGACAATGCGTCCTCGCTCGAGTCTGACAGAGCTGAGAACGACCTTTGGAGCCTGTCTAGAGCTGAAGGTAGCATCTCATCGCCTACTGAACCGTCAGAAGCATGGTTTGAGTGGAGCAGAGAGAGAGCCTTGCTCTCGCGAGACCAGCTGTTCTGGAATAGAGCCAGCTCGGATTCTGCGTACGTCTCCCACATAGGCAGAAGAGATGAGTACAGGACGTCTGCGAATTCGAAGTCTACCGCCTGCGCTTGAGTTTGAGCAATGGAAGGGCTATTTCCATTGGCCTGCCCTTCTGCTCCCACCATCGATATGCGGCGGTTCGACGGCGGAAGTGCTGCCGATGGTCTCCTTGCTGAGGACCGTCTCCTCCCGAGTGGTGTCGCTTGAACGTCCAGATAGCTCTGGCCACCGCTGGCATGTTCAGATGACTTGGCCAAAGGCGGCGAGGTTACAGGGTTCTCCAGCGAAGTCTGCGAGCTCGTCTTCCTCATGCCATGCACATCCGCCTCTGCGACCGGAGTGGCAGTAGCAGCTGCTAGGCGAGCCAGAATCTTCTCCATCTCTCGTCCCCGTTCTCGTATTGTCCGCACTAGTCTGAGAGACTCATTGAGACTCTCGTCTTTGCGGTACTGCTTTACACTAGCTATGCGCTCTCTGAGCGATGGTTTGAGCATGGATAGGGTGGACGTGAGGAACAGGTCTAGGGCTTCGTGTTGATTGGAAGGGTATAGTAACGGCATGTATATCCTCTCGGTAGCGAGAAGGTTGAGGAGGCTTGAGAAGAAGGAAGGGAGGTATACCGAGAGCGCTGTTGCGTTGGGAGATGCGGGAATATTACTTGAGCTGGCAGATTGAGCTTCGAGGAGTTGCGCCTTTGACCAGTGCTCGAGAATGGCCTGTCTTCGGGTCCCTCTCCAGTACTCTCCGAACGCTGCCCCTCTACCGACGCGTGTGAGTACGCTAGCATAAGACTTGATAATCTCCAGAGTCTCGCTAGAGGCCGGTGAGGCAGTACCTATACCACCTGTATCAGATTGCAGGCTCCTGACCTTGGCCACCAGCTTAGGTCCGACAGCAGCTTCGAAGCTGTCCGTCAAACGACCCAGCAGTGCAGCCTTCTCCTTTCCTTCCTTCTCCGAACCAAACACCTCCAGGCTCTCTCTTGCTTCCTTGAGCCGGAGCGATGCCGAATTGAAATTGGCGAGGGAATCTACAGAGGAAGTTGTACTCTGCGAAGCTTCCGTGAGGAGCAGGGAGACGTCTGAAGAGAGGGTTGACCAGGACGATGCGAGGCGAAGTAGGGCTCTGTACGAGCCGAGGTGAGTATGGAGCTTGTGTAGATCGGCTAGGCGAGCTAGCGGATCTTGCTTTGCTGAGTCTTTCTCTGGATCTGTGATCCCATTGCCGACCTCGCCATTGGCTTCTGTGGCTCTGCTTGTCTGGCTGCCCGAGCCGGATGGTAGTGCTTGTCTTCCCAGGTCCGTGAGCTTCGCGTCTAGTCCTTCGACGCTCTTGCCTATCCAGCCCAGCTCTCCCATTATCCTCGGCACATTCCTTTTAGCTGCCGCAATTTCTCGATCCACACTCGCGCTGACATCGCTTCTCGCAAGGGAGATCTTGGTGAGGAGGCCAGAGAGGGAAGTATCTAGTGAGGGCAAGGGAGCAGAAGCGGCCGAGTTCTGCGGAGAGGAGCTGTCGAGCTGGGCATCGAGCCAAGAGGCAGGATCAAAGTCGTCGCTATCGAGGGAGATGAGGAAAGGATCCACCACCTCCTCGTCCTCTTCGTTGATCTCCGCAGTGGAGTGACGGCGTGCTGCCACGGAGCGGATAGTGTGGGAGGATCTGCGCCGCGAGCTGGAGATGGACCCTCGTTGGCCTGCCGCAAGAAAGGACGCAGAGGATGGGCCAGGTGCAGAGGACATGGCAGAGGAAGAAGACGAGGCCATCTTTCCTGCGGCGAGGGGCGATGAAGGAACGATAGACAGTGTACGAGGTGAGGTTACGAGTACTTGGAAGGCAGCACGCGAGGAAGAAGCACAAGCAACAGCCGCTGCCGAGCGGGGTCCAACTCCAGCGTGTGCTTGGGCCAAGTCGCCTCGCCCCCCGCTTTCCGCTGCAATATCAAAGGCAAGCCTCAGCCGTATCCTGGCTACTCCTCGATAGGTCCGTATCACCTCCCTTGTCAAGGATGAGTACATCGTCTCAGCAGCTTGCTCATTCACTGCGGGAGCTTCGGTCGCGGGGAGCGATTCGGTTGCTCCGCGACCTCTACAACCGAGCGCCGGCTAGCGTGGGCACACTCGGTGGTCTGCTGCTCACATGGATCGTACAGAGGACATGGGAAGATGTGAGCAGAGCGACAACGGCTGATGGAGGGCAAGTTGCTCAGAGCTAACAAACCTGACTGTCCTCTTATTCCAGTATCGGCTATGGTACTCCCTCGGCCCAGGCGGCCTCTTTCCCCGCTCCTTTTGGGGCTATATGCTCCACCAGCTCTTCGTCGTTCCCCTCTCCCTACCCAGCCAGATCTGCCGCTCATCAGACCATGACTTCCTGCCACCTGAGCATAGAGGAAGCGAGCCAAGCTACTTGACCTGGATGGCGAACAAGAGGAGGGGAGAGAGACCGGTGACGAAGGGCTGCGCACCTCATCGATGTGTCAATCAGAGGGTGATCAGCAATGGTAGTGAGGGAGGGGAGAAGAGTCGGGCAGTCGAGGTGAGAAAGCTCTTAGTATCAAAGATGTTTGTTCCGTAGGCTGACGTTGTGGCCTCCTCTTCTCCACAGGCAATCACCTCTCACCTCACGCAAATCCAAGTCACTCATCCAACTCTCCTCTCCCTCGGCCCTTCCATCCTCGAGAATCACTCCTCCCCCGCCCTCTTCCATACTCCTTCCGCCATCGCCCTCGGCCCCGGAGCTCCTTCTCCCCTAGCAACCTTCTACACTTCTCTTCTCCCCCTCCGGGAGTTCGCCCACTACCACAATGACTCCGAGGCGGACGGCTCGCTGCACCTGATCCTCAGTCCGGCAGATGCGAGAATCGTGATTCAGTACGGGTGGGGAGAGCTCCACCCACTCGCGGGCTTTGGACTGAGTGGGTACTGGTTCCCCTTCCTTTCTCCAGGATGGAGATTACTCAACTACCCCCTCAGGCTCCTGCAGGTGGGTTTGGGGCTGAGAGCAGCGGGAAAGGGAGGAGAAGAGAGGACGCGCTGGGGACGCTATCCACCTGTGCTTAGTCGTAATGTGGATGTGGAGAGCACCAGGAGATCCAAAGGTGGTGGCAGGGCAACGACCAAGAGACGGGCAATGAGACTACCGCCGACCTACATGCTGATCTACCCGCCCACAATGCGAGGACGCAGCAAGCAGGAGGGAGAGGCAGGTACGAGTGAGACAAGCGAGGAGGAAGAAGACGAGGTGGAGACGGTCAAGAGGATCATCGACGCCAGCGCCAGCTTTGTCCTCGGCTTCAACGTCCAGAGACATCGGCGGCCAGAGGGGGCATCGGAGACTTGGTAAGGGCAATCCTACGGGACTCCTGTATTCACTCGTGTATAATGGACGATACCGCAGAGACCACTTCGCTTGTGTGCTTCGCGCCCTTGTCTTCGCAGCGAGCTACCTCGTCGTCAGTTCCACGGCAACCATCATAGATAGAAGGACACACATGGGACAGGAACGGTTGAGTAGTATTCCGCCTTATGCCCAGTCACTTGTAAACAATGGATAGGTCACACAACAGTAGTAGACGGGATAAGCGGTGTTAGATTTTCTGAGCCACGACCCAATCTTGATAGACAGAGACTGCTCTGAATCAACAACAATATGGACTCCCATCCAATCCTCCTTATCGAATTGATGATCTCATCGCGTCTACTTCTTCCTGTTCTGCTGCATGGCCAGGATCTGAACCATGCGCACGAAGATATTGATGACGTCGAGCTCGAGAGAGATGGACTCCCTGAGTGGGTCTGCACGCATGGCACTGGTGAGGGGGGAAAGCGGCCAGAGGTGGCGATGGCGACAGGGTCAGTAACGTTGAGCTGGAAGTGGGGTCCGCAGAGTAACAGAGTGGCGTACTCACCCTGCCTGAACAGCGCGTGCGCGAGCGAGGATCTTCTGGGTATCATAGAGGACGAAGCCTGAGAAGATGGCCAAGCCTCCGTAGAGAGATATGGCCTCCGTGGCGACCAGCGTGCGGAATGCTGTTGCTGGTAGCACCATGGGGGCGAGCGAGCTAAGGGCTACGACGGTGACACCAGCGAGGAGTGGTCCTCCCATCCAGAGGTACTGCCCGTCCTTTGCTGTAGCTCCGACGTAGCAGATGGATCCGACGACACCTGCCGTGTAGAGTCCGGCGCGAGCGAGGAGAGCAGGGCTAAAGAAGAGCAGTGGCGAGAGGACGGCGGCCTGCGATGCATTGAAGAGAGCCCAGCAGGCGTACTTTGCAGGCGAGCCAGGCTCGAGGGTCTGCGCTCCAATCATACCTCCGATGGAAGCGGCTAGACCGCCACCAAGCACCAGCCAGGGGTTGGTGGCCATGAGGCGCGAGGAGAAGCCGACTCGATGGAGCGCTACGGCTGCTCCTGCTGTCATCGCGAGACCCCCGGCGAGGTACTGGAAAGTGGAGTTGAGGTAGTTGCGAGAGAAGGGGTCCATGGCTCCCTCACGAGTCTCCCTGTTCAAGAAGGCATTGGCAGCAAAGGCTGTACCGCCGATGATTCCAACGCTGGTGAGCAGCCTCTGCCAGCCACCGGGAGCGCTGAATGACCTCGGTGCATCTCCAGAGGGGGCCTCGTGAGGCGCAGAGAGGGAGAAGGAAGACTGAGAAGGTGTGGAGCTGTTGACCTGGCTCGAGCCGGAGTTGGGCTTGAATGGATTTGTCCTTGCTCCTCGAGTCTGGTTGAATAGGGGGTTGGGACGAATGATTGTCGAAGGTGGCAACCTGGGCTTGAAGGCCTGCAGAGGTGGCAGGCTAGCCGGTGTGCGTACTGAGCGGCTTAGTGCCGCGATTGATGGTCTGAGTGCCATTGTGAGCGAGATGGTGAGGTTTGGGGTGGCGATGGTAGGTGGGTTAGGTAGGATGAGTAGCCGCTGAGTGCAATGTACCCGACCGTGCCCTTGATCACTCGCAGCTTCGGTGAGCCAGGCTGAGATGACGACTCGGCTCGGCTCCCGGCGTGCGGACGGACGGATGGGTGGAGTGAATGAGACTCCGCTCCAGAGGCGTAGCCTTGCGCGCGGTGTGCCCAGCCCTGGCTGGCTCTGGCTGCTGCCTGCCCGCCTGCCCGCCTGTGGCCCCGCTCTGCGGTCTTTTGTTCCGAGGCTGATTTCTTCTCGCCTCGCCGCTACCCACTGCTACCTCGCATCACCATCTCCCTCTCTCGCAAGCATACCCACTCGCATTCATACATAATCACAATGGCCGCAGCTGCACCTACCCTCCACTCTCAGGACCTTCAGTGGCTCCTCGTCCGAAAGACCAACTCTTACATCGTCAAGCAGAAGGGACTTGGCAAGGTCTTCTCTCGTGAGCCCTCCAACTTGGCCCAGATCCACAGCTACACTGTGAGTTGCCAAATGATCAGCTAATTGGAGGACAGAGATTGAGGGCGGACAACGGAAACATGAAACGATGAGATGGAAATGCGTACGGCAAGGCAAAGAGGGGGAGTCGTGACCCACGTGTTGCGATCTCCAGAGCTGCAGTAGCGTAGCTTCTCCAGAGCAGAAGGACCCAAGTACCGTCAAGGTTTACGACTCGAGGGTCGACAAAATCTTAGTCTACTCAGAGAGGGAAGAGATTGGAGCGACTGCCGAGGTATGGTGTGGGCCTGTAGCAGTCAGCAGTCAGCAGGTTCAGCGAGATGAGAATGCCAAAGGGATGTGTGGGATCGTTGGAGGTGCTCGGGGCAGGGTTGAAATGGCTGTCTACCTGCTTTGACAAGGATCAAATTACTCACAGCTCGTTCCACGCGTCATTCCCTCTCCCTCCAGTACTCTGGCCTGGTCAACAACAAGGCTGTCGGCATTGAGCCCGCCTCTTCGGGCAAGGGCATCGTCATCTCCACCAAGAAGTCGAAGTCGCCTTCCAACAAGATTGCCGGCACCTGGAACACCCAGACCATCAAGAAGGGTGGTTCTCGCCGATACGCTGGTGCCGTCGCCAACGTCGTTGGCAAGAAGGGCTACCGTGCTGACCTCCTCAAGGTGAGTTGAGGGAGATTCAGCAACGACAGGTGGATTGGCTGTAAAGTGATTGAGAGATCAACAGGTAGAGGATGGGCAAGCAATACGGTACGCTGGATCAAGCTGGCAGTACGCTGCTTGCTCGCCCGTATCAACCCCATCAATGGCACTGCGCTAGAACCTCCCGGAATGGACTCAACACCCTATGATGGGCCGGGCGTAATAGCGGTGCCAGAGTCATCATTCCGTCGTCTCTTTGGAGAAGGCAGATGTACCCAGCCATTGACGTCGGTAGCCGTTCTCGCAAGAGGCGGTCTGACAGCAGCGAGTAAAGCACCCTCAGAGGCTGCTCGCTCGTCGACGTCTGGGTGACATTCAATCGCAATGAGGGGAGGGGTTCATTTGGAGGCTGCTTCGGCCTAAGCTGGTACACTTGCTAGTGGATCGTCACTACTGACACTTGCCAAATCCTTCTCTGTCGCCTTCTCTGTCGCCTCCTAGCCCGCTGTTGCCCGTGCTTCGATCATCTCGCGCAGCCAGCGCCCACGCAAGGCCGCTCTGCCCCAGAAGCCCCGTGGCAAGAAGGCTGCTGGTGTGACTGCTGCTCCCGCCGCTACCGAGGAGGCTTAAAGCGGCTCCTCTGTCCCACTCCTTTTGCCCTTTGCCTAGGATGAGGATGGACTAGATTACACCATCTGTCCTTCCTTTGGGCCCCTTGTGCCTCTCCGTGTCACTTGTATCATTTTCCTTGCCATCGATTGCACCATTTCAATCAACCCTGTGATGTAAAGTGAGAGACTACTTTAGCTATTTGTGGTGACTGAGGGTTCTTGATTGTATGTGCCTGCCCGCTGCCGGGCCAAGTTGCGCGGCTTGGCAGGCGATGGGTTGGTCTGGGCGGGGCGAGGCGAGGCCAAGGCTCCAAGTGCCGGCCGTGGAGATTTGGTGCAGCGCTCGATCCAACAGACAAGAAACAGGCGGGCAGCAACACTTTGTCCATTGTCCTCGACCCTCTCTCCAACGCACTCGCTCCCTTGCTTGCCACCAATCGACCACTGCAGCTGCTCAAAGAAGGTCGAGCTCGTTACCAGCTCGCTACTCAGCTCGCTATTCAAGCCTGTTCCCATCCTTTCCCCCCCCAACCTCCGCCCTCTCTGCGAATGCAGCGGTAGCCACACGCCACTTTACGCAACACGCTCGTCTGCACCGCCTGGCCATACCTTGGCCGCAGAGCGTAAGCGTCAGTAGGGGTAGCTCATCCGACACGCTCTCAAGCGTGCTCAACGGTCAGCAGAAGGCTACCGAGGTCAGCATATAGCGCATCCGAATAGCCACAGCCTCCACAGCTGCTCGTCAGGGATAAATAGCTCCTCGGGCCGGCATAGCATAGGAGGTATCACACAGTCTCCTAGCTGAGCCGCGTTCAATCTGGACATTGTCTGTCAGCAAGACACTTGGACATCTGAAGAGCGCAGAATGACATCCTCGGACGCCTCGTCGGGCTCTGCGGTGAGAGAAGCTTCCAGTCCTAAGAGCGGGCTGCCCTCTCCCCCTTCGGCTGCAACCCTAGCTACAGCAGCCAGTGCCACATCTCCACGGCCCCTCAAGCCAGCTGCTCGCAGGGCCTCCGTCGATGCTCCGTATCATCAGGGCAGTAGAAGTGGACCTACGCCTTTAGTGCTCTCAGGAACCCCGTCGTCGCACAGCTTCCTTCAGGCAGCATCCTCTTCATCCCTGAATCCTCCAAGCTCCTCGAGCTCCTCACCTACTCCCTCGGCCGGGCTTCCCAATCTACCCCTCGCTTCATCTCTACTTCCTTGGCATCATCATCAGCATCAGAGCAAGTACGGCGCACCCCCGTCTTCCTCGCCGGCGTCACTGGCGTCTTCACCCTTCGAGGTGGCGCAGCAGCAAGGAGGGGCCCTGCCAGGAGGATCAGCAGCCCTGTACCCGGGAAGAGCGGCCTCATTGCCTGGCAGTCTGCATCATCACCAGAGCCAGAGTGGCGGCAGACATCAGCAGGTGCCCTCTCATCAGCACCAGCAATCGTTGCGGTCACCTCACTCGAGTGTCTATAGCGGTGGTGGTGGAGGCAGCAGCGCCAGCAGCGCCGCAGGTGGCGCTTCCCTTTCGATGGGAGCAGGCTACAGTCCTCAGACTCAACAGGCTCTGCATTCGCCACTGATGAGAGCAAATCCTCAGGTTCGGATGGCCAATGGGGCAAATGGTACGCTGCCAGCTGGGTACTACAACCTCTCTGGGATCACTTCCGCTCATCACCATGGGCAGTCCTCCATGTCGTACGAACGATATACCGCGGAGCTAACGAATTGCATCATAGCGTTCCTGAGTCCGATACTGCCTACAGAGGAGGAGTACAGGATCAAGGAGGCAACAAGGCGGCAGCTCGAGCGCTTGGCGGCCAAAGTCAGTCCAGGTGCAAAGCTACTCGCCTTTGGTAGTATGGCGAACGGGTTCGCCCTCCGTAATTCTGGTGAGTGTTGCGGATGATGGTAGTAGGGAGAGGCTGCGCGCTGACTCTACTGTGGCCCCCTGCTCGATAGACATGGATCTATGCTGTCTCATCAATCGCTCAGGAGATCAGGAGGTGCATCCGTCTGCCTCTGAGCTGGTCGAAATGCTGTCCAAGGTGATACGAGAAGAGACGGACTTTAACGTTCTCGCCTTGCCCAAAGCTCGTATACCCATCATAAAGATTTCGAGAGGCTCGACCTCTGAGCTACCATACGAGATATCGTGTGATATAGGATTCGAAAATCGGCTCGCGCTTGAGAATACTCGCCTGCTGCTGAGCTATGCGATGGTCGATCCTCCTCGCCTCAGAACCCTCGTACTCTTCCTCAAGGTGTGGACCAAGCGGAGGAAGCTCAATTCCCCATACACCGGAACGCTGTCCTCTTACGGGTATACGCTTCTGGTGCTATTCTACCTCACTCATGTCAAGCGACCTGCTGTTTTGCCTAATCTCCAGCGCATTCCGCCTACTCGGCCCCTCGCTCCAGAAGAGGTAGAGCTGAACGGTCACAACATCTACTTCTATGATGATATGGCCACCTTGAGGAAAGATTGGCAGTCGCAAAATACCGAGAATGTCGCAGAGCTCCTAATCGACTTCTTCAGGTACTTTGCCAAGGAACATCCGTATTCACGTGAGGTGATCAGTCTCAAGACTGAGACTGGGATGTTCGGCAAGGATGCCATCATGTGGAATGCTGAAGTGAGTAGAGCGGGTGAAACGGTAGAGTCCTTGCATCCGTATACTGACTGTCCCCACTCTCAACCCGACCACAGCTTTGCATTGAGGACCCATTCCAGCACGGCTACAATGTCTCGAGGACTGTTACCAAGGACGGTCTCTACACCATACGGGGCGAGTTCATACGAGCCACTCGGATATTGCAGAACCGCAACCAGAGGGTCTCTGCACAGCTTGCCGAGCTATGTGAAGAGAGGGAGGACTTTGTCGCACGAGCGCCCGATACACCTCCGCTTCGTCATAGGTATCAGTCTGCGAATGCGCCTTTCAACCCCCATCACCATACGTACGATTCCCACTCGCAACAACGCAGGGGCAACACTGTCGGATCCAGTGGCGTGGGCGGCTCCTTTGCCTTTGAGGAGATGGCACGCGGACTGGGTCGTCAGAGAGGTCAGATGGCCTATCCGACTACCGCGATGCTGGCGCCTCTTTCTCAGAGCGGCGGTCTGAGCCCTCTGCCGCATACATCAGGACTCAGGGTGATGCGAGACGCATCGACTCCGGCCTCCAGGTCTACTCCTCGTGCTGGTGCGAGTGTACCTCCATCCACTCGAAGCGACGATGGCAACGCCAGCGGCCCACCCTATGAGGAGGGATCTCGAGTGGCTCACGCCTCTGCTCGAACTTCGCCTACTTTTGCTTCGGCTGTCCCAGCTGGCGGACAAGGCAACAACGCTCTTGGAGAAGCTTGGGCTTTCGGCTCAGAGATTGTCTTTGGGAGCGAGAAGTTCCGTTTGCATCCTCATCCTCGTCTGGCAAGCGTGGCTGGTGGTAGTACAGCTGCTCAAAACGGATCAGCGAGGAGCGACACCTCAGCAAACCCTCAGTCGGCGACAATGACTGCAACAGGGTCCTCGTCATCGCAGCCGCCGTATCATGTGGACCTTCCTGCTACATCACTGGCGGCAGCAGCAGCTGCTACCGTTGGAAACCGCGCCACCAGGTCTTTCTCGGACGGACAAAATCGATCCCAGTCACTCGGTCGACCGTACCGAGCCAAAGGCTCTACCCTGGGCGACATCGACGGGACTCTTGCCAGCCTGCACCTCGCAGTAGACGAAGGAACCCCTATGGGCGACTCGGGCGAGAGCAGCGGTCGAATGTCTCCTACGGCCAGCTCTGATGCTCCCAGCCACCTCGAAGCAGACGGAGGGGAGTCCTTTGCCCCCATGCAGGAGTATACGGCTGCCTGGGCCGAGAAGCAGCTAAGACAGCAACATGCATCAGCAGGGGAGCTGGACAAACAGGACTCCGTCTCTGCCTTGGGCTCGCTTTCAACGCCTGTGCTGAATGGAGAGTCGTTTGAAGAGCCGGTGAGCGGTCAGCACACTAGCGCCGAGATGGTCATTGGATCACCCTTGTCGGCCAAAGGCCACGTACATGGACCCGGACTTGGACAGAGTGCCAGTCCACTGGTCAATGGTCGCGCAGCAGCTTACGCTGGCGGTATGAACAACGCTCCTGCGGACGATGCGGGGAGCGATCTCAGCGAGGGCGTACTGGATGAGCTGAGCAGAGTCTCGGAGATGGACCCGAGGGAGCTGGAGGGCTGAAGGTGCACCTGATGCGGCAGTGGGTAATGGCTGAAAGTTGAGAGCAGAAGACCTGAAGCACTCGGATGCGGTGTGTCGCTTTCTCTGCGTTGTCGTTGCGCCCATCTCGTCCATCCAACCATCAGCATCCCTTCACATTTCTTCCAGTCTTACTATCATTCTGTCCTCATTCATCAATCAATCATCCATCCATCCATCCATCCATCCTCAATGCACAGCCCTCCCCGATACTCTTCACGCAGTGCAATCCTCTGAGATGTGACCTCCTTCTCAGAGCCCAGCGGACGATCCTAAATTGGTTGTACGCTGATAGGTTTTTGATTGGGTGAAATAGAAGTACAGTGTTTGCATCGAGTCGCAGGATTAGGCAAGTGAGGAAGAGAGGGACAGGGGAGAAAGTTCTCCTACTCTTCCCGGAGGAGCTTCTTCAGCTCGTCTCGTTGAGCGGTGGGTACCTGAGATAGAGGCAAGCAGGATAAGTCAGCTCGACTTGTCCAGCAGAACGTTTCCAAAACAGGGCCCCTCGCTGGCTTCCTTTCCGAAGACTCACCTTCCAGTACAACTCCCTCTTGTTCACATGCTTCACCACACGCAAATTGCTCGGCCAACTACTAGCTCCCGAAGTCGCACCTGCACTCGAGATACTCTCGGCAGCAGCTGCTGCTCTGGCCTTTTGTTCCTTCAGGAGGAGCTGCTCAGCAATCGTCTGCTGTGGTCTCCTTTGCGCTTGCGCTGGCGCCGACGTTTGCGTTCGTGTTTGCGCAGGAGATGCAGTCTCAGAGGAAAGAGATGATGAGGATGCGGTAGACGGCCTGGGGCTGGCGTTGCTAGCGGTTGGCTTGGCTGCTCTCCTGGGTCTTTGCGAGGCGGGAAGACGGACAGAGTGCACGTCTAGCTGAGCTGAGGGGATGGTCCTGATGCGCAGGAGGGATGAGGTAGAAGGACGCATATTTGCTTGCAGATGTATGTTACGAGCGCAAAGAGGAAGTGTTGTTGTTGAGGAGAGCCCAGTATGGTAGCCAATTAAGTCTCTCGCTTGCGAGCGCTGAGATGAGAAGCTTCCGGCGGGAGTGGACGCTCCAGACGGCTTCGACTCAAAATCCCACCAGCCACCGCGCGACGACTGGACTGGCCTCAGGCACGGGCGCAAGCGAGTGTTCGAGTCTGGATGTCGTCGCGCATGAATCTCCCAGATGCTATTCGTCTACTCACCATGCTCACCTCGCTCGCAGCCTGACTGCCTGCTCTGAAAGTCTCCTGCTAATTGCAGACTTACTGCTTGCTACTCTTGCAATCGGCTCGCTTTTCCTTTCAAAACTTCCACCCCTCCCTCGCTCGATGCTGGCGCAGCGAGTCCTCTAGCCGGGCGAGACTAGCTTCCGCTTCGTATGCGCCCGAGCCAGCCACGTTAATCCCCCCAACCATCGAGCCCTTGCTACCCCGGACGCTGCCGTTATAGGCTGTCGCTGCGATGGACGAAATCTCAGCATATCTCATCGAGGAGATTGCCATGGACGGCGAGTCTGGTGAGTGAGAAAGGCGGAACCTAAATGCTCCTGGATGGTACGACGCCGGCAGGACTCGAACGCCGGACGTACGCGCTTTCGTACGCGAGCTGTATCGCATACAAGCAGCCTCTCGGCTAGTGTTACAGTGCTGGGTGAATACTGACATTGCTGCTCGCTCTCACGTCGTCTCGACTTTCTCTACTGACAGGCACGGACAAGAAGCGCTTTGCCCATTTCATACGGAAGTTTCATCAGGAGCGTCATACGGAGCGACCGGACGAGCCAATGAATACGGTAGACGACCTGTACGTGAACAGTGTCTGGAAAGTCTTCTCCAAGCAACCCCGCATCAACATCGGTCGAAGGGTGCCTGCAGCTAGTGGATCCGGTAGCGCGGGTCTATCGAAGCAGGGTAAAGGTATCAAGAAGCTCAAATCCGACTTTGCGTCTTTCGTAGACAAGGTTGAGATACTTTCGAAAGACCGACCGGAGACATTTCAGGACCTATACAGTGAGGAATATGGCGACGAGGTCAGGATCGTTGTCGATGAAGCGCTCGCTCGCTTGAAAATTACCGGTTCCACGAATGATAAATTGGTCACTGGAGCGACCTACGCTACCTTGCAGATTGCGGCTCGCGCGCGGGAAGAAGCAGTGGCCTCTACTGAGATTGGCCGACTGACAGGTTTCGATGCCAAGACAGTCTTCTCCTTCCTCAAGAAGCTGATCGAGCTAGAGCTGGTGGTCAAATTCAAAGTCAACGAGAATCGGACCTCTACCAACTATGTGCTCCACCGTCGCTATTGGAATAAGAGCCCGCGCTGGCTTGCTATTGCTGAAGCCGAGGCAGAAGCCTCAGCCGTCGCTGCCGGGAACGAAGCTGTTACAAGAGAGGGCAGCATGGCTCCGGATGAGGGAGAAGACGGAGGGAATATAACAGCTAGGGAGGCGTCCCCCGTGGACGAGCCGACGCAGATGCCTTTTCGGGACAACGAACTCGACAGCGACTCTGATGATGGCGCGGAGGCGGATTCAGGTGACGAGAGCAGGGGTGTCTTGCCCAGCTCTGAGCTGCAGGGCATGCTGTCATATCCCCGCATGACTCCTTCGCGAGCACTCACGGTGGCAAGCAGCCCAGCCCTCCTCCGTGGGCGGCTACTGAAGCTGATGGACAAGTGCAAGTCTCACGTAGTCGCTAGGCCTAGACTGTGGGAGCGTCTGGGCTTCGAGCACGGCACGAGAAGGGAGCGCAAAGTCTTCAATGAGGTCGTTCGGCGACTAATCAATCTCCGCGACATAGAGTACGTCTTTGTGGATATCGAAGGACGCAAGCCACTTGCGTGTCTCCGACTTACTGAGAAAGGTCTAGAGGAAGCCCGGAATGAAGGCGCAGCGGCTCGAGATGCCGCCACAAAGGCGAAAGAGATGCACCTTGAGGAGCAACTCAGAAAGGCAGACTTTGCCTATCGAGCTCATGTCACGTTCGAGCGTCAGATCGTCGATGTCATCAACTCTTCGGGAGCTGCAGGTGCCACCGTCACTGACATTGCTAATCGCCTCAGCTTCTCGGACAATACCAGGCGTCACATAGACGAGTATCTGCGCAAAACAGATGAAGGCGGACCCGACGTCAATGCACAGGACTTGTTCATTGAAGGAGCGAAGGAGATGTTTGGTCGCGAACGACGCATTCGCTACTGGACCAGACCCGGCATCATCCAGCATTATCGGGGGCAGGCGGAGCAGACAGTCATTCTGCAAGAGCAGATTGAAGCTTTTCAGGATGTCAATCTGGATAAGCTGACAAGCTTCAATACCCCCAACGACGAGCGGACCTACAGCAATGCTGCAGAGCTCTTTGCAGAGCTCTCTCAGCCGCTCGAGGAGCGTGCCACTCCGAGCGGACCTGCAGGGAAGGGTGACTCAGGCGCGACCCCGAAACCTGCCAAGGTACGCAAAACGCCAGTGAAGGATCCCAATAAGCAGAGGAATCCAATCGATCCTGTCACAGGGAAGGTGCGCAAGGGTAGGCCTCGCAAGATCGACCAAGCAGCCAAGCGGGGTGCTGCTGAGGAAGGTGAAGGCGCTCCGCCCAAGAAGAAGCCCAAGGCTGGCAAAAGCGCTGCAGCAGATCCAACCCCTGTGTCTTCGGAACAGCTGCCAGGTCCCTCTACTTCTACGACTTCCGTGACACAGCCAGCAGAAGCGGACGAAGCGCAACGCAACGATGTAGCTCCTGCATCTGACGAGATTCAGCATCTTGCGTCTACTTCAGCTATCACTGATGACTCTGCTATTCAGCTATCGTCAGCCGTCAACGAGGATCATGCATCAGCTGCTCCAGATTTTGGAGACCCTGAGCCTGTAGTCGACTCGGCCAACAGTGTCAAGATGGAGGACTTGAGTGACTCAGCGGACCAGAAGAGCACACCTGCCTCTCGGCGAGCCGCACGGCGTCGCAATCCCCCGGCAAAGTCCCGTCTCAATCTCTCCGCAGAAAGACGTTCACGACTACTGCTAGACTTGCTGGATGCCAATGGGGGTATCATCGACGAGATGGATTTCAATGCGAAGTTCGAAATGTTTGTCAATGAGAGGGAAGGCGAGAATGCTGATGCGTACCTGAACGACGTAGGTGACCTGCGAGAGATCAAGACACGACGCAGGGTGTACGATGCTCTGACCTCGCGGGGATCTGTAGGTGTCAAGACAACGATGGCTCCCATGAAGAGAGGCGGAGGGTACGCCCAGCGCAAGATCATCTACAAAACTGATCTTCCAGCCGAGGTCGTTGACGAGTTCCTGCAGGAGATTGCCGCCGGCAGGAGGACGCGACAGCCCAACCAGTACGTCGCACGAGCAGAGACATCACGCAAGATTGCCCTTGGCGACATGGACGCCGCTCAGGCTGAAGCACTGGCGGCAGACCACTTGCTTGCTACCAAGCCTCTGCACGAGCTCCTCGAGGATTCCAGCACCCGCGCAATGTTCTCCCAGTCCAGAGTTATTGTCTCACAGCAGTATGGCTTAATTGTGGGATCGATTGGAAAGCTCAGCTACCTTCACAAGTATCTCATGAGAGCTCTGGAGCTCGAGACCGAGGAACAGCAAGGTGGCATCGGTGTAACGTCTAGGAAGTATGGAGTCATTGACATCGACGCAATGATGAACCACGCCCCGCTGGAGGTCTTCACTAAGCTCAAGGCCCCTCAAGCTGACTCTCCGGACTTGACGACCGCCCTCGCTGACCCTCTCTTGCGGTCAAAGCCCGTCTGCGAGCAGAGTGAGGCCGTGCAAAGCAGCTTGGAGGTGAGCATCGAAGGCAGTAATCGCAGCTACTTCGAGCAGCTCGTTGCATCCCTCTATCTACTGGGGCTGGCCACGCCAGTGGAGGACTTTCGACCTGAAGCGGACGGCATTCCGCTTGTCGCTGCTGCAGGACTGCGGGATCATCCTTCTTTGTACCGCTTCAAATTGGACGAACGACTCATGGTCGCCCTTCGCAAAGAAGCGGACCCAGGTCCTGCTGAAATGCGTTCGCTTGCCGACGCGAATACCTTTTGGCATAATCTCTTCCGGCAGAAAGATGTCTGCTGTCGTGAGATGTCACATACCTTGCGCCACTATCACCAGCACACAAGTCTTCCCGAATGGGTCAAGGCTCCGTTGAGTCTTTTGACATATCGCCTCGGAAAATCTTCAAGCTGGAACACTGGCTATCAATTGTCGAAGAGACAGTCGAACTTTATTCTGCGCTTCATTGACTATCCCGAAGGAGCACTACGCGGCAGCATCCTCGATGACCCGGGGATGCTGGAGCAATTGTCATCCATCACGATGGCACCGACGTGGGTCATAGAGCAGCGGATACGCAAGGCTCTCGGTCCGGCGCCTAAGAAGAGTAGTGTGAAACATTCAAAGCCCTCGAGCAAACGGGCCAGGCCTTCCAAGCAGAAGGAAGATGACTCGTCTGACAGTGCTCCTGAGGACACTTCAGCAGCCATCCACGCGTACGGCGGGAGTGAAGCAGAGCGGCGAGCTGCTCAATTGCGTAGGGCTCGGGCTATCGAATGGATCAAGAACTTTGAAGAGATGTGTCAGACCCATAATATCGACGGCATGCGTCATATGATGCTCGAGGAAGCCACCCGTCAGCTCAAAGGCCAATTCCTGGATACTGGCGATGCTTTCTTGCTCCAGATGCTATCTGCGATGGTTGAAGAGGCCCTTCGTCCTCCCCCAGCAGATGACAGCATTGACGCTGCAGGCGAAGGAGCCTCCGTGCAGAACGACAGACCAGGACGAGACCGCCAATCAAGTCCAGAAGGTGTGCAGAATCCCGACTTGTTGGGCAGGAAAAGGCGGAACAAGATCGCCTGGACCAGAGAAAGTGACGAGCTCTTGAGAGATGCCGGAATGATCTTGACTGTCCGAGACGCATTCCGCAACAATCGCTCCAATTGGGCAGTGGCCAAGGCCTTGTTTCCCGACAAGTCGCCTATTCAGATCAGGAAGCGATTTGTCGAAGTACTCTCTCAAGCTGTTGGAGATGCGGCTTACCTGACTCAGCTTGGCGTCGAATGGCAGAAGCTCTGGGAACTTTACCGCGGGACGTCGATCCTTCCTGACCGTGATCCTCGCAAGGCCGATGGGTTCGACCTTCGCGTCCATGTCGACTTTCTCAGGCAACACATCGACAAGGAGGAGGTGCAGCGGACTGTCGAGCTTGCCGCCACCACAGCGAATCTCACGCTCGCACTGGAGGACTTCGGAGGACAGTGGATCCTCAAAGAGACACGAGCACTCCCACCAGCTGCGGTGCACAATCCTGATCAGCAAATCACGCAAGTCAATCGAACGGAAGCACTGGTCTCCCATACGTTCACCGTTCCTAACGGCACACCCGAAGGTGGTGCTGATGAAGACGCGGACATGGTAGACGAAGACCTGATGTTTGAGCGTCAGCTCTGTGCTGTCAAGATGTCGATCGACACTCCTTCTCACTTATGGAACGAAGCCGCCGCCGTCGACTTTGTCATGGGCGTAGGCGAACGTCAGATAGGCGAGGCGTGCAAAGCGATGCTCGACGAGAGATGTATTCGACTCGCTAGCTCAGAGGGTCGTCGGCTCCCCGGTCGCAACTTTACATACACAGACGACTTCGTCAAGCGTAGACAGAATTTGCCTGTACCTGTTGCGGACCTTGCTAGCCAATCTATCGCGGCTCAAAGGTCTCTCACTCAGCAGCTGGAAGATGAAGATGAGGTTGAGCTGCTGATGGATGACGAGGTCGGGAATACCGTTGCCACCGTGCAGCTGCTACACAATGGCACCGTCGAGTCTCTCATCGATCTCGAGCAGCTTCAGCTGCTTAAGAACGAGACCAAGTTCAACTGTAAGGCTCTCATCGACCAGGATGTCGAGGTCGGTATCAAGCTCATCAAGATTGCCGGCGGCGACACTAACGGGCGCTCCGAGACGACTGATCTGACCAAGTCACTTGCTCTTGAGGCACCACCCCGTCCAGAGCGATTGAGTCCAGCTGATTGGTTGCCTTACTCCGAGACCATGCCTCGCCTCAGGGATGCCGCTTTCGAGAGCGTTGCCAAAGGCGCACGAGGCAAGCGCGACAGCGCAACCGCAGATAGCATCCAGCAGTTCAAGGTCGCCCTCGACTCAGCTGGTAAGGTCGGCATCCCCCTCAGCCAGGTGCAGATTGACGGTAGCATCCTCGGAAAGCTCCTTCAGCAGTCTTCTCGGACTTCACCAATGGCTTTCCTCGCAGGTTACGATTGTCCTCGCATCATCTCGGCCTTGTATCTCAAGGATTGGGCTGTAAAGCTGGCGTTGAAGGACACGTGGGTGATGCCACGATGCTGGGTAGCAATGGAGGGGCAATTCATCGAGCAGAGATGGCGTGAAGGGGTCGAACAGATCATTGGGCACCTTTTCGTATATTGCGGAGCTACTAGGGTAAGTAATGCTTGTTGTGGCTCTAGGATACTCTTCTACATTCGAGCAGACGCTGACTAGTTCATTCCCTTCCCACAGGCCCGACTCTGCGAGCTCCTCTCACCACAGTGGGACCGACTCGAAGTCTGCGATTTGATCAGAGGCGCCTGCTCTACAGGCGTAGTCGAGCAGCGCTTCATTTGCCTCTCGTCTGGTGAGACGTTTACAGGTCTCGATGCCGAGTATCGTGCCAAGACGGATGAGGAGATCTTTGTGGCGCCTACGAGGGCGCGGGAGGGCAGGTCGGGCAGACCTTGGTATGGGTTTGTGATGGAGGAGAGCTTTGAGTGATGATAAAGAGAGAATGTGCAGAGCCAGTGGAAGTAAGTCATGCTTGTCGGGGAGTCATGCCTGTAGATACCCGGGATGTCACCTCGTTGTGACAGATTCAGATTCCCATCATGAACCCACGTTTCCTGAGCTCTGATTTGATTGGTGATACAGTAGTGGTATTGCTGTAGGCTGGCAACGCCTGCAAAGGGAACTCTATAAGTCAAGGGGCAAACCGGTCGAGCATTCCTCGTATCTCCTCTGTCCTCCCCCACTTTGCCCTGCTCATCTACTTGGTCTCAATCCCCCACCTCCCCACACTTTCCATGTCCAGTCTATCCTCCTTGAGAAGTCCCTCCAGCATCTCCCACCCATCCTTTCCTCCACCCCACTTAAGGACCTGATTCTTGTACAATTCTCCATTCTCCCTCTTTAGCGGATCTCCTTGGAAGACTTTAGACCAGACCCGAGAGGCGATGGCTCGATCAAAGAGGTACGAGTAATACGTCGCACCGTATCCAAACAGATGGGTGAATTGACCCTGCCATGTTAGGCCGGGAATATCGGTCGGGACCAGCCCATAGCGCCTGTGTAGGTTGGTGAGCTCGTGAGTGGAGTCGAAACCTGGAGCTGTGGCGAGCTCAGAGTGGTACGACTGGTCCAGGAGGGCGAGGAGGATCTGATTGTGCGTATCCAGTGAGTCTAGTGCTTTGGCTTGTTGCAGGTGATTGGAGAGATGTGAGTAGGGAAGCTCGGCGCCTGTGGCGTGGTGCCGGGCGATGAGGGAGATGACGGAAGAGGAGGAGATGAAGTGTTCCATTAGGATGGAAGGAAGTTCGACAAAGTCTGTTGCGCAGCGGGTGCCTGAGACGTTGTGGAACTCAGTGCGGCCAATCATAGCTGGCAGAGTGGAGAGAGGAAATGGGTTAGTCCGGGAGGTATACACAATACTCTCAGGGGCACTCACAGTGTATGGCATGACCCATCTCATGAAACAGCGTCTCTACTTCGGTCCAGCCGAGCAGACTGGGCCCAGAGCCAGCCGTAGGTCTGACGAAGTCGCAAAGCAAGACAATCACAGGCGTCTGGTACTTGCCTTCCCGCCCTGGGTTGCGCTTGCCATCCACTTCCAGAGGTGAGGCAGGTCCTCCTCGCTGGCCAAGTGAGGGATCGAGCTGGCTGCCGTCATCTAGCCTGCCATAGGTAAAGTCTCCCACACCATCGTCGTCGTCTATCCGCCTAGAGCAGCGCACAGTGTAGTGAGCTGCTGAAGGTGGCTTGCCTGCTCGACTGAACAGATCCGCGTAGATCGTCCCGATCACTGCTTCTCCGCCTATGCTGCCCGAATCCTCCTCAACGACCTCCAGCTTGACGATATCAGAGTTCCAAGCTTCATTGTGCTGCATCGACGTCGGTCTAAGTCTGATGCCATAGAGCGAAGAGAGCATCCGTGACAGACCGGAAAAGACATTGCCGACAGAGAAGAAGGGTGAGATGGGTGTTTGCGATCCGGGAGAAGAGAAAGCAAGGGCACGGGTGTATTGCTCGGCGAAGTAGTCCCTATCCCATGGCTCGAATGCTGAAGAACCACCAAAAGAGCTTGTTCGGAGCTTCTGCAGTTCTTGCAGCTTCTTCAGAGCCACCGGACGATGATGAGTCTCCAGTGCTTTGAGGAACTTGTCAACGCTTTCGGACTTCTTCGCCATCTTGTCTCCTAGAGCCATCTCTCCGAAGCTACTGTAGCCAGTCAAGCTGGCGAGCTCTCCTCTCCGCTGTAGCAATCGCTCCAAGACCTTCACCTTGCCTTTGCCGGACGTATTCATCGCGTAATAGGCGATTTTTCTCGCCTCCGGGTGGGGGGCGTAGCGCAAGATCGTAGGAAATTCCCAGGTAGCCAGAGCTGGGTTGAGGCTGATGTCGGCGGAAGAAGAAGTACTCAGGAGAGCAGGCGACTCATCTAATGCAGCAAGAAGGTTGCCATGCATCTTGGTGAACCAGTCTCGCTTGAAGCGGACTGGACGAGAGTCCTCCTCGTGCAGCTCGCCCTCCAGTCCGGCATCACCCTGAGTGAAAGCTCGACCAAGGACCAGAATCTCATCGCTGAGGGAGACGAATCGCTCTCTCTGCTGGTCTGGCAGATGTATCCCGGACTTTTCGAAGTCTCTCAAGAAGACAGTGGCGACCGAAAGTGCTTCCGGAGAGAGGCTCCCTCGTAGCGAAGAATCTTGGAGTACCTGCCGCAGAACCTTTGAACGGGGGCAATTGGTAGAAAGAAGCGTCAGAAGGTGCAAGCAGCCCTGAATCTATGCTTGTGGCTGTATCTCACCTCGTAAAGGCCTGTGTGCGTGTTCAGCACATTCATAAATCCGCATAGACCCTCGTAGGCTTCGTTGGCGGCGTCCCGCCACTGCTCATCTGGGTGAGCATTTCTGACTAGCTCAGCAAGATCAATGACACTGCAGAGCAGATCGGACAGGCGATCCAGATTCTTGACTACTTTCATCATCTCTATATGGCCATTCGAGGGTGCTGAGACGATGCGCGAGACCAGCAACTGCGCTCTCACGAGCGTCCGCTGGGCCAGGGGAACGAAAGCATCTGGCGAGGGCAGAGAGGGGGAGCCAAAGAGTCCAGAAGCCGAAGCAAGAAGAGGAAAGTGCGCACTACTTTCCGGCGACGTAGATGGGGGAGAGTCGAAGATGGCCTTGAGAGCCTGGGCCTCGGCCTCGTGTGAGCTCGATGAGTAGAAGGCTGGAGGGGCAGAGCTGTGACCGTTCGGCCGGGCATGTGCAGCTGGTGAGGCCCGAAGAGCAAGAGAGGAAGAGGGCAGGGACAGTCTAGGAGAGCCGGAGTAGGATCGAGAGAACACTTTAGGGCTTTGCGACTTCTGCGGCACCCATACCGCTGCCACTGCTGTTCGCAATGCGACCGTGCGAGAAGAAGAGGCGGCAGCGGAGGACCGAGCCGTGAGCTGCGAGGCCGAGGGTGAGGTACAAGCGCCCTTCGCTGCCCTCATCGTGGCAAGCATGGGCTACCCGGCAGATGGAGGAGCGATGAGAGGCTGCCTGGGCGATGATGTAGAGTGAGGGATGGAGGAGCAATGAAGACCAACGTAGGAACAAGTCGGAATGAGCCCATCAACGCCAATACCGGCAAGGAAGCGCTTCGCCAATCTTCTCCACTTTCTTCCCTTCCGTTCCGATGACAATCCCCGCCCGCACACGGAATCAACAACATGGCTCGCGTGTCTCCCTTTCCGTTGCTGCCTCATGGTACCCTCCCACAACCCTCGCCCTCTTCCACAACTCTTCCACTCGACCCACAACATCCTCTGATGCCTCCGCAGATCCCCTCGTGAACTCATACGGATGTCATCGACGTCTACCGGCGCGAAACGCGGCGGACTGAGAGGCAGCTACGCCTCAGCTTCCGTACAAGCTCGACGCGGATGGAGGAAAGCATCATCTGGCTCTCGCCAGAGGCTCGTGTCTGATTCTCATCATACTTCCCATACTACCGCGGTTCCATTATTGGCGACCTCGTCTACCCAGACAATAGTGCTATCTGCGAGCCCCGATGCTGGCCCCTCAGAAGGTCCGGGCGCCGAGCCGGAGGAAGACCTCTACGTTGATGCTAGCGGACGCGTCGATCCCTCATCTGTGCAAGACCCTGGTCCATCAAGATCCTTTCGCTCGCTCGTCCCCCGAACTGCATCCACAGGTCAGACTCGCGCTTATGAGCTTCGTACGCCTCGTCAGCTTGCAAAGTCACGCGCAACAGACCACGCAGGCCCTCTCCAGAGTACTCCAATCCAGCGCACTGGAATTCCTGCAGCCTCGATTGGGAGGAGCCGCCAGTCGCTCGGCTCGAAGGAAGCTAATGTGTCTGTCAGCCGAGATCGCAGCTTCCATTTGCCTGACCTCCGAGCTCGATGTCAGGCCCTGACTACCAATGCACAGGCTGTTCTTGGATTCTATGCGGATCTTCTGGAGAGAGAGCAGGCACAAGACGAACCCATCGCGATCGATGCGCACCTCATATCTGAGATGAGACGCTCATGGGAGCCTTTCGAATCATACAAGGTCAATCAACTACTGCCAAGGGCTCAATTCCACCACCACTTCATCCTCATCGATGAGCACGCATCTCTCCTTTTGCCTGAGGGGACAGGAACTATCCCTCCTGGCCTCGAAGAGGCCATGCGCCTCGCGAATCTTGCTACTTTCGTGCATTACGTGTGGAATTTGCCGCTAGATAGCGTGAAAGATGGTTCCGAGGACTGGCCTCTTCGAAGTTTTCCCGAGCTCCAGGACGCTTGGAGGGTCTTCTGGCGTATCATCATTCCGCAATCAGACCCGATCACAGACGAAATCCTCACAAGCTATCTGGAGCTGTCCACCCAGGTCTTTTGCGCAAGATTGACCTTGCTCAGCGAGAAAGTCCGGAGTGGCGGCGCAACCTGGAAGGCAGCGGAGGCTGAGGCTCGGGCGCTTCTGGATGATCTCCTGGGCGCAGGCGCTATACAAGAAGCGGCTGCGTCCCGGCACTTAAATGAGAAAGCAGTGCAAGATGTCCTTCGCTCCTGGTCACAGATATCCCGAATACGAAGAGCTGATGTCCATCAGATGAGATTCGATGCTGAGGCTTGCCGAGACATTTTTAAGCTCTCAGAGTCGGCCGCAAATATTACTTCTCTCGTTGTGTCGCTTGCACAAGACCTCGAGGTCTCACTTGCCGAAAATCAGGCTCCCCACCTATTACAAGAGCTGTTCCCAAGCCCGCCTGGCTCTTTGCTTGATCGGCGCCTCGAAGCATCCGTGCCACCTCGCCGAAGCAACGTTGCGATACCGCAAGCACGACCTGAGCAGGGATCAGCAGCTAGCCTCGCCGAATCTGGATCTTCTCAGAATCCCGGTTGGCTTAAGGAACTTGTAGCGGGCAAGAAAAATCGTGCTCCCGCTGCTCCTGCCAGTGAGCGCTCTGCAGAAACAGAGCAGTCTCAGGTGTCCATGAGCAATAGCCAAGTCATGCGCTTGCTTACTGCAGAGGAACGAGAAGCCGCCCTGGCGGAGATGTTCTCGCAGTCGTACTCTCAAGCGTCACTCGGTGATGACGACGATGAGGGGTCACTGATGACTGAGACCGAGGGTCGTGGAGCAGGTGAACTTAGCGCTTACTTCATCCCAAGTGAGGAAGAAGATGAAGAAGTCGAAGTAGAGCAAGAAGACGACCTGTCTGTGGACTTCAGCATCCAAGATGGACAGATTGTTCACAAGCCACTGAAGATATTCGACAACGCCGAGGCGTCGTACGAAAGCGGTGAGGAGATGGACGATGCTCTGCAAGTAGTTGCTCCTTCTCCTGCAAAGCACCTCCAGATACGCGGCGGTCGTCTTCGGAGAGTGCCAGCAGCTGAGCAGGCAAACTTATTCCAGCCTACAGGTCAAGGCGTTCGTCTCACACGCTTCGACTCTCAGTCACCATCGGAGGTGTCCCTTGATCTAACACCAGCAAGAGCGATACGAGCTCAGAACTTCTACGGTCGACGAGCCAGAGCAGTGAATGCGAGGAAGCGAGCACCTGAGACTTCCAGCAAGGTCCAGCAAGTTGCTCGGAAGCGGACGAGGACGATCACATCTGCCTCTCATCGCAATGTTCCTGGTCGAGCTGGTCTGTCGTCCTTCATCGAGGTGCTCGTCGATCAACCGAGTGAGGATGTCCGGAAAGCATTCCGCTCTCATCTGACTCGTGCAGCCCAGTCCTCTCGCTCACCGCCTCGGCGGTTGACACGAGCTGCCGCAAGACGTCAAGAAGAGGCATCAGCAACGGCGATGGCGGAGGTGCAGCACTCTATGGACCGCATGTCTGTGTCGCATCCCGCTGAGCACGTCGACACAGTCATGGCCGATGATATACCTGCAATACCAGCTGGCGACCAGGCACAAGGCAGAGAGCTGGAAGCCTCACAAGCTGTAGAAGCTGACGCCAATCACTTCGAAAATCTTGGAGCTTTCGAGGGCGACAATGACAGGGACGTCCGGGAGGCTCGCAAACAGCTGACGCTGGAGTACTGGTTCGCAAGAGTCCGCCCCGGTTTCGAGCAATTCCCACAACCTGTACGCACCTCGAGCAGCCCTCTGCCTCCGTCACAACAGAGGAGCAGCCATCGAGATGCTGTGCTCATTCCTGACAGTCAGGCGACCGCTGCACCAGACCAGTCGGAACAGATCGTCGAAGTTGTCATCGATGCGGATGAAGGCGTAGCTAGTGACAGTAGCGAGAACATGAATGAGCCGTCTCAGTCACGGACTTTCGGAGCTAGACGTAGGCAAAGAGCCGGACAGACCGGCCGACGCACTGTCTCGGGTCAGCGTGGAAGGGTCATCCCGCCTACGCCGGACTCTAGCGAGGACGAACTCGACGAGATCTTCACTCAAGAGGAGCATGCTGAGTCTGAGGCCGATGCCCCAGCTCCGCCGGCGACCCCCGTCCCCAAGAAGCCCGGTGCTCCCAAGGGCGTCGGCCAGCGCCTCAGGAAGCCTTGGACACCCGAAGAGGTCAAGTGTCTGCTCGATGCAATGTACAAGCTCGCTCGGAACAAGGAGCAAACACCCAACTACAAGATTTATGCCGAGATCCTCAGTCGCCATGGCAAGCAAGGCAGTGATGATCATGTTCTGAGCGGGCGCAGCAACGATGAGCTTAAGGCAAAAGTGCGCTCAGAGCTTTTGCGGATGGCCAGAGAGTGCGAGAGTATACCGTACTGGAAGAAGCTTTACTGGGATGGCATCTTCAATACGAAGGAAGGCAAGGCAGCGCTCCGGGCCGGTGCAAGAGGCAAGCCACGTAGAGCACCTCTGTCTGAAGTTCAACATCAAGCACAGTCACAGCGTCTTCGTGATCAGTTCCCAGAAGATGAGGATCTCCGTGACGCCGTCATGCGCGACGTCTTTGATCCGGAAGCTAGAGGGGGCAGCGATCTCTCAGGGCAGGAGCAAGAGGATGTCGATGAGGAGGAAGCAGAAGCATACGACCTGGCTAGTCCTCAGACCAGCGTTGACGAGCTGGAAATGGAGCCGGACCTGCGCACGCAGACTCCTCGTCCTCAGACGCCGCCTCTTCGGATCTTTGAGTCGCATCCACAGCCTCAACATCGCTTCACGCCTCCTCCGCCTTCGGTTCTGAAGTCACCTTATCGTCGACGTGACTCAAGGGCGGAGAGTCATGTCCATTTCGAGGACTCGGACCAAGATGAGGAGGCGCAAGCAGACAGGCGTGATACCGATATAGCTTATACCCCTGGCTCCCTTGCCTCACTTCGAGAGCGTCTAACCGCCGGTCCTTCACAGGCGATCAAGCGCGGGCGGGATCTTGTACAGCGGTACTCTCGCCGATCTCAACCTCCTGAAACACGACAGCCAATGGCCACTCTGAGTAGCGATGAGGGCGAAGAGGAAGAGGAGGATGGAGCAGAAGTCTCACCTCGTAAGCGGCCGAGGGCTCGTCCCCATGCAGGGAGACAGAGCGCTCCTCCTGCGCCTGTCGGTGGAGAAGCACTTACTCTTACAGCGCCTTTGTCGCTGCCGGCGATAGCAGCAGCGGCCGAAGAGGCTTCAGAGAGGCCCGCAGAGCCATCCGAAGAAGAAGTCGAAGTGGAGAGAGCTACCTCTGAACCTCCAGAGTTGCCTGACACTCAGGTACAGCAGCGAAGACAGAGTGCTCGTATAGCTCCTCTGCGACAGAGTCAAACGGGGAGGCGGCAGGGAAGGCAGACGACAGGGGCGCTGTGAAGTCTCTCACCATTGGATTTTGAGGACGGTTCCGCAAGTTGCGTTGTACTGCATAATTGTATGGTATTCGAACAAGTACATTGTGCTCGCTTTCTATTGATTGTCCGTTCCTTTGATATGCCTCTTTCCTTCTGCGTCTCCCTCTGACTTAGGCACAATAGTCTCATCTCCCATTCCCCCACCAATCTCTGCACCTGAAGTTCCCGCAGCCATACCCGTGCCCGTGCCCGTGCCCGTGCCCGCCTCCGCCTCATCCACATCTGTAGTCGAGTCTGTACCCTTCTCATTGACTGCAGACTCAGTGCCACGTCGACTCTTTCTGCTCCCACGAACAAGCACAGCGACGACGTTACTCGCCGCTAGTATCACCCCCAGTCCAGCCAATCCCGAGCCCAGGTAGGCTGCGCTCCGATACGCCGTGAGAATGTCTGTCCCTCCGGCATTGGTGTTCGCCTCGACCGTTCCAGCAATTCCCAGTCCCACTGCGACACTCCAATTAATGACTGTATTCACTAGACTACCTGCCACTCCCTGCTTGTGCGGCGGAAGAGCCGATGCGATAATGAGGGAAGCGGCCGGGAAGCTCTGATCCATTCCAAAAGGCCCCGCACACCAGCTAATGAAGGAGTTGATCCAGTAGGTCTGCTGTTCTGGCATAGTAGCGATTAGGATTCCGGCGAGGAAAAAAGCAGAGAGAGCACTTAGCATGGTCCAGCTTGGACCGGCGTGCTTGAGGAGAACGGCAGAGAGGGTTGCGGCGAAACATCCGGCTACACCTGCTGGGGTGGCATAGGCTGTTGCTTTAAGAAGTGAGGCACCGCGAATCTCGATCCACCAGCGAACAGACTGGAGGCGAGGTAGAGGGAACAGAAGATGACGGGAAGGATGGGAGAGTCAGAGGTCTGTTGCAATGTGGATACGATACAACCGCTCTCGTACTCACGTAAAAGTTCCAGATACCAAATGAGCTCCACCCCAGTGCGATACATCCAATGACGACTGAATTCTGTGGTGTCCAAATATCCACTGGTATGAGGGGGTGAGCCACCTTCTTCTCCACATAGAGGAAAATCGCTATGCATATCAGTCCCACACCGAGCAAGACGCCATTGTACGGCTCGCTCCATCCCACCACACCCGCTTGATTCCAAGCGAAGTTGACGAGGATGAGACCGATAAGGGCAAAGAAGGTGCCGAGCCAGTCGAAGCCCGGCTTCTTGTGCGGAGGAGCTGCTTCTCCCAATCGCTCTTCTTCTGCCTCTCTGTAAAAGCGAGTGAGGTACTCATCCGAGGGCACAGTGAACCAAGCCAAGATAGTGAGTCCAAAGAGACACACTGCCGCGAGGTAGAAGGAAAAGTCCCAGTGTTGCGCGTGAAATTGCGCAATGAGTGAAGCGAAGACGGCTCCAATGAGGAAGCCATTAGGTGCTGAAGCGGCAAAGATGGTAAAGTAGATGACTCTCCTCCACTGTCCATCTACGGAGCTCCGAGCAAGGACGGCAGCAGCGTTGGGTAGGGCAATGGAGAAGCCGAGACCTTGAAAGGCACGGAAGACGTCGAAGCAGATGTCGGAGTGGGAGTAGGAGGAGAGGCCACATAGGAGGGAGCCTAGACAGGCCCAGCTGAAGCCGATCAGGACCACGAGCTTGTTGCCGTACATGTCGCCCAGACGACCGGCAGGTAGGATCACTGTGCCGACGCTCAGAGAGTAGGCGGCAGCGAACCTAAAGGGAAAACAAGCGATGTTGGTAAGTCAAGAGTAGGCGGTCAGCTCTGTTCAGCCTACAGCAGCTTCTCCCATTCTTTTACTCACCAGCTCTGCCTTCCCGCACTGTCTTGGACCCCAAAAGTCGCAGCAATCTCACTGAGCGGCAGTATCACCTGCGCGAGTTGCGATTGCGTCACGAGCATCGCGCATATGAGTGAGCCCACCCCGCCGATTTCGCGAAGCGTGGTGGAGAGCTTCCCCCAGGGTCCAAAAGGCTCTAACGTGCGCGTCATTGAGCGAGGAGGATCAGGAGTAGAGGAAGAGGAGGAGGATGGGGGTGTAGTTTTGGGCCTCTGCTCGAGTGATGTGGATGCGGATCCCTCCGGAGGGGAGTGCGAGGAGGAGGAGGTGGCAGTGGCAGGATCCATCACAACCGAACCTCACTGAAGGCAATGTGGCCAGGTAAAGGTCGGTGAAGATAGCTCAGCTCGAGCTGAAGAAGATGTTCCGTATATCCAAGTCGCTCATGAGGGCGTTGCCTGTCAGTGTCACGGTAGGAGTCAAGGTAGGACCTCTTCAGGGGATAGAACTCCTCTTTGTGAGTCGGTGCTTTCCATCTTTTCCGAGAAATCGGGCATTAGACCTGGCAAAGAGCCCGGACCCCCCAATCACGCTTATGGCGATAAGCCCGGCCAGGTCCCCGAGAGGCGCCCATCGGAACGGAAGGGCGCGAAGCGAGATGCGGGAAGGCAGTGAGCCGAGAGACTCGCAGAACGCAACATTGTCATACATACAGGACATGCAATTCCTTTTAGGCTACGAGAAGACAGCAAGCTACCGTGAAGGTACAATGCTAAACAGAACAAGCTGACAACAGTGGAAAACTTCAGCACCTCCTATGCATTGTCTTCAGACGCACAAGATCTCGTCCGATCCGGACCCTGCACTTCCCTGCCCCTCTCCCTCACCTTCCTCGCCGCACAACTCAGCGAGCTTACTGTGAATACGCTCACCATTTGCAGCGTCTATCGGGGTGAGAAGCTGCTGTCCAGGGCTTTCTGTATCGCTCGGAGAGATAGGGGACATCTGCGAGTCAGGAGAGATGGGACTACCAGTTCCAACACCAAAGGTGCCGCTGCCGGTATTGAGGGTGATGCCGAGCCCGACGAGGTCGGGTGTGCCTCCATTACTTCCACTGCTGGCGGGACTTATTATGCCACTTTCGCCGGGCGAGAGAGGGATGCTGGTCTGGAACAGTGAGACTCGAGGACGGAAGTGAGGCGGCACAAAGTTCTCGCGGTGAGACCAGGTGGTGTGATCGGGGTCAAGGTCTCGTTCGCTTGCAACAGCGAGTATCTCAGCTCGATGGGGCCATCGTTGGCTCTCAGGAAGTTCGTCCTCGATGCCATCGTCGGCTTCGTCAGCAGGCTCGACAGAGGCCTGCTCCTCAAGGACTGGCCCGAGTCGGCTCGTTAGAGTCATGGCATCGTACCTAGGACGTCGCATTGGAGCTGGAGCTGGAGCTGGCATAGTGATGGCCACAGGCTCGGTGACATTGCTTGTCTCGGATCGTACGACTTGAGGCCTCGTTGGAAATTCAACCGAGCTAGCCCTCGAAATTGAGATCTCAGGCTCCGGTTCATTGCGAGATTTGGGCGGGGGCTGGTGCTCATCGAGATCTGTTGCTTCCTGAAGGTCCACACTGGGCACTGGCTTCCTCTTAACATTGAAGCTCCTGCGTCCCTCGGGTAGCTCAGAGCTAGCCCTGGGCCAGGGTGTAGGACCTCGAGAGGGTATCTGACCCTGTGCAATGAGCGGTGCCATATCGCTCGAGGTGGAAAGACGGACACCGAGGGAAGTGGCAGGTCGGTAGAGGAGGTCTCGCTCGTAGCTGCGTCGTCCTGCGAAGAAGGGAAAGGACTTGGAGGGCCTCTCAGAGGTAGAGTGTCTCGCCTTTTCCTGACGCTGCTCGCCGTCGTAGCTATGGTGGACACGATCGCGGTAGTGGTCTTGCCTGGGCCTGGTCTGGCCTACCAGAGGCTCGCGGAAGAGGACTGTCATCCTCTGACCGAGCTGCGGGAGCTTTCCCTTCTTGGCGCGACTACCTGGCACGGGGCTTTGTTCTTCTTCAGGTGCAGGCGCACAGTTGGGCGAGCACTCAGGATGATCGCAAGACTTCTTGAGCTTGAGCTTGAAGAAGGTCCTGGGCGTCTTGCTCTTGACCTCTGCGGTATCAGGTTGAGGCTGGCCCTCAGCCTCCGGGCCTGGAGAGGCTTCATTGCCGGCTGCAGTGTCGTTGTCAACGGGAGCAGATTCATCTCGTCGATGGCGAGGCCTGAAAGGCAGCGAGAAACGGGATAGATGCGCAGAGGGACGAAGTTTGAAGCGTGGGAGGCTCATCTTGCTCGAGGTAGAGGCGAAGGTGAAGGTCAAGGTGAAGGTGTAGGTGTAGAGCTGAGAATGTATGGTGGAGCGGTAGAGTGACTAGCATAGTCTTCTCATCTTTATCGCTACCAGAAGATATACTCCTTCTCTTCGGGGGCAGATTTGGAAGGAATTGCCTCCGATACACAAACACTTCGCCAGGGTGAGACAGCTGGTGAGGTCCGTCCCACCGTTGGGCACCCCACCCCAGCCCAGCGCAGTAGCGCAGCGCAGGGTAGGGCAGGGTAGCCCGGATGCTTTTCCTTTGAATCGTGGCGATACCCTAGCTGCACTGCAGAGCACCAGTCTTGGTGAAGCTCGTCACTCTGCGATTAGATGCTTACGACGGTGGAATGTCGAAGCTGGCGAGCCGAAAAAAGTCCCGCAGTGGCCCGTCCACTAGTTCCTATCCTATCGGAAGCATTTCCTCTACCCTCCTCCTCTCCCTCGCTGCAGCGTCCAAAGGGAACTCAAGGGAAGAGGTATAGAATCGACATTGTCAGCTCGCTTAGCAGACGGTAGAGAAGAGGGTCAGATGGAATGCAGACCTGGTGCAAGAAGGGCCAGGAGCGAGAGCCAGAAGGAGCTCCCTTCCTCCTTTCCTCTATTCTGCCTCCCGTAATGCTTCCTTTCGCTTCATTTCCCTCACACGCGCGACACACCTCAAGACCCATTCTCCAATCGCTGCCAATCTAATCGAGGGAGAAAAAAATGCTTATGAAATGAAGAAGATTGAAGGCTTGAATGTGGAAAAAAGCTGCGTTGATGCGCTGAGCTGACAGAACAATTGAAAAAAGAAAAGTGGAACATTGGAACAATGAACAATAGAGGGGAACAGTGGATGCCGAACAAGGGAAAAGGGGAGAAAGAGAACTCAACTCGTCTCAACTCTGTTCGAGCCGTCTAGATTCGACTCGGCAAGTACTTGCGCATGCTGGACTTGGGACTTGACTGGACTGGACTGGCTAGCCGGCTAGCAACGCTTCGTCCGGCCAAAGTCAGGAAGCTACCGAGGTATCGTGAGCGAGCGAGTCGAGGACTCGAATGATCAGGGAGAGTGAGGAGCGAAGAGGGGCTTGGCGATCGAGGGTAGGTGGTGGTGCCGTAGGGGAGATGGCGAGTAAGCTCACTGGTCGATGTTAGGATCCGTAACTCTCTTGAGGACATTATGGTAGAGGAACTTGTACGACGTCAGCGGTCCCCTCAACCTCCTCACATCAAGCGAGTAGAGCCCCGCCAGATTCTTGATCCTCGTCACCTCGACCGAGAATCTCACTTCCTGTCCTCCATCGACTCTCGCTTCACCGTAGAGCGTAGGTGGTAAGCCTAGCAGACTGTTGCGCTGAGTGATGGAGTTGTTGGACTGCTGAGAGGGGGACTGGTCCATTGCGGTGGACGAGAAGGACTCGGGGAGAGCGATGGTGTTTGAGGAAGGAGACGCAGTCTGGCTGCCACGACGAAGGAAGTTGCGGAGTGAAGATTGAGAGGGACTCATGGTGGGAGATCCCACACCAGCATTGCCGTTCGGAGACGGTGAGCCAAAGGCTGACAGGGTAGGAGATCTCGCCAGACCGCTCGAGCTTCGCTCGTAATCTGCTTGAGTGGGAGGGAATACCGATGACCTCAAGCTCGTGCTCAGACCCTGGGTAGCTCCAATGAGTGACTTGGTAGGCTTCCTTCTCCTGACACACTCGACCTTGAACTCCTCTTCAGTCTCCCTCTTGGCTTCAATGCCCATCTCGAAGAGTGCTTGAATGACTTCGGCAAAGACCTCCGCAGGCGGTCGAGAGGTGAGGGCTGACTGGTCTACCGCTCCCACATGGTAGCGAAGAAGGCTGTCATTGAAAGCTGGAGATGAGACGGATGCGACAGCGGGAGCAGCGTACGAAGGTCGAGGAGTGGCCTGCTGAGTAGGCGTAGAGACAGGTGGGGCTGCCGTCTTCGTGCTCGAAGTCGAGGGAGGTAGCATCGCACCGCTCACATTGACGTACGAAGCCTCAGTAGCTGAAGTGAGGCCAGTAGCAGCGCTTGAGTGCGAGACATTGCTGTAGGCTCCCGAGGTCGATCGAGACGAGGGTCCACCCTCCGAAGGTGTCAGCGGTGGGGCAACAGTGACAGGTGCTCCACCCTCTTCACCATCAGCCTCGGTAACGGTGAGCTTCGGAGTAGTGTTAGCAGTGACACCAGACACGGTCGGGGCGCGGGCCCTCTTCGTCGAAGCAGTCGTGCCAGCAGCAGTATTGTCCTTGCGCCTCTTCTCGCTCTCCAAGGAAGTTGAGGATGGCTGCTCAGTACTTGTGGCTCCTTTGCCCAGACTCTTCTTTCGGAACCAATCCATGACCCTCTTCGCCGCACTGCTCGATGGTCCGACAGTTGAGCTCGAGTCGTTATTCTTGCGCTCAAAAGTGTAGTCGTTGCGATCCTTGCCAGAGCCCTTGCTCAGGCCAGTGCGCGAAGATGTAGACTGCGGAGGACCCTGCTGAGTGATGGGTCTACTAGATTGTCTGCTGGGAGGAGCGACGCTGCTAGGTCGGCTCGTGGCTTCAGTGGATGCGAAAGAGCCTTCAGCACCGCTAGCGGTCTTCGGTGGCTCCTGTTTTGCGGAGTTGGATGTGTCTTGCAGAGTAGCATTGGCCCTCTCTCGATCTCTCGAGGCCGAGTCACCTCCGGTCTTGCTGCCGCCAACGACTAAGCTCATGGCCTTGCGCCTATTGCTGCCCGATCTGCCAAGATTGCTGCCCTGCGTCGATCGATCGGCATTAAAGGCGTGCACAGTGGGCGATGTGGGACGAGAAGCATTGGAAGTGCGAGAGTCTGCCTCGCTGACGCCAGCTGTCGAAGTGTTGCTGCCATTGAGCAGGCGAGTCAAGAATGATCTCTCCGTAGACATCCTCCTGGTGTGGCGTCGGGTAGAGTTGGCGCGTTGGGCGTTCGAAGCAGCGGTCGGTGGCATCGTCACTGCTGACATTGAGCTTCGTTTCGAGCGCCTCGTGGCGGCAGTGTCGGTGCTACTGTCTTGCGATCGCGCTGGCATGGAAGCGGGAACATCGGACGCTTCATCACGCTGCTGCTGAGCCAGCAAAGAAGCAGAAGCCGATGCAGATGGTCCTGTTGAGCCGGGCACAGATGATGAGGGCCGACGAGCTGCTGGCGCAGGAGTGGGCTCGATGCTGCTCTCAGGTGCAGCCTGACTGGAGTCCTGTTGGCTCGAAGAGGGTTGTCGTCCGGTTGAGTTCTGTGGCCGGGCTGTGGTACTCGAAGATGGTTCTGAAGACGGAGGCATGGAAGCACGACTGCTCTTCGAAGTGGTCCTCTCAGTTGTGATGGCTTCGGCTTCAGGGACGAGCACTGGTACAGCCGCAACACTAGTGACAGGCTCTTCCTTGTCAGCAGCCGTGCTTTGCACGACAGTCTGGCTAGAGGCACCGGCATCCATCGCTGGCTTGCTGGAAGAGACGGAACGATTCGAGGTGTAGCTTGCCTCGCGACGTGAGGCAGCGGCTGCTCCTCCATCGTACTCCAGCTGAACGGTGTGTCTCTGAGGCTTGGAAGCGGCTGGACCCTTCTTGTACTGCTCGTCAAAGTCATCATGGAGTGTCTCGACCACTTCGCGTTCGCCGCCATCTCGCCTGGCTCGCGGCTCTCCTCTGGCATCGCCTTGAGCCACGACTGCATCGTGGATTCGGTTGGTACTGTCGCTCAGCGGCATTGATGCGGGCTGAGGCTTGGACGGCACAGTAGCAGGTGGATCCATGTTGGTGCGAGCAGAACGATTCTCCTGCTGAAGTGTAGCAGCGGTAGCACTCTGAGGGCGAGCAGCCTTCGAGGTCTGTGGTACGAGTCCGGAGGCCATGGAGACGCTACTCGAAGGGAAAGCAGCCGATCGGTTGCCTGCGTCTGAGCGCTGAGCAGCATTGTTGGCGGCTTCTTGCTTCTGTCGCTCTCGCATCTGGAACTGGAGCACCATCTGCTGCATGTATACTTGACGTTTCTTGGTCTGCTGCTCGACAGCGGCTCGCTCGAGCTCGTCCACTGTGAACTTGAAGAGCTCACGATAAGGAGTGAGCCAGCTATGTGCCATCACACCTCGTAGATCAATACGCTTCGCAGGGTCAGGTACCAGCATCTTCGACAGCAAGTCTCGAGGCTCAGCAGTGATGTACTCTGGGAAGGACAAGGGCGTTGCCAGGATATACTTGTAGAGCAGGTTGATGTTGTCACCTTCGGGGTTGGCCGGGTCATCGTCAAAGGGGAGGTAGCCGGCGAGCATGGCGTAGAGAATGACACCACAAGACCAGACATCGACGGCTGAACCATTGTAGAGGCCATCTTGAACTACTAGCTCAGGAGCAGCATAACACGGACTACCACAGCTCGTTGCCATGAGATCGTCTTGACGATCTGCAAAGTTGTTTGCAAAGCCAAAGTCAGTGATGATGACGTTGCGATTCCGATCCAGCAAGAGGTTCTCAAGCTTCAGGTCGCGATGCACCACCTTCTTCTGGTGCAGGTAGTTGACACCAGAGACGAGCTGTGCAAAGAGTCTACAGGCATCGCGGTCCTTGAGGTACTTGTGCGCCAAGATGTGATCGAAAAGTTCTCCGCCTGTACAAGAGAGAGTGAGAGGTGTGGAGATCATTAGCAAGCTATTTCGGACAACAAAACAGGCCATCCTCGCTAGGTGAACTCACCTGAAGCGTACTCCAGCACGATGCCGATGTAGCGATCCGACTCGATGACTTCGTACAGCCTGACGATGTTAGGGTGACGCATGTCCTGATCATAGGAAGGTGGGCAAGAAGCGAACACATCGTCGTATGCGTCAGCTCTGTTCCACGTCATTCCCTTCTTCGTCACTGTCTTCTCACCTTCAACACCTGAATCTCTCTTTCGACCTTGGTCATCTTCGCAGGGTCCTTCGGAGGTACGCCAGGCGGGCTGATATCAAGTCGCATCTTATCGCCTCCGACCTTTTCCCTCTTGATGAGCTTGACAGCCACCTCCTCTCCCCATTCCTTGTGTACTCCCAACTTGACCTTGCCGAATTCACCCTCTCCCAATGTCTGTAGCAAGAGGTAGTTGCCAAAATGAACTTGCTGTCGCCGAGGGTGGGCAGCAAAGTACTGCATGGCTGCTTGCGATGTGATGGGGATACCAGATGAGATTGCATTCGAAGCCATGTTGGCATCGATGGAGGGGGAAATGGCCATCTGTGCCAGACCTTGGACGGTCTGACTGGAAGTGGGAAGGGTAGGGTGTGCACTGGCTCTCCGATCGGTCTGTCCTCCGCTCATTGTAGAGAGCACGTCATCTGCATTGCCTGTCTGTGCCATGTTTGCTCTTTGCGATTGGCTGATAGGTGCTGGCATGGCAGAGACTGGTCGGTGGGAGTGCGACTGTCCGCCCGTAGAGGCTCTTCCAGATGGGTGAGCGCTCCGGTAAGACTGCTCTGGATTTGCTGATGCGCTAGTCTGACTGGCATTGCCGATGGCGATTGGTGGAGCGTAGACATTTTGGCGATCGGTCAGAGCAGGTGCAGTGGCAGAGGATGCCAAAGTAGAGGAGGGGTACGTGGCGGACACTGGTCGCTCTTGCTCCGACCTCCGGGAGGATGTGTGAAGGGTGGAGGAGTCGGTGTACGACATGGTGGCAGCGAGGGTCAAGTCTAGGACTGGCGAGAGGAAGGGGGAGGAGAGAGGGGTCAGTGAGTGAACATCCCCTGGGGGATGTGATGAAGTGAGTGAGAATTGTGTTCGCGTCCTCACCTTGCAATGACTATCCTCTGATCCCTGACACTAGTCCAACCTGCTGACGACCTCTTGGCACCTGGGCGATTACGAGAGGAATGGTGAAGGCGAAGCTCGTATGGAGTGGGTAGGACGGATGGTGAGATGAGATGCGATATGATCGGTACCAGCTTTGCCAATGCTTGGTGTGATGCAATAGGAGATCGGTGAATGAAACAAAGACGCTTGCTAGGCCGCCCTGGCACCTTGATTGCCTTGTTGTCGGCGTGCTCTGCCAGGCGCGATGAGGCGCGGTGGGGTCAAGGAACGGACGATGGAGTGCGAATTGCTGGCCGCGTTCAGTTGTCCTGTCGGCCCTAAACGAAGAGGATGCTGGGAGGTATAGGGGCTAGCTGATGATGAGCAGTGGCCGTAGAATGAAGAGGACCGAGCGTGCGAATGGGCGTCGCGAGTAGAGTGGGCGGCGGGGTGGGGCAAGGAAGGAGGAGTTTGTAGCCGGGAAGATGCAAGGGGAGGGGAGGGGGGCGCGATGCGGACGGAGGTAGATACCTCGGGCGTGTGGTGTATGCCTTTGCACTCGTCGCCGTGTGGGGGTGTGGATAGGCGTGCGAGGCGGTGGCGAGGGGGATGACGAGGTTGGTAGGAGAAGAGGGGCGACGACGACGACGACGACGACGAAGCCAGACCCTGGCTTGTCAGTGAGTTTGGGCCAACGTTGTGATGATTGCCAGGACGGAGGTGCAGCCACGCCGTTGGTTGCGTCGCCCAGGGGCCAAGGCGAACAAAAGGGGGGCGCGGGCAGACGGCGCGGGGTCCAAGGGAGCAGAGGAGCAGCAGAAGCACACACACACGCGAAAAGCGGAGATTGGTGCACCCAGACGATCAAAAGCCAAACAACCTGCCTGCCTGCGCCTGCGCCTGCGCCTGCTCCCTGCCCCGCCCCGCCCCGACCCGATCCAAGCCTGCAGGGGGGCGCCGGCCGGCCTTAGCTCAAGCAATCATCACCTCTGACGCGATCAGGAAGCGAGCAGAGCTTCCTCTCACCAACCCCAAAGGCGAGAACATCGGCGCGCGCCTCACCCCCCTCCCTAGCCTGCCGCGTCTTACCCACGCTCGGCACAGCACCCAGATACCAACTGGCGCACAGTGAGGGGGGAGGGCGAACGGAGCCCCCTTCGAATCAATCAACCGATCAATCAACCCATCATTCCTCGCCTGTTCCAGCTTCTAGTGAAGTCACAGCGGAAGATAATTCACCCGCGCACTGGCGAAATGAGCCTCGTCCTGTCAGCTACGCCCGCCTGCATCATGACGCCCTCCCCATGCGCTCCCCACACAGCCTACTCGGATTGACAATGACAAGGGTAAACCTTCTGCACACTCCTCGCGCATCCTTGACCCTCCAACACCCACACTCTTCTGACATGATCTTCATCTAAGATATTTCGATTGTGATGCTTCGGTGTTCGCGAGATACAAATGAGTATGCTGAGATGCTACACTGGGCTGAGCAATTGTTCTCTTTCTCCTCACCCAAAGCTGGGAGCACGGAGAAAAGCAATGGAACGTCGGCGCCAGGAAGTCTCCCCCTTACGACTTTTCATGAGAAGCCGTATTCCACTTCGGTCTCCCTCATTTCCCTGCCTACTTTGACTTGCTCCAACCTCGAAGGTCTCCCGCACTAGACTGATCTGTAGAGCCGCTTTACTCGGCGCCCTCATTCTCCGGAATAGTGTCGGCTCCCTCGTCCTTTTCACTCTTCTCAGAGACGTCCTTCTGAGTCTCCTTGTCGGCCTTCTTGTCCTGCCTGTCAGCCTGGGCCTTTGCTACCACTTCCTTGGGATTCGAAATGTGCTCTCCGTCCTTGGAGGCGGCAATTCCGTGCTGTGAAGGGCAATGTATCAAGACACAAGGGTCAGCATAGGATTTGGGACTCCACCGCGCGAAGAAAGCTTCTGCTTCTCTCAACTCACCTTGAAGTTGGAATTCTGAATACCCGAAGTAGAGTTACTCTCGTCCCTCTCCTTTGCGCTAGGGCTCTTCTGATCGTGAGCTCCCTTGTCAGGGTTCCTGCTAGCCTTGAGATGCTTGTCACCCTCGGGTGTGTCTTCATCGTGCTCAGCCTCGTACTGGTGCTCGCCGGCCTCGTGTCCGTCCTCCTGCTTCCAAACGGCCTCGTCACCTGTCTTGTCATCAGATCGGGAAGATCCGGTACCGTGTGTGGTGGGTGCCTTGCCGCCGGTGATGTGACCGTGCTCGTTGTGGGTCTTCGATGCTGGTGAGGTGAGGTAGACAAAGAGGGAGCCGAAGACGACGGCAGAGGCAATGGCCCAGGGCGTGTCGGAAGACTTGACCTGGCCTGCGTTGCCCGAGTGAGGGTTCGACGAGGCATTTCGAACAGCCAGACGAGGAGCCCTAGCTGCAAGGGCTCCACGTCGTAGGGCTGGGCGAGCAGATGCAATGGCGAGTCGAGGAGCGATCATGATGTGTTGTAGGATATGCGTGGTGTGAGTTGAGGAAAGGAAAGGAAGATGTGCGAGTGGAGCTGCGATGAGATCCTTTCCCGCTCACGGCTGCTTCCGGATGACAGATCCGCGAGGCGCCGTTTTGACCGCACGTGGAGGGCCAGATTCCGTCCCGATGTCTGGCTGCTCGCCCACCCCGCCCGTCCGCACGCTTGGCGCCTCGGCGTCCTCGACTTGCCCTCGGCTACTACCCCTTCCACCCGCAACCTGAATACCACCTCTGCTCCCCTCTGCCACGCTACTCTGCCCACACAAGCAACGTACCGCCCTCCCGCTTGCACTCCCGCGCTCAGCAATACACATAACCTCTCGCTCAGAAGTCCATTCTCGAGCGTTCTCCCTCTGAGCAAGTAGTCCTCTCCACAGTTATATGCAGCATCCTCGAGCCGATATTCATCCAGATCAGACCTCATCTCAGCACACTACCTACTCCAACGACACCTTGGCATCGGCCCAGCATGGCTTCAGCAGCAACCCAACAGGCCCGCGCGTACACCTGCAGGAATCTCATCAGCTGCCCAGTGATTCCGACGACGAGGAGCACGATGATGACCTTCTTAGCAAAACCGTAGTCCTCCCACCTTCTCGGTCGCCCCTGGAGCCAGCGCCTGGCGCGGAGGATACCCCACACAACCACGATCTGGTCAACGATGAACTCTCGCAAGCTTCTCCGAGCAGAACGCGTCCTATCACTTCTCGTCGCAGCGCGTCCAGCACCTCTTCTTCCTCTGATCTGGAAGAAGTGGCGATCCCGCGAAGCTACGTAGCTCTTCTTCCACCCGAGACTTTAACGCGTATTCTTGCTCTCCTGGACCCAGCTCATCTAGTCAAAGCTTCACTCGTCTGCAGGAAGTGGGCTACCATAGCCCGGGACGATGCTACTTGGAGGCTCGCTTTCTGCAAGGCCTTCGGACTAGGTGGAGGCGGAGGGGGAGTGATGAGGAGGACAGACGTGTCGTCGTGGAAGGCAGAATGTCGAACCAGAATAGATCTACTGAGGTGAGTCGAGTGACGTTTGCTGGCTCGGGCTTGGCTCAGCTCTACAGTCCTGACGCGTTCCTTCCTTATCCGTTCTACAGACGCTGGCGCAAGTCTCGCTCTCCAGCAATCTCTTCTGACATGCGGGTGGCCAACATCCATTCCCTAGCTCTATCTTCCAAGCATGCTTTCCTACTTTCTGCCTCTTCCTCTTATGGAGTCGCTTCTCGCTCAGACCCTTTCCGAGGCAAGGTAGCTCGCGGCTTCCTCGATGCAGCAGGTCTTCTGAACGGAGGAGGCATTGGCAACCCCAACACGGAGTTCTCGCCCGATGTCTCGTGTCTCGCTATTGGCGCAGATGCAAATAAGATCGTCTGGGGCTTCAAGAACGGCAGCATAGCCATCACCTCTCTGGGTAGGCAAGGATCCAACCCCCATGGCCTAGTAAGGAATGTCAAATTCTCCCCTCGCGGCAACCACTTGGCAGAAGTAGGCGCAATTGCCTTTGATCATTCCATCAGAGGTCAGCGCAGACGCTCACAAGCCCGGCAGGTGGCTCTCGGGCCAGCAGCAGAGTGCTTCGTCACTGGTGGAGCTGATGGCACTGTCAGGCTCTGGAGCCCGGACAGAGCTTTACCCATCTGGATTGGCACCACAGTGCTTGAGGCCAGCGATGAGGCGACCTCTGACGAACAGGACGTTCCTCGCCGGCGGGCTACTGCTTTGCCCTCGAGTGTCACAAAGCTGGACTTCGATGCCGATCGCGGAATCATCGCAGCCGGAACAGCGTCTGGCCAAGTCTACTTCTGGACGCAGATTGATGTCAGCTCGCTGCTTTCGCTCTCGGGCAGAGCTTGGTCCGACAACGATGGTGCAGAGCCAGAGATCACGACCGTCAAGCAAGACGCTGCTAGGAAAGCATTCAAAGAGGAGATGGCCAGAGTCCGCAAGCTCGTCATCAACCCCGAAGAGGAGGAGACCAGCCAGCAGAGGCGACAGATAGATGGCAGTGGCCAAGTAGAGTATCTGTGCATCTCTGCTGTGGGCAGTCTGCAGACACGCTTGATCATACATCGCAAGGGCTCGTCTTCTCTGGAGTATCACTCGGTGATGGAGACCTCCGAAGGCAGCCGCGTTAGTACGAAGCTCCTGGCAATGACGGGAACTCCGGAAGGGCGGCAACTGGGCGGCGAAGGCTACATCACCTGCGTGCGAGTCGAGCTGCGTGCTGCGAATGCCGAGAACGGGACACAATCTTCACTCGGCACGCCTGCTCAGTCTCCCCTCCTGCGCCCCACATTCAGCGAGGCTATCAAGGAGAATGGCGATGCTATCGGGTCTCCCCAAATGCGACCGCTCACCCTCGAGACACCACCGGCCAGGAATCTTTCTTCAGGTCACTATGCTGAGAAGGACTTTGTGTGTGCTGGCACATCCTCTGGCTGTCTAGTCGGGTGGGTCCTGCCATCATTCGAGGATCAAAACGCTTCGGTCGCATCTCCCTGTAGCCCTCGCTCATCACCGACCTTCGTTCTCGACTGCCATCACGCTGCCATCACCTCACTGGACGTGGCACCTCACCTCTTTGTGGTCGGCACGATCGATGGACAGCTCAAGGCTTTCGATTCGCTCACTGGTGAACCATTGAGGACATGGACGGACAGAATGGCAACGAAGCATCTCGCACGCCAGCTACTCGATCCCGCGCAGGCTCAGCAGGGAAGTCTGAGCACCGATGAGAGGGAGCGCTTCACTGTCAAGCAGATCTTAGTCGACGAAGAGTGGCTTGTGGCTGCCATTGGTCCTTGGGTCCTGGCTTGGCGTCCAGAGAGCGCCTTGAGCGGCCATCAGAAGCGACACGCTCCTCGTCTTGCATCTCCGCATTCCAACGGCACCCCTCCTGCAGGGCGTCGGACAAGCGGCATGCCACCTCTCAGCAAGTACGCTCGAATGAAGGAGCTCAAGACTGAGCTGGCCGAGAGTTCTCTCATTCTCGAAAGGGAGAAGGCTTCTCGGCAAGAGTCGTATGAGCGTTTGAGGTTCGCTCGCGGCTCGCAAGAAGTGGGCGGCTTGAGCGAGGAGGAAGCTCTGGAGTACGCCATGATGCTCTCTCGTCAGGAAGCGGAAGAGCAAGCTCAGAGAAAGGAGCGCGGTGAAGACGAGGTAGAAAGCACGCAGCTGAGCGAGCTAGCTAGGATCAGAAAGGAGGACAGGGAGCTGCAAGACGCCCTAGAACAAATCGCCTTAGCCGAAGCTGAGGAGAGCCGAGCGGGCATGAGCTCAAGAGGCGCTTCTCCAGGCTCACGAGCGTCACGCTCTTCAAGCGAAGCAGATGACCTCTCTGCCTACGAGGGAGAAGACTACGAAGGCGAAGGCGAAGACGGAGATGAGGAATTCCAGTCTCGGTACCTCTCTCCATCGCCTCACGCCTCTCCTCTGCTTTCTCCTCGATCGCCAGGCTCCTCGAACTCCCGCGCATGGGACATTCTGCGCTCCTCCCGCTCGCTCTCCAGCTCAGGAGCCGCATCACCTCTCCCCTTGTCTACCTCCGCGAGCAGGTCTAGGTGGGGCGAGCACACGAAGGTACAGACGGTACGAGTACCCAGAGAGTCTTGGTCGCCTCAGGTCCTCCCAGCTGCTAATGGTAGGAGCCTGCCTGCTGGCTCAGCAGACGGTGGGCAGGAAGAAGACTGGCCGACATTGCAGAGTGGGTCGTACTCTTCATCACAGCAGAGCCTATCGCCACTTGCACAGGAGGCTTTCAGCCTCGACGATGAGATCGATCCGATGAGTATGGTCTCTGACTCAGGCAAAGGCAAAGGCAAAGCAGACGACGACGATCCCTCGTCACCACCTGTGAATCTACCTCCGCCAATCTCGCCGACCCCTCAACAAGCATCTTTCTTCCCTGGCCCACCAGGCACGCCCCTTTCCCCACATCAGCCAGCCGTGAGCACCCCGAGCGTACAAGGCGCCTGGGCCAAGGGCACTCCAAGCTTCAAGAACGCCGCTGCTGCTGCTACCGTCAATGGCAGCTCTTCACCTTGGAGCGCAAGAGGCGGCGGTGGGTTTGCACCTCCTGCTGCTGCCGGAGCAGGAGGAGGCGGATTTGCCCATCGGAACGCTACCGCGTCGAGCAGATCGGGAGACGATTTTGACGAGGATCTGAGGTTTGCGATCGAGCTGAGCTTGGCGGAGGAGAGATCGAGGGGATGAAGGTCAGACAAGGGGAAATGCTTTTGAGGGGTACGGCGGCATTGTTTAGACTGTCTCTTTGTCATTGTGTACAGCGTCCGAACTCAGCCTCGGGTCAGACCTGCTCACCCAATCGCCATACTATCCACAGTATCTAATCCATCGCCCGTCTCTCTTCCAATCTGCCTGTCTATGCCATGCACTGCATATTTCTCCTCTCATCCGACACAATCGCATGCCCCTTTCCTCTTTGGGATCCCAAGACAAGGCATGTCTCGCAGCCTTTCCGCGCCCCTTTTTTCACCTCATGGCGCATAGCCCTGCGTAGCCAAGCAGGCCTGCCGCCCGCGCCCGCGCCCGCGCCTGAAGAAAAAATGCGTGGCGCTTCCCGCGTCTCTGACCCGGCACAGGCGCAAAGCCCAAGGATCTCGCTTTCCCGCTCTCCCGCACAAATGGAGCATTGGAGCAGTGCAGAGCTCTGAAACCGAAAGCGAAAGCGAGACCGAAGGGGAGCAGCGATAGGGAATTTGTTATTAGTGCAAAGAGTGCAAAGAGTGCGGAGCTTGAGGGGGAGGGAGTGTCGATAGGAAGGTAGAGGAGTTGAAAGAGGGGGGGAGAGAGGAGGGGATCATGCTGTGAGCGGAAGGCAGGGGGGGAGAAGAGAGATCGGAAGCGGAGGAAACGGAAAGAGCGCGGAAGGACTCTCGGCCGCCCGCCCGTCTGAGAAGATCCAGCCGCTTCCCGCCTCACCATCACCGCGTCCAAGGCAAGGCTCAAAAAAGGGCTTGATCACGCAGTCTTCTTGACTCGAACAGCTTCTCAATCACATCTGCTACACTGACAACATTGACTGACGCTCAGAGCAAGGATACAGTCCTTCACACGCAGCCGGAAGACGCTGAGCTTCTAGAGCAAAGCGCAATTGCAGGAAGCGCTCGCTGTGCTTGAGCGAACTAAGTCTAGCTTGGGGAGCGCCAGCATAGGTCGACTTGTCAGACAATCCAAGGTTAGTGGAGTGGCTACTGAGATGAGTGTGCTCTTTTGGGGTGGGGTTGGTGCAGGGGCATTGTTGGGGCGATCGAGATGGCAGGCAATCGCCGCGCTCGGCTAGCATCCGTATGCCTGCTGCCCGCGCGGCTTCCCCACTGGCACGGTCACAGGACGGCCTTTCGGCCCACACTACTATTAGCCTTGACCTCCTGTTCCTTCTTCCTTCCTTTCCTTACAGACACACATCACAACCATACACGTTCTACCACACCAGAGATATACAGTACCGCGACTTGATCCAACAACCTGAACTAACGACCCGATCAAATATGTCAAACCAAGCACGTCCCTCTTCGCCCTTCAACGCCCCTCCTGTGGGAGAAGGAAAGCGTGCGACGGATTCCACCAAGTGAGTCAAAGACCTAGCATCACCTTGCTTCCTCCCTGCTCAGCCTGAGACTAATTCTGTCATTGTATCCCGCATTCTTCGTTCGTCCTACTTCTGCAGCGCTCCTTCGCCCGCCAGAATGCCGGCAGTCAATCCGGAAGAGTTGATCATCAGCGATCCCTCTTCACACCCAAGCAGCAATCTTGCTGTTACCGGATCGGCTAATGATGAACAGGGATTCCAAGCAACCGGAGCACCTCCAGCAAGCGAAGGACCCCATGCGACGGAAGAGCCTCGAGAGGCGGAAGCAGAAAGGGAGACAGGAGAAGGAAGTGGCCGAAGAGACGAGCCGAAGGGGTCGAGAGGGCAGAGAGGTGGTCCGAAGGATGGGGCCAGGCGAAAAAAAAAGAAGGGTGTAGCGAATGATGAAGTCGGGAGGAATGCATTCTTCGCCCGCATGAGGCGCAAGACGAAGAAGATCAAGAAGGAAGAGTAAGGTCCTTCTCGGTGAATGGAAAGAGCTTCTGAGGCAATCGCTTTGCGGGCACCCTGTAGTGTGACTGTTCGACTGGAGTGAGGCACCGTCGACCCTGCAGTCCACGTCTGTGGACTATAATCGTTGCCAACACTTCTTCCAACACCGTCATCGATTCATCGAGTGCTTCCTCTGAACGAAAGAGGGATTCAGATGTTGCCGAATTGAGCCATGATAAGATGGAGCCGAGCTCTCGTTCAGGTGCCGGAGTGAGGCGGCGAGACTCACCCTTGCTAAACAGAGGAAGCATGAGGAGTCTCATCAGCCTTCTTCTCCCGTCCACTTCAGGAGACCAAGGATCGGTAATGGGGAGCAGAACGAAGAGAGAGTCGTCGGGCCCTGCATTATGTGCGACGAGTCGGGTTGCTGGGGCGAGAGAGAAGGCTCATGGTCGCCGCGCTCGGCTAGCATTTGTCTGGCTGCTGCCTCCGCCGCCTCGCCACTGGCACGGTCAAGGGCGGCCTTTCGGCCCATACTATTAGCCTTGACCTCCTCTTTCCCCTTCCTTTCCGTACAGACATCCTTACAGACACACATCACAACCACACACGTCCTAACACATCAGAGACATACACTACGACAACCTGGTTCAAGATGTCCGACTCAGCTCGTTCCTCTGTGCCCGACAACACCCTTCCTGCGGGAGAAGAAGATAATGAGACGAGGGGTCACAAGTGAGTCGAAGACCTAGCACCACCTTCAGGCGAGACCACAGTGGTCACTGCTTCGCTGCTCGGCGTGAATTTGACCCTGTCATTGCATCCCACACCCTTCGTGAACCCTTACGATTCCCTAGCGCTCCTTCCCCCGGCGAATCCTTGGCAGCCGAGCTTGAGGAGCTGGCACTTCAGGCCCCTCTGCAAGACCCACGCAGCATCTCTGCTGTGGCCAATCTGGAAAACAGAGTAGCAGCGATGGCTCTCCGTAGGGCTATAGCTGTTACAGAATCTCAAGCAGAGGAAGGCAATCAAGAGGTGGCAGAAGCAAGGCCAGCAGAAGAGGGTGACGTGGGAGGCGAAGCAGGCGGAGAAAGGGCTGATCAAGCAGGTGACGGAAGAGACGAGCGGGTTGGGTCGAAAAAGGGGAGAGGACGAAGCGGAGGAGAAAGGGCGGAATCATCAAGATCAGGACGACGTAAGGGGGTAGCCAACGCCGAGCTGGGAAGAATGGCCCGTTTCGCTCATCTGAGGCGCAAGAAGAAGAAGATCAAGAAGGAGAAGTGAGGCCATGAAGGTTGATACGAGGGAGATTGTTTAGCTTATATCTTCGAAGGCAGAGTGTGACTGGCGCGGGGCACGATCGACTGTACGAGCGAGGATCATGAGCTAGACCTGTTGCGTGAGCTCCTTTCCAATCCGTCATTCAGTCACAGAGGGAATAGATTCTTTGATTGAGGATTTGAGACACTGTCGCCTTGAATCACAACCCTGCAGGAGCCGAGCACTTCCCCATGTTCTGGCGTGAGGCATCGGCACTTGCGCTCGCTAGAAAGTCGAATAGCATGAGCTGTGTGATCCTCCGTTCGTCCTATGTTCCCCTCCGGCAGACTCAGGAGGCGTAAAGTACGGAACGGCACGCTAGAGGCACGCTGTTGAGGACTGCAGTGGGTAGGTGGAGGTGCGGTGTTGGAGCGAGAGACCAGGAACAACAGTAGCCGCACTCGGCTTGTGCTCCCTCCGCCCCACGTGGGCAGTCGAGGGGGCAGGCGTATACACTCGACCTTGCTGGCTCAAATGGACCTCACCCACCTGCTTCTTGTTCCTGGTTCCTCTCCCCATCGAATCACCACCCTTTTGCGTCTACGATGGCTCAGCCTAGTTCACCACCTCATCAAGATCGTCCCCAATCTTTGCCGTCTCAAGAGCAGAGAGACACAGGCGCAAGAACCCAACAGTGAGTCCATGAGCTGAGTGTGTTTCCGAAAGGGACCGGGTGCAGTTCAGGATCGAAATTGACCCAGAGACTACCCCTCGCTCTTGCACCAGGCTTGCACCTCTCGACGAAGAAGACACTCGAGCAGACGGAGCAGTACCTCCAGCACCAGCGCGAAGGATTGTAGTACAGCGAGGAGCAGGACAAGATGGAGGCAACGCGACGACAGTACCAGACACAGACAACGCGACAGCACGCCACAGAGGTAACGCAAGCACAGCACCAGACACAGACAACGTGACAGCACGAGACAGAACCCAGGTGGCAGAGCAAGGTACAGAGCAGGCCGAAGGAGGAGGACGTGGAGGAGGGGTAGCCAGGGGAGAAGCCGGAGTGAGGGGGGCGAGAGGGAGAGGAGGGCGAAGGGGTAATGCCAACCCCCGCGTCATTGATGCTGCTCGCTTGGCCTTCTATAGGCGAAGACTGCGGAGGCAAGGGCGATGAGCGCAAGCCAGTGTACTCATGAGTGTGACATTCAGATTCAATGATCTTGACAGAATGTTTGTCTGGAGCTTGAAGCACCGTTTCTCGATGGGGTACGATGAGAGGCAGCACTAGTGAAAGTTGATGCACAAGTAGTGATGTAAAACAGGCACAGAAGAGACAGAGCAGGAAGAGAAGCTGAGCGAGAAGGACGGGGCCATCGAGGATTCACAAGAAGGAGGAGAAGAATCGCACCACAAAATCTCTGTATTCGGGCAACTTTCCGTGGCGCGATGAGAAGAAGATGAGGAATGCAGCGAATCAGTGACCGAGGTGAGATACGCCAACGTCAACATTTCAGCATAGTCTGCAGAAGAACGTCTGTAGAGTGCTGTAGCGCGAATGATTAATCCACATTAGTAGCCGAAACAACAAGCTCATGGGAAGACCGAGAAGGCAGACAGAGAGTGATTGCGCTGAGAGTCGTAGGGGCAAAGGCAATGTTCTCGACCAACGCGCGCAGACGGCTGACGTGGCGTAGAGCGCTCAGTCAAACAGCACCCCCTCTCTCGTCCTCCCTCCTCTCCTTCTTTCTCTCACCTTCCTTCCTCTCTTCTCCTCCTTCTTCTTCCACCTGATACCTGCGTACTGTACTGTACATCACAATACCTGTTCCCCAGGCACATGAAGGTCCTGAGGGCCGTTACTGTCACATTTGCAGCACCCTTTGCCAAGGATGGGCCACTCTCAAGGCTGGAGGCTTCAGAACTCTCGATAGGGATGAAGTCCTTGTCAAGTGAGTCGATCTTCAGCGAGTGATACTGTACATTCGTCTCTGCTGATCAGAGATGTCTCGGACCTCTGCAGTCCCTTCCTTCCTCACTCCACCCAGACACACCGCACATATGTCTGACCTTGCCCTCAATATCGACTCGTATCATCTACAACAGGATCAAGATGCTGCGACGCAAGATCTCCAAAGGACACGAAAGCTTTGCACAGAGCAAGAGCGAGGAGAGGGGAAGGCGAAGGGGAAGGCGAAGGGAAAGTGGCCGGAGTGGGAGCGACAGGGTTGCCGAGGGCAGAGAAGTGGCCCGAAGGATAAAGCCAGACGGAAAGGAAGAGTTTAGGAAATACCGAGGTCGAGAGGACTGCCTTCTTCGCCCATGTGAGGCGCAATCGGAGGAAGATCAAGAAGGAAAAGCAAGGTCATCACCAGCAATTGTACAATTGGTTCGAGTCAGTCGTTTTGCGGGCACCCTTTAGTCTAAGTGATCGACTGGCGTCATCAAGATCGTCCACAGATCCTACAGGCGGAACAGCGAAGAGACCTTGGTCCCAGATCTCTGCAGTGAGTCGATGAGCTAGTGACGCTTTCGAAAGATCGAAACAGTGAAAGATCGAACTGATGCAGAGGCTCTTGGTCGTTCTCACACTAGACGTTCGCCTCTTGCGGTAGAACATACCCGAGCAAACAGAGCCGTAGCTTCGCAACCAGCACCAGCGACTGCTGTAGAGCAAAATGTACAACAAGACAGAGACGACGCGTCAGCAAGTCACAGTGTCCAGGCGGCGCAGCAAGACAGACTCGAGGCGTCACAGCAGGACAGAGTCCAGGCGGCACACCAAGACAGAGTCCAGGCGGCTCAGCCAGCACCGGCCGAACGATTGCTGCTGCTGCTCCCTACAGTCGTAGCAGCACCGCGATTGGAAGAAGAAAGGCAAGGTGGAGGGCGAAGAGCAGTCCTTCCTCTCCCACTGAGTATCTGCGTACTGTACTATACATCACAACATGGGCTTCGCAAGCACGTTCATGGCCTTGAGTGCCGCGTTGATGCAGACCTCCAGAAGCCTTGCTCGGTCATGAAGGGCTGACAGGAGTGAAAGGAGGAAAGTGCTTGTCAAGTGAGTCGATGTTCAGCTCGTGGTACACTCAACCATGCTGACTAGCTTTCTTTCGAATCTCTGCAGTCCCTCTTTCCCTGATCACACACTCCTGACACAAGGAAAAGACGTCCGATCGGAACCCACCATCCGCCTCGTCAATGCCAGGTTCACCTGCCTTCTCGACTCTTTCCAGAGAAGCTCAGCAGAAAGAAGGCCCAGCTCCAGAATCTGGACGTTAAGTCGATGGGAGCGTCCCAACAGAGAGCAAACTGGTCACTCCATCGGCGGATGAAGTAGATCTGACTTTGTCTTCTCACACCAGTCCTTGCTCAAATGCTTTCTCCTCAATCCCCTTCGACTATCTCACGGAGGACTTGCAAGCTCTCGCCCTTCGCCCGCATCCTCCTCCTGGCGACAGCAATGCCTCCGGTCTTAGTACGCTGGAGAGAGGCGTCGGTGCGTTGAGCCTACGAAGGGAAGAAGCCATTCAAGCACAGGACTCCCAACAGGATGCAGCAGGCCCGGAGAGAGCGGAGGCCAGGGAAGGAGAAGGGGCATGAGGAAGAAGCAGGGGGAGAGGCAAGCGGACGGGCTCCACAGGGCAGCAAGGCGGTCCGAAGCAGGGAGCTACACGAAAGAGGAAAGGTGTAGGCAACAAGGAGATCGGAACGGCAGCTTACCATGCGAATCGTAAGCGTAACGCCAAGACGATCAAGAAGGATAAGTGAGGCGATGGAGATGGTGCACGCTGTGTGAGTCTTGGCCCCCAGTATCATGATGGAGTGCTCGATCGCCTGCAACTGACTCAAGCTGCTTTCTCTCGACTCTCCGCCTCTTCAGGACTTCTGATCGCCCCAAAGAAGCACACAAGTCTGGGCAAATCTCTTCAGCGGTCTCTGCGTCTCATGTACCGGTCCACCTTGCTGCCATCCCGCCTCTTATAGCGGATCAACCCTATCAATTTGAGGCCGTATTGAAAGAATACAGAGGCACTCTTTCCGAGGTAGAGGCAAGGCGCAAAGAAGCTCAGGCAACGCTGGCAATGCTGTCTTCCCCCGGTCCCGATAGGTGAGTCCAGGGTGCAGTGGGGTCCTCTCCGATCGGGTCAGTCCTTGCAGTGCTACGATACTGATCCAGAATCTACTTTGCCCTTCCTCTCCAGTCTGTTGGTCCACCAGGAGCCTCATACGCCCCCATCCGCTCAGCATCACGAGCATGAGACGCCTCGAGCGCCTCTTGCCGCCATCCAACGGGAGTTTGCGGCCTTACGACTGGAAGAAAAGAACCTTCTGAAGCACACCCCTTGACCATGTTCGACTGTGAGTGAAGTGACAGTGATCGACTCAAAGGGGTCAAGGCAGCTTTTCATACCCTCAGCTCGGTGTCACTGGCGCTTTCCTGTCTTCTGAGTATCACTTGCGCTCCTTCCCTCTGCAGTCTTTAGGTTGATAAGTGGAATTCTGCAGTCTTTGGGTGGATGTGTGGGATTCATCAGAGGGGCGATCAAGCAGGGACAGGCTCCCGCGCCGAGCTGTCATCCTGGATGAGAGCAACTGCCGTCGCGCTCGCCTACTTTCAAGCGCACGCTGGCTTGGAAGATCGTGGCTTCTCCTCTCCTCCTTCTTTCTTCCTACTCCTCCTTTCCCCATACTCTTTCTCTTGGCCAGACAAACGCATACGTCCACTACAATGTCCTCCCCTGGCTCTCTCCCTGAGCTCTCTCCACCACCTTCCCCTTTTCCCATCTCTGCTGAATCACCACCATCCATGCCCTCCCCTTCACTTGAGGGCACCATGGCAGAGTTGCTTCGAATCAGGGCCAGGTTGGCCGCCTACGCACGCTCGCGCTCGGAGGAAGCTGCTACATCGACACTCCCGCCTCCTCAAAGGAGCCATCGTTCTGTCTCCGGCCCAATCGCGTGAGTCATTGAAGTTGCGATGCTTCTGGCTGGATGAACATAAGTCATTCCGTCCGTTGCTAGAGAGCCGACATTGAGGTTTTGTCTTGCACTTTCACTCTAGCACAACTCAGTCTCAGGAAACATCAATCCCGAGCTCTCCTCTCTCCCGCCTTGAACAAGGCCTGGAAGTAGCAAGACCAGAGGAGCAGGCACAAGACGCACACGGAGCCCGAAGGGAAGGAGAAGCAAGAGAGGTACCTCGAAGAGCTGCAGCAGGTACTGGATCTCGACGACCTAGAAATCAAGGACCTGAAGATGAAGAAGCTGACTATCACCACCCTGGATATCAAGGGGCAGATGTACGAGCAGGAGGACCAAGAGGCGGAAGGGGCCGACAGCAAGGAAGAGGAGAACCCCGAACAGCCCGGAGGGGGAGACGATCAGCAGGAGAAACAAATGGGGCCAGACCTAATCGCGGACAACCGAGTCTGGCAGATGCTCAGTTTGCGTTTTACAGGCGAAGAATGCGGAGGAGGTGGGGTTGATGGTTCTTTCGAGAGCATTGAAAACAGCCTTCGATCAGCGTCAAAAGAAGGACAACACCAGGTCAAAGCTCTTCCAACTTCTTTACATCTATGTCGACCACCCCTTCCCCGAGAGGAAGTACTCTAGAAGTCAGGCTGCTTCCACGCCTCGTGCTGGATTTCAGCCGGCTGAATCGTCCGTTGTCGCATCATAGTCGGCCGCGACTTCTGCTCTTTGGCGTCAGAAAGTAGCTTTTCGACAAGGCCGCTCAGGGTGCTGTGTCTCTGTTTGTCTCTGGACTGTTTTCGCTATCATCAATGTCGTTTCAGGCGGCCACACTAGGATGTTGTGCACTGCGGAAGAGCGGAAATGAGACTTGTAATGCCTACTCTGGGTCTGCAACCCACGAGTCTCAGCAAATTGTCGTCAGGCTCCCTGCAATTCGTACACTTGTGTCGTCGAGTGCCTTCTTTGATAGAGGAAATCCAATCAAACTTCGCCGTATTGTTCCACAGTAAGGTAGTTCTTATTTCTCTCTTCTTAGACGGGCACTGTCCGCACATCTCAACGGTATCGAACCCGGTCTGTGGGATGTGATTGAGATGAGCGAGCCAGGTACATCCCTCAACGTGGAACACGTGACGTGCTGGTCTGCCAGCCATGGCTTCGTGCTGTCATGCCCGACTGCTGACGGGGCGCGGAGGCACCGCTTGCCTCTGCTGGCTACAAAAAGCGCTGACGTCCTCTTCCTCCCTCTTTCCCCTTCAGACACACAGTATACCATAACGATACCCAAATTTCTACAACACACACTCATCACCACTTCCAGATGTCGGAACCTATCGTTGATCTTGACTCGTCAATGGCAGGATCCCCCGCCTTCTCGACTGGGTCCCGAGAGGCTCATCAAAAGGAAGGCTCAGCTCCAAAATCTGGACGGTAAGTTGATGGGTACGTCCCAACGGAGAGCAGACTGGTCACTCCATGGGCGGATGAAGTAGATCTGACTCTGTCTTTCACACACCTCACACCAGTCCTACCCCCGACCCACAGTCCCCGTCACCTATCGGCAATCTGATGGAGGATTTGGAGGCCCTTGCACTTGGACAAAACCCTCCTCTTGGAGACAGCGGTGCCTCAGATCTCGGTGTCCTGGAGAGAGGCGTCAGCTCCTTGGACCTCAGAGCACGCGCGGACACAACCAAGGCTAATGCGACACCTCCGAATCCTCCTCTTGGAGACAGCGGTGCCTCATATCTCGGTGTCCTGGAGAGAGGCGTCAGCTCCTTGGACCTCAGAGAACGCGCGGACACAACCAAGGCTAATTCGACGCAAAGGCATGCAGAGGTGGCAGACCAAGGGGAGGCCAGAGGGAGTGAAGTCGGAGGTGAAAGGGAAGAGGAGAGGAGAGTAGAAAGAGAGAGGGTAGTCGAGGGAATGGGCGGGGCACGTGAGCGACAGGGGTCCAGAGGGCAGAGAGGCGGTCCGAAGGAGGGGCCTCGAAAAAGGAAGGGTGTAGGCAACAAGGAAATCGGAACGGCTGCTTACCATGCCAATCGTAAGCGTAAGGCCAGGAAGATCAAGAAGGAGAAGTGAAGAAGGAGAAGTGAAGACAGCAGGGGAATAGAGACAAATTCGAGCTTTGAGAGAATACTGTGGTGTGACTCTTCGACTGAAGCATCGACTGCACCCAACGCCTGCACGTCTGCGAGCTAGATTCGTTGCTGACACTTTATCATTCGGGTCACGGAGTGCTTTCTGTGGAAAAACCATTCAGACATCGCCGGATTGAGCCAGTCGTAAGGCGGAACCAAGCTTTCGCTCAAAGTGCTGGGGAGAGGCGGCGAGACCCACGCTCGCTACATGGAGGAAGCATGAGCTGTCTCATCATCCTTGTTTGCCCCCGTTCCGTTCCGGGAGCTCAGGAAGGGGTGGATTGGGGAGCAAGACGAGGAGTGAGTTGTTGGGCTCGACAGTGCGTGCATTGAGGTGCATTGCTTGGTCGAGAGATGAAAGCCATGGTCGCCGCGCTTGCTAGCGTCTGCCTGCCACTGCCCTCGACTTCCGACGCGGCCCGGAAGGACTCATTGACCCTGATCTGGCTACTATACTGGCAGCTTCAGCGTCCTGCTCTTCCTTCTCCACCCTCCCGACTACCACCCACCGAGATTGACCATGTCCGACCCCGATCGCTCCAACGCATCTCCACCCGACTCTTTTGTTGCCTGCCTAGATGCACTCTGCCGGGCGGAACAAGCCTGCCGCCCACTGCTTGTATTGCTATCAAGGCTATCGCTTCACAATGAGTACCGTCTCGTCATTCAGCAAGAAATCGAGCAACCAATCCTTCCTCCGCTCCCTCCTCAGTAAGTGACTGGCCTCTCCATACCTTCAGAACAGACCAAAAGTGTCGAGGCCTTGATCCTGAGGCTGACGCTGACATGACGCCCACTATGCTCTTCCCAATAGGACGCCATACATTCGAAGAAAGTGGGAGAGAACCCGAGCCGAAGGTGCACCCATTATCGCCCGAGCAGCAGCAGCAGCAGCACAAGTGGCAGCACAAGTAGCAGTGGTAGCCGCCAGCACAGCAGAAATACAAGCCGGTGAAGCAAGATCAGCAGCAATTTCAGGAGAACCCGCAAGAGCGGATGCGGCGGCCCGAGCAGCACGAGTAGCATATGGAATGGTTCTCGGAGCAAGAGCGACAGTGGCAGTACTGGCATCCACAGCAAGGGCAGAGGCGGACGAAGCACAAGCAGCAGGCGAAGCAGGAGACGCAACAGCCGATACCAAAGCGGACGTACAAGATGTGCTCCAATCAGCTGAAGATGCAGATGATGAAGAGGCAATAGCTTTGGGACAAGTAGCGGCAGCAGCAGCGTCAGCCGCATCGGCAACAACAGCCGCAAGTACCGCGGCCGCCGCTGCAGAAGCTCAAGCAGCAGTAGAGCTTCAACGAGGAAAAGCCAGACAACATGCAGAAGAAAGAGGAGATGAACGGCTCAAGGAAAAAGCAATGGACACATGGAGACCGAAGCAGGGGGCTCAGGAGGAAGTGGAGGGAAAGAAGAGGGAAGGGGTGGACGAGGAACGGGTGGACGAGGGACGGGTGGACGAGGGACGGGTGGACGAGGGACGGGTGGACGAGGAAAGGGTGGAAGAGGAACGGGTGAACGAGGAACGGGTGGACGAGGGAGGGGCAATATCTGTGGCCAAGACCGACTCTCCGCCGGTCATTTAGGGTTCATTGTAAGGCAACGGGAGAATAAGAAGAAGGAATGACGTCGGGGCAAAGACAAAGGCGAATCTCCCGACTCTAGAGACAGAGGTAGAACGAGCGGTCGAAGGAAGGTTCCAATGATTTATTAGTCTCTCAGCTCAGACGCCATCATCCTTGAAATTGATTGCTTCGTCTCTTGGATGTCTAGGGTGGCAACGTAAGTGACGTCGGTAGAATGAGCGATAAGTATGGCAATCGCTGCCCTGAGCTTTGTAGGGGCAATGGCAAGCTGCAGAACACAAGCCGATCGAGACAGACGATGTCAACGCATAGAGACAGCGTCAAAGCTTTGAGTTTCGAAGACAGAGTGAGAACATGCAATATCTCCGCTCTTGCTACGCTGGAGAGAGCCGTCGGTGCGTTGAGCCTGCGAAGGGAAGAAGCTATACAAGCACAGGATTCCCAACAGGATGCAACAGGCCCAGAGAGAGCGGACGCGAGGGAAGGAGAAGAGAAAAAACAGGAAGGGGCAAGGGAAGGAGAAGGGGCAAGAGAAGGAGAAGGGGCAGAAGGAAGTGGGAGAGGAGGCAGGCGGACGGGCTCTGGAGGGCAGCGAGGTGGTCCGAAGGAGGGAGCTCCGCAAAGGAGGAAGGGTGTGGGAAGCAAGGAGATCGGAACGGCAGCTTATCATGCAAAACGTAAGCGTAAGGCCAAGAAGATCAAGAAGGAGAAGTAAGGACATTATGGGAACAGGAGATTTTCTAGCCCTGAGAGCATACTATGTTTCGACTGTTCGACTGGAGCGAGGAACCATCGACTGCACTCGACATCTGCGAGCTAGTGCCGTTTCCGACACTTCTTGCGGTCTCATCATTTGGGTCACGGAGTGTCTCCGCTGACAAAAGAATTCAGATGCCCGCCAGGTTGAGCCATGGTAAGGGTGAGCCAAGATTTCGCTCAAGTGGTAGAAGGTGGCGGCCAGACCTTCCCTCGCCTGAAGAGAGAAATTGAGGTTGTCTCATTCTCCTTGTTTCCTCCCATTCCAAACTACCCTGGAGGTGTGACTTCGGTAGCGGCACGGAGTGCTCTACGATGCTCATCCTAGGCAAGCCCCTCTCGGCGTAAAGCACACACAACGAAATCGGGGAGTAACTCCAGCAGCAGCACCTCGACTGCAGCACAACAACGAGCAGGACGTGATACAGTAGAGGCGATACGACATCACAAAGCAAACTACAAGACAGGATTCAGGCGGCAGAGCTAGCATTAGCCGAACGACTGCAAGGGGCAGCAGCAGCAGGAATGTTGTATCTAGGAAGGGAAGGTGGAGAAAGAAGAGGAGCATGCGAGGTAGAGGAGCAGCGCGAAGCTCTGCGAGAAGGCGAACAAGGGCTATGACGAACGCTCAAATTTGGGGAAGCGGTCCGTTAGGCGGCGAGATGACGAGCGATGTCGAGGAGAGAGCTTCAACATAGAAAGTTCGACAGAGCGACTGTACAAGAGAAGCATCGGTTGTGCACCTGCCTTAGCAGGTCGTCCGTGCGCGCTCGTCCATTTCGGTCACTGCCTGTCTGATGTGATTCAAATGGTTCCACCGAGTGCGTCGTGGGGAAAGAATCACGGCTCTGAGCAACCGTCGTACAGGCAGACCGCTTTAGCGCGCGTCCGTGTCCGGCCCCTAGCAGAATACGGCGTGGTCTTGCTCACCCTGCTTGCTTTATCTCCAGACAGTCACGTCCATACCACACACCCGACATGCCCCCACCAGCCCAACTACGTCTCCCACCGCCACCTACATCCTCTCGCTATGCTGCCGCTTTGCATTTGACTGTCGAGCAAACCCTTCGACTTGACGCCATCTTGGCGGAATACAGAGGAAATCACCCGGAGGTACTGGCAAGACGTGGGGAGATCATAGCAGAGATAATGTACGCTCGGCTCGCGTTACTCGCACGCCTGGAACAAAGGCCTCTCCCAAAGTGAGTCATTGAGCTAGTCACACTAGGCTTCTTGATTCTGGGACTGACCTCGGAGACCATCAACGCTTTTTGCATTAGCCGCGACGAACAGGGACACAACAGAGGCGATGAAGTTATGGCAGCGCCAGGGCAAGAAGCAGCACGGGCAGGAGAAGCCGAGAGAGAGATCCAAATCGGAGCAGCGCAAGAGAGACAAGGAGCAGAAGTCCAACAGCGAGGAGCCAGAAGAGAGGTCGAAGCACGACGAGGAGAAGCCATACGACAAGTAGAAGGGCGACGAGAGGGAAGGGGAGACAGACGCCAGGCGGCGGCTCGAGTCAGCAGAGCTCATGAAGCATATTTAAGACGACGACGAAGGAGACGGGGGAGGGGGAACTGATCACTTCGACCGACAACAGCCAGAATATTCGCAGGGTGCCCCTCATACGAGGCTCAGACGCGGTACCAGCCATTCTACCAATCCATTTGCTTTGCCTTTGACGTACAGTCTTCCGAGTGGAGGCACGATTGACGTCTATACAAAGTCCGAGAAGGCTGGAAGTGACTGCGCTGAGAGTCGTAGGGGCAAAGGCAATCCCACCGCGCACAAACGGCTGACGTGGCGTGCAGTGCTCAGTCCCAGTCATGCTGGATAGCAAAGCTCACCTTCTCTCATTTTCGTACTCTTCTCGTCCTTTTTTCCTTTGTCATCCTCCTCCTCTTTGATCCTCTGCCTTCTTCCACTGCTGCCTCTAGATATCCCTTACTATACTGTACATCACAATAGTGGTCCGCCAAGCATACTTCTAGCAACTCCATCCTCATACATGGATCTTGCGGCTATCCCCCCTGCATTGACGTCGATGCTCTCATTGGCGCCGATGCTCATCTCCCTTCTCCAACGATGACCACTTTCCAGGAACAGACTCCAGTCAAGACTTCCAGAGATGTGCCTCGGATGTACAAGGGGGAAGTGCGACATCTGTTTAGTGAGTCGAGATCAAGAGGAGGGTACAGTTGCCCATAACGATTGTAGAGGCCTCAAACCCCTGAGATCCTACCGTTCGACACCACACCACAGTTCCGTCCAACATGTCCAACCAAGCATGTCTTCCTTTGCCCGGCAACGATCCTCCTACGGGAGAAGAGCATCGTGAGACATGGTGTCCCAAGTGAGTCAAAGACACAGCATCACCTTCGAAGAGACTGGAGTGCTCACTTCTTCGCTGCTCGGCCTGAGACTGACCCTGCCATTCCATTCGACGCACTTCCTTTCGTCTTGCGACTCCCCAGCGCCCCGCTCCCTGCCGAGACCTCAGCAAGCAATCCGGAGGAAAGCGTCAAGGGGGTGGCAAACAAAGCGATTGGCACGGCGGCATACTCTGCAAATCGCAAGCGAACAGCCAAGGGGATTAAGAAGCAGAAGTGAGGGGGAGAATGGTATGATACTGTAATACCAGGCAGATGGTGCACGTCGGGTGAGTGTTGGCCACGAATACCATGTCGGAGATGGACGGCTCTCTCGCCTGCAAGGAACTCAAGCTGCCACCTTCTCCGCTCCTTCTTTACCTCCCTTCGCTCCAAACAAGCTTATGAACACAGCACACACAGGCAACTCACTCATCAAGCACAGGCACATGAGCATCCATGTACGTCAAGCTCTTCGATTATCTCACCTTCCCACAGACCAGTCTGCTGTGGCCTACACTCTTTCCTTTACCGGCGATGAAGTCCATCAAGCGTATGCTGGCATACTATGGGGTCACTCTCTATGATTCCGAGGCAAGGCTTGACAAAGCTGCATGTCGGATGGCGTTTCAGACTGAGAAGGGACATAATGAACAGGTGCCTCTCGAGCGCGAGAAGCATAGAGAGGAACATACGAAAGAGATTGAGGAGCTCCGAGACGAGCGGGACGAGCTTCGGATGGGGCATCAAAGCGAGCAAAACACTGCTCGACTGGACGTCACAGCTGGGCCTGCACGCCAAAGGTCAGTCATCAACAGAGGGGGAGTATCACGGAGGGGGCTTCAGCACTCACAAGTCTCATGCACTGCCTTAATGCCTTCCAGGGATCAGGAAGCCTTCCAAGCGGAGGTGTTCCCTCAAGCAGCCGCCAGGGAAACAGCAGTAGAAGGCACTCAACAGCCTTTTCGCCCTACCTACCCTGTTCACGCCCGTTCGGGACCCCGGAAGAAGCCCTCTCGTCGCCGTCGATGAAAAGCTTGTGCAACGAGTCTGTCGCAGACTTCTGTTCTTTGATTGCGGTACCGCGATACTCCTCGTCCTCATGTCACGCCACCATCGCTTTTGCAAAGGTACTCCATTCAGCCATCCATACACGTCAGAATAGAAAGGACTAGACAAGCGAGACAGCCTTGCTAGGCCTGCGGATGTGTGTGGTAGTGTAGGCAGAGCAGATGGAGAGTATGCGATAAGGACTGAAATGGCGAAGTAGTGACATTGCTAGAGTAGAAATCGAGTTACGTGGTTCGCCTGGAGGGGGTGTCTCTGTTTAGCTGGCTCGTCTCAATCATGCTGCAAGCTGTCAGGTCTCTTTCGCAGTGTCTGTCAACATCCGAATCTCTCGATCACGCTTTCTTCGCTTCAGCTTAGCGAATCGAGCAGTCCATCTAATCGCAGCTCTCGTCTTGCCCCTTCGTCCATCTCTTTCTCCCCACCTGCTTTTGCTACCCCGCCCTTCGTCATCGACCTCCTTCTTCTGCTTCTGATTCTTCACCTACCGCACTGGTCGGGTGTTGACTTTGGTGCAGCTCGTGCCCATACCAAATGTCCTTCCTGTTGTGGTCGTTCTGCACCTCTTCGTAGACCCCCAGTTTCACCCACCTGCCTTGCTTTGTCCGCCGGTGTCACTGGTGGAGTTTCTCAGGCACCTACCTCACCTGCAGTGTAGCGACTAGACTTGCGCGTTGGATCGCGAACTCTCTATAGAGAGAGGAGAGGCCTGTTTTGCGAGACCCAGACAATGTTACTGTACTTTAAGAGAAAGGAACGTGAGAAAGCCTGACACGGAAGGCCTCAACGGAAGTGCATTCGCTGGCCCGCCTGCTATGGTTTGGCGTGATTGTCAGGCGGCCTCTGTCGCTCATTCACATCAGGTACAGTAGGCACACTGACATGAGGCTCCTACTGCAAATTCACTCCATGGCACGGCAGCAGTGATTCATATTGCGGCTCTGTGCCTTTTGATGTGAACTAGTAAGGTGCGCCGCAAGCGGGGCTGAGGGGCAAGAGGATCGCTGCCTTGGATGTCTGTGTACGCAGACTCGCGTCTGTCAGCTGCCGCGCTTGCAGGCCCGACGTGGCCAAGCAAGACCAGGTCACTCTCGCCTCGGCCTCAATAGACAGCCAGGGCAGCTTGACCACCCTTCTACCCCTTCTACTTCTTTCGATACAGCCAAGTCCCGTTCATCACTTACTACCGCACGATGCCTCCAACAAGAAGTCCCCGACCTTTACCACCCCCGCCAACCCCCTTCGACGTTCCCCAAGTCCTGCAACTAGTGCTCCCGGAGTCGCGTCGAAGAGCCGAACGTCTTCATAGGTGGAGAAGAGAACAACCCGTACGGCACAGAAGGGGTGTAGGCATTCAATCGTGGTACACGGTAAATTACGATGACTTCATGGACCAGACGTGAGTCAGCACAGTAGCAGTGCTAGTCTGTAGGTGCCGGTACCTATGAGACTAAGACCGCCCTTTTCGCTTTACACTAGATTCACATCTCGTCTGAGGGCTTCCGCGCTTCTCCCCCGTCCATTTCGCCCTCGACTACACCACGGCGTCCCAGTCGACGACATGAGCTCCTATCCCTTGCGTCACTTTGCGCAAGATGTACGACGAGACAGGCATCTCGTTGCCGGGTACCCACAGGAGCGAGCAGCAGTTTCACCAGGCAGGCAAAGGGAAAGAGGTGCAGGAGAAGCAGAGCGAGGTGACAGGGAGGAAGGAGGAAGGAGGGACGCAGTAGTCAGAGGAGGGGCGAGGGGAGGGGGCCGAAGGGGAAGGGGAAGGGGAAGAAGCAACGGTGCGGACACTGTTGCTCACCTGGCTTTCCGCAGGCGAGTGTGGCGTAGGAGGGGAGCTTGAAAAGAAGGCAATCAATGATTTGCCACTTCACCGAAGGCAGACTGATACGGCGCAAGTGAAGAGGTCAACAGCGATCATCCTGTCTCTGAAGCATAGAGCTATCATGATCCCAGCCAGAGTGGGAGTCCAGTCAGTGGTACCCTCTACTGTACGAAGTTCACTCTCTTGTTCTCACACTAGCTCAGACAAGAGATTCTGCATGCTCAAGGATAGTTATTCAAGTCTCGGTGCGACGAGGCCTCTTTCTACAGGGTGACTCGCCAGCGTCCGAGTGAGGCAAGGGCAGCGGCGAGAGATTTCTGAAAGGGCATACGAAGATGATGACTTTGTCAGCTTTGAATAGAGTAACTTCCCTTCCTTGCAAGTGCGACTGACTCTTCCTGAGCGCCAGGTGTCTGTGCTTCTTCGAGAGTCAAAGTTCTCCCCTCGAGAGCCTCAAGAGCTTCTTTGGCCTCGTCTCTTTCCGCTCGAAGCTGCTCATTCTCCAGGAAGAACTCTTCGTTCGCCTCGTGGAGCTCTTGGTTCTGTTGCTCAAGGTTGCGCTTTGCTGCCTGAAGAATCTCCTTTGCTTGGAGAACGTCGTCAAGCTCTTCCTGAAGTTACGCAATCTCGTTCTCGTGTCTGAGTTGAAGCCTCCTTCGTTCGGCTTGCGTTCGCTCCAAATCCTGGATGTGCAACTTGCTCACAGCGTACTTGTCCTTCAGAAGTGTGAGATCCTCCCGTAGTCGCAAAACATCATCACGAGGGTTGGGCTCTGCTCCTTTGACGCGGTCTGGCTGAGAGGAGTCGCAAGAGAGGCAGAGCGTCAACGACAGTGTACAGTAGCTCAAGCTCAGTGCGAGACAGTCATTAGACTCACCTGATTGGGTGTCGAAGTCATTCGAGAATCGAAACGGTGGACTGAGTGTGACAGATTGAGCGTATCGTTGGTTGTGAAGCAGGGGGCTGTCAGAGCCAGTAATCCGGAAGCCTGAAGGCGACTGCTTCAGCGGAAGTCGGAGAGCTGGCGCGTCAGACCATATGTCACCCGCCGACGCTTGTCGGATCGGAGCTGCACCCGAAGGGACATTGACTCTTGCACCCAGTCATCGAGCAAACTACACAGCGCATTTGCCTGCAGGTCGTTGCTCAAAGCGCCTTTGCCTCGCCAAGGAAGCTGTGTCGTCGTACTGTATGCTGAGCCTTCCCTCGAGCACTCTCTGTTACACCGTATTGCGAGTGTACTTCAGATCTTCGTCTTCATCGGGCTACTGTATTGTTTGCAAGGAGCAGCTCTCTTGCAAAGATTTGGCTTCGTCTGATGGCGTCTGATAGCTACTTGTGCAAAATGTGACTCCGCTGACGTCAAGGTATCTTCCAAAGTCCCGCAGGCTCGGCCGCATTCTTCCAGCACTTCATATCGAGACAAACACACTGAGGCTGTTCCGTAGTGGCAAAAGCGATACCGTGGTACATTGCTTGAATGGGTCCCGGGCAAGTGATGTGGGCCAGGGTTTCTACATCTGCTGCAAAAGTGCAACTTCGATGCTTGCTTACCCTCCTTCGATGACGCCACTTCAGTGCTGTATAGGTCTTCCGAACAAATCTGGATCGCAGTCACATCAGCTTGCGAGGCCGACTTCGTTGCCCTCTTAAGCTCCTGCACTGGAAAGCCAGAAGGGAGTAAGCTGGCACCACCTGTGCTTCTATCAAGGTCAAGTAGGCTCGCCGGAAGCACCTTGAGCATCTACAGGAAGCGACAGACACAGAGCACTCGAGCGATACGCGTGCAAGCAATAAAGAAAACAGAGAAGGACATATGATTGTGTTGCGGTGCAGTACAAAGTCGAGAACAAACGGTGGTGAAAGTACTGTGTTGCGAGAAGAGGCAACACATGTCAGCACAAAGTCACAGGAGCGACGAGACTGGCGAGGAGAACGATGGCAGAAGACCAAGCCGTGTGTAGGCATCAATTCCACTCAAGCTCGGCTAGCATCATCATCCTTAGCATCGCTTCTGAAGGGAGACCCAAGGTGGATAGGTTCATCCCGATAGTCACAAGGCTATAAGGTATGACATCATCAGCGCTGGGAGGAGACTTGAGGTGGCAAAGGCACCATCCCGAAGGTGACAAATCAAGGTGTGCTGCCATCAGCGCTGGAGTGAGACTCGAGGTGGCAGAGCCCCCATCCCGAAGGTGACAAGTCTTGAGGAGATGGCTCAGGTGTGATGGTAGTGGAGGAGACAAGGCACGACACAGCAGCAACGCCTGATGCACTTCGCTATACTCACTCTGTAGAGCGGGAGGGGCATGGTCTGAGGGCTTAGACAATATACAAGGCAAAGGCAAAATGGTCAGCCAAGGGCCAAGGGCGATTCGAAGGACCTTAGATCTAGGCGCGGGCGAGACCGACAGCTAGAAAAGTCAGAGCATCCGTGCTGGGAGGGAGATGGGGACGGGGCGAGCCCGATCCATGATCCCTACTAGAGATAAGGCCACCGGGCGTTGGGGAATGACAAGGAGCAGAGGTGAGGTGGCGCCACCTGCGCCGCACAAGCCCTTCACCGAATTGTTGACCACCAACAGCACTGGCTCCATTCTCGAGGCGGGGTCCTGCCAGACGCGCGCACACCTCAAAATGTCCACCAGCACCGGCGGACGACCTGAACCGAGATGTATATGGGGGTCGGACCCAAGCACGGTCCAGGAAGTCCCCCAATTCTGCCAACGCCGAAGGCTCAGTCCGAACAGCGGGTTGCAAGTCCGCCAGACTTCGCCACGGTGACCTTACCCCTAGTACCAGCGTGGAATCTTTTGCAAAAGTTTTAGGTGGGAAGGTGGGGTTCCATGGATGCAACGTAGTCCGACGACCAACTCACCTGCAGGGGTCGAGCCTTAAAGGGCACTTTGTCTCGGGTGGGGTTAGGGTTGATGCGGATGCTGGTGGATAGGTGCAGACAGGTGCAGGGAGGTGCAGGGAGGTGCAGTCAGTATTAGTGACAGAGCTTGGAGGTCGATGTTGATCGAGTGTACTCACCGTGAGAGCCGAAGGGGCCGGCAGTAGGGTTGACGGGGTAGACGAGCTATTTATAGAAGGGGAGGGAAGGGGAGGGGGGGAGGAGAGCTGGGGGCGGAGAAGGAAGGGCAAGGGGGTCAGCCAAGGGCCGAGCGAGCGGAGGTCCAAAAGCGATGCCTTCCACGCCGGACGGAACCGGCAGCCAGAATGCTCCGCCGCAACCGCGCCCACTGGAGGCAGGGCCACTGGGCATTGGGGAAGACTCGAGACACAAGCGGGATGGTGCCCCTTGTGTCGTCATAGCCTTTGCCGAGTTGTGACCATCACCGGCACTGTCCGAGTCTCGAGGCGCACGGTCCCAATCGGACGAACGCGCACCTCAACACCCATGAGCGCCGGCAGACAACCCGGGGAGAGACCAGCTCCCCCCCGGAGGTCTCACAACTCTGCCAATGCCCATGGCAGAATCCAAGCGGGTAGCTAATCCGCCGGGACTCCACCACGGTGACCCTACCCTTCATGGACAGGATCGCAACAGAGGTTTTGGAGCAACTCACCTTAGATGTTTAATGTCGAGGAAGTGGAGGAAGTGGAGGAGGAGGAGGAGGAGGAGGGGGAGGAGGAGGAGGAGGAAGAGTTGGTTGATGAGGAAAGAAAGAAAGTGGGAAAGAGGAAAAATGGCCTGCTTATGTATCCCTTCGAGGGCGAAGCCGGTCTCCAGTCCAGCGTCAGGGGCGGACAGCGCACAAGAAATTTCTTTCAAAGAGCGAAGCGGGTCGCCAGTGTCTGCCTGGTGGGCCGATAGCGCCAGGAAATTCCGTTCAGTGGGCGACGCTGATCGCCAGCCGCTGATCCGCGGGTGGAAAGGCGTGCGTGGGCTGGAATGCCAACGGCGAATCAGTCATGTACGCAGTTTTCTGCGTGGGATCAGCAGATGTACGCGCCCATCAGCTCGCGCGCACAGTCGTTGATCTGATCTGGCGCACGGCAAGCCCGCTGCTTCGCGACGCCTTTTCGAAAGCCATCAGAGATGCACACAATTGTGTCCAGCTGCTGCTCGCACAACTGCACCGAGCGATCAGCCCCATTTCCAGAATCACGTCATTCGCCACTGTCGATTGCTTCTCATTTTTGCACACGCTCTTACGCCGTTTACGCTACGCACTCGACCGATGGATTTTGTCTTACGCACTCGACTGATGGCCGATTTTGTCTTACGCTTTCGACTGATGGCCAGTTTCGTCTTACGCTTTCGACTGATGGCCGACTTTGTCTTACGCTCTCACCGCCAGCTGGCTTGGCTGAGACACCCTCATCCGCCCCTGCCTGGATCTTTTCGCCCAGGGAAGCAGCAATCAGCACCTGTGAGCCATCTGCCTATGCCACGCTCCTCTGATGTGATGCTCCAGCAGCCTTCCGCATCTGATGCCACTTGACGCATCAGCTGACTGACGCGCCCACAGGCAGAGCATGCTAGACGGAACGGCAAATTGCGCTTGCTGGCCGTGTGTCGCACCTGCATATGCCAGACTCTTCCCTGGTTGAGCACATCCAGAGTAAATAAGGTCGAGAGCACAAGCAGGCACCCAGGCCAACAGAAGGAGAAGCTCTGTATGGCCACGATATACTCAGAAGATAATGTACGTCTTGAGTCTGAGACAGTTTCATAGTCTGAGACAATTGCACAGCGTGCCAGGCTGTTCCAGACTCCGGCTGAGACAACTGCTGTCAGCCGAGACGCTCAGGAATTGGGCAGTGTGCCGCGCCGAAAGGAGAGCTCGGCCCCTCATTAGCGTGTCCAGTATTCGACAGCGTATGCACGTGTGCACGTGTGCACCAAATGGCAGAACTGACCGCGAGCATGGCGATCCGGCCGACCATAGTGCCACGCAGGTCCCTCAGCCGCGGGCCGCATCCATTCTGAGTGAAGCGGCAGCTGTAGCCGGATGAGACTATCCGATGTTCCGACTGTCGGCTCCGAGAGAGAACGCCAGCGCGAAGGGTAGCCACTTCCGTCGCCCCATACCTCCAAGGTCCACTCCCCAAGAGCTGGGTTGTCTGGTCATCGTCCCGCCATCATCAGCACTTACATCCTTCTTCACCTCTTGTACTTTGCCCTTCACGCCATCCCGCCTTTGACTTCTTCAGGTACTTGCTCCAAGTCACATATTCCTTGCTACACCCACTGATCCACCACCCCACCTAGTAGTCGAAGCATCGAACCATACACCCCTTGTATTGCAGAAGTTGACCCTCTCAGTGCCAAGAACCTCAAGCTGATGGAATCATGTGGTTGTAGTTCCACACACCACCGAGACCTCAAATGCGAGATCACCACTTCGGATATCGAGTGTTACAAGCTCACATGGTCTATAGCCGCCGACGTGTCAAGTCGAGCTCAGCCGTGACCGCGGAGCTCTAAGCCGTGCAATGGCCGGGCGGGAGAATGTGGTCGCAAAGTTGAAGGAGACTAAGGTGACCGAAGAAAAGACACTGTGAGTCGAGTTTTGTCCGTTGCTCGTTGAGGAATCTTGTGACCTGCTCCTTCTTCTGACTCTGCGTCACATTCGTCGATGTACTGGATCCCGAACTCTGCAGCACTCGAAGACGAAGATCCTCCTATCAAGAGCTCAGACTGCGCCAAAGCACGTCAGCCGTGTGTCTCATCGGTGTTTCTGCAACCACCATCCCTGATTCTGTTCCCTTCGGCATTCAATGTCTGCACTCCGTATCAGCATACCCCGCTTCTGTACTTGCTAAGGCTCAAGGGCAGACATGTACAGACATCAGGCCATCATAATCTCGTGCATCATGGATGCATCTGACTTGGATGCGGAGATCTCAACTCCTGAATACACCAGCCTCATGAAAGCTTTCACTCAGACGCTCCAAGATAACGTCGACCTGCAAATTCGTAATACAGAGCTTGAGGGCCGCGATTACAGGCAAAAGCAGCGCATTCGAAAGCTGGACGGGAAAATCAATTAGTCCGCGTGCCTGGCAAGCATGGCCAGCAACGCTGACACGAGTAAGATCGAAGCTCTTGGCCGCGCAGTGGAGGGACTGGAAGAGGTGGTAAGGACACTTGAGGAGGAGACGTTACGTCCCAAGAAAGACACATTGGTCCCCAAGAAGCGGAGGTGAGTCAAGTCTGGTGCACTTCTCTGCCGAAGTCACATGGCATTCTCTCTGTTTTGACGCTAGCTCTTCCCTCCCGTATGTCGTAGCTTTTCCTCTCCGACGGAAGATCACGATGCTACCATAACAGCCTCAGCCTTCGCGGAGCACGCTTGCTCTGGGTAAGCAGGAGAGGAGCACCTTCCCCGAGTGCAGTCTATGCTGTGCGCGGAAGAGCGCTCGAAGGTCAGGCAATCGAGTCAATGCAGCACGAGAGCGAATCACATACGCTGTTGCGCATGGCAATCGTCGCCGAGGCAACCCGGAAAGTCCCGGAAGGTCAGGACACACAATTGTCTCGCGCGCAGTCGGACACTTTTGCTTCCTCTTTCTTTCACCATCGCCACGATCACATCTCAGCCTCGCTGCTCCTGACTCAGTCTTCTTTTCTGATACCACATCGGACAAGCTCATACGAAATGACCCTCCCGCACACAGTCGATTCCCATTTGTGCAGATACGTGCCACTGCACTTCTCGACGGTGTAGTTCTCCGGTTGGGTGACTTTAGTCACCCAGTAGAGCTCTTCATCTGTGCATATGCTACTAGTATGCCCGCCGAAGCCAGAGTCGAAGGCCATGTGAGTTATCCTGAACGTCCACCTCGCACTACAATGGCCTGTCTGACTCTGTTGAGTCGCCTCATTGGGGCGCACACATCTCCAGAGATCCCTCTTCCCTACCGAGATCGCTCTCAAGTCAAGAGGTTGCACACCGACTCCTGTTCTCCTCCTTTCCAAGCCCGACCTCGGGACGTGATTGATTGAATGCTCATGCCATAGCCGCAAGCTGATCTTCTCCTCGGAGAGCACCTCATGCAATCCTACTAGGATCCGGTTCACGGCTGGCCCTGGCCTGAGTGATGGATTCTATCAGGCAACTCAAGCTGATGGAATCATATCGACCAGCTTTGCAGAGTAGACACCCCGCTGGAGGCCAAACAACACAGGGCAAACCAGACAACAAGTAGTCAGACGGCAAATACCATCGGACTGCTTTCCTTACAGAGCAAGTCTGTCCGGTCAAAATGACTCAAAAAGTTTTGCGATGCGACGGGAAGTGGCGTGGACAAGCTGACTGGGGCATACTGTAAGTAGATTGGTACCGCTATCCATTGCGAGGCTCACACATTGGATGCTCATCTCTGACACCAGCACTCTCTCGCTCCTGTGACAACCTGCCTTAAATCAAAGCAAGATGTGGATGCTATCATGAAGCGCTCAGAGGATCCTCCTGTACGTTATCGCAAAGACATAGGCAGTCAAGCGAAGGATTGACGGTGAGACTGACGGTAGCTTACGGGAATCCATTCGTCCCCGCATGAAAGTGGAGAGCACCTCACTGACAAATCGGTCCCTTTCTCATCGTTCGGGTCCAATCCATGTCCTTGCCGTGTAGAGAGTGTTGCAATGACAGGTGAGTGTACTATCATCTGTCGCAAGCTGATCGGCTGGCTTACAAGCGTGTGCTCTGTGATCTACAAAGCTTCACCTCCAGACACACGATCAAGTCAGAGAAGTCAGGTCTCGTCAATGGCACAAGCCGTTGCTCTGGCATTGAACGTGCCTCTGTACTGGGGCTAAGCTTTGAGGAAGAGTGCTACGCCACCCTCGCTGGTGAGCATGGCTTGAGTGAATGGCCACCTGTGGAGAGTCATAAAGATTGAAATCTCCTTTCTCCTCGTTTCGCTGCCCGACACGCCTCAAAAGCCCCTCGTACACAACACGCTGGCGTGCTCCTGCAGCTATAGTCTTCTCCAACAGACGCACGACACACACAGAACGCTTCGAAGCACCTATCTTGCAGCCTCATGACCGACGCCGAGCGCAAGATCCAGCGGCTGACCAGGCAGCTTGGCGCTTCTAACGCCGGTAATCTCAAGCTCCGGATCAAAGTCAAGGTTCTAGAGGCCAAGGTCAACAGGCTTTCTTTGCTGTCCCTGCCCTCCCAACCCACCCAAAGATGTGAGGAGTTGGCGCGAGCCCTGATGTTGAAGTCTCAGGCGCTTGAGTTGGCCATGTCTCTGCTCGAAAAGGAGCGAGCACACGCCGACTGTCTCGCGGCCCGGGCTTCTAGCCTTGCAACTCTATACCAGGCGGGACCACCGGACCCTCAAGACGCGCTACTTGACCAATTGCTGGCGGAAATCGCTGGAGAAGCCGAGAAAGGGTGAGCACCGCCTAGGATAGTGGTCTCCAATCTCGACTACCTTGAACTGACGCTCGTCTTGCCTCATGGTGCCATCAGCCGGACAACGGAGGGCGAATCAGCCGAGGCGGCGTCGAAGCAATTGCAAGAAGCGGAGGAGGTGCAAGAGGGTTTGGCAAGCACGAGGTGAGTAAGCTTCTTCAGCAGCCAAGTGGTACATGTACTGACAGCTAGATCTTTTTGCGCTATTGTCTGGACGAGAGCCCCGAACAGATAGAGGAAAAGAACCTCCTTGCGACCAGCTTCCGTATGAGCAACGAACTTCCCCAGCGTGTATTTCTTAGTCGACGCTCGGCGGACGATTCAAAGACGAAATATACGTAGAAGAGCAAAGTGAGGGAAACAAGTGTCTCAGAAACCCTTGTGGAACACGTAAGAGAGGAGAGGTGTTTTAAAAGTATATTCGGTTTCAACAGACAGAAGCAGGCGAAGTGGATACAATAGGCGATCCTAAGAAGACTGTCAACGGGAAGCACAATGAAACATCATCTTCTTGTTGTTCAACTGCACGATGTCTCAGAGTCTTGATCTGCACCACCAATTAAGGTCGTTTGCCGTCAATGCTCCAACAAAGTGGAAGGTGTAGGTGCCCAGGGCTTCACTGGGACGGCGTGGGAGCCGGGGCAGCGCTGGAAGATCGCTGTCGAACAGACGATCGCTCGCCTGCGTCTTGAGCGGCCTTTCGCTTGTTCTGGCTATCAGAAGGGCCCGCTTTGGCCGACTCTTTCGGTGGAAGGGGGCGAGGACTGTAGTAATCACAATGGACTCGTCGTGTCAGGAATCAATCCAATGAGTCCTCTACTTTCGTCGCTGATCCACTGACCTGGCTTCTGCCGTCCTATCCTTCACCACCAAGCGCCCCATCAGGACCCCAAGAGCCACCCGTGCCTCGTCCCTCTCCCCACGGACGACGTCTCTTTCCCTTCGAGCCTCAGCGATCTCCCCACGAAGCGCCAGATTCTCTCTCAAGAGGTCGCTGACGTTGGCTTGCAATCTTGCATGCCGCGCTTCTTGAGTGATCTCTCTTCGGATCTGCTCCCGGATTACAGCCTTCCGTGATGAAGCCGACGGAGAAGTCCAAAGATCGCTCAAAAGTTGTGTATCTCATCTCGAGATCTATGATCGCCGAGCCTGTGCGATCGCCATGAATCTATCGGGGCCTAGCAAGATAGATGACCGACAGCGAATTGGGAACAGCGAGGTAGATGGCAGACCCAACCAGAGCACCTGCTGGAACAGGGCAATGTGTGAGATTAACTTTTGAATCCCTGGAGTCAACTCTTGATCGATGGAAGGTTCTTGGAGCTTCTGGTCGCTGGCTTCGGATTGCGGCGCCCTAGAGAAGCCGGTCCATCTGGCAGAGTTTCCGCCTGTTGCCTTTCTTCCTCGTCTTTGGGCGTCCTTCGGTATCAGTCGAAGGAGAAGTTGATGGTGTCAGGAGTATGTCTCTCTACTGGAGGCAGAGCTTACTCACGGTCCCTCTCCTGCTCCCTCCTGCACTTCCACAGCCGCGATTACCGCCTCCACCACCTCCCCCGATGACTTCGTCCCGGTCCCAGTCTCAGCTTCACCGTCGTGTCCGTCGTGGCCGTTCCTGAGGTACCGATGAAGAACATGAGAGAGGTGGAGCGTCAGTGGTGATACTACAGACCGGCACGCCCGAATCGACAAGCTTCTCACGTGTCGTGATGGTCTGCAGAGACCTCGTCCTCCAACCGTGCCAACAAGACATGGAGACGAGTATCCTCTTGCTCCTCAGCCTCTGGCTCTAGGAGAGCAAAGATTCCGGGTTGCGAGAATGTCCCTTTGCGTCCTCTCTTTGTCGAGCAACGTCACTGCCAAGCCAAGAGCCTCTTTCATGGTATGATATGAGTGAGAAGATGCTTGAGGCTCCGCCGGAGTCGAATTGTCCCTGCCTTCCTGCCGCTCCTCCAGGAACTCTACTCGCAATTGCAGAGCCCTGATGTCCTCGTGAGCGTCGCGCAGTTGACGGAGCAGGCGTTGGTTCTTCCGGACCTGGTCTTGCCAGCGCGCCTCATTGTCGCTCACTTGCTTGCGCAGGCGGGGAGTCTCTCTAAGCGAGTCCATCGTTACAGTGTCAGCGAGGGAAAGGGGCAGAGAAGTCGAGAGAATGAGGTTGCGGGGCGTGAGGGGCTCTTGCTGAGACATACAAATCGTAGAAAGCACTGTCGCCAATGTCAGTCGTCGTGAGACTGCTGTCGTGGGACAGATGGATAAAGAGCCAAATGGAACGGAGGGACAGTGCAGCAATGATGCTTGTAGCCAACATATTCCTGTGGACTCTCTCCCTTCAAGCGGACGGTTGCCTTTGGTGAGTGATAGGTATAGGTGATTGACTGGTTGGCAATGAAGTAGGGGAGACTTACCTGGCAGGATGTGTGGTGTCAGACTGAATGTCGATCGTGCTTGGTTGATCGGACAACGCGAGCTTGTAGTTCCCATTTTTGAAGAGGTAATCTGTACTGCAGCTAGCTTTTCTAGGCTTTTTCGACTTGTGTGGGCTAAGTCGAGGTAGGACTGAAGGCTAGCAACGATACAACCATATTTCGTGTTGCAACGAGAAGCTCAGGCTGGCTGTTGACCCTTCCTTTTAATCTTCGACAGCAAGACGGCTAGTGTGAGACATGCATTCAGGTAGACACTGGATTGGACCAGCTAGCTTCACTGTACCGCGCCCTCCTCACCTTGTCTTCCTTTGGCTACTGCAGTCGTGAAGGCGACAGCATCCACGAGCGCTTTGCGCTTAGAGTATAAACAAACAGCAGGATCATTCTTGCCGATCCTGCCATCGCGTTATGTCGACGATTGTGAGAAGCTGCTACCTTGCTCGCCTGATCTGACTATGCGGTGCACGTAGCGACTCACCGTTTGGGGCTGGTCTGGGCCATGAGATGACAGTCTTCTAAGATGGAACGTGGAAATCACGTTTGCTCTTTGTCAATCTCTCTGATAGACTCTCGATGCTATCTTGACGTCTTTACTCACCAGACACCGTGTTAAACTTTTGCAGCTCAATCTTATGTGCTATGATGAGGGCGTTACCACGCACACTCTGATACAATCATTACGAAAAGGCGCATGTAGGCTGGCTAAGACTGAGTGTGCAGTGTACTACAGAAAGGTATCAGACCGGGAGTCCTGTTGCACATCTCCTCCACTCGGTTCTGACCAGGACTCGAAAATCTGGAGTTCGGACAGCGTCTGACGACAGCGATTGAGTGCGGAGAGCTTCGAGCGTATGGCGTAAGTCGGTGCGGTAGAGTAGAGTAGGTGCAGCAGTACTAAAGTAGAGGCAAGACGAGTAAAGTAAGAGGGAGTAGTGGGGATGGGGACGTTGCGATGGGCACGAATGAGTCACGATTACTCAGCGTCTTCGTCGCGTGCTGTGGGTAGGGCGTGTGCTGTAAGGTACAAAGTGCCTGCGCGCGGCGACGGGGTCCCTCGGCTTCGCCTTGCGTTCCTGAAGCGCGACCAGTACTTTGTCGCAAGACAAGTACCGAACAGATTACAGAGACGGCGAGGAGCAAGCCTCCACAGGCTCCACCTCTTGTCAAGTTCACTAAGGTACGACGGCATGACAGGCATCTTTGCTCAGCCAACGAATGGAATTGTCAAGCTTGAATGGAGTATGGAGACGGTGTGGGAAGGAGACAGGAAGGGGGGCGAGACAATTGCGCGGCACGATGTAGAAGGAGCAACATGAAGAACGCAGAAGGTCAAAAGCGCTAGTGGGGGAGGAGCAGGGCTTCACGCCTGCCGTCGAGAAACTTTCGAGAGTCTAGTAGCTGTTTCGGGGTCGTTTCCCGTTGCGGCGAAGAAGGGACGCCAAGGTGCCACCCTGATTAATCTCTGCAGCCTTCTTCTTGATTGTGCTAAGCCTGTTGTCAAGATAACTGCGCAGAAAGTTGCAATTGTCAGCAAATGGGCCGTCCTGCTGAAGCTGAGATATACTCACCTCGTTCCCTTCGCTTGCTCTTTCCCAGATTCGTCGTCCTCTTCGGCCTCGTGCTTCCTGTGCGAATGTGTCCTGTGCAGATGCGTACAGGAGGATGAGAGGGCATACTGAAGCGTCAGTCGATGGTGCGCCAAATTTGTGTCTTAGACCTCACATGGTTCTCACCTCTCCTCTGGACGTATAGCTCTTTTTTCGCTGTATTGAGCAGGCAGAAAGTCCCAAAAAGAGACCTTGCCTGCAACAGCCCTCGCCCTCCTCGCCTCACGCTTCGCTTCTTCCTCATGAAACGCCCTGAGACTGTACGATAGGGCCCGAGTGAGTTGTCCACGGGCCTCGCTCTCCTCTACAGCCTTTAGCTCAAGAGACCGGATTCGCTGCTGGAGGGTCCTGTTCTCCCCGACCAAGAGCATGTTGTTGGCCTCTGTCTCTTGACAGCGCCTGGCCATGCGCCCGGTTTTGCGAACTTGAGAATCCAGCTCGGCCTGGACAGCGGACAGAGCCTGAGCCGTCCGAGCGAGAGCTTCGCGTAAGTCCTGATGGCTGCTCATGGTGGAAGCGGCAAGAGAGCGTAGGATGGGAAGTGCCGGGAGGTCCGAGGGTGGTCAAAGGATCAGGACTTGAGATTGAGCAAGGGACGTGCAAACGGAGAAGGCAGAGAGCTAATTGTGAAGGTGCGAGTATGGCGTGGGGTGGGATGAGAAGACTGAGCTGAAGCGAAACGAGACGATAGCTGAGCGTCGAAGGTTGACTATCGATGCTCACCGATAAGGGTGACGTAGCACTTTACACGGCCTCGCGACACCGGCAGTCGGCTTTCTGGGGGGACCGGACCGCGTTGGGCTCCGCTCGGCGCGTCTGGTGCGCTCAAAATCTCAGGTACCTCTGATCGTCCGTCCGCCATTGCCATTCACCATTATCCCTCTGCCTGACGTTCCTCGTGCTACTTGTCCGCTTCTACCTCTGTCTACATTCCATTGCAATGACTGTAGGCTCGACACGCAAGTGCTCAACCTCCCAGATCCTGCAACGACTTTGCACTCTTCGCTCTCGTCTTTTCTCAGTCACTCCCTAGAGGCGACATGCCTTGCATGCCTTCACCATACCCCTGCAATTCACCTGATGCAAGCAGCCTTCCACGCTCCTATCTACGCTCTGTCCCAGCGAGCCAGCCACTCGGACCGCAAGCATATAGCGTAGCTACTCCTGCCCAGCCAGAAAGCGCTCAAGAACCCCCTCAAGGAAGCTCACGGGGCCCAGCTTGGTTCCGTAGGCGAGAGGCGCTACGTGAGGCGCGACGACAAGCACGGGATGCCACTCTCTAGTAAGTATAGTGTCATGGATCTTCCAAGCACTTGGGAAGACAGACACTCTCACGTACTTCTCTCTGTGTTCCCGTAGTCGCAATGCCAATCAGGCGCGCTCTTCTGCTGGTCTTCTTGCTAGGCATCCATCCACTCGAGGCTTGAGCAGGTGAGTTGTATGTCGTGGTCATGGTGCTCTTCTTGCTCGGTGTTGCGTATGTCTTGTATCGCCAATGGGTAGCTCGAGGTCTTCGGGACGCCAGCAGAGGTCTCGGCAGCGATCGTTTGTCCCTAGCCTCGAGCAATCCCACAAGTGGGAAAGTTCGGAGGCTGGAAGCCTACAAGTCATTGGCGCTCTGGCACTAGCTGTCATCGTCTTTGATGCAACAAGGTCGACCGTGGCCCGTCATCAGCTTCTCCATCGCGTCTTGAGATGAAGATGCCCACCCAGGTCAAGACTTCATGTGGCACCTCCATTGTCAGCATGTGTCTTGTACCGCTATCAGAGATCCGACGATGTGTAACCAGTGGGTCGTCACATGGGTGATCACCTGGAGGCTACGGCCCAGCGTGGTCGACCGCTACCAAATGTCGACTGTGGTGAAGACTAGCAATAGTCTTGTTACCTGCTCTCTTGATCGGGATGGGAAGCCGAGCGGGCCACCGAGGCGATGTAACGTCAACAGCTTCGGCTGCCTGCACAAACATCAGCCGCGTGTGAGCATCGATGGTAGAGGAACGATTCGTGAGCCGAGGCTACGTCCATCGTCGTGAAGCAGGAATGAGTAGCCCATCGGAAGCGCCTAGTCTGGAGAGATTGATCAGCCCACCAGGCAATGGCCGGCGAAGCTACTTGCGCTTCACCATAGTTCATTAGCCGAGTTTGGAGCATCGACGGTGTGTAACCAGTGGGTCGTCACACGAGTCATCACCTGGAGGCTTCGGCCCAGTGTGATCGACCGAGACCGAAAGTCGACTGTGGAGTGGATCAGCAATGGTCCTACCTCTCTCTCCAGACTCATCGGTCGTGCACTCTGGTGAAAATCATTGAGCAAGGCCGTCTGCGAGGGCGTGGATGGTGGTGTTCCAGCACAGCAACCACTGGTCCTCGTCCTGAGTCTGTCCTTCGGCGAAGCACCAAACCTGGCTGTCTCGTCGATCAAAAGTCGTCCCAGAAGCGTTCCCCCCTCCTTGTCGCCTCCCCAACATGTACAGATCCATCCTCTTGTTGTCGTCGCCGTCTTGTCGAGAGTCCAACTGCGTCAGTATCCTGTTACTGACGAGCCTCTCTCTCCTCTTGTTGCCTTGACTGCCCCGTAGACCACCACGACCGGAATGGCGCACCAGAGGAAGACGCAAATCGGGTGCCAAGAGGAGTTCCAAAGGTGTAGGACCCAACAGGGCAGCAAGACGTCACCCTGAAGGCCAGTGGGAGACCATCGACCGGCTAGCGGTGCCAAGGTGCCAGTCCCACTAGCAGCGAAGCTTGCAGCTACCGCAACACATCAAGGCTGCTCCAAGTGCTAAGTGTCTGAATGTTCGAATTTGCAGGCTTCGAGGACTGCTACTTCTCCCTACTCCTGTCCCGGCTAGCATCTCTCCCCTTTGCCTCTCGGCCCAGCAATCTACTCAGCAGGCCTTTACCAGCAATAGCCAAGCTCCCCCATCGACTCTCGCTGTATCTCTTTCTATCCCTCTCCTCTCTCTGCCTCGTCTCTTCAGCCTCTAGCACTTCTATCCTCTTTTCTTCTGCTCTCCTTCTCAATTGTGCAGCGACGGAGATATTGCGTGTGGTGTGAAAGCCGGGATCAGAGGCGATGCGCTCCACCCAGGGTCGTAGCAGAGAAGAGAACCAGGCTTCAGCGACAAGAGGTCCGTGAGTGAGGCGTACGAAGGCGAGGTAGGCCTCGAAGCGGTCCTGTCAGAAGCGATAAAGGAAGTCGTGTCAGTGGGATACGGCCGGCAGCTGGACGAGCTTGAAGAGTACTCACAGCTTTGCCTGCCTGATCCAGATCTTGGAGGTCTACTTCCAGGATCTCTGTAGTCTCTTCACTCAAGCCCTTTCGAGCCTCTAGTGCCCCAACTCTCTGTCGCTCCCTCTCCACAGCCTCCCCGAGGAGCTCTCTGGCGAGACCGACTCTCATGTTCTCCATCCCGCTGAGCTCATAGAGGAAGCCAAAGGTATCATTCGTAGTGAGGTGGCTGGCAGCAGTAGAGATTCCTCCAGAGGCCAGATCGGGAAAGGAGTGATAGACGATTCGACTGGCAATCTCTCTTGCGAGGGCATCACCGAGGAACTCGAGACGAGTGTTGCGCTCGGCGAGCCAGAAGAACGTGCCGCCGCTATCGGCTGGTGCAAGGCCCTCGAGGGCAGCCGACTCGGTCTCGTCTGTACCGACGCCTCCTCGCCAGGCGACGTGGAAGGTCTCATCCGAGCCTGGTAGCTCGCGCAGCTGACGTCGGAGTGACTTGCTGAGGGGAGCGGCGGGGGACTTGTGAGTGCCCTTGCGGACGACTTGCTGCAGGGGACGAGAGGCGAAACGATGGACGTCTAAAGCTAGAGCGGCAAGATCTCTTGGCGAGCGAGGGCCCAGTGGCGGAAGTGCCGGTGTCGATGTAGTGATGGGGTGAGGGTATAATGCTGAGACTGGTGCTGCCCTTGGAGCCTGCGCAGACGACAATGATGCCGGAACAGCCGATGTGTCCGCCTCGCTGGTGCCGGCCACCTCTGCATTGCTAGTGCCAGGCACTCCGGGCAACGGTGGAGGCCAATCCTTGTCTACTGGGAAACGGATCTTCTGATGTGCAAAAGTCCAGGTGTTGCTGACTCTCATACTGAAGAAGTCGGAAGCTTGTTCTGACATTGATGCAGCTGCCGAGCTCACAGCGGCAGCTGCCTTGCCAGCCGTGGAGGAGGAGGAGGATGCAGAAGGAAATCGATTGGCTTGGGGTCTAGTGGAGGGATGTATCCGATGAGCTGGGTCGTTGTAGTATTCCTCGTCGTCTTCGTCTTCATCTGCTTCTTCTTGCGCCTGTCTAGCTCGTTCTGAGCTGCCCTCCCACAAGGTCTTCATCCTGTCTACCCACCGCACCCGTGACTGGGAGGCTGGGTCGGTGGGAGCAGCTCGGGCTTGGGCCTGCAAAGCGGCATGATACTCTTCCAGAGCTTCTGTGAAGCGTTCTCTGCTCTTGACTCGGCGATCTACGCTGGCTCGTGTGCTCTTGCTACGAGCGCGAGGGACAGTGGTGAACTTGCATATTAGGTATGCTGTGGACCGATGTTGCCGGGGCTTGCTCGTAGATGCGATGAGGGAGTACGTGGTCCGGTGATGGGGTCTAGCCATGGATCGGAATGCCTGAAGGTGCGATGCTTGTGGGCCAGAAACGTAGCTGCGTTTGGAGATGGAGGTGGAAGGAGGCGGCCGCGGAAGCGCTTGCTTACAATCTCTCCGAGGGGCCATGCTGCAGAGCGATAGGCGGCATGCTGAGCTCCGCGGGTGCCGCTTCACAGCATCTCTCAGCGTTATTGAGGAGGTGCTAGGCCCTGCTATCACCATGACAGCCGCAGGAGAATACCTCAGCCTATGTGTGCTAGGAGCGGTGTAGGTGAGTATGACAGGAGGATGCGGGAAGAAGGTCAGCGGTGTGGAGAAGCACGGAGCGGAAGCGCACGGGTCCAAGACGGAAAGAGGCGGAGACCGGAAAATGCACAGACGCATTTCCAGGCTAATCACACCAACACCATCATCATCATCATCATCATCCATACTGTACTACATCGTGCCACTGCCCTGCTTCTCATCTAGTGATCGTCGTTTTCAGGACCTCGGAGTCACAAGGGCCGTGCTCTGTCTTTGCGCCTCAAAATGCCCTCCCTTTCATTGTTACCGCTGCTGGCCAATTGCGTCAACCGGTCCTTCCGTAAGGTGGAGAAGGCGGCGGATTGGCTGGTGGGCAAGGCAGGCCCCTTTTTCATCGCCATCTGCATCGGACTCGTGTCAATCGGGGCGTGGACGTTCTGTGAGTCTAGCAGGCTGAATATGAGATGTATGGATCTAAGCAACTCATATCTGTCTGCCCCTTCCCCTATGGCCATGCCACCTCAGTTACACTGCTCCTCCCTTCCGTCCTGACTCCTGCTTCGGAGAGTGCCTTCTCGCTGCCTACTATCGCCTCGGCTTGCTTGGCCTTATACTGCTTTAACCTCATCTATAGCATAGCTTGGTACTATTACGCCGCATGTACAATTCCTCCGGGAGGCGTATCATCCTTCGTCTCTGCAGCTGCAGACCTAGCCTACGACCAAGCTTCGCGCCAAGAAACGGACCAAGACGATGCCCAGGCTTCCCTCCGCACCGGCTACCTCTCCAACCTCGATTCCCACTGGACCTCTTATGCAGACCGAGCACGTCTTGCCTCGCGTTGGGTCTCCGATGCTCATGACCCTTCGATAGAGGCTTACCTCGATCATGAGCGAAACGTACGCGGCAAGACGGAAGAAGAAATCGAGGAAGAGGATCTCTGGCCCAGAGTCAAGATGTGCCAGAAGTGCGAAAAGGTGCCACTGTGGTGGGCTCTAGCATGTCTTCCAGAGGAACTCAGGGACGTGGAGAAGCAGAGGAGGTCACGCAATGGTGATTTCGATGCGGGCATCGAGCAGGACTCGAAGCAGCAGCCGCTGCAGGACGATCGGCCGTCGCCGAAATCCTCCTCATCTACCTCAATCACGCTATCTCCTTGGGAGCGGACCGCCGTTCAGCCTCTGCGTCAATCCATCCTCGCCTGGCTTCCAGCTTCGACAGCCGATACGCTCGTCCCGCCTCCGAAGCCAGAGCGAGCCCACCACTGCAGTGTCTGCAAGACCTGCATCATCAAGTTCGACCACCACTGCCCCTGGCTGAACCAATGCGTTGGCTTATACAATGAGCGGTACTTTGTCGGCTTCTTGGTTTACATGGTGCTTGGTACTAGCATTGTTCTGGTGGTGGGATGGCCAAAAGCTTGGGAGGCTTTGAGGCTCTGGGAGCGGGTGAGTAGACGATGGCTAGCAGATGCCATTCACAGTGCTGCTCAGCTAACAGCCATACAAACCTTCCACTCTTCCTTCCACAGTGGCCCTACAAGACCGCTCCACGCCTATTTGTCCTCCTTACCTACATCCTCTGCCTCGCCATGGGCGTCGCCCTGCTAGTCATGCTTGCCTCGCATCTAGACATGATCTCCCGTAATCTCACCTCCGTCGAGTCTTCTGATCGTCAATTTTACATTGGTCGAGCTCAGATGCGACAGAAGGAGCGGGAAGTGCAGCGGAAAGCCGCGTCCAAGGCAACGGGAAGAGGCTCTGCTGATGCTGAGACGCCCGAGGAGAAGAAGAGACTCAAGGATGCACAAGCCCTCGAGCTCGAGCGAGCCTGGGGGAACGTCTATGACCTCGGCACCCGCACTCGTAATCTCGCCATCTTCTTCAATGTGGGCGAAGGGTCTTCACTCGCCTCTTCTTCCTACCCTTCTTCCTCTTCCTCGCTTCCAGAACCAACAGCTCCCCCCGCCCGTCTCACGCGACGTCCCCGCCCCCGTCCAGTCTACTACTCGCTCCTCCCCGTGCGCTACCCGCCTCACTCGGATGGGTGGCATTGGCCCAAACGGAGGGGGACTGGGGGCAGAGCAATGTTGGGCGTGGGGTTGGAAGAAGAGGTAGAGTTTAGCGGTGGAGAGGAGGAGCAGGAGGAGCAGGAGACGCCTAGAGAGGAGACTTCGACGAAAGGAGGCAAGGGGAAGAAGAAGAAGAAGGGCAAAGGAGCTGCAGCCGGAGCTGCGTCTGGATCTGCATCTGAAGAGCAGAGGAGAGACGAGGAGAGGGAAGTTCTGGCTGGTAGGACCTTTGATGGGAGTGAAGCTGGGCTGGACATGCAGTGAACATCAAGTGCCGGGTAATCGTCACTCTGCTCGAGCTAGTGTGGAGTACTGTCCCACGTCTGTATACAGCTTGTATTTATGACTTCTCAGCCGCTGGAACGAAGTGTATTGTACATATGCAATTTGAATGTGTAATGGAAGACAAAGGAGTGCTGCCTCCACGCCTCTACTAAATAGCTTGCTCGTCTACCGCACTCTTCCCATTTCCTTCCACCTCGACCTTTGCTTCTTCCACATTAGTCTCCCCTTCCTCGCCCTCCTGCTCATCCCGACCAAAGCGCACAGTTTGCTGCCTCTTCATAACCTTTGCTTTCCCAGGAGGTGTGAAGAACTCACCAAGGGAGCGCTGATCGCTCGCTCTCGGTCCAAGGCGCTGCTTCTTGGCCATGGACGTCTGCCCAGACTGACCTTCACCTTCCAGAAGTGCAGCTCCAGCTTCATCCTCTCTGGTACGCTTTCGCTCCCTTTCCTCTTTCTCCTCCTCTTCATCATCTTCATCTTCGAGAATCGCATCCCCTCCCATCCTAAATCCGGTAAAGACCTCGCACTGGTAGTGCACACTGAGGATCAAGCGCTGGATTGCATCTTTGCAGCGCGTTTTATCCAGCGTCGTCGACGGCGTTGACCCTCCTTCCTCTGCTCCAGCTTCCGACTTCGCACCGTCCGCAGCAGCGCTAGGCCCGCCGGTAGAGGTGCCACCTGTGGCAGAAGCGCCCTCCAGCCTTCCTCTGCCTTCATGGATACGACTGTAGATCCCCCTGAGGGCGGCTAGAATCTTGTGAAACTCGCGAAGCCGGCTGAAAGAGGGGGCCGAGAGTAGGTCTTCCTGAGTCGCACCGTTGGAAGAGAAAGAGGAAGGGGTGAGACTGAAGAGTCGCAGCAGATTCTGGTCGCTCTTGTAGGGCTGGAGGGCGAGACGGAAGGCTCGGTTCGGCTTGAGTGTGGGGCCGGACGAGGATGACAATTTGCTCGTGGCTGGTGTAGCAGTGGGAGGCGCAGTCGCAGTGATGGCAGATGCAGTGCCATAGTCTGCGGACTTGCTGGCAAGAAGGTCATTGACTGACTGCTCGCTATCTTGCTTGATCATCACATGCGGGCGACTCTTCGCTTCCTCCATCGATACGTCTGCTTCTGCTTCACCTGGAGCCGAGGCACTCGTCTCTATACTAGCTGCTGAGGCTACAGACCCTGGCTCACACAGCTGCAAAGCCAGATCGCTGAACGCGATGGCGAGCAGCTCCACCTTTGCATTAAGCTCGGCGTAGTTGGTCTGTATCGCCGAAGAAGGTGGGTAGATGTAGAAGGGGTTCCGGGCGGGATCGTCGCTCGAGAGAGTCGAGGCGAGGGTTTTGAGGCCGCGGAAGATGGGTGTGGGAGGCTCGTCTTTGCCGAATAGGGCTGAGAGAGCTCGACTGCGTCTCAGTACGCGACTCTTACTTGAGGAGTTGGGAAAAGCTTGCAGAGTCCTGAGGAGAGCCGCATAGCTTAGTGCCTTGACTCCGTTCTTGCTGCTGGCATCAAGAAGGTGTGCCCAGCTTTTGAAAGACTGAGGACAAAGGAGGTGCAGTGCTGTCAGTCGCCCTTCACTCGCCCTAGAAGATGAATTTCGAGACAATCTTTCACTCACCGCCCACTGAAGCTTCTCTATCCCAGCCTCCATGACCTGCTGGAACTGACTCAATGTAGCAGGGCCGTAAGAGGCAGGATCACACGCCATCGCATGGACGTAGCCGAGTATCGACGCAAGCTCCGATGCGCCGAAGAACTCCCTGTCATGAGACTGAGCACTGTGGCAGGGACGGCGGCAGACGGCGAGAGATAGTTCAGCTGGAGAGTCTGGAGAACACTTGGTGTACGAGGTCACTGACCTGAATACCGCCTCGATAGTCCGCAAGTAGCGATACACTAGCTTCCCTCGATGTTGGGCAGTCAGGACCGTTGACTCAGCTAGCGAAGACTTAGCCTCTGACCCATTCGGCTCATTCACTCCCACCTCGGCGCCCATCAGCCACAGCGCCCTCATCAGCAGAGAGCGGATCGCGGCACCAAGTTCTGGCGCTGATTTTGCAGGCCACTTTCTCAGCAGATCTTCCGCACTGCTGAGAGCGGCACCGGCGACGTCGAGGTTTCCATGAAGGATACTGAGGTACAGCAGAGAGGTGACCATATCCACTGAGCCTGGTTGCGAGTGCGACAGGACTCGGGATCTCAGGAAGGCAGATAGATGACTTGCAGATAAGAACAGAGCCTCGTTGAAGCTCTTCTCGATCACGCCCTGTGGGGCTTGTAGAGGCAGAACTTCAGGAGGCTGCAGAGGTCGCGGCAGTATTCACGTGAGTATGATACTTCGCAACACTCTCGGTATCGCCAGCATCTACTCACTTTGTTGACCCTGCCTCGTCTCCAAAAGGCAAGCTCGTCTTTCTTTTGGCCATCTGCTCTACCTTTCCCTCCTCGCTTGCGAGTAGCAGCTCGATCGCGTGCCAGGATCTTCACAAGTGCCTTTTGCTGATCCTCATCGCCCTCCTCTGCAGCCAGACTGAGCATGAGATGTTCGCTTCGAGCACTGAGGGCAATGTTATCCGCTCCTTCTCCGGTTGTCCCAACATCGTCAGGATTGTCTTCGAAGAAGTGTAACGCATTGTAGTCATCTCCAGAGTCTTCACTGAGCTCTTCTCGCTCATCCTCTTCGTCTTCCGAGGCAGCCTCGTCTCCATCTTCCCCCAGTCCTTCTGTAGCTCGGGCTACGTACGCATCATTCAATTTCTTCATAGCCTCCCTATCAACGCCGCTAGGCTGAACGGGCTGCTCATCCCACTTGGCAGTAGCCGCATCCAGTAGCCCCAATCCTTTGGCGTCTGTTCCCCTTTTGCCTTGCCGCTTCTTCTCCTTGAGCAAAGAGTCGATACTGAATTTCCCAGTCTTGCCAGATGGGGGAACAATACCGGCCTTCTGTGCAAAAGTGGCCGTGGGTGGGGCAGGCCGATTTGGTTGGTGGAGGCTTGGCTTGAAGACGTAGGGCTTGTGCTTGACTCCGTATCCTCTGGTGGATTTTGAGGGACTGGTATCTGTATTGACCTCCTCCTCCTCCTCCTCGGAGGGTTCTACCTCGCTAGCGTCTGATTCAAGAGTCTTGCGCGACGTACTTGGCCTTGCATTCAGCTGTGGTTTCCGAGGGGCAGGGCTGGTGGATGCTCGCGCTTTCCCAGCCTTTCTTGAAGACGGATACTTCAAGGTGAGATCTGCAAGACTGTCATCCGAGTCGCTAAAAGAAGCCAGTAGTGCCTTGTCGTCCTCTTCTGAGCTATCAAAGACGTCCTCGGAAATGGCCCTCTTGAGCCTACTCGAAGTAGCCTTCGCAGGAGGAGTTGCGCTCTCCCGCTTCTTCTTCGGAGGCGAGGGCGACTTTGTCGGCGCCCTCTTCACCTGTGAGCTACTCGCCCGACCACTGGAGGTGCTGGGAAGCGAGGTCAGAGGCGAGGAGGTGTTCATCCACTCGCGGATATTGAACGAGTCGCTGCGTTGCGTCATGGCTCCACCAGCTGTGTTCAGACTCTGCGTACGGCCGAATGGTCTCGGTCTGCGTAGCTCGTGGCTGGAGGCGTCGACTTCTATGACCACCTCTGGGATAGGAAGCCTGCTGGTGTCGCGGCGCCGACCGCTAGTGGCGGCAAAGGAAGAGGCGGACGCAGTCCTTGCAAAGGTGGGCCTTTGTGGTACCTCGTTCTGGGATTGGACAGGAGCGAGGGAGCTACTCGGGAATGAGGGTGTATTATGAGAGTCGAAGGAGGAACTTGGCTGAAGGCTTGTGGCTCTACGAGTACCAAAGGTTGTCATCAGCAGACCGAGGAGGTGCGGCAGTGTAGTGTGTTCCCCGTGTCCCTGAGTAGTGACATCGGCTCATCTTCCGGTCCACCTCGAGAAGGAACCACGGATATCGCCTCGCCTCGCCTCGCGGAAGTGGCACAGGCGGAGTTCAATTCCAAGAGGCGCGACGAGGCGAAGCGCGTTTCTGCCTCTGCCTCCGTTCCTGCAGCAGCACAACACCACCAAGACCATCACATCTGCATTCACACCTACGAGCCCACAGGAGCACACGAGCATCTCCATTCACCCTCCTTCTCTCATCCTCGCCTGCAAAAGTTCTTCCACCATGCACGCTCCCCCTCCCCGCCAGTCCCTCTTTCCAGGAGCCGCTCCCAACTTCTCCCAAGGTCCCATCAGCACCTCGCACCTCTCCTCTCTCAGCACCTCTCTCCAATCTCTTCGGCAAAGCGTCGACGTCCTACACCACACCAATGGTCTCCTCCAACGATCCGTCGCCGATGTACCTCGCCTCACCACGGTGCTCACTGCAAAGAGACACTATGATGTAGTGACGGAAGGAAAAGTGATGCTGGCGAAGAAACAGCTGGAGGAGGAGGTGAGACCTCATATCAATGAGCTTATTAGGAGGGCAGAAGAGATGGTAGGAGCGGAGGAGGCAGCGGCGAAGCGGGCTAGGAACAAGGTGAGTACTTCAAGAGGTACTGAAGTTTGTTCCCCATTGCAATCACTGATGTACCTCTCTCGTATCTGGCTTCCCGCTCCCCCCCTCCAGGTCTCCACCCTAACAACCCGCCTGCAACAAGCCCTCGCATCCCAATCCATCAAGCTTCCACCTACATCCTCCTCCTCTCTCGTCCCAGGCTCAACTCCTCTCACACAAGGGGATGAAGAAGAGGTGGTGCTTCTGGAACAAGAACAGAGGCAAGCTGCTGACCTTACGCGTGTTAGGAGGAGAAGACAGCAGCTCGAGGAGGAATTGAGAGATTTGGAATTGGAGGTACAGAGGACGGTGAGTGGATTGGTACAAAGACGCGAGGGCTAGGAGAGGACGAGAGATTGTTGACTGATTTTTCTCTTTTCCTCTTCTGATTTTGTGGTTGCTTACCTTGACAGGAGATGGAAGTTAAGGTCGCCCAAGGGGTCAAGTAAGGGGACAACGAACACAAGATGCCCTCTTCGCTTCTCCTGTACAGTACGTCGTGTAATAATATCACAGTCACCCACTGCAACAGCATCTTGTGAGGTTCAAAATGGCGGCGCGAACTGCTTAGTCGGTACAACAGAAGAGTAGATACAAGTACACGGCAGCTTAACGATCAAATTCGAATCCCGCCTTCCCTCAATCATCATCCCCTCCCCTCTTCTCCCTCTCCTTCCTCGCAGCCTCAGCAATATCCTCCTCTCCAAGCTTCAGCTTCTCCTTTCTCCTACGAGCACCAGCATCCCTCGCGCTATCGAACGTCTCTTTCACCTTCTCCCTCATACCCTCTACATCTTTCCCATCCTCATTATCCCAACCCAGCACCAAGTGACGACCGAGGAGATGGGTGTGTCTCAGAGCCTCAAAAGCACTGAGTGCCTCCTTCTTCGTAGTGAACTCTACAAAGGCAAATCCTCGTGCACCGCCACCAGCAGCGCCAGCGACAGAGGCTGCCTTGCGGGGTACGCGCACCGACTTCAGCTGACCGTACGAGGAGAAGAGTGTGCGCACGTCCTTCTTCGTCGCTTCGAAGGGCAGATTCTTCACTACCAGCTTGGTGCTCGCGCCCTTTGCAGAGGGTGCACGGTCGTCTGCGTCTTGCCCTCGTCTGGCAAAGGACAAGGAGAGGGAGTGGCCATCGAGGTCTTTCCCGTTCAGTGTGTCCAAAGCGGCTTGCGCTGCCGAGACGTTGCGATACCCAACGAAGCCGTAGCCCATGCTGAGCCTCTTGGGAGAGTCCCGCGCATCGACCTTGGTCTGTACTCGAGCAAAGGCAAAGTCGGCCAGAGCGCTGAAGAAGGCAGCCAGGCTGTCGTCTGTAGTGGAGAAGTTGAGGTTCTTGACAAAGAGGGTCGCGCCGGGCTCAGCGTCGGCCTCTGAGCCGGAACCTGCTCCCAGCAGCATCTGCTGCTTGCTGGCGGGGGCAGCGATTGGCGTTCGAGCAGCTGCTACGTCGGTCGTCGACTTGGTCTGGGCCGCAGAGGGAGTGACGAGGCCTACGGGAGCTTTCTCGAGGTAGAGGATAGAGTTGCCCAGACGCTTGTACGCCAAGGCTCTGAATGCCACACGAGCCTCTCCAGGGATAGCCATTTCCACTAGCGCTAGAGTGCCAGTAGGCGGGATGAGAACGCGATCGACCTCTCCATGTCTCTCAAACATCTCACGGATAGACTCCGGCGTAGTACCGTAGGGGATGTTCTTGACCAGGATGGTGGTATCGCTGCGAGTCTTCTTGCCAGCCTTGCCGTCCTCAAAAGCTAAGACGTTGACGCCTTCCCTCTCAAGGAACTCCTTGGTTTCTTGTATCACTCGAGTCTCGGCGAGAGCAAGCCGTACGGCAGCACTGTCTCCCCCATCGTCGGAAGGATTGAGAATATCCGCCTTGTCAACGCCCAAGCGCTGTGAGATGCTGCTTGCGACAGCGTCACCGCTCATGTACAGCATGCTCCAACTGAAGTCCTTGTCTGCCTTTGCTTTGCGCTCATCTGACTTTGACTGCTTCAAAGTCTTCGGAGCATCCGGTCGAGGTCGAAGATCGACGGCTGGCAGCAGATGGAGTAGCCGGCCTTGGAAGGTAGTACCATCAGCGGCTCGGTATGCTGCCAATGCATGAGCGGGAGTCTCAAAGGAAACGAAGGCGAGACCCTTCGACGTCTTCTTTGACTTGTCGAGTGGGATATGTGTCTGAGCAGAGGGCGGAGGCGGTGAATGTCAGCTAATGCCGGGAAAGCCAGCGACGGATGCCAATCCTTTTCCCTCTGACGAGCGTAAATCAGTTCAATTTGTATCGTTACTAGCGATTCCTGTATGTTTCTCAGCAGCACCTCTTTTGGAGGCTCAGCTGTCCCTATACATTCTGTCATCATATGTACGCTCGTCAGGAGGAAAAAGCAAGAGGAACGCTACTCACCTGTTTGAGTGGGCCAAAAGAGGAGAAGTGCTTCGTCACGTCTTCTTCAGTTGCAGCGAAGGGCAGATTGCGGATGAAGATTCGTCCACTGGCCATGATCGTATCCACTGCTTCTTGGTCCTTCTTTGCTTTCTCCTCAGCACTGAGTCGTTGCTTCTCGATGCGAGCTTTTGCTGCTTCGTCTTCGACCTCTGATTCAGCTTCGCTGTCCTGGTCCTCCTCATCCTTGTCCTTTTCGTCTTCAGAATCGGACTGCTCGAATGTCTTGACTGGTTCCTCTGCCGCCACATTGCGCTTCATGCGCCGGGCCAGGTAATCCATGTCGGTAAGCTCCTCGTCGTTCAGAGCAGCATCTGGTGTGACTTCGCGATCTTCCTCTTGTGTAGGAGCCGAAGTGGCGGGCGCTGAGGCGGCAGCATCGGCCTCTGTGGCGGCTTGCTTCGCCTTCTTTGCCTTTCTCAGCTCGCCAGCCTCCTCTACCGCGGCTGCTGTAGCATTGCTGTCCTTGAGCTTCTCTTCCGGATCGTCCTCTTCGTTCTGCCAAGTCTTGCGCTTCTTCTTGGGCGCCATGACTGCCATGAACTCTTCAAAAGATACGCCCTTGCTGGCCTTTGACTTCTCTGCTGCCTTCTCCTTTTTGCTCTTCTTTCCAGCAGCAGCGCTTTGCTCACCGGCGACCTCGATGACCCGATGGCTTTCCTCTCCTCTGCCCTGATCTCGTCTCTGCTTTCTCACTTCCCTCTCATTCGCTAGCCCTTCATCCCCTATCCGCTTTGCCAAGTCCACCTGAATGCGACTGGTATCAATGAAGGTCCTGTTGAAATAAGCCAGAGCATCGCGCGCCTCCTCTTCAGTGCGGTAGCCGACGAAGCCGAATCGTCTCGAGGTGCCATCGGGACGTGTCATGAGCTTGACATCTGTGACCAGGCCTCGTTGGCCGAAGTGCTCCTTGAGGCGAGCATCGGAGAGGTAGTTTGGGAGATTCTTGACAATGAGGCGAGACCTGGCAGAGGGAGAGTGGCAGGACAGAGATATTGCAGCGCTTGTCAGCAAAATGAAACGAGCACTCGGAGAGGAGGAGTCATGAGTACAACTTACATGATGCTGGTTCACGTCGCCCTCAAGAGCGAGTGTTGTGATTCATGAGGACGATGAGACGATGATGCGTGGAAGTGACCGAAAAGCTTGGAAATCTGGCAAAGGGTTCCGTGTGAGATGATCTCGCCTCAAATTTTTGGCTCGCCTGCAACGCGCGCTTTCTGGCTCAGCCGCCAGAGGCCGCCTCCCTCGGCGCCACCCGGCCGCATCGATGGTGATGTGCACCGCCAGCCGTCTGAGAGAAGGCATGGTCCAGTGGTTGGATGGATGGATGGATGGATGGGTTCGAGGCCCCCCTCGAGAGCCTTTCCGAGAAGTCAGGCATAGGCAGGGTAAAGAGAGCAGAAGTGATAGTATTGTAGTGACGATGAAGACTATGTACAACAATGAGGGTCGGGGTTGGGGGAGGGGGTGAGGGGTGGGGGCAAGGTACAGGTGGTGGTCGTGGGCTCTAGCGCATCCAAAAGGGGGCAAGAATTTTTCATCGTTAGCACATCTGATCCAGCAGTATGGCTAGTGAGCTCAGAGCCCGGGGTCAGTCCGGTCACGTGGTCATTAGCCCTCTAGCAGACAGTCTCCGTCCGAGGTTCCCTATCGTCCCGAGAAGATTCTTTGCGTCGGCGGATTTGATGGTCGCGAGACTGAGCCAGGCTCGAAGTCATCTCGGACAAGGCAAAACGGTCAAGCAGGCTGTCGAGGCTGCAAGCGCGCCCAGTACAGTGCGTGCAACTATACCCTTGAGGCAGAAGGGGTCGATCCTGTGCAAGAAATGTCTTCATCGATCGCTGTCTCCGAGATGGTCGAGCCCGTGCAAACATCCTGTCTGTGAGTCTTCTGGATAGAGGGACCTTTCGAGCAAGAAACCTTCCGTCATCGAATGCACGAGGAACCCGAGCTCATCCGCGTAGGCCATTTTCGTCAAAATTCCCTCTTGTATGGGCTCGATCATCTCTGTGATTGCGGTGGTGGCGAGGACATTTGCTTGAGGGTCCCAGCTATGCCAGAAACTCGCTTGGGGAGACTTCATGCTTGGATGGGCTGGGCTATCTCGGCTCCGACGAGTCGACTGTTGTCCTTCTTGCATGGGTTCGACCCTCTTGTGCCTCCGGCTCGCGATGAGGAGGTATTGCTGTGGTGACCGTGGTGCCTGTGTCGTTGGTGCGGCCATGTAGGAGAAAACTCTCTCGCTTGGACAAAGCTTCGATCCAGGAGCGATACCCGCCTCAAGACTCATGACTGCTGCACTGGAGGGCGGATGACCCCGACTTCCGCTGCAGTACGACTGACCCCGACTGCAATGTATAACTCACCTGTTGAGTGGCATAGGGGTAGGGCTGAGGAGGAGGGCATCCGGTGTGGAGTGTGGAGTGTGGAGGAGGAGGAGGAGGAGGAAGGGGAAGGGGAGGAGCTGTTGGAGTGATGGAGAGAGGTGGGGGAGGAAGAGGCGAAAGGGCGGCCCTTATGTAGCCCACAAAGGGCGAAGAGAGAGCGAGGGCCGGTGTAGCTGTACTCGCATTGGCACCAGAGAATTTTCGTTTTTCCCTGGCCATTGACGCCTGTGATCGCCGCTGGGCAAAGGAAATTGTGCGGTAATCGGTCCCTAATCCGCCCCGCCTGTCGCGAGGCGCACTGGACCCTGATTCCGACATTCCACTGATTCGACGTCCACTGATCCAACGTGCGCCTTACGCACCACGCACACCACAGACGTAAGCACAGGCGTAAGCACTTATTCATCAGTGTGACTGACCGCACAATGCACACTTCTCAAGCTGGATCAGATCAGACTGGCCAACGTTGAATCAGCGTCTGCCACTAGTGCCGGCCCCGCCCCCCATCAACCTGCCCGAATCTCACTCTGCCCTGCAGTCCCCTCGGATCAGCCGCCTTTTCCTATCGCACACCGACGGTGAGCGAAGTCGACCCCGGTCCGAGACAGTGGGTCCTCAGCACAGATCAGTGAGGGCTCGTGGACTTCACGCCGGCATCCACCCGCCATCAGGTCCTCCACTACCGCCATTTCCCGGCGCTCCGAGAACCAAATTTGATACTTCGTGTGCCTGCCTTGTGCCACTCGAGTAAGCTGCTCACAGGGATTGCCAAAGTGATTCGACTAGGGCCAGGCCAGTGCTTGCTGCTTGATAGTCCTAGTGAGACATCCGGGTATCGGTAAGACAGTCGCTCCTAGGTAGCCCGGGCGCGGAGTTCGAAACTGGGCGTGAGAGTGGAGTTGAGGTAATTTCTACTTGACAGGCGACGCGAGATGCGTCCCTTTCCGCCCAGAGCTGCAGGCGCACAGGCGCAGGCACCACGCCCCGCACGCCAAGAAGGACGGGGATCCTCTGACGCCCAAGTGGATGTTCCTTCCTACGCATCCCTACCATTCATCCTTGCTGGGCCCCTCCCCCCCTTCTTCTTCCCTTCATCTGTTCCGTCCTACTTTGTTCCATCGATCGAAGCTGCGCTTCCTTCCTTAGAGCATCCCCACTTTCGTTATCTTTACTCGTACTGCTGATCTCCTGGCGAGATTTTCTTTAGTGCCTCATTCACTACATCTCCTCCTTTTCTTCCTCGACGGAATCTGGCAATGCCATGGCAAATCTCTCAGGCTCGCAAAGATGCCACAACCAACAGGCGCAATGGTCGGTCGAGTGCAATGGCATCTCGTCGTATGCCCAAGAGACTGTTGCCTCAACATCACAGACGACTGCTCAGCGCCAGCTTCGATCGACACGGTCGCCGGACTTTTCCCCTCGTAGAGCAGGCTCTCACCGAGGGGCAAGACTCCAGCAATCATTTTCATCCTCATCATCTTCATCCTCGTCAGCTTCGACAAGCACTCACTCAGAGGGCAAGACGAATCCGAGACGGCCCCGTCTTGGCCGCGCCCTCGGACTTCTTTGTGCTGCTTCGAGCCTGGCTGCAGGCTTCTCGCCCATCCACGAGGTCTCAGCCAGATCGCAGTCGATGCGAAGACACGCTGCAGCAGACTTTGAGGAGACCCGCTTCCCAGCAGGCTTTGCTCGTCAGAGCCATGAACAGCAGAGTCGTCAGTTGGAGCAGCGCGAGGTCACTAGAGTGAAGAAGGTCATATTTGAGGCCAGCGGCAGTGATGTTGCCGCGCTGCGGACTAGCCACAACTCTTCAGCTTCGGTCTCATCGCACTTGAGTGGGAGGTGGGGTCACTCATCGACGTACCTGGAGAATGAGAAGACGATCCTCTTCGTCGGTGGACAAGTTGCCGATGGTTCCTCTCTTGAGTACACCAACGACGTCTTTGCTCTCAACGTGTCTTCCCTCGTGACCAACTCGACTTCTGGTCCCCAGAACTCATGGAGCCAGCTTTCTAGCCACGGCCTGGAGCCTCATGCGTTCGCGGGACAAGCTGTGACGCAGACTAAGAAGGGGGCAGATCAGATCTGGCTCTTTGGTGGGTACACCAACAACTGTTCAGCTTCGGCAGCTTGGACTTGGACCGCTAGCGAGGGCATGAACAAGTCATGGTCTGCTGTCGGGCCTACTGAAGGGTTGACAAGAAAGGCAAGGGCCCCGACAATGGGCGTTCCTGCTGGGACAGGTCTTGCACATGGTCAAAATGCGACTGGGACAGCAGTCATGATGCTCGGCGGGCTGGATGTCACATATGATTGCTCTTCTCAAGGCAATGCCACTGCCAACGACGACGGAGCCGTGGTGTGGCAGCTCGGTCATTCCAACCTTACTTCTGTCCGCGAGATGGCCGTCAAGGATGGTAACGGCACGTTCTCCCTAATCGACTACTCCACTGTGGTTGTCCCTGCCAAGGGCCTCGGCAACTCCACCATCTTCTTTGGAGGTATGACGAGCCACGATGTCTTTGCCAACTGGACTACGCTGTGGTCCTTCAACCCCTGGACGTCCACATGGGAGACGATCGCCACCACGGGTGAGATTCCAGCTGGCCGACGGGGTCACACATCCACCCTCATTGGCAAGGACCGAGTAGTCGTCGCTGGAGGAGTGCTTGCAAACGGCACTCTGACGGATGAAGTCTTCATCCTGACTTTCAACGACACAACAGCCGTGTGGTCTACCCCCACATACGCCAAGGACCAGACGGTCGCTGCTCCTGCCAAGGCCTACCACAGCGCACTCTTGGTCGAAGATGTGCTCGTCGTTGGCTTCGGTGCAGCACGCAACTCGACTACTTCCTCGAGCGCCTCGTCAAAGGAGCGAAGAGGCACTAAGACGAGCACCAGCACGACTGCTGCTGCTCCTGTCCTCTACCTCGACACCTCAAATGACAAGGCCTGGAGATGGTCTGACAGTATCGAAGGCGTCCTCGAAGCGCGAGGGGTCGTACGAGCTGTGACTTCCACTACCAGCACCCACTCCTCCACTTCAACGTCTTCCACTTCCAGCTCTTCATCGAGGACCTCCACCCGTACCAGCTCATCCACCCGCACTACCTCATCTACGCGCACCAGGTCGTCAACCTCTGCTGCCTCTACATCCACTCCTTCCACCACCACCTCCTCTGCTAGGCCTACTACTACCAATGCTGCTAGCAGCACCTCGTACTCGGCTGCCCCTGCAGTGTCTACTTCTGCAGACGATGGCGCTGGCTCGAGTAGTAGCTCTTCAGTAGAAGAGGACCCCACTACCACTGCGGCTGCTGCCCAGGCTACTCACTACTCGGCGTCGTCTTCCACCAGGAGCAGCGCCTCTGCTTCGGCCACTTCAGACGGCAGTGGCAGCGCCACCATCACCACGGCTGCGAAGACTGGCGCCGTAGTTGGATCCCTGCTGGGAGCTGCTGCCTTTGCAGTCGTCTTGGGCGGTCTATACGCCTACAAGAAGCGCAAGGATTCCTACAAGGAGTGGGCAGCTATGGGACGAGATGCAGAGAGGCGCGGAGGAGGCGGTAATGAGGGCGGTGGTGCGGGAGATGCTCCTCCAGTCTCGATGCTCTGGTTCCACGGAGGCAGGAACGCTACAAGGGAGGACGAAGGCTCTTTTACTCAGCAGCCTGTCAACCGTGGTGGAAGACCAAGGCTCTCGGACTCGAGGTCACCCGACCCATTGCTAACGGATCCTTTCGCTGCAGCCAACGACTCTTATGTCGCTCGTCCTGCCACGGCAGTCTACGCGTCTGCCTCCCACGATGGCTACTTGAGCTACGACCCCTACCGAGCTCCCCTCTCCCCTTTCTCACTTGACGTCGCCACGCCTGCTCAACGTCAGCCTCTGGACCGGAATCAGTCGAGCGAATCCCTGGCTAGCAGCATCGGCGGTGCATCCCACTGCTCCTACCCCTACCTCAGCGCCATGCATCGTCCCTCTCTGGGTGCCTCTCAAGCCTCGCCCAACCCAAGCTCAGCAACCGTCACTCCCGCCCTCTCTAGCGTCTCGCCGCGAGCAGTCATGGCTGAACGCTGCGCTGGTGGTTTCCTCACCAGTCCCACTGCACAACACCCTCACCGCTTCTCGGCACGAGACATGGTGAGCGGGTGGGACCCGCGCGCTTTGCAGGAACTCAAGAGTGCTCGGGGTGCTGGAGTAGACGATTCATTCGATGAGGTCACCCTCGATGTTGAGGAGGTGGAGGATGCAGATGCAGATGGAAGTATCGTCTTCAAAGGAGACCAGGACGAAGAGCACGAACACGAGCACGAGCTTCAGGAGAGAGACGAGCGCATTGCCGAGCTAGGTGAGAGGAAGACGCACATCGATCTCCGTCATCCTCACCTCCAAGCACTCGTTACTCGCAATAATGGTCAAAGATCCTACTCGCTACCTCATCAGGCGATGCCATTGACAAAGACAATGTCTACTTCGAGTGTGCCGGGAGCACCTAGAACTGCCAGGGTTACGAGTGGGAGGGCAAAGAGGACGATGCTGAGAGTGACGAACGCTTCGCTGGATGCGGAGTACTAGAGGGAGGCAGTCAGTCACCAACGTCGAACTTGATCTGGAGTGTATATAATATTGCTGGTGTTGCACCTGAGTCATCCATGCCTATGCCTATGCTAATGTCGTTGTATCTACATGCCGCTAGACCGGACATTACCTTTTTCCAACCCAATCTTCATCTTCTTTCCATCCCCTCGTCGTCTGCCCTTTCCCATTGCTCACCGTGTGCCCGTCCGTTCTCCACCCACTTCGGTTCCCTGCTCCTCGCCCTCCCCATCCGCAAGCAAGAAAGCCCCGACTTTTCCCCTCATCTCCTCTTTACCAATTGTACGCGTCACATGCCCTCCGCCACCACCACCAGCACTGTCACTCTCAGGTGCTCCAACCTGACCCTGCCTGCGCTCTTTGTCCGCCGAGGCGTACAGCCCATCCTCTGCTTCGTCCACTGCATCGCCCGAGGGAGGCACAATGGCACTACTGGGATCGAAAGACGAGAGCTCATCTGCGACGCCGTTGCCATGAGCGGCCGTTGAGACCCGGCTTGCACGAGTACGCGCTGCCTCCAGTACGTGGCCCGGTAGGGGTAGGATGATCCTCCCCAGGGTAGGTTGGGAGGCGTGCTTGAGGTGCACTTCTTCCGGTACGTCGAGTAGGATGAGACAGGCGTAGCAGAGGAGCTTCTCCAATTCTAGCGCAGATGCGTTTCCCCCGGCCTGCTCTGCGCCATTGACTGAAGTAGTGGCAGGGAAGGCATACTTGCTCACCCGTCCTTCACCGTCCAGTGAGCCTACAATGCTCAGCTTGCCCTTCCAGTCCGAAGCGCCCTTCTGCGCCGGAAGGCCACAGAGGGGACAGGCGTTCTGCCCATTCCACCGCGGAAGAGCTTTGACGCCCTGAACTAGGCGATTGCCCTTTTGACCCGTGCCGACGGTCAGAGCGGGGGCACCTGAGGAGGTTGCTTGTGAGTCTGCGAGGGAGAGAGCATCGAGTGTCGCTTCGATGGGAGCTATAGTTCCCTCTGCAGCCTCTGCCATGACTAGCTTTCCTCCTGTCCGACCAACGGTGTTGACCGTACTGGGCACGCCCTTCTCGAGGTGGAAGATGAAGTTCTCCGTCAAGCGGCCAATGGAAGCCTTCTCCCCTGCTCCTCCACCGTTGCTGCTATCTCCACGCGAGGCGAGAACGGACGAGGCGATGAGGTCCTGCGGGGCGAGATAGCTCAGCCGAAGTGTGCGGTTGTAGAATGCAAGCTCTTTGGCAAAGCAGTCCCTGAGAGGTCGCAAGACGAGAAGATCGTCTCGCCAGATGGCGGCTGCGCCCTCTATGGGCCACTTGTGTCCTCGTCCCTTAGCGATGCCGTCGATGAGGTTGATTGCACCACGGCTTGCGTTGTCTCCTAGCAAAAGAGCTGCATCTCCTAGAGAGCGGGCAGTCTGAACGAGCAGAACTTGGATGAGGAGAGCTTGCAGGTCTTCTGCTCTCGTACGGGCAGACGAGGCGGAGGCGCGAGAGGTGGAGGGTGGGTCGATTGAGCGAAAGAGGGAGAGGAGGAGGTCCCTGGAGGAGCTGTGGGTGGAGCTTGTGCTGCTGGTGAGCTGCCGTGCTTCTGCCAAGTAGAGAAATGAGAGCGCGAGGAAACAGAGATGATCAGAGGCAGAGACTTGAATATTCAATATTGAGCCTGAGATGTCTACTTACCCGCAGGTCCAACCAGGCAGTCCACCACTTCCATTCCTCCTTCATTCCCAAATACATCTTCCAGTTTGAGCGGAATGAAATTCAGCCCAGCCTCTTCTCCGCCTTGCTCGCTGATGATCCCTCTTATGGCATCTGTCTGGTCTTGAGCGCCCGGCACGAGGGCCGAGTCGTCGATGTATATCACGTCTATGCGGGTCACCTCGACCGGCCTAGCTTTGCGAGGCTGCGCAGAGGAAGAGGAGGCCTGCTTCCTCGGTGGGGGAGCTAGCGAGCGAGTGGCGACATTGAGCAGCGCTCTGGTGGAAACAATTAGAGAGTCAAGCTGTATGAGCATCTTTGTCTCCTTGACTCATCGCTACCAACGCCTTGCTCACCTGCTGCTGCCACCGCCACTGAACCCCAAAGCGATCCCTCCCCTCTCGGCCTCCGGTTCTACCCGTCTGCCCTTGCCTTTGCGTAGTCTGTCTACACCTCCTTGCCTATCCAGCAGAGCTGCTCCTCTAGCATGCTCAAGAATGCCCTTTGCCCGCTGTTCTACAGCTCTTTGAGCGCAGGGAGTGCAGGATGGGACATTCTTGCGGAGTAGGAGCGTGGAGGGAGAGTCGCAACGAGAGCACTTCCGTAGCCGAGCGGGAAGCGTGGACGCAAGGGAGGAGGACGAGGGATCAGACATGAGGATTGTGCCTGGTGCCAGCAGTTTCTGACGATGCTGCGAGCTTGTACGATATCGATGGTCTTGTCTGAGGTGATTGTCGCTTCTTGGTAGCGGCTGCATTTCCCAGATTTCTTCGGAAACGGCGTCGACGGGAAGAGGCCAACTTTCCGTGACTTTGCAACTCCGACGACGGATGGAGGGGCTTCCTGCCGATGGCCCTGGTTGGGACATACGCAACACAAGATCCCCACGCAGACGACGACGTCGACGACATTTCTCACAGCAGCACTTCCACTTCACACCTCGACAACTCGTCCTTCCTGCATCGTATATAGAACTTCGTACCATCAAGTCTCGTCGCCCAACCTCCTCTGCCTTAGCACCCGCCCAACACCCAGAGCTGAGCACTCAGGACCCTTTCCTCTCCTGAGCTGCTTCCGCCTCTCCCTCACCGAACCCCCCACGTCCCCCCTTCTTCTCTCGCCTGGCTCCTCCCACAGGATGACAGTCGGAAACCCAGACAGCTGGATCGCTCAGCTACGGCAGTGCAAATACCTCCCCGAAGCCGACATCAAGGCCCTCTGCGACCATGTACGCGCCATTCTCATGGAAGAGTCAAATATTCAGCCCGTAAGCAGCCCAGTCACCGTCTGTGGAGATATTCATGGTCAATTCTGGGATATGCTAGAGCTCTTGAGGGTCGGAGGTGATCCACCGGATACGGGGTATATCTTCATGGTGAGGCAGAGCTGGGGAGAAGGACATGGGAGATTGTAGATGGCAAAGTGGAGCTGACAATGACCTCTACTCACTTCCTACTCGCTAAGGGGGACTTTGTGGATCGAGGATACTTTTCATTGGAGACCTTCTCGCTACTCATGGCACTAAAAGCAAGGTAAGTAGGCAGTGTATGCAGCCGGCTTGCTCTCTTCATATTCGCTCATCGCCTGCTACTCGCCCCTTGCCTGCCCCTCCACAGATGGCCAGATCGGATTACCCTACTCAGGGGGAACCACGAGTCGAGACAGATCACACAGGTGTATGGCTTCTATGGTGAGTACGGACGCCGACGATTCATCTGCTTTGATACCTGCAGGCTCTGATGACTTTACGTCCTTCTCGCAGACGAATGCCAGCACAAGTACGGAAATGCCAATGTGTGGAAGAGTTGCTGCCAAGTGTTCGACTATCTGAATCTAGCTGCTGTATGTACCGCGATAGTGGAAAGGTTACTGAGCTCGCCACGCGCTGATCCTTTCCTGCATTCTCATGGTGTCTCGCAGATCATCGATGGAAGGGTACTATGTGTGCATGGAGGTCTCTCACCAGACGTGCGGACACTAGATCAGATTCGGATCATTGCAAGGGCCCAAGAGGTGCCGCATGAGGGAGCCTTCTGTGACCTTATGTGGTCAGATGTGAGTTGATCTTGTTACGGGACTTGGACGGCCGAACAGCTGAGCTGACCCAGTCTCTCTTTCCCGTCCTCGACTCTGCCACACGCTTCAGCCTGACGATATTGACACATGGGCGGTGTCGCCGAGAGGAGCCGGATGGTTGTTTGGCTCAAAGGTGACAAGAGAGGTGAGCTTGAGACTAGGGTGGAGGACTAGACCGCCTGCTCGCGTGAGCAGCTCACTGATACTGTGGTTCATGCTCCCTCGCTCAGTTCAACCACGTCAACGGCCTCGAGCTAATAGCCCGCGCCCACCAATTAGTCCAAGAAGGCTTCAAGCTGATGCACGACAATGGCATCGTCACTGTGTGGTCTGCGCCCAATTACTGCTATCGCTGTGGCAATGTGGCGTCCATCTTCCAAGTAGACGATCTTTTGGCGCTGGAGGAGGGAAAGACGGTGGAGGATGCGGCTGGGGAGAGCGAGGGGGAGAGGACGGCAGCGGAGCGGTTCGGAGAGAAGAACTTCAAGATCTTTGATGCGGGTGAGTAGGAGCGAGAGGGAGACTGCAGTGACGGCATGATGGGAGTGGCCGGTCCTACGCCTGTCTCAGGGCCACGAAGTGAGGCAATGATTGACTGACTGGATATTGCCTCTCTCCCTTTCTCCCCCCTCACCCTGCTCCGTCTCTGCAGTGCCAGATCAAGAGCGTACAACGCCGAGTCGGATGAGTCAATCGCCTTACTTTCTATAGAAGGCGAGGGGACGACGACGACGGCGGCGATTGTAGTGGTCGTAGTCGTAGGAGAAGTGGTAGTAGGAGGAGTGAGAGAACTTGTGGCAGTAGTAGCAATTGTAGTAGCATACAGACCAATGCATCATCATCGTCATCATCCTCATCATCCTCATCATCATCATCGTCGTCGTCGTCGTCGTCATCGTCATCATCATGAACAGCAGCAGGAGCAGAAGCAGAAGCAGAAGCAGCATTAGCGTCGATCTAGGTCATCATTGCCCGCTCACCCCTGCAGTCCTTCCTTCCTCCCTCCCTTCCTTCCTTCAGCCAGGACCACTCTGCAAAGGGTCCTATCTGCCTCAACGAATCATTTGATTCGATTTGATTTGATTTGGATCGCAGAGATCTGGAGTCATCTGTCCCTGACTTTGATTGCAAACCCGGGGCGGGGCTGCTAGGAGTGGAGTGGAAGTACTGCCTGCCTGCCTGCCTGCCTGCCTGCCTGATGAGATTGCCGGTTGGAAATTGCCGATTGGCGATTGTCGATTGGAACGGAACGGAACGGATTGGATTGGAATCGAACAGAAGCGAATGCTTGGCTTGTGTTTGTGTTGAGACGTGTGTGACAGTGTGTGTGTGTGTCTGTGCCTGGATCACTCACAACGCAGCGCCTTGGTCTTGACTTCTGGATGCGGGACCCTGATCATCTCTGTCACTTTGCGCGCACGTCAGGGTGCGTGTGTGTGCCTCCCTCGGCGCTTAGTCTGTTTCTCGGCCTCGGGCCTTGGAAAGCAAAGAGCGGAGCGGAGAAGAGTGGCAGACGCAGACGCAGACGCACGCACCTAAAGTGGCTGATGGGATTTCCGCGCAAGTGCCGGTGGGGGGGCAATTCGGAAGGGGAGATGCCGTGATGGACGGCAAAGACGAGGCAGCTCAGCGGGTCCGCGCCCTCCCTCGGCGGGCCTGAGCCAGAGAGAAGATGGATGGCGCATCCACCTCGTCATTTCCGCTTCCTTGGGACCCAGAGGTGGATTGATCCTCCTTGGTCTTGCTACGCTGCAACTGCTCTGCTTGAAGTCTAGCCAACACATCCTATCATCCACCAAGACCTCCCTCACTCGAAAGAGCAGACAACAGTCTCCTCCTCCTGCGGTCACTGCCTACCGCTCCCTCGCACCCCCCTACCGACCTCCCCCAGCTGTGTCCCCTATATCCGCTTTGCCATGGAGACACCTGCTCTCTAACCCGGACTATCGAGAAAGCCCTCGGGCTGCGCTGCGAACCAAGTGCCGTCACCACATCATCATCATCATCCTTCTTCTGCTTCTCCCCACTCACTCGTTCGTTCGTTCATCTATCTGTCCGTTCGTTCGTTTGCCGGGAGCGTGCGCAATCGCCTCTGTACACCGGAAGGAGCCCTCCTCATCCCCGTGCACTACGCTACTTCGCTCGCAGTAGCAAGTGACAAGGTCACCTTCCTCCGATCGCCCTCTCCGTCGTCCCTGTCAAGCTCTACCATGACATCGTCCTCTCAGTACATGGCGGGCAGTAGCGGCAGTGGTAGTGGTACGCCACTGAATATTCAGACGGAAGAGCTGCAACACGACTACCTCTCGCACCTCTCCCTTGCCTCTGCTCCCTCTTCATCCTCCTCCCACTTCCCCTCCTCCTTCTTCCCGACAACCCAGCAGCAGCAAGGTGGCTTCATCGGAGACTCGTCATCAGGACCCTCCGCTAGTGGTTCTTTGCAGCAAGATGTCCAGGCTGACATTCCTACCGAAGGCGGCCCCTCCTCTACTGGAGTAGGGCCCAAGGGTAGAGAAAAAGGAGGCAAAAAGGAGGGAGGGAAAGAGCATCATCAGAGGCACATGTGGTCTGTGGACGAGACCGAGGCGCTCATTGCCGGATGTCAAAAGGTGAGCTACCAGACGAGCGCTTGTGTGGGTCTGATGCTACGAGGACGTGGCGGCTGATGAATCGGACTGCTTCCTCACGCTCCCTCGCCTCTTTGCAGCATGGCGTCGGCAATTGGAAGGCCATCCTCAACGATGCTGATCTCCGGCCCCGCTTTAGTACCGATCGCAACCCGGGTGATCTGAAGGATAGGTTTCGGACCAAGTTTCCTCAGGCCTATGCCGAGCGTGAGTGATCGTCGGCAGGGAGTCATCGACTGTCTCTTCTGTCACTTAAGCGAGATGGCATCACTTTCCTACCCGCCCTTTCCTCGCAGTGTATCCGAATGCAAAGACGCACATTCCCTCTCGGCGCCTTTCTGAAGGGTCCAAGTCCCACTTCGAAAAGGGTCAGTCGAAAGAGAGGCGATGCTTCTCCCCTGCCGAAGATGCAGTCCTCAAGCAGGGCTTTGCTAGGCATGGATCCAGCTGGACTATCATCGCCAAGGATCCCGTCTTCGGAGGCAGGAGAAAGCCGACTGACCTCAGAGATCGATTCCGAAATGCTTGGCCGCAAGACTATGCTCTGGCTGGCTACTCTGCCCGGAGAAAAGGTGGTGCGGCAGGTAGTACGACGAGCAAAGGTAGCACAAAGGGCAAAGAGCGGACACTGAGTCATGGCTCTTCTCGGCAATCGTACTCGCACCACGACCCCGCCGTGCCTCTGCCCCCTGCCACTGGGCAGAGCACTCCCAATGCGGAGCTAGAAGGCATCTTCGTACGAGGACCTGATGGCAAGCCTACCGTGGCTAGATCCATATCATCCACCTCTGCCTCTTCGAGCAGTAATCACACCTTGGGCAATTCCGAGTCGGAAGCTGACAGCGAAAGCGAAGGAGTGATAGGAGGTGGTGGCGGCGTCGACTTTGCTTGGCTGAGAGATACAGCGGGCTACAGCATGTCGCCTTCTACAGAAGGCTTCAATGGAGGGAATCTAGGCACTGCGAGTCCCTTTTCCTTCACGCCGGATTTCGCCCGGTCGTTGTCGTTTGGCTCAGGCATGCCGACTGGACAAGGAGGAGCAGCGAACAATGCTCGTCCTTTCTTTGGTCAGCAATTCTCCTCTCCTGGCCATGCCTTTCACGGCGATTCCGTAGCTGGAACAAGTGTCGAAGGCAATGCAGGTTTCCAGAACGGGCCAGGGAAGACTCAGACGAACGGTCTGGGCCAATGGCACCCAGGCTTCCAGGGCCTCTCCATCGGGCAAGGCAGCAATGGCGCCCACACTCCCAGCAGCAATGCCGGCAGTCAAATCGGAGGCTTCTCTCCCGCCTTTCCTTCAACCGGAGCAGCTCCCGCGCCTTTCGCGACGAATCGTCCAATGAACTTTGCTGGACAGTCGCAAAGTCTGCCCCCTTCCCAGGCTCCTCCGGCCTTCTGGGACCCGACGGATACGGAGATGTCCTTAATTGGGGATGCTCAACTTCAGCAGATCAACCAGCTCTTGCAGAGCTACGCGCAGAATGCTGGTAGTGCAGAGGGGGATCAGCAGGCCTACCAGGGAGCCAACGCTCATAATCAAGGGTACACAAGCGACAGCGATGCAGTTTCTGCCGGCGGCTGGACATCGGATGCAGGACTGGCCTACCCTTCGGACGGAGGTGGCTCTTCATCGGACCATTCTGCATTTCAGACTACGGGCGATATCAATCCGAGTGACGCATACTGGAACGCAATCTCTTCGTCCATGAATGGATTCCCCTCGGCGAACGGACAGCCGAACCCAATGGACCACGCTGGTCACGTTGGCGGGATGTTGATCCGCGGAGATGCACCGCTTACGGCTGCTGCGCCACCACTGGCAGGTAGCGATGTTGGTCTGTCCTTCCTGGAGGGTCCTAATACGTCCCATGCTCAGCAGCAGCAGCAGCAATGGGCACCGTCCATGTCCAATGGCCTCAGCCCGCAATACTCTTCCTCCACAAGAACAGGGACACACACCAACACTACCTCTTCTTCCTCCTCTTCGGCCTTCAGCGGTCCACCACGCTCTTTTACACCAGAGTCAGACAGACGTTCCGTTCACAGCTCTTCTGCTGCATCCGCCTCCGCCTCTGCCTCTGCTTCTATCTCTGCCGCTTCTGAGCTAGAACAGCTCGATCTCGATGCGGGGAGTGTGGGTGGTGGTAGTACTGCGGGAAGTGGTAGTAATTGGCACGAGGAAGGATACGAAGAAGATGAAGAGCCCGATGATGATGATGACGATGAGGAGGAGGAAGACGACAATGACTTTGGAGGAGACGGGCGTCGAGTTCGCTCCTCTGACTACGGAGGGCAGGACGAACCGGAGGAAACAGACGCCAATCATCGCGGCTCTTTCTCTTCGGAAGAAGAAGAAGAAGAAGAGGAAGAGGAGGAAGACGAAGAAGAGGAAGAGCAAGACGAAGATGAAGACGATGACGATTTGCTCCCTCGCTCTAGCACAATTCGACCACCTAAACGACTTTCTTCGGAAGAAGATGATTATGGACGAAGAGCGGCATTGCTCTATCATCAACAGAATGGAGGATACCTCTCCTCCTCTTCTTCTTCTGCAGAGGATGAAGGGGAGGGGGAGGGAGAAGGTGAACGGTAGTTTGAGTGAGGACGGGGAAAGTAGGG